AGTAAAAAGACACAATTATTTGAAGAAAAAAAAAGACAGGGACAACCCTAATTCTCTAATGTGACAGTTAGCTATTTGGGGTAATATATTAGCATAGCCAGTCATTTTATTATGTTCAGCAAAACCATTTTTTAAACAAAAGCATTTTACCCATCTTTAGGGAGTTCCAAAATAATGTTATTTTGAAAGTCAAACATCACTCCTAGCAAATCGCTTGAAACTTCTTTCACCCTTTAAATATTTCATTGTTGTAACCTTAGTATTCTCAAGTAATAAGAGTTAGCTCCTGTACAAGCTGTTCCGTATAATTTAATCCATAATGGCCAGGAAACAGTGGTCTGTAATTTGTGTGACTATGTCCTAGTGGTTTAGATTGAAAATGCTAAAGTTAAAAGTATTTTTTTTTTCATGGAATTGCTTTCTTTCTCAGAAGCTGTATACAAGTAGTCCTTGACTTATAACCATAACTGAGCCCAAAATTTATATTGCCAAGTGAGAAATTTGCTAAGTAAATTTTGCCCCATTTTACGAGTTTTCTTGCCATATTTGTGAAGTGAATCACTGCAGTTGTTAAATTAGTAATACAGTTGTTAAGTGAATCTGGCTTCCCCATTGACTTTGCTTATCAGAAAGCCACAAAAACGAATCACATGACCCCAGGACACTGCAACTGTCATAAATATGAACCAATTGTGAAGCATCTGAATGTAAATCACATGACCATGGGGATATTGCAATGGTCATGTGTGAAAAATGGTCATTAGTCACTTTTTCCAATGCCGTTGTAACTTCAAATGGTCACTAAGTCAAGGACTACCTGTAGTACTGATAGAAACTGGATTTAAAATTCTTTTGATCAATCAAATGTGATTTCTATCACCTCAGAAAATCTGCCCTTCTTCCTCTTTGATTTACTCTTGTTGAAGACACTTTCCTTGAATTTGGGCAAAGTTTAAGTGTTTCTGCTATAACACTAGCGATTGTCTTCCATTTATTACAAATTTGTAACATTGTAGAAACTTGAAATCCTGCAGTCACATGCCAGAATGTTATGATAACATAAAATAATTAGCTAGTCAGATACATATCTTTCTAACAAACGATTTAAGTTTGTTAATGCTTTTGGAATTAAGCATGAGAAGAAGAAAGGGGAAAAGAAACTTAAAAATGACTAGTTCTTCCAGTTTTTGTTCCTCTTTCTGTAAAGAGAAAAGCAAATCCTCTTTCTCTTTTTGTAAATGACTAATGTACAATAACCAAAAACTAACAGGCTTTACAACTTTCCAATTTTGCTTGTGTGAATGTCCTTTTTAATATAACCTATATTTATCTAAATATTCAAACAAACATCTCTTTTTTGAAAGATATAACTATCAAACAAATATGTTTAATATACTCTCATGCTTATAAAAAAAATCTCTGTTCTCAATTTTAACATCTGCTTTTGGGGGCAACCATTAGAATATATATTTAGGAAAAAATAGAGAAAATATCTGCAGAAGCAGAAAACACATTCTACAAAAGAACTTCTCTTTACAGGATTCAGATAGGTAAGTTGCAGCCATTTAGTGGCCTCTAGCACTACACTTTAGTTTCCCAGAGCAAGCCAGAAATGGATGGAAGCAAGAATTGGCTCTTTTTTGTAATTTATGGGGTTGGAAAAATGAACATTCAAGTGAGTTAAATAACTATGTTTGCTCCTTAATTCACTTTCCTTCTGAAAGATTAACAAATTGGCTCTGCTTTCTATAACAGTATCACTATACCACTAGTTAGACCCCCTACAAACTTCAGACAGCCAAAAGATTATCTAGCCAGTCTGCTATGAAAGTTGCCTATTCCTAGAAATAGAACACTAGCAGCAACACTTAATGAAATCACTAGGCAGTCAGTCAAAGAGGGGAAGGTTAACTGAATGTAGGTTACATTAGAAGGTTACAGAGACCTCAAGGGTATTATGTTCCAAAACAGTTGCCAATTTAAGATTCAGAGATTTACAAACAAAATTCATGTTTAAACCTTGATTGCTTGGTGCAGAAATAATAAACTTTAAACATTTGAACAGTTTACAAAGGACAATAACCTAAATGTTTGAAATGGCTGAAGAGGAGTGAAAAGTCCAATTCCCTGATGTGAAGTTTCCCTTTAGTTTGAAGGAATGCAGCAATAGGTTAAACCTTCCATTGTCCAATAATTTTGCACTAGTATTCCTTTCTCTGGGTATATTACATAGATCATAACATATATTAAAATGAACTGAGGAACCTAAGGCTGTAACACATTTATCTCAACTGTATCTTTGTTGTCGAATTGTTTGTTGTCTAATTAGAGAAAAGACAATATTTACATTTGTTATTGTTGGGAAACTCGTGACAGCTAGTCCTCAACTTATGACTGAAATTATGGTGGTGCTGAATTTACGACTGACCCCAAAGTTAGGGTTATTGCACTGCCCCCATGGCCACATGATCAAAATTCTTATGAGTGCCCTCTACATTTATGACCACAGGGGCATTTCAACTCCCCCCCACACACAACTGGCCTCATCTATGTCCTGCACTCCCTGCACTTTGTCACTCCTGCTCTGGCTGACCTTTTTCTGTTCCCACTGATGAATAAGCATGCCATGCCCGACCCATCACGAGGCATTTGCTGAGGCAGTCGAGATTTTCCGGGGTGCTGTGACTTTGTGCCATGCTGGTAAGGCTTTCCAGAGCACTGAACTTTGCACTTTGCTTTGGGGACTTCTGAGGGCACTGACGTTCTGCACTTAGCTCAGGGGCTTCTTGAGCCGTTTAGCTGTGGTGTTGGAAACAGCCTCCCAAAATATGAAATTCTGGGCTGTTTATTGCCCCACAAGGCAAAGTGCACGACAGTGCAAAGGGCTTTGATGGCGGGGGATGGGGGAGAGATGGATGAATGGGGGGAGTTGAAGAGGAAGCACTCCCTGAGCTTTCTGAGGGTTGGGGATGGGAGGGACCAAACCCAGAATGGTTTCAATTCAGGTGGATCCTTGGCCAACGATTGGTGGAATTCAGTTAACAAAGATGGGAAGTGCCATTGCTAAACAGTGTAGTCACCTAAAGTCACCTTTATGACCTCATCGTTTAGCGAGAGGCATTCCAGCTCCAATTGTGGTTATAAGTCGAGACTACCTGTATAGACTTTAGTATGAAACAGAAAATATGAACTTTTGATTTGTGGCTTTGATGATTAGAAAACGTTTGATAATAGAAAAAGGCAGCTATTTTTTGTAACTAGAGAGTAAGAGATTCCAATTTCCAAAAGAAATTGGAAACTTGTATTTTTTATCTTTTCTTGTTGCACTTTTTCCTTTCTTCAAGCTAGTTTTGCTATTCTTAATAATATTCTTTAATAAAATTTATACAAAAATCTGATCTAATGAATCAGTATTTTTATTTTTTCATGTACAATGATGAATTAAAGGACATTGAGAGGAATAAATTTAAAAAAATTGATCTAAATATTACATGTGAACTATTTATTTTGTTCCACCCTTATTATTCAAAGAAACATATTATTAAAACTATAAAAGAGAAAATCGTGATGTGATATTAACGATATCACAATATCATGATATTCAGTGATATGTTTTACTTTTTTGGCCCTATATTTGATGTTTCTAATGATACTTTTTAAATAGTGTATCCTACTTTTTCAAAATGAAGCTCATTTATAATGGTAATGTTGAAATCTAATAAAGATGCTGCTGAATGTGTAAGTTATTGCCTGTTTTGTTAAATACTGGTTCAAAAATTCTGAGAACTGCCTTGGGTTTGTAGATTACAAACATCATCATCTGAAATGTTTGTTTTGTGCAATCTGGCTTTATAAAATGCGTCAAACATTGGGCAATATTAAACCACTAAATAGTATTATGGGCATATGTTTAAAAAGATCTCCAACTGGCATTGGATTTAGAAAAGGCAGGGTACAGTGGAAACATCTGGAGCAAGTTTTTGTTAAACATGGATTTCTTTATTCACTGGACTTAAAAGCTGCGCTCTTATTCTTCAGTCAGAATTATTACCAATAAAATTATTTCTTTACTTCTCAAGATGTGTCATGAAACATCTGTCAAGATTGGGACAAAGGCCACATGGGTCATATATATGTTGATATAATGAAGATATTGACCAAAATTATTTTGTATAGCCAAGATTTAATTCTTTCTGAACAATTTACTGTTTTTCTAATATGTATTATTAATGCATTGATTGTATTTTCTTGGAGAGTTTCTGATATTCTTTTAAAATTTATGCTTTATGTTTTAAAGCAATAAAATAATAAGACCAATGGTTAGCTTTGAGAAAAAGATAGCACTCTTCAAGGGGGTATCTGAAGGGGTGTAATTGTTGAATATTAATTAGAAATATTACGACCAAAAGCAATAAAATAGCGGAACCAATTAACTAAGAGAGAGGGGAAAACTCTTTTTTGCTGGATGCGTTTAAGCAGAGATCTGAGAGCAATTTTTCAGAGATTTAAATTGGGTTTTATGAGAATACTTTTGTAAAGAAAATGCACATAATCACATTAAAAGGTCTGATAATGAACGCTAGTATTTCTAGTACTTCTCTAACCACTATAAACCTCCTAAAGCTTCATAATGGGGGAACCCTCATACTGAATATCATCTACCCAAGATGAGCAGAGAAGAAAGTCACCATAGGCTTGGAGCCACAGGTCACTCAATTTCACCAATAGTAATAAATAGTCTATGGTCTCTTATACTTGGCCAAAATATTCTTCCGCACATGGTCATTTATGTAGATATATAAAAGGCAAATAGTAAGTAATGAAAAACAATTTTTTTTTCTAACAGAGAATATTGCTACATTTATAACCAGCAAAGTATCTGAGGTAGTCCACACACAGTATCTTAGGTACATTTAAGAGAGCAGCAGTCAACAGATATCCTCTTATATCCATCCCTGGATCATTTTCTCCTCAGAAACAAATAAACCACAGAAGCAGAATTTACATAAAATTATCTTGCTCCATTTTATTTAAGATTCTTTTCTCCAGTTAGTAAAAGAAAGATGTGTCTCTTTTTATACATATATACAAGTTCAGTTATAAAAATAGACAGCACATTCAAAGAGGAAAAAAAAGGCTTGGCATTTTTTTGATTCCCTCTAAACACTGTATATACACATGTGAATCTGAGGGGGGCGGGGTAAAATCTTCATGATTTAACTTAAATATCCCTCCCCACCCAATTAATCCCTCCATTTTTTTTTCTGAAATCAATCTAACTGAACTCATTTCTGCTATTTTCAGGTGTGCAAATCAGAAGCAAAGTCAACAGGAAGCACTTGCTCTACACTGAGGGATGCCAGGCAAGGTGCATGAGACTGAAAAATCCTTTGCTGACTTAGCTAAGATCTTCACCTCGTAACCTGGTTCTCCCTTGAAAGGTGAAATGCCCAGAAAAAAACAACAACCACTTACTGTCAATATGAAGGCAAGAGAACTGCCCCCCCCCCCTTTCATCTCAGTGCAATGAGGACCGTATACATATCATGCTAAAGCAGAGGGTTCTTGTGCATTCAGAATGGAGTACCAGAGCAGAGTTGCACAAATGGCACCATTAATCTCTCACAACTTCACTAGTTTTACAGAGCATTCAACCAGTGCCAGATCACCACAGTGGAACTATCCAACCCAACCCTACTGAAGGATATGGACACTGCTGACAAATAAGACCAGCTGTGTGCACATACACACATATTGAATCGGAATGAATGACGTTTTACTTTAACTAGGACCAGAATGGAAACAAAACAGCATTATTCATCTTGTGTAATACAGTGAACAGTGGTACCTAAATCATCATCCAAAAGCTTTTCTATGGCACAATGAGAGGAGAAATAGTGATGTTTTCTCTCTCTCAGATTTATTCTTATTTAGAGTCATTCACAAATTGTCATTCCATTTTAAAACCTTTAAACTCATATAAACACATTCGGGGAGGGTGGAGGGGTGAGGGAGCTTAAAAGATGTTGATGAATCTGACTCCTGCATATTATGACCTTAAAAGGTTTTTTCCCCACTCTATGATTACAGAGCTGGCAATGCTATTAACGAAGAGCTCTAACCTGTTTTACTGTTGGGCTGACTAATAAAACAGTAGTCTAGTAATCCAGATGCATGATATTGACAAAAGATCCTTTTTAGGACACAGTGCAAAACTCTCCTTTTACCTGAATTCTATTCTTTATGGTATCTCACTATTCATCACATTAGAACCATCCAATTATTTCTCCACAGCTTCTTCCAAAAGACGCAGAGCAGAAGGTTCCTCTGAATCTACAGAGCACCTCCAAAGTTTATATGCTGATCTCTTTATTTTAAAACCAAGCTGAATTCCATGAAACCTGAAAGATGAGGGCAGAGGGTGCTGGTATGAGTAGGAATGAAGGGGGAGATCTTGCAGCCAGTCCCATATGGAAGTTGGATTCTTTCCCTGCATGATTTGTAGGATGCTACAAAAAAAAAATCCTCAATGGAAAAGTTAAGCCCAAGCATCCCCGTGTCTCAGACCCTCTTCCTCACAATTCTGCAAAGGGTAGTAAATCTGGACTATGCATGAAAGTGCACATAAAACACCTCTTGACAAGTAGTGCAGTAATCTTCACACCCACATGGGATGAAAACAAGGCATCATCTATATACCCTTTTGCTGGTAGGCGTGGGCTACTTTGAAAGCCAATATGAACACGTATAGGTTCCAGGGATTCAAAATTACTACCGCCCACCTGAAATATGGGCTCCTTTATATTGTTTTCGAATAGGGGTTTCTGGTGCCAAGGAACTGGCTAAGCTTAAGTTCTTAGAGGATCCACAAACACTGTTTCCTTTGCTCAAGGAGGAAGAGGCGCTTGATAATCCAAAATCTGAAAGTCCAGCAGGTCGTATAAGTGGAGTCTGGAGAGGGCTACCTGAAGGCATACCTAGCCGGAAAAAAAAAAAGAGCACCACAAAGTAGTAGTAGCAATAGTAAACACTTCCTCAACAGCAACAGATTAGACCTGAAACATAACTGTTTAAGTCAGGGGTGTCAAACTCATGACGACACATCGTCACATGACATATCACAACTTCCCCCCCCTTTGCTAAAATGGGTGGGCATGGCCAGTGCGTGACGCATCTGGCCCATGGGCCACGAGTTTGACACCCCTGCTTTAAGTGAACACAGTACTAAACCTGCAGGCATGATAATTGACTATGACTTTCAGTGAAAAGAAAGACAACTTCTAACTTTTTAATAAACCCAAACAGGTTTAAGAATAGTTAAGTGTGAGGCATCTGAGCCCATTCATTTTAATTCAATTAAAAACAACCTACAAATCAGTGGTGAAATGTAAAATTTGTTACTACCGGTTCTGTGGGTGTGGCTTGGTGGAAGGGGGGTGTCATGTGACTGGGTGGGCGTGGCCAACTTTTTTTCCTTCTTTTTCTTTTAAAACCATTTTTTCTATAACCTCTTCGGACGATCCTAGCTGAGTTGCCTCAGCCGAAGAGGTTGTAGAAAAAATGCTTTTTAAAAGCCTCTGACAATCCCAGCTGAGCCGCGCGATCATCAGAGGCTTTTTTTTTACTTTTAAAAGCATTTTTTCAGCGGAAGGAAATGCTTTTTAAAAAAAAGCCTCTGATGAATGCGCGGCTCAGCTGGCCATGGGGGGGGGGCAGGGATTTTTGCTATCGGTTCTCCGAACCACTTGCCGCCATCACTACTGGATCGGGCGATCCGGTCTGAATCAGGATTTTACCCGTTACAGATGTTGTCTGCTCAACCATCATCTACTTCGGTGACAGAAAATGTTATTAGTGCAAGATGATTCCACTATGAGGTGCTTTTCAATTAAAAAATATGGTAATAAAAACAATGATATGGATTGGAAGACTAGGCAGTTGTATCCAACTGCATTTTTCTCTGGAATCAAATATGAATTTTATATGGATATCAGGGATTCCTTCAGGAAGGCATGAATTGGGTCTCCTCTGATAACTCCCCAAGTGCAGAGCCTACCTTTAGACACGTTGTACCCATAGGCTGCATAGGCTGCAGCTGAGGCAGCAGCTGCTCCTGCTTTAGCCCCCGCCATGGCAGCTGCACTTCCTGCAGTTGATTTTCGGCTCCGACTTTTTGTTGTGCTTTTGGATCCACTGTTTGTACCTTTGCCGACCACGACTTCTACCTGAATGACCTCTTCCTGTGACTGGCAAATCTTGTACTGAAATTCCTTAACAAAACAAAGAAAGAAAGAAAGAAAATGTAAACATCTAGCATTGTATCAGAACAGTGTTTAACAAGCATAATTAGATCTTCCTTTATGGATAAACAATGTATAATTTATTAAAGATATGTCATTTTCCAAACTTGCTTGTTTGCAGATATACCACGTTTTGTGACCCTCCACTCTCTATTTTCATTATGAATTGTTATTAAATTTATAAGGACAGTGAACAAATCTCTTGTTTGCCTGAGTTATCATTGTAATAAAATATTCCATAAATATTTGTATCAGTTCAGCAGCCATCCCACCTTTCCTTGAAGTTATGAGGATTTGTATTCAAAATTAATTAGTTTTGTGCATAAAAGCTTAGCTCACTCTGCTTAATAAATGTATTCCTTAAAAATCCAAAAATATTCCTTTCAAAAGAACAGGTTCAATAAAAATATTTTTACTAACTTATCTATACTAATGAAGTCTCAGCTTTATAAGTCCCCCCCCCCCTAAAAAAAACCTTAGGGTCATGTCATATGGCCCAATAAAGCTACTGACCCAGATGCCCAAGGTTTCAAAAAAGGGCAAATGCCATATTAGGAATCATTTGGAAAAGGACTGAAAATAAAATTACCAACACTCTCATGCTCTTATACAAATCTCCAAATCTATATGCACAGTTCTGGTTGTTTATTTGAAAAAGGAACTAATAGAAGTGGCTGGAGTACAGAAGAGGGGAACCAAGCATGATCCAAAGAATTGACATTCCTTCCTAGTGAGAAAAGACTACCATGGCTAAATACTTCAGCTTAGATGAAAAGTTGGCTGTGCATATGATTGAGGTGCATAAAATCATACACAGCATGAGAAACAGGATAGGAAGTAGTTTTTTTAAACTCCTCCCATCTAAAACATTAGATGTTCTTCAAGGAACAGCCCATATCTTCACTCATATATGCTCTGCTAGGACACTATTATTCTTCTCATTAGTGTATATGGCATTGACTTGCCGCCATCACTACTGGATCGGGCGATCCGGTCTGAATCAGGATTTTACCCGTTACAGATGTTGTCTGCTCAACCATCATCTACTTCGGTGACAGAAAATGTTATTAGTGCAAGATGATTCCACTATGAGGTGCTTTTCAATTAAAAAATATGGTAATAAAAACAATGATATGGATTGGAAGACTAGGCAGTTGTATCCAACTGCATTTTTCTCTGGAATCAAATATGAATTTTATATGGATATCAGGGATTCCTTCAGGAAGGCATGAATTGGGTCTCCTCTGATAACTCCCCAAGTGCAGAGCCTACCTTTAGACACGTTGTACCCATAGGCTGCATAGGCTGCAGCTGAGGCAGCAGCTGCTCCTGCTTTAGCCCCCGCCATGGCAGCTGCACTTCCTGCAGTTGATTTTCGGCTCCGACTTTTTGTTGTGCTTTTGGATCCACTGTTTGTACCTTTGGGCCGACCACGACTTCTACCTGAATGACCTCTTCCTGTGACTGGCAAATCTTGTACTGAAATTCCTTAACAAAACAAAGAAAGAAAGAAAGAAAATGTGTAAACATCTAGCATTGTATCAGAACAGTGTTTAACAAGCATAATTAGATCTTCCTTTATGGATAAACAATGTATAATTTATTAAAGATATGTCATTTTCCAAACTTGCTTGTTTGCAGATATACCACGTTTTGTGACCCTCCACTCTCTATTTTCATTATGAATTGTTATTAAATTTATAAGGACAGTGAACAAATCTCTTGTTTGCCTGAGTTATCATTGTAATAAAATATTCCATAAATATTTTGTATCAGTTCAGCAGCCATCCCACCTTTCCTTGAAGTTATGAGGATTTGTATTCAAAATTAATTAGTTTTGTGCATAAAAGCTTAGCTCACTCTGCTTAATAAATGTATTCCTTAAAAATCCAAAAATATTCCTTTCAAAAGAACAGGTTCAATAAAAATATTTTTACTAACTTATCTATACTAATGAAGTCTCAGCTTTATAAGTCCCCCCCCCCCCCCTAAAAAAAACCTTAGGGTCATGTCATATGGCCCAATAAAGCTACTGACCCAGATGCCCAAGGTTTCAAAAAAGGGCAAATGCCATATTAGGAATCATTTGGAAAAGGACTGAAAATAAAATTACCAACACTCTCATGCTCTTATACAAATCTCCAAATCTATATGCACAGTTCTGGTTGTTTATTTGAAAAAGGAACTAATAGAAGTGGCTGGAGTACAGAAGAGGGGAACCAAGCATGATCCAAAGAATTGACATTCCTTCCTAGTGAGAAAAGACTACCATGGCTAAATACTTCAGCTTAGATGAAAAGTTGGCTGTGCATATGATTGAGGTGCATAAAATCATACACAGCATGAGAAACAGGATAGGAAGTAGTTTTTTTAAACTCCTCCCATCTAAAACATTAGATGTTCTTCAAGGAACAGCCCATATCTTCACTCATATATGCTCTGCTAGGACACTATTATTCTTCTCATTAGTGTATATGGCATTGAGGTTGAAGAAAAAGTGATCTGGCAGAAGGCATTAATAATGTCCTTGCCAAGTTGAGGAATTAATCCAATCACAGCTCCCACTTGTAATGTGGGAGATGCTTGTATCAACTTCTGAATTTAACTTAAAAGTAAACATCTCAAGCATATAGAGAATTGGTTAGGACATACCATTTTACTGACCTAACATATCTGAATAGGACATTCTTTTCTGGATTGCCTCTTGTCTAATGTTTTGTAAATCTCATAGTATTATGCAATCTATAGAATTCCCAGCATGTATTCCTAGCCCAAGATTACAGATAAAAACTAACCATTCATGTTGTCAGAGACAGAGCCAGTGACGGAAGCTGGGGAGTTGGTAGCTCTTGACTGAGGTGCAGAAGATGCTGGATCATCTACAATCACAAGCATGTCATTGCTGCTCTCATCAGGGGGGATGGAACCCATGTGCAACTCACTGTTGATGGAAATCTAAATCATACACAAACAAAATCATGTATGTTAGTTTAAATTACACCACTAAATGAAACGTGCTTTTTGACAACACATGACTCAAAAGTTTCTTGCTACAACTGGCAATACCTCTGTGCCAAACACAACCCTCTGAGAACCAATGTTTTAGCCTCGTTTACCTACTTTCAAAGAACACAGATTAGCTATTTTTGTAAGTTAATTCTGGATGCTCTGTCTTTGAAACTCACTATATTTGACATGGGCAGCTTTATAAATGAGAAAAATAAGCAAATTCACTTCTGGAATTCCTCAGATTCTGCTTAATGTCAGGTATGCTTCCTTCAAAGTCCAAGAAAGAATGGCCATTGTTTATAGAAGCAGGTACTTTTACTGGAAAATGAAATGATTGCAACCAAGGAAAAGCAGAATCTGAGGCAAGAGCGCGAAAATTACAGATAGAAAGCATCCCCTCCCACTGTCCAATGTAAATCATCCAATCCAAAGGTCTCCCAGGGGTCAGGTGAAAGCACATGTCTGGCGGTGTCATCAATCAGGAATGCCATGGCCATTGACCCGATAGCAGCTTCAAAGATGCAGCACTATATCTTAGGATTCACTTTCGTTTCTCTCTCCAGCATGCTTATAACTCAATGCTAGCTCCCCCCTCCCCCGTTACCATGGCAGCCAAAGCAGGAAAAAGCGGAGACTGACATAAGCCATAGCAACAGCGTTTAAATTTATATACTGCTTCATATTGCTTTACAGCCTCCTCTAGGTGGTTTAGAGACTCAGGATATTGCCTCCAACAATCTGGGTCCTCATTTACCGACCTTGGAAGGATGGAAGGCTGAATCAACCTAGAGCTGATCAGGATCGAACTCCAGGCTGTGGGCAAAAGTTAGTCTGCAATAATGCATTCTAACCACTGCACAACCACAGCTATGATAGTGCTTTCACAATGATTCTCATGGGATGAGGGGGCTCACCATAGTGATTTATGTAAATCACACAATAGGCATTCATCAGAAGACAAGCTAGTAGGGGCTTGCTTCCCATCACCTCTTCTATTACTCTCGTTTACCTTTGCTTTTGTTTATTTTCTCTTTGTTCCTAAACCAGTCGTATAAATGTTTATGTCAAATATGTGTATTTTCTAATACATTTATAAATTTATTTATTTATTAATAAATTATAATAACTTTATTTATAAAATGGCCAAGTTGTTTCCTAAAGAGATCCTTACCTCACTGAAAGGGCTGGGCATGGCAGACTCCACACTAACAAAAGACTCATCACCATCAGCTGAAAGATTTGAATTATCTGCAGATGGAACAAACGGGACCACAAGATTGATGCCTTCTTTCCTTTTTCTCCCATCTAACTCATCTTCCTTCTTTTTCTGCAATTAAATTATAAAAAGAAATTATGAGGCTTGGAAATATACCAAAGCCTTAGAAATTAAGCTAACAATATGCCAGTTCACCAACACAATACAAAGTAATAGGATAAAAACAATATTGCCTGGTCTGTAACTTCTATATTAATTTAGGACTCCTGGCAGATCAGACCAAATAATCCACCATGTCCCACATCCCATGCTGGGATGACGTACTACTAGAAAACTAACCAATAGTCCATGAAAAAACAGACCTCAAACTTTATTCCTAGCAACCATCCTTCTAGGGATATAACCTCTAAGTGTGAAAAAAGATGTACCATGATTATTGGCAGATAGTCCTCACTTAAATACCATTTGTTCAGCGACTGTTCAATGTTAAAAATAGTGCTGAACAAATGGTATTTATGCCTGGTCCTCAAGGTTACGGCTGTTGCAGCACGCCCTGAGTCAAAGGAAAGCGAGCATGGAAGAGCAGGAGAAGCATGAGGTCCTGGCCTAACAACTACAACTGGAACTATCAAAATTGCCATTGCTAAGTGGCACAGCCACATTATTTTTCACCTAAGGATCACATCGCTTAGTGATGGAAACTCTGATCCCAATTAAAACTGTTAAGCAAAGATTTTGCCAGTCCCATATTTCATTATATGATGATATAATTTACTATTACAATTAAATCACATTATCTAACAACATTTTTATTAAAATATTTGCATAAAAATAGCTACACTTTTATAACAAGATACTTTATTTGCCAATGTAAAAATCTTTAAGTTAACTATAAAGTTGGGGCAAGCTTTAAGAAAAATTCCATTCAAACAGCAAAATTGATCTCACTGAAAATTCTTCCCTCACTCTCTCCTGCTGTCTTTAGATTGCAGCGTTACTCAAATTATAATGACCAGACTCTCACCCCTTTCTATGAAGTTTACAAATCTTGAGGTTTGAGTGCATGTGTAATACATGACAGACAATGTTTTAAAAACTATTGGTGATTTCCATCCTTTGGTGATTTTACATCAAAATATATTCCGGCTGAGTTACTGGCTATTAAGCACAAGCAAAAAATGAGCCTGAATGGAACAGACAATATAAGCTTCTGAAGACAAAACTAACATTTAATGGTATAAATATAAGCAATGGAGAAGGACTATTCAAAATACCTTTTCAGCATACTTTTCCCTTTTACGTTTACGCTCTTTGACGCGATTTGTTTCTTCCTGTTGCCGTTTCTCCTCCTGACGTTGACGCACTGTGTTAAGAAATGCAGAAAAAGATCATGAACAACACAGATGCAAATATAATTGTAAAATATTAGAACACAGTTTAATGTTTACAAAGCAGGGCTGTATTAGTTCTGCAATTATTTATCCTAGTCCTTTAACTACATCCTTTTCAAATATAGATCATCCCTGCCTCCAAGAAAATAATGTTTTAATTAGCCGTTATAAGATGTAAACTGCCTCTCATATAAACATTTACCAACATGCAAATGATAGGATGGAGTTACAGTGTCAGTCTTTTTCTTGCTACTGTATTCTTGGTTTCATTCTAAATGAAAAACTTTTCTCTATTTTTAAATGTTCTGAAGGAGAAAAATGCCAATTTTCATTTAAGAATCATTCCGGCTGTATTACATTGTTAAGTTTCAGCTAGATAATGAGCAACAGCAGCAAATGTCCTTCTTCTGTATTTGAAATGTATGAAGTTTAGACAGTCGGGGGTGGGGTGAATCTCACATTTTGTTTCAGAATATTCAGTGCTTGAATGCATATTGTGATCAAATGCCAAAATAAGATTTAATTCTGCAGCAAATTGAAGTAAAATTAATCCACCTCAAATTCTAGTACTTGTTCAAAATACCAAGAAAAATAGCAACATTGTCACACAAATGTGTTAGATAGGAAAGAGGATTTAGCATACATTTTTTTTCAAGTTCCTCATCATCCAGAAGTAGACTAACAACTTCCTTTGGTTTCAAGGTGTCTGGTTTGAAATTGCCACCTGAAATCACCATCCTTTGAATCTAAAAACAAAACAAAACCCCAGGGTATTAATATTGGAGACAGCATTTGAATTTTAAGGCAGTATTTAGAGACCACAACATAACAAAGCACCTTTCAAAATGTATTGTAGACTAGACTGGGTATTTGTGAACACAGATTCTTCTTTGGGCCAGTCATTTTCTCTTAACCCAACCCACCTCACAAGGTTGTTGTTGTTGTGGGGAAAATAGGAAAAAGGAGGAGGGTTGGATATGTTCACCACCTTGAGTTATTTGTAAAAATTATAAAAGCAGGATACAAACAAACAAATAAATTTGAAATAAATATTATTACTATTATGATTATCAATATGTTGAAACTTTAAAAAACCTTTTCTGTACTAAAATCAACTGCAGCTTATGTGATCCAAACCAGTCTAGCACATATTCGAATATGCATATAAACATCTATGACTAAATTCAGGTTCAAATAAAAATAAAAGGAGGCAGAGCATTGAGAAGTCAGTAACAATTGTGAGACCATTGTGACAAACCCTATAAACAAGAAGAAACAAAATATTCCGATAGTTGGTAAGATCTCCTTCTCATTACTAGAATAAATAGAGTCTGTAATTTCATTCTAGTCTTATGAAGAATCCCACTTTAAAGGAAAACAGGTGTATAACACAAAACAATGGGACATTGATGTTCTGAACAACCTATTCATCATATACATTGGATTGTAGCTATCACCATTTCCCATCAGCACATCCATTGGTTGTTCTGGCTGAAGGAAACAGAGGCTGTAGTTCAAAAGCATCAGACTGAGGTAAATCTGGAATAGTCTGAAGGGTACAATGCAACCACCTTGCTAAAATCAAACATGTTTCAAATTGATCAGTGTCAAAATTAGAATTCAATCTTAGAACGTTACATATGTATATCAACTCAACTTTTCTAACAGATTATATATATTAATAAATATAAGTAATAGAGAAAAAATTGGTCATTATTGGAGAACACACCTTGTGTTTCTCTGATTCTGGACCTGCCTTTTTGTTACTTTACATATATATGCAAATATTACATAAATGCAAAATGACAGAGCTGTTTTTGCAGATGTATAATACATATTGTTTAAGACCTAAATAGCTTATGCAAGAGAACTAGTATGGTGTAGTTAAGAGTCAGAAACTGTGTAAGTACTAATTCTGCCTTAGGTACTAAACCAGCTGGGTAACTGCGTCAGTCACTTTCTCAGACCTAGGAAGAAGGTAGTGTCAAAACTCTCGCCAAGAAAGCTGCATGGATTTGTCCAGGCAATTGCCATGTTCATTATACAAAGCACCCATTTTGCTTCTCTTTCTTGTTTAGTCACAGCAGATCTTGTTAGATCAGTGTTGTTATAAATCTCATAGTACTGGCCATCTTATTCAGTGACTCACTCACTTAGGGTAACAGAGAGTTATCCTGCTTGTGCCACACGGCTTCTGCTGGCATCTACACTCTGCACAATTCTCTATAGAAAGGCCTCTTGGTAACGCCACTGGATACCCATATCAACCACAGATCGCTTGCTGCAATCTCCAATGAAAGGCTTGCTGGATAATACTGCCTCACACTTGCTGCTTGGAATCTATAGGTAATGTTAGCTTTAACAGCATAAATGAGAGGCTCCTTCACCAAGACTGTGAAAGAGTTATATATACCAGATGCAACATGAGCTGGTAACAAACTAGGATGACTCCCTTTATCACCAGCTGAGCAAGTCACTCTGTAAAAGCGAAGCTGCCATGAAAAAGCCATGAAGAGCCTAGGAAACCTAATAAAATCTACAACTGAGCAAGGCGAAGGAGTAGATATACCCAGGGGCAATTGACCATTATGGGAAGAACAGCTTGTGGAAAGAAGAAAATGGCCACATGGTCCTGAGCCTAAGATCTTGTAATTTGCAGTTATCTGCTACTTTATAGAGCTACTAGTAGAGCAACGGCTCTACTAACTCTAATGATAACCAAATAAAAGCCACAAAATTTTGTCAAATAATAGATTTCTACACAGCAGTTTTTGTAGTCAGAACTTTTAAATAAATGAATATACTTTTCTTCATACTGTGATTTTCCATCAGACATAAGTTCCTCTCACCAGAAACAAATGGCTTCCATCTCAATAGCAACAATTCCACTTCCCAGCTATCTCATATATAATTAATATTCTGGTCTCTTACCTCACTTTTTTCTTTAGCCCTTTGCAAGATGCGCTCCTCAATAGTGCCTTTACAAATCAGTCGATACACAGTGACTTGTTTTGTCTGACCCAACCTGTGAGCTCGATCCATAGCCTGTTGATCCACTGTTGGATTCCAGTCACTATCGTAGAAAATGACCTGTCAGGACATTTTTTAAACAAGTTACATATACAATAATTGTGAAATTGTTCACAAGGATACTAGCCTATTTAGTGAGTTTTCAGGATGAAACTTCATTATTTTAAAGTAAATACATGGAAAATGCAAATTGCTGTACATCTTTTATTTCTTCTGCTATGACACATTTATCACTTCAGAAAAAATCAAGGTAGATCTGCGATTGTTGTCAGTAAAGAATTTCTATCAGTTCAAAAACATGGAGAATGGAAGAAAAAGAAGAGCATATGGCTATGTGATCTTTGGTGATCACTTACTGGAGTGAAAGATCACCAGAACATTACTTATCTCTTCACCTTGAAGAAAGTGAAGTTAGTTGGAGCAGTACAAATAAACAGAAGAAAGGGAGTTATTATAGCTGATTTTTAGATATTAATCATTTTGTTATTATATTGATTCTTCAGGTTCTGGGAGAAAATGTTGAAAAGTTGTTCCTGCTTGTTCATCACAAGCAAAAAAAATATATCTTACTTTGCTGTAATGTAACTTGTAATAATATAATAGAAATGCTGGAGAAAGAAGTGTTACTACTGAGAACTGGGTAAACTGAATGCATAGACATCCTCTGTGTGGCAGTGCTTTTATTATTAAAATTCCCATTTTTGGTGTTGGTGTAATTTGATACTATAATTCACATAAAATTATAGTAGAAATAATATGCTACTACACTAATGAGATGAATTCCAGCTCTTATCTGGAAAAAATCTAGGTCTGCACCCTTAATTATTGGGATTTCCTACTTTAATGTCAACTGAGTGCAATTATAGAAAATTATCAAACCAATCTGTTTACTTACTGTATCAGCAGCTGTAAGATTAATGCCTAAACCACCAGCTCTCGTGCTTAGTAAGAAAACAAAAATATCATTCCTATAGAAATGGAAAAGAAACAGAGCTGTAATAATCACTTTACTGCACAAGCATTACATCATGACAGTCAGGAATCAAAATATTACATATATTCTTCTAATAAAACAGTGTAGGCTAGAGTTCTACATATATATAAAAGGAAGTGAGCTCCACATCAATGTGTAAAACAAAGGTGGGTAATGATCAATTTTAAGGACAAGTGATTCCTAGATCCATTTCTGTGGCTCTTAAGAGGTCCCATATTTTAAAATCACGCTGGAGCAAAATGAGTGTTTTCAACAGTACAAATTTTTTAACTTTTGAAAAACCAATTAGGAATGAAAACACCCAACAGAGTGAATGCATTTATTCTGAGTAAACATTCTCTCCCATCTCAAGTAACAGTTTAAAATAACAGGTTTAACTCCTCCTGTGATTTTCTGTCCAATTTTACATTAGATTGAAAGCACATCCTAATACAATAACTATTGTAGTTTTCTTTCTTTCATTAATTGCTTTCTAACTTGAATTCCCATTATGAAACATCATTTTGGGGGTGGGGCTTTTAACTTTAACTTATTGCTGAGCACATTGTAAGCCGCCCTGAGTCTCCAGAGAAGGGCAGCATATAAATCAAATTTAAAAAAAAACAAAAACTGTTGCAGGCAGCATAGTGACATTGCTGTGATATCAACAGAGTAGCCAGTCTGAAATGTTGGCTCCTATGTTTCCACATTATTTGTGGTTCTGGTGGAAAATTCAAGACACAAAATATTGTAGATATGCTAAGCCAGAGCAAAACACATTTATTTTTCTTATTTTAACAGTAACAAAAATGGGGCGGGGGAAATGTACTACCCAAATGAATTGTCGTCATTTTTTTGTGGCAAGCTCAAAACAACAATCTCGAATCTTGAAAGGGGGCATTTCAAATTTACAGTAGCACTAAGTTCAAATGTTCCTCATGCCACTATTATAGTGGTTATGCAACTATCCTCACTGGATTGCTCTGTGGATCTTGGCTGCATGACATTTTTAAAAAAGAGTTATAGTTCTGCAAATCATATATTTGATAATATACTGACATTCCTCTCTTCCTTCTCAGAGGCTCTCAATAGTTACAATATTCATGTTTGCTGTTAGAATGATTGATAATATAATAAAAGTGGGAAATCAGAGAAGCCCTTTATATGTTAATGAAATAGAACAATGAGCTTTGGCCCATTCAGCAAAATAAAAAAGTCTCAACACAAGGATTTTATATAGTGGGTGGAAGCTTCTTCCTTGGGAGTTAGGTAAGCACCTGTCAACATAACATTACTATATTTAAATAGGAGGAGGGGAAACATACCTGTTCTGAAAGTCAGCTACCATATCTCTTCTTTCTGAAATTTTCGAGGAGCCATCTAACCGCATGTATGTATGCTTCCTATAAACCATATATTCCTAAACAACAACAAAACAAGAAGCTCCAGTCCATTTGCAATTTGTAGCATTTAGAGCCGTTCCTAGAGAACGGAGTTGCATGAAATATGAGTATCTGTGCTGAAGTAACACTTATTTTAAAAATGTGCAAAATGAAACCTGACTGCCAAGAACACAGTAGTTTTTATTTTGTATTTTATCTATGTTAAATTAAATCATAGAAGATGAACATGTTCTATTGATTTAAAAAATCCTTCAATGATAAAACTTATATTAATAGCGTTTAGGGTAAATTTAAAAACATTTTTTAAGGTCAAGGTTATGAAATGTTAATATTTTTTAAATTACCTACACCAAAACCAGAAACCCAAAATAAAAACAAATTCTTATTTAAAATCAAAACCACAAAATTGCGCTGAAAATAATTTTTTACTTATAAAAGTATATTTGTTTTAAAATTATCCATTTTAATACTTAACTTTGCCTACAAATAAAACAGAATACTGGATAATATACAGGATTTCACTGACACAGCCAACCCAAATTTCTGCCAATTGAAGCTGCTTTTTAACACACCAGGTACTCTTGGTGTGCTCTTTTCCTAACACTCAAATAAAAACTAGCCATCTTCTTGTAAAGGTGAAGGTATGCCTATACAAGATTTGGTTACTGGAGGACCCGAGATACTGGCTAAGTAATTATTTCAGACCTCTGCACATCACCAGCAAATATAAGTTTATAAAACTTATAGGGCTGCCTGATTACATAAAGACTCTGGACAACATACAACATTAAAAACAGAAAGAACCAATATAACAAATTAAAGAATTAAGGGGCTCCAGAACAAGGGGAAAAAACATTCAAATTTATATGTAGAATCAGATAAGCAGCTCACCATATACCCTACACCACAATCTGGTGGAAAAACCATATTTTAATTTTAAGTAGAATTGGGGCGGAGGCCAGATGGACCTCCAGGGGAATATTATTTAGAAGGTAGACACTGCATGACAATGTTTAATTTTACAGATTCCAAAAGTTTTCAGAAAATATGTTAAGCTTTCTCTGAGGAAAAGATGTATACCAGGGAATTTATCTTAAATGAGCTGAATATGGGCATGGAGTAAAGAGAAGGGATGAGGCTAATAAAGGCTTAATGTAGTATCTTGGCTCATCAGCAATATCTGGACCAATAAACACTTAGACTATTGAACTATTTTTAAAAAAACAAGCTAAGTATTCAGGATATTAACAACAAAACAATAATTACGCTGCTTCAAGAACTTTTGTCAAAATAGTAGAAAAAAGAGATACCGATAAAATATTAATAGAATATTTCTATTAAAATCACTTGAACATCTTTTCACTAAGCCTGTTAAGTGGAAGTGGTCACTGTGACATCAGAAACACTAATTTTGTAAAATAATGAAATCCATCTTAAATGGGGAAAAATTGTTTATTGAGGCAACTAAAACACTGAGTCATCCTCTTATCCACTGGGAATGACAAAGACAATAAAAATCTGTACACTACCCAAATATTCAACTCAAAGATAAATACCTGAATGTTCATCAAAGCAATTCATTTAGAACATAATCCATTGGCTCTTTAATAAAAAGAAAACAGCCAGGATTGAATATATGAAACATAGTTACGGTTACAGGTCAATTTACGACTATAATTGAGCCCAAAATTTCTGTTGCTAAGTGAGGCAGTTGTTAAATGAATTTTGCCTCATTTTGTAACCTTTGTCGCTACTATTGTTAAGTGAATCACTGTAGGAGTGAAGTTAGTAACATAGTTGTTAAGTGAAACTGTCTTCCTCATTGTCAGGAGATTACAAAAGGTGATCACATGACCCTGAGACATTGCAACCGTCATAAATGAGTCAGTTGCCAAATGTCGAAGTTTGATCGCATGACCACAGGAGGGCTGCAACAGTTTATAAGTGTGAAAAACGGTGATAAGTCACTTTTTAAGTTGTAACTTTTAACAGTCACTAAATGAATGGTTGTAACTTGAGGACCACCTACCTATACTATTAATCCCACTGTAATAGCTACTGGTACTAATTCTGTCCCAGCAATAAAATAACTCTACTCATAAATCACTATTCTTTTCCTGAGCCATGGAGTCTAACGTTCCCACTGGAAAGTTGATATTCCTACCTCCAATAAGTCAATCATCCGTGTCATCTGAGAGTAGATAAGGACTCTGTGTCCTTGAGATTTTAGCCTTGTCAATAGAACATCAAGAGCATAAAGCTTTCCACTGTCTGTGATCAAGCTCTCTTTGTCTAAAGGAAGAAGGAAAATATAACATGATTTTTGTCTTGTTACATATAATTCAATTAGGTTTACTAATATCATGTCTTAAATCTGGAGGCAGCCTTCAACGAGTGAAAAACCTACTATCTGGGGAAGGCTTTATCCTTTTGACCCTATTTTATCTGCTTCCAGTAAAAAATGACTTCTGTGTGTAATTTTTCAGTGTAAAAATATACATTATAAATCAAAGACCTTTTGTTTTCTGTACAATACTTGTAATAGTTAACAATCCATCTGCCTTATGACACAAATTTGTATTATTAAGTAACGACTCAGTCTGTCTTCAGTTCATTCAAAGGAAGAAGAATTTTAGCTGCGTTTAATTAAACTTGATTTTGAAATTAGGGAGAATTTAGGCTGTTATTCTTTGTGCAAAAAACACCATTAAGAATAATGTAAAAATAGATAGTCAAAAATGCTAAAACTTGGCTTCCAGCAGTTGCCTTCCTCTCATAGTGGTCCGCAGGGCACAATGGGGTCAATGAGGAACTAGCTAGCTCTCATAGTAAACAGCCAGTGAAGTTGGTGCTTTTTATCGATGCAAAAAGGACTCAGACACTTCCTGCCATTTAATCTAAGACCATTTTTCTTTCAAAGAACAGGAAAAGCTTTAAGAGATTCCCACAGTGATCGTAATAGGGAACAGTGATTGAGAGAGAAGGGCAGAGTTAACTGCAACAACAGCTGTTTTGCTGCTCATTTGGATAATCCCTACAACTTTGCAGCTTGAGTTAAAAATCTAAACTGAATTACTCTTTAATTCAATTTCAACACTAAGCATAATCCCAAAGATACCTGAATTTAATTCTGTGCTATTTCTTTCTTAATAGTTCTTTACAATTCTCAATAAACGTCCATAACTTATCTTAGTATCAACTTGTTCTAGCTTAGTATTCTTGCTGTTTGTTTTCTTTACTGTGCAGTTTTACTATTTTAGTTTTGTACTACAACTATGTTTTGAAACATAATGAAAAAATATGACTGGAGAATTTTTATTAAAAGTTTGTGTTTTACTCAATGAAACAGAAATAAGACCTCCCACTGTACACTATTTAGTGTTGTGTAGTGTACTAATGCCTTTTAACAGAATTTGTTAGATGGAAAAGGTGCTACCAAGTGCCTGATATTTTGCCTCAGTTAAAAAAAATACCATCCAAAACGTGCCAGCAATAAACTGGAGATAATACTGTGCACCATTTTTAAATTTTTCTTTTTTGATTTTAAGATACATTTATTCCATTTTTATTTTTACACCTATGATCATTATTCAAACCCACTTATTCCCAATGCTAAAAGTTCACCTTAATCAGCTATCATATATTTATTGGTCTGAACTGATTAAAATGCTGCAGGAGTAATTTGACACTACAAAAACATAACATAAATTTATTAACATATCAAACTTTGATTTACTAACAGTGGTATGTAAGTGAATGTGCATCAAGTAATATCTCTTTTCAAATTCATTCTATACTTGCTCAAGACAATGTTTATTCTATACACAGCTTTCAGTAGACTTTAACATGGAAGGACAGAGTACAAATGGCAAAATAAATAAAATGGAATGTAATGAGCTGCAGGCAGCTTTACTATTCATCTGCACATACTGATATATGTGTATGTTAGAAACAAAGTACACTTTTGTTTGTTCTACAGATTTATCTGCCAAAGATGAAGAAAATACTCTATACCAAAATCCTTATTAACCACAATTAAAAAAATAAAATAAAATGGCAGGGGCAATTCATCAAGAGCAAAGCTAGAAAACAGGATAAACTGGAGCACAGGAGAGTGAAAAAAAGTTTCATAATTTCATAATTCCTAGTCCCAGCCTGGACTGAGAGGGTTTTTAGAGTTTGGGGGTTTTAATATAACTTATATATGTACATTATGTATTTTATAATTTTAACTGATTGTTTTATTGTTGTGAGCCGCCCTGAGTCGTCGGAGATAAGGCGGCATATAAATTTAATAAATAAATAAATAAATAAATAAAGGTAATGTCAGAAGAGAATAACCTGTTATTTTCATATTTTCCCTAACCTTATAAAAAGCCTCTCCCTAAAAAACATAATTAATTTCCTAACTCAGTTATTGTTATGGTATAGGCCAGTGATGGCTAATCTTTTCCAGACCAAGTGCCCAAAGTGCGCGCACCCAAACCCCCTAAATGCAATGGACCCCCTCACACGCGCCCCCCTTGCATATGCGCACCAGAGACCCAATGATCAACTGGCCGGTGGGGGGAGCGCACGCGCACATGCGTGGCAGAACTGAACTGGGGCGATGGCTCGCGTGCCCAGAGAGGGCGCTGTGGCACACATGCCATAGGTTCGCCATCACGAATATAGGCAATAGTTTCTTTTCTTAGCTTTAATAGTATATACTGAATTACAAAACTGCAAACCACCTGGTATCCTGACGAAAGACCAGCCGTTTGGAGGTTTGAGCCCCAATAGTCCTCCTGGGGCTTCAGGAAACAACTGAGAGCATCGTTTTAGCCAGCTGGTTACAAGTTCAGGCGCTCCATAAAACACACATTGTTTTGCTTCAAGAGTTCCTCCTTCTTTAAGTGCTTTACGCTCATACTCTGCACTGCGATCATTGCAATAGAAATCCAATGGAACAGCTGTTACCTGTGAATCAAAAGGCTAAAGTTATTCTAGATTTTATAAAAAAAATTATCTAAGACTGGTCCTTAGAAACAGAATGCAGAAGCAAAGTAGTTATGAGATAATTGAATGGTCTCTAGATCTTTCAAGATGATTAATTCAAGTGAGAGCTCAAGCAGGAGATATTACAAAATACTAAGGCTTAATAAAGGTATTTTTTTTAATGGAATTCTTTCTTATTTGATGCTTATGAGATTTCAGCATCTAATTAAGCGAATAGAATCCAAGACTGTATATTTCTTGCTCATAGGTCTTACATTAAAAATTACAGAACAAAGAAAAGAGTTTGATGAGCAACATGTTAAAGAGCAAACTAATAGCATAAAATGAGATCTAATAAAAAGAGAAGAAAATTATTTTGAACATAAAAGATGTTAGTGATGGAAATACAGAGTAAAATCACATAAAGCCTGAGAGGAAGAAAGGTTTCAAGAATGACATATATCAATACATCGTTTCCTGAGGAATATCTTGTTATTCAACAAAGATTACTTCAATGATTTAGGATCCTGAATTGCACTGGTCAGTTCTCAGTAGGGCCATAGTTTTAATAAGATACTAATTCAGCTTACAAAAACACTTTACATAACTATGATCTGAGCCGAGTATGAAACAGTCAATAAACAGCAAGAAATCTTTGTCTTGGCAGCAATGAACTTTCTAAAGCCTGACAATCTTATGAATACAAAACCTTTGTAAATAAATATTTTGTAGCAGCAACACTGCTGTTATTATTATTTATTTATTGCCAAGTGATCATACCCTATTATGGAATCTTTGGGAAGTACTGATTTATCTCCCGTAACTTTGCAAATACTGTTTTAATTGACCTGTTTGGCTCTTACCCTCATCTTCCAAGGGCACCGAAAATCTGGCTATTCTCCCAGATCCCAAGGTAGGGTGGTTACAATTTTTATGCCATTTCATTTGGGGGGACAGGGAATCATTTGTGTCCCTATTTTATTGTTTTGACTAATTATGTAAAGCACCCAAAATCATACAGAATCAGTCGTTCTTTAAAACTCTGTAATAAATAAGTTGGAACAGAAGTTTATCTTCTTGTACTTACAACTTTCTTCGCTGACAACTTCAGTGTAAATTATTTAGCTAAAGTAAATGTATTGCCAACACAGGAATCTAACTTTATATCAAGCTAACCATCTTGGACCATCTCCATCATTTTAATCTTTGGCTAACATTCTGCTTCATCCAGATAGCAGCAAACAGCGAACTCTCCAAGTGGCTGAATAGTCTCCAGATAAGGAATATGTTCCAACAGACAAGATTGCTTTTATTTAAAACACACACACACGCACACACACACACCTCTTATCTCTCTTTAACAGGCTAAACAGCAAGTCTGTGATATCATCCTGTACAACATGTTATTGTTCCCAAACACATATATTTTCAAAGCTGAAGGCCAAAACAACAACAAGATGGACATAAGATACAATGACAATGATAAAGAGAGTAGTGGAAGTTGCAATCAGGACTTAGAATCTATATTTATATATTAGCCAAGCAAAAGCAGAGTATGTTTCTTATATAAAACTCTGTTATTAATCAAAAGTTTATTAACAAAGCAGTCTCTTATTTATATGTCAGAACAGGGACATAAATACTCTATTTTAGAATGCTATTCTTTAAATTATTTAATTTTATATACAACAAAATAAAGGACACTTATGACCAAAATTAAAAGAATTTATCACATATCATTCAGTTATTTGGATAAGAAGCAGAATTTCCATACCTTCTTATAAACTCACTAAAACATATTATGAAGGGAGATAGAAGAGGCAAGAATTTATTGAAAATTAAAATAATTTTTAATTTTTTCTTCTCCTATTCCAAAAAATCTATGGCAGAGGAAATCAAAACAGAATGCAGGAGAGGGGTTCTACATGAGGGTTTCTGATTGAAAAAGTGATCCTGTCCATTAACAGAATAAATTCTTAGAGGTGTTCTAGTCCAACCCTCTGCTCAAGCAGGAAACAGTGATGGCGAACCTTTTCGGCACTGAGTGCCCAAACCGGAATGTACATGCATGTTTGTGCATGTGCATGCGCCAGAACACCGGAAACCCGAAGACCAGCTGGCTAGTGTGCGCATGCATGTTTTTGGCGGGTTTTAGGCCATTTTTTGGGGTTGTTTTCTGGCGCTCTGGCGCCCACAAAGACCAGCTGGTCGGCAGCACCAGAAACCAAAAGAGCAGCTGGGGACAGCACGCGTGCCTAGAGAGGGCTCTGTGTGCCACCTCTGGCACGCATGCCATAGGTTCGCCATCTCAGCCCTATAACATTTCAGACAAATAGTTATCCAATTTCTTTTTAAAACATTGAAAAAACTATTTACAACCATTACTGAAATTCATTCTACTAACAAATATTTGTTTGTTTATTAGATTTCTATTGCTACCTTTCTTAAACAACTCTGGGTGGCTCATGACATCAATATAATCAGGAAATATAAAACATAAAACAATTAAATGATAAAACGCTAAAACAAAAAACCTGTGTCTTAATCATCCCCTTAGGATGCTCTGGAGCTACCTCCAATTATCCTTATTCCATTTTTTCCTGTCCTATCCCAATGTCTCAGTAAAAAGCCAGGTCTTCTGAAAGGCTAAATCTGTGGGATCTGCCAAATGATGTGGAGGGGGGCTGTTCCACAGGGTGGGGCAACCAGGGAAAAGGCATACTCCCAAGGTCCCACTAGCTAGCAGAATTTCAGGGAAGGGATCTGGAGCATGCCTACCCTGTCTTTACCTAGACACAATACGTTTAACTGCACTGCCAGGACAACATACTACAAGAAGAAATTTTCCTTATTTTCCTGAGAAAATACAATACCATATCTACCAATGAGGTAGAGTATATAAACACATTTTCATTAAAATTGAATATAAGCTCCAAATAACTGCTATTCTCTATCAATAGCTGTCATCTGCAAGGACAGTTAGCCACGATGATGCCAAAATAATATGTATGTCATGACATCATGCTGCACTCTTATATTTGCATTGTAACATTGATAACAAGCACATAAGGACAAATGTTGCATCACTACACTTCGATGTACTCTACATCTCTGGATACCAAGCAGTTTCTAATTAAAATATGTACTGTACCGCTGGGATGGGGCGGGGGTGGGGGTGGGGGGTAAAGAACACAAGAAGAGATTTCAACCAAATTAATCTCCCAAATACAGAAGTTCAAAAAAGGTCACAGAAGAGCTAGTTTCTGGTGAAATATGTCCTGGCTAAAATATGTATGCTATGCTTTATGTTCAGGACAGAAGTGATTTTCTTTTTTTCTATTTTTTTTGGGGGGGGGGTGGAATTCAAGGCAGTCATAACAGTTAAGGGGATGAGTGACATGGTGGTTTAGTAATGAAGACATTCGCCTCTAAACCGGAAGGTTCAGAGTTCACTCCAAGGTAGCGGCAGATGTTTCTCTCCTAAGGCACAAAAAATAAATAAAAAAGCTGCTAACTCCATATAGGCATCAGGAAAGGCACTTGGCCAATAAATGCTCAAATCCATCCAGTCATCTCGACTCTATCCAGAACAGGGAATACAGAGTTGTGAAAAGGAAGCAAAATAGTTAAGGGAGTATAATACTGGGAAGACCAAAGTGGTGGTAGGAAGGTTGGGTACGTCATGCCAACAGCATCTAACACATCTAACAATATCATGGCAGCAACAGCAGCTAAGGCAGGGTTGGGTAATTAATTTTCCCAAGGGGCCAGATGAGAAATTGGGATTGTGGTGGAGGGCCAAACCAATAGAACTGTGAAGGTGGATAGGCACGCATACACATACGTAAAATTTAAAAAAGTAGCAGTCGCCTTCAAAGTAAAAGCAATGCAGTTGTATTGTGTGCATGCCGAACGCTTATTTACATTTGGTTTCTAATTTCCTATTGACCTCACATGGACCAGAAAGAGACAGCCAAAGGACCGGATGTGGCCGGGGGGGGGACATAAAATGCTCTCTTCAATCTAAGGGAAAATAGAGAAAGGCACGTCTGGGAAGATCATATTGATTCTTTAAGCATAGCATATCCATCTCTCTGTATTTTGTTTTGGCCAAAGCTTGGAACCACCCAGATATTCTGGGTTTTTGTTCTGCTTAACTGTGATCTGCCTAGAATAGTTCAGTAGAGCTTTCAAGTTACAATATATTTGTTTTGAGCTTGAAACAAAACACCTTCTTCTTTGTGAATACTTCTACTCTTTCTTAATACTTTGATGAAATGATACATAAAATCAATGTAAATCAGTGATATTTGAGACTCAAAAATAATCTCAGTGGGACACAGATTAAATTACTGAGACTTCAAGTCTAATTTACAGTATACTTTAGTTATAGTTACAGAATTCTTATGTTTTTGGGGGAGAAAATGTTGGGATAAGTACTCCTATTTTGATGGGAACCCCAAGGTAGTTCAAATGCATATAATATTTGCATATGAACCCAGAATTAGTTCATGAGCCCTTAGTCATCTGAATTAATTTATAATTCAGATGACTAAGGGCTCATGAACTGATGAGTCTGAATGAGCTTTGTTTTAGATCTGGAATTTAAGCCCCATCTCCTAACAGAAAAATTGTTAGGAAGCAGAATTTTATTTATTTTTATCAGCAACTAATGTTTAAAGCAGCTAAGTATAACAAAAATAAATTTAAAAATATAACTTAAACCAACACAACACAATAAAGGAATAAATAATTATGGATCCATGATATTAATATTAAAGCTAATGATTACTGTCAAATTCCCAATTCTTTACAAATATATATTATACTACATATCTTATAGCTCCAAAAATAATTTTTTTTCTAATTTTGGAAAAATAAACATTTTAGTGTTTAGTGCAAACTACAGTGAACATATCTTACATATTAAGAAGTCAAAATCATCTATGGGTTTGATGCCCTTGTTTTAGTTTCCTGAATTTAGAAGCACAGATTAGTATTATGGATCACATTTTATTCAAGTTTCTCATTATGATGGCTTGAAAGCATTTTCTGAAGAATGTATAGATATTATGGAAATAAAAAATATCTTAAAGGAAAGTTTAATGAAAAGAATGCTGGAAAAAAATTACTTCTGACTTCAAATCCAGAAATGAAAAACTGCATAGCATCTGACAATACAATGCAATACTGCCATCTATAGCTAAGAAATTAGAACTTCAAACAGCTTTCACAAACTGCATTCAGACCACAATCAGAATAATATTTCAACATCAGTTTTTTCAATATATGTGAATGAACAGAGATTATATCTGAAACAGGAATGCTCAAATGTTTGCTCAAGACAGGATATAAAGAACAATAAATGATCACTCATCCAGTGACCATTCAAAATAACAACAGTGATGAATGAGTGATACCCATGACCAGTCCTCAAAGTTACAGCTGTCCCAGCACTCATGATTTGGGTGTTTGGCAACCCACTTGCACTTCTGATGGTTACAGCATCTTGTGGGCATGTGATAGGCATTTCAACCTTATTAAAAACATCAATGATGATTGATTGGTGATAATTAGACAGATAGACACAAGCCTTAAAAGGGATCCTTAATCTTATGGAAATTTGTGTGCACTATTTTCCTACTTTGCAGAAGTTTAAAACTTAAGATACTTAATATAAACTCTTATATTTATTTGCAGCTGTGCATAAAAACATGACCTTAGCCTTACAAATGCTAACTTTAAAGTTTGCTGCTGAAAAATGAGCAAATTATAACTGAGCTGAGTATTTCAACAAAAGTATCAAGGGTCTGTGAGTTTGTTGTGAAAAAGCTCAGCCAATTACAGAATGCCTTAAAAAAAAAAGAATGTCAATATAAGAATGACTGCAGTACCCTTAAAAAATTGCATAGTGACCTGTATATGGCCTGTCTGAATGGATATTCAGAGCAGGAAGAGGAACATAAAACGGCCAGCAAAATGATCAAAAGAATAAAGCAGCTGTCTTTTGAAGAACATTTATAAATTTATATTCTGAGATGAAAAGCGCTGAATGTAGACAATTTCTCACATAGAAATATTTCAAAATGGGTTCAAAAATGATTAACAAAGACTTACCCGTGGGCTCACAACGGACAGAAAGGACGGCAGCTCTGTGATTTGACAATACTGTTTCCATGAGGTAGCTGGCTGTTGATGAACAATGTAATCCGAGTGGCCGATTACTGCTTTACAGTGGCTTGTGAATACAAGGCCCTAAAAATGATAAAATTCAAAAAGGTTTCCAAAATTTGGACAATGTTTTACTACAGCAATTATGTTCTAAAAAATGCCAAAAATGAGCAATGTCCAAATATCTTCATTTCGAGTATGAAACTTTTATCTTGCTCTGACATTCTAAGGCCACTGGTCTCTGTTTATGTTTTTTTTATAGCAGATGAAGAGCTCCAAAAAATGGAGCAACATTACAATACAACACTCCTAAAAAAGAACCTGATAGGAAAAATATTAAGATTCTTTGATACAACATGCAGTTTTGATTGTTGCTCATAGGGAGTTGTGGTTCTTAATGTCATTCCATGTGCCTTGGCTCTTGTGCTCCATGCTGCTAGGGAGCATGACCCCTAGAGGGTGAATACTGAATATTGAAACAAGAGTTGTTTCACCACAAGTACTACTTAGATATACGCAGTCTGTGTAATGAATAAGATGGCAAACTAAACTATCTGCTACAGCTTTTCTTTCTTTATCATGCTGAAGTTAACTTGTGTAGATCAGATTATATAATTCTGAGATTTCTGGAATGTCTTTCAGTTTATGAGTAGGGAAAAATTTAAGACTGTTTGAGGATATTCACTTATTAGCAGGAATTCCTGACAGTTTGTTCAATTAAAAGTATTTCCCTTGCACAGAGATGAAGATGTTACATACCTGCAGCAAAGTGCAGCTGTGCAAGTTGAGTGGGGAGAGTGGGAAGCTGACATCCAGCACAAAATCCTGATTCTTCAGATACCGAGACTGACGCTGGTCTTCTTTTTCTGGCTCCTTCCAGAATCGAAAGTGGTGGAGCCTGTAGGCGGCTTTCAGAGACAGGAAAAGAGCTAACCATCTGAGGGGGGAAAGTATACATTCACACTTTTTGAACAGGAATGTAATAGTCGACTTACAGTCATTTGTAGAGTTGGTTAGAAATTAAAACGACACTGGAAAAAAAAGATTTTTGACCGGTTTTCACACTTACAACCATTGGAGCATCCCCATAATCAAGTGATCAAAAGTTGGACGCTTGGCAACTGGCATGTATTTATGCCAGTTGCACCGCGTCCCATGGTCATGTAATCCCCATTTGTAACCTTCTCAAATGGCTTCCAACAAGCAAAATCAATGCGGAAGCCAGATTCAGTGAACAACTGCCTGATTCACTTAAAAACTGCAGTGATTTGCTTAAACGTGGCAAGAAAGGCCACAAAATGGGGCAAAACCCACTTAACTGCCTTGCCTTGCAACAGATATTTGGGGCTTGAGGTATACAGTAGTTTGCAGTAGTTATTGTAGTTGTTAAGTCAAGTACTAAATATATGCAAAAAGGAGGGGATTGCTTAATGAACCATTATTTTTAAAACATGAATATGAGAGAACAGCTATTTTGGTATAATGTTTAGCCATTCAATCTGCCGTTCTTTAATTCTGAAGTCCAACTCCATACACATGAAATGTTATATGCAAGTATTATAAGTAAGAAAGGTGATTTTAAAACTAGCAAATAGTGAATGATCAATATTGTTTAGCGAACATATAGTTCTATAGAGAACAGTACATCTTTGATAACAAATAGACTTAGAATGGTTTAGCCTGATGCAAGCAAAAGCCTGGAAACTTAATTATTTAAAAAGAAACTCTACAGGACAGTTTCTTGTATGTGTAAATTATTCCTTTTTTGCCAAGATCTACAGGGACATTAGTGCACAATTGCTATAATTGGCCTACTTTCACACTATACACATATTTGTTCAATTTCAAGAATTGGTCATTCAAATATTGCTTATTGCATTGTATTACAATGCAATAACGCATTGCTTAACGCATTGTAAGCCGCCCTGAGTCTCCGGAGAAGGGCGGCATATAAATCAAATTAAAAAAAAAAATACAATTTTTTAAAGTATAGGACATGAGAGTTTAAGTGGTATCCAGGTATTTGTAATAAACATTGTTCATGCAATGGATATTTCTGCACCCCAAAATTGCAATATACTGTATTTATTCATAATTTTTAAAAATTTATTCTTACAATTACTTAAACTTAAACTAAATGTGCTATTAGTTCAAGATTTCTCACCTGGCTAGGTGTCCTTTATGCATAAGGTTTGCCAATTCTGCTGGAGAAACATCAATAAACCGTAGGAAAGAGAAACAACTCCCTTTCTCAGCACCTATAACATATAAGTAACAAGATTAAAATGAGCTCCTGCAAAGAACTGGTGCCACATTGACTTTATAAAAACTGACAAGTGGAAAACACAATTTGGGCTCGTATATGAACATCTGTATCTCTCCTTTGTTTTATATTTTTTATCTTTGATTATTAAAACAATCTATTGCTTAAAAGACAAAAAAGATCTTAAGAGGGAACATTAATCACAACTTTGTCCCAGTCAATTACAGGTAATCCTCGTTTAGGGGACTATTCGCAGTTAGGACAGTGATGAGAAAGTAATTTTGCAACCAATCCTTGCATTTAGGACATTCTCAGGTCTGTAAAGCAAAAGAATGATGAAGGAAAACTACAAGCCCAGTAGTGGTTTCACTTACATTACTGCTTCACTCAACAAGTTTCTGGTCCCAATTATGGAGGTTAAACAAAGAATATCTGTATTGCACCTTCTCTCTAGAGCAGATCACATTAGCCCAATTTTTATGAAAATTTATGTTTTCTGAAAAGCAGCGATATTAGTGGCTGTGATCAGCAGGAACATTTAATACAAGAATAAAATACACAAAGCTCATTAGTAAGGAACAGAAAATGGTTAAAGAAGGAAGAAGAGTGCCACTAAGAATGAGATGCATGGAAGAATGATACATTTTTCCACCCCCAGAGACAACAAAGCCATAGGCGCATGAAGAGAAAAAACAGGATGACAATAACTGCACATCATTTCCTTTTCTCTCTCTATATATATATACAACTAAATTTTCTAATTAAATTTTGGAAAAAGTAAGAAGAAAGGGAAAATATGTTGCCATTATACAAAATCTGAGGACCAGAGGGTTAAACCTAAGAAGGATTACACATTACCCTTAATAACCAAATGAAGAGTCAAATAATGTGAAGTTGTGCTGTTCAGAGTATAAATTCAGTTTGGGAGTAATTACAATTTGTAAAAGGATATGTAACTGATTTAAGTATTTGTTCATTATCATATTCAGTACTTCAAAAAATAATCTCAAGAACAATTTTGATAACTTGAAAGAATTTTTAAAAAACCAATGAAAGTGGTAAATAGTGAAAAGAAAATTAGCATGAGGAAAGTTTTGAAAAGGTCAGTGATAACATAAAAAACAACTTTTTAAGATTTAAGTAATCTGAGTATAAGAAATGCTAAAATAGACATCAGTTCAATTGTGAAATAAGATAATTAAGATGTTTATGACACCACTGTCTATATAATTTTAAATATAAGTTTAGAAAAAAAAAGCTACACTATTGTCATTTTAGGTAAAGTGATATGAATTAATTTCATCTTAATGTTCTCCCAGTCCTTTAACTTACCTCTTCTATGGAACAGAGACTGTTGAATGTAGTCTGGTGCAAAAGGAGAAAGTAAAAACTGCAACCACCTGGAAATTAATAAAGATTTAAAATCTTAGGATGTAAATATTAATTATATTGAGTTCAAACTTGCTTTGTCACCTATCCTTACTCTAAGAATTGGGGGACATTGTTGTCTTTAGGTTATTAGCCAAAATCATTCTCTTGAGAAGCCTGGAAGTAAATACTTCCAGCTGCTATACAGCTAAGCTATGAGCCACTTTAGCATAACATTAGAAGGGGCTGAAGGAACTACAGATCTCTCGTTAAGAGCAATAGTTGAAGAGGTTCCCCTGACTGCATATGTTGTATTGGAAAAAACTGAACAGAATATAATACTGCTTACCTGTCCTGTGAATGGTTAAACACCCTGATCTGCCCATGACGATAGAGAAACTTTGAAATCTGATATGGCTTTAGTGAAATGTGAAATGGAGACCATGTTTCTTGTCGCTCAAAGAGCTCTGGATGATTGCAGACCTGTATGGAAATGTAATAATGAATTCTTACAATAACAATAACAATAATGTAATGTTTTATAATAAAATTACATTTTGTAATAATATTACAAAAATAATAATTATTCTACATGTTTGGAAAAATACAGGAACAATTTTCAGGATTTAATCTTTTACCCTGCTTTTCCTCAAAACAGACACATTAGCACATGATTATTTCCCTTACCCTGTAAAGCACATCAGGCTAAGAGTTATTTTTTCATAGTCTATACCACTTCAGTCACAAATAACTATTAAGTGGCACACATACCTTATCAGTAAAAAGGAATAAAACAATGCAAAACATATGTAACAACAACATCTGACTTCATAAAACAATAATATAAATAACCACTTATTGTACGGGAGCCCATATTTATGTCTAGTACGAAAGGCTACAAAAACCTACAAAATCCTAATAAATTTGGGATTTTTTTTAACTCGGGGGGGGGGGGGGATGTTGTTGCAGAGAAGGGGACAGTAATAAAGAAGATTCACTTTTGCGGCCCTGAAGACAGAATCCCCCAAAGTAAGATCCCAGAGAGCCCTCTATCCTGATCTTACTGGAAGAGCAGATAATGCTGAGAACAGTAAGATATCTAGGCTTTGGAGGTGACAACCAATGTCTTAAACTGCACCTCAAGCCAACTATCAACCTGTACAACTCACAGAGTAATAGTATTAACTGGTTGAAGCAAGAAGTACCTGCAAGTTCTTGAGTCTCTGCCTTCTGGGATGTATAGGGTGTTGAGGGAGGGGTAGTACCTCTGGTGTAGGGGCATGTCATGTCCTTTTAGGGCAGCTTGTGCCTTCTGGACACTATATAGCTACCGAATGATTTTCAGGAGCAGCCTCACATAGAGTAAACTGCAGTAATTGAGAGGTTGGATTACAAAACGAGCTATCAATCCAGATTGCCAATTATGAACCAGTTCTTAAACAAGCCAGTGCAATCCGTCCAGATATCGGGACACAGAGAACTTCACAACCAAATTGAAATCTAAATGAGTCTTTTCAGTCATAGTTAAACATCTAACCACTATTCTAGACTGATTGTTGTAAACAATTTGTAAACTATAATTTGCAACATATATTCTTTTAGAATAGGCACAGTTGCCTTTTCCATACTTACATATTATCTTGCCAAAATACTCAATTTTCCAACAGACTAAAAGTGGCAAGTTTACCATTGCAAATTATAAAACAAAGGAGGAAGAGCTTAAGTAAGTTAAGCAAATGTAATCTGTTAATCATGCATTACGGAATGTGGGTAAAGCTACAAATGTTTTCTTGAGACAAGCATTTCAGAACGATAGGTTTTCCTAAACTCACCTTCCTGAACTGCATGACAAGGTTCATGAGGCTACTAGTAGTGTTCTGGGCTTGCTGAGTAGTGCCCATGGAGGATTGTAAAAGGTCATCAATTGAAATCTTATTCTTCAGAGCTTGATATAATAATTTCTGTCGACTGGTCTGCTGGCAATACATAAGAATCTCGATCTAAGAGACAGGAAAATAGATTAAGCTATTGCCAACAGAATATTATATTAAATCCCACTTCACAAAAACAATCCATAAGTAATCTTGGGGAGTAAGAGATTTTCCCCAGAAATCTTCATTGTAATGTCAGGAATACAGAATTAATATTCTTAGCTACAAATATTCAGATAGGAAGAACCCTGTCAAAAATCTATTGAACATTACTATGTGACATATAGTAATATGTGGCGTAGCATGGTGGCGCAGCAGACTAAAGCACTGTTAAGTAACACCAGCTGCCTGCAATTACTGCAAGTTCAAATCTCATCAGGCTCAAGGTTGACTCAGCCTTCCATCCTTTCGAAGGTAGGTAAAATGAGGACCCGGTTTGTGGGGGCAATAAACTGACTTTGTATAAAAAAGAACACCGTTTAGGGGGCCCCCGAAAGCCCTACTAAGCAGGTATATACAAAAGTATGAAGGCTATTGCTTAACGCATTGTAAGCCGCCCTGAGTCTCCGGAAAAGGGCGGCATATAAATCGAACCAATAAATAATAAATCAAACCAATAAATATAGTAATGAGATGTAAGAGTTCTCTTTAAGGAAAAGCTGGAACGATACTTTCAAAGTTATGTCTTCACAGCTTTGTATAATTTAGCCTAGTCTACAAGTGACACATTTTTATTGCGGATTCATATTCATCAATGACTGATATATTTTCTGAAGATTAAAAAAAATGATTCAGAAAAATACAAATATTATTTGTACTATTCAGAACAAGTGCAAAAATCATACATCAAAATGCGTTCAGTTCATGGATCAAGAATTCCCTAAAGATATCATTTATGCAATAATCATCATGCATGATCAAAATGATCAAAACTGTGCATATATTGGATAATTTAAAAGTTATTTAAAAACTTATGTAAAATATTACCAAAGCACTGCAATGATAATCACTGCAAAGAAAAATCAAGTACCTAACAAACACTCAGAAGTAGTACTACCACTACTACAGTCCTGTCGGAGCGCTGAAGTGCTTCTGGGTTGAAAAGATTAGCTGGTGACATCACTGTCATTGACTTTAAGGTGTTTACTATTCTGATTTATTAATTGTATGGTGAAATATATTTATTTATGCAGATACACAAAGTCTGAAAGTAGAGAAATATTATCATTTCTCTAGAAAGGATGGATCCCGAGATGCACTTTGGTCAAATGACGTACTTTTTGCCAATTTTCTTTTCCCTATAGCAATTCCCAGAGTTCCCTGGAGCCAGTTTTCGGGGGCAACAGAGTACTATAGGGGAAATATAAAATAAATGAAATTAGCTTTCCCTTCTTCTTTTAAGACATCAGATTATTTAGCTAAAGGGATATCTTTATCTGAAGCAGATTATTTAGCTGAAGGGATGTCTAGCTCAAACCCGATAGATATTGAAAAGGCATTTTTAAGAATGCTGATTTCACATCAGTTAGAAAAATCGCACAACAACGTATAATGGGGGGAAAAACCCAAGAGAACAAGAATTTATTATTATTTTGATTGGCACCTTGTCTGACAGTTCATTTTCCACATCTTTCTTGATTCTTCTCAACATAAAAGGTTTCAGGATCATGTGCAAACGTGACAGTTGATCTGAAATTGAGAGGAAAAACAATCCATAATCATTTATCTAATGTTAAAAATGCTCTGTTATAAATGATTAGCTCAAAACTGGGAAAAGAATCTGCCATGGTTATATACTGGCACTTTATTTAACCTATGAAAAGAACAATAGTAACTAGAATTAGAGCAACTGGAATTGAAATTGATGGAAGAAACATCAATAATGTTAGCTATATTGAGATTCTACTTTGATATCTGGAAGTGAGGAAGACTTAAGAAATCTTAAGGAATCTCATGTTGAAGGTCAAAAGCTTGTCTGTTGCTCAGCAATTTTTTTAAAAGTCCCAAAATTACATTGACAGGTTATGCCAACACAATACATGTTTGTAGGGAAGACACTAAGCTACTAAGAACTTTATCTTCCTAGGATCAAGTGTTCGTAATGATTATAGCCATGAAAAAAGAAACAGTCACAACTAGGGCTGAAAATGGGAAGATCTTGTCAAAACATATTCAGTCAAAGCATCAACGTGCGGAGATATCACACTGACAGTAAAGGTATGTATTATCAAGATCATGTTTTCCCAACTGTGAAGTGGTTGTGAAAGGTGGATGATCAAAACAGCTGAACAAAGAAAAACAAATGTCTCTGAATTGCGATATTGGAGAAAATGGTTGACAATACCATACACAACAAGAAGCAAATCATTTAAAATATTAGCTCAAGTAAAACTGGAAGACTGCTCACAGAAAGCACTAACAGTGAAGGTAAAGCTTAAGGATTCTGAACACACAAAGCAAAAGAAAGGAAAGGGACACTGGAAATGATTATATACTTTAAAAAAAAAAAAACAATTGAAAGAGAGCCTGGTAGTTAGTGGATAGATATTCACACTGATGGCAAAAGCATGAATCTATAAGAATTTAAAGAAGCAGCTGTAACAATCTTGATGAAATAATGTCCATTGGGTAATGAGGGGTCAAAAGTGACTGAACAACCATTAACAACTTACAACAGAGCTGTGAGTCATAATTACTAAATATTATTTTAAATATTGACCGCAGTATATTTTCAATACTAATTACTGCAGAAGGTGAATGGAACAATACTATTATATAAATGACTTGGTTATAAACTTTCCATGGGCATCTGGTTAGCTATTGAGAGATCAGAACAATGAGCTACCTGAGCCTTTAATTTGATTCAGTGCAATTCTTCTAATGTTCTAAGCAACTTATAACAACTGGTTGTTAAGACATGTGGGCAATTCTGCTCAAGTTGTAGAATTTGAATGCAAAGTATACTGAATCATGCATACTCACTCTCATCAATGGCAGATTTATTTTCCGCATGGCTTTCAATATCTTTAGAAAACCACTCATTGAACTCTTCATGGGAGTCAAACAATGTTGGCATAATGAAATGAAGCAAAGCCCAGAGCTGCAAAGCAAAGAAGAAAGTGTGATAAATACCCCATTAACTAATACATCTTAAAACTCATTTCTTACATATATTGAAAAAGTTCAAGGAAATTTCTTTCCAAAAATGTCAACATGAATCAACTGGACTGACAATTCAGAAAACCTTTCAGTAACGATGGCAGTGAAGACTACATCAAAACCTGATAATAGATTGAGAAATGTGATTTTCTGAGCACCTCTGGACACAAAGTAAACAGAAAGAGGCAGGCAAGACTATAAGAATTCACAGATTATACCTCAATCATATGTGTGAAAACATTAAATTTCTACTATTTATAGAAACCAATGAGAACAAAACATGCATACCTCAGCCATAGTGTTTTGGATGGGTGTTCCAGTCAGCAATAGTCGGTTTCGACATTGGAACTGAAGTAAAATTTTCCAACGGACGCTAAATACCAACAGATTTTGAAGAAACTGATTCAGCAAGTGGCAATAAAGGAACACACTACTTTTGTTTTTATAATGTCAATTCGTTAAGACTTCTAGGAAAAATAAAATACTATGCAGATTTTACTTCCATTTAATCTGTCTCTAAAAGTGGTTCTACAATGTAACATGAACAATTTATAAGTAGCTCAAATATAACTATAAAAGTACAATTTATTGAAAGAGTCAAGTTTGGAAGTCTTAAGCAGCACAGCTGATGGCACTCTTTCTCTACTGACCCTCTCCTGCACATGCTACTTCCTTGGCCACCTTTGCTTGCCCAGAGAAGAGGATCTGATAGCTTTTCTAAGCCACTGCCCAGACAATGGGAAATAGGGAGAAACCTGGTTGTTGTAAATTCTTTGTTACTGGAAATAGTTCTGGCAGGGTCCATGGAACCTAAATATAGTCAATGCTTCTACTGACTTACAACCTAACTACTTACAAAAAATTAATAAATCATGGAATCTTCCTAGCTATGAATAAAACAAAAATTCATTTTAAAAAGTGACAGCATTTTAACACTACAATTAATTACTGCATCTTTAGAGTACATTCCTTTCTTCACTGGTAAATTCTTTTTACTATTACTTCACTACTTCAGTAAATTCTTTCTACTACATAAGATACCTGGAGCTACTCTTGAGTGCCTGTGCTTCATCCAACACCATATATTGCCATTTCACCCGCTGAAAATACTTGACATCTTGGACTACAAGTTGGTAACTGGTGATCACTACGTGGAAAGAAGCATCCTGAGTATACAAAGTCTTCTGCAATTAGAGGAAAAAAATGAAGTTCCATGAATAAAATTGATCCATCGAATATACACAATAATTTTAAAATCAGTTTCCAAGCTGAGTGAGCAGCTTGTTTCTAACTGAACATTTATCTAATGTATGATTAGGCAGATTTATATGCATATAATTGAAGTAGAAGGTTACAATCTTCATGGCAGTTCAATTTACAAGCATTCCAACAGTAGATACTTCCTTCAAACATGGATTTATCTTGACTGGAGTTCTGTATTATACTTATTACACCACAAGATGAGGTTAAATCACTAAGGAAAAAAAATCTATGTGCCCTCAAGTATATTTAAATAGTAAAAGCCAAACATTTTGCAAATTCTAATTTTAATCATTAGCTAGACAGAATGAAATTCTCATGTTAAGGGAAGACTTTATGTGCATGTGAAAATAAGAGCTGATACTTCCAAGTTAAGAGTTGGGGTTTTAGAACCTTAAAGATAAATATTATTATAAGAAAAAGTAGAGGCAAGTACTGAAGAGAAGACAAACATTAAGATAAAAGTAAGAAAGCTTATTTATTATTAAAAATATTCCCAAATCTATTACAGAAAGACAAGAATACATTTATTCTTTAGATAAATGAGAGGGATAATACCTGACTCCAGAATTTCCTGATCACTTTTCGGTCATTGGGATTTCCCCAATATGGTAGCACCTACAATATATAGGAAACAGTCCATATAAGTACTTATTTACAGTAGTCCTTTAGTTCTTTCAGACTTTTGTCATTCCTTGTTAACCAGATTCAGATTTCTGGTTTTTTACATCAGGCTTCTGAACTTGGCAGAAACAGAGTTAGAAGAGTAGGAAGTAATATAAATCTACAATTTATTTTAAGAACTTAGGAAAATTGAATTTATGAAATGATCATGTCTGTAGTCACCTTAAATCTTGGAACAAATCTGGCGAATTCCTGATGCCAGTTGTTTAATGTGGAAGCTGGTGAAATAATTAAAAAGGGCCCCCAGATGTTCTCTCTCTGGAAGAAAAAAACTTAAATTAAAGAATGTTTAATATAATCTTTAAATAAATATCAAATATGATGAGTAAGCAAAGTAATGCATGCAATTTATTTTGATTTATTTATTCGTAAGACAAAAAGGCCTGAATTATGTTTTTTGAACATAATTACTTTGAGGTATGGCAGTAATATGCATACCTAGCAACTTTTGTTTTTTATTTTCAGTACAAACCTATATTTATGTAACTCAAGATATCTAATGTGGTACAAGTGTGGCACAAATCCCTTTATAGGCAACCTGGGCTTGCAGTTCAAAACACCCAAAACAAAGATAAAAGAATACTGTGTACTAGAGATAAAAGTCTGGGGAGGATCAATTAGCCTCAGGAAGCATAAGAGATGTTGAGTACCAGAAAAGACTTTGAAATGAAAGAAATGAATGCCTCAATTCAATAATGCACACAGAAAGGAAATGTTGTTACATATATGCACACAGACACATTACATGGACATGGGCCTCATTTCAATCATGTAATAGGTGCTTGCTCTCAGCCAGAGGTTTAAAACACAAAGAATCTACCTACCTCAGCCAGATGCGCTAATAAGGCAATACTCTGCACAGTTTTACCCAGCCCCATTTCATCTGCTAGGATACCATTGATGCCCTGAAAGAATGAAATTGAAAACTTCAGTCTGAGTAAGGTATAAAATATAAGCATATATAGTACCTTGAAAATCAATTCAGTATTAAACTTCATCGTTTGTCTTCAAAGACCATGAAATCATAGTTCTGGAAAGTTCTGTTAATATTCTCCTTTCCATAAAAATATACCAGAAAGCATCTCTGGAAATATACGTGTATTACATTTCCACAGATGACATTTTAATTTTAGGAGTAGGAACACAATATAAGTAACCTTAGTTCAGCCCTCTTTTTGGAGTCATGCCAAGAAGTAATTTGTTTTAAAGATTTTGCTTCAAGAAAAACAAGCACACCTGCTCATAAAGGTTGGCTAGCCAATTCATGCCTTTCAATTGGTAACCTTTTAATTTGCCATTGAAAATGGTAGGCTGTGGAATGTCCTCTCCTGCCCGGATGGAAGGGTTGGCAAGGCTGTAGCTCTCTCCAAAGCCAGTGCCAGATTTATTGGCAGCTCGAAGTGCAGCTGCCCGGCTCTCCTTAGCATCTTCGTCAAAAGATCTGGTCTAAACAAAGGGAGGGGGAAAGGGTTAGAGGGATAATCTTACACAAAATTAACTAGTCCAAATCCCAAGCTTACAGCTGAATAAAAACACGTAGGACAAGATACATCTTCTTTCCTTTATTAACATGGTCTCATACATACGAGCAGAATAGAACAGAAACTAATTCTGCAATCTTCATCTTAAGTTTTACTCGATTCAATTTCTGAACTTGAAATACTTGATATACCTTATCATGACTACTCTTCATACAGTTCCATGGAATAATGTTCACTTAAAATCTATGCCGTTCTGATTAATCTTAATAAATACATTACCTAATTATGGATATCTTTATTTTTTAAGACTAAAGCTAATAATTTACAAGAAATATTGAAAAGTTATGTCAATTCCAGACATTTTAAAATTTAAAATACTTCCCAATTTATATTATACTTTATTGTACACACTTACTTGGGCCTGATGAATTCGAAAAGCATCTTCAGCATTCTTCAAAGCCTGAACCTTGTAATAGTTACTATCTGATAATAAAGCAAAATTTAAAAACAAAACAAGGGTTAAATTAAAAAACTCTACTTATAAGCTATTCACAAATTTCTGAAAATTAAGTTTGAAATGGAGCTGAACAAGATTGTTTTGATAACATGCTTCACTTACCCAGAAAAGTGCCTCTCTTCATCTTGCTATTTGTGTCTTTAATTAAGGGTTTCAGAGAGGCACTTCATTTGCAAGCACTGCCCCTCATTAAACAATCAGCCCTAGTTCACAGTTCAAGATAAGCATGCAATGTAGCAATGATAGGATTTTCCTAAATCTCACTAGAATTTAGTTTCACCCTTACCATAATCCTCTTGAGTAATGTTGACAACAACTCCTCCACCAATATCAATCTGTCTCTGGATAGAACTATCTTCAAGTTTCCTCAGAATTTCTTCCTGAATTCCATCATGTCCTGTATCTCGTTTGCGACTCATGAAGTGGGCATACAACTCCGTTTGGGTTATCAGGAAGTTAAGTTTTCTCTGCTGTCTTTTAGCCTAAAGTCATTTATAAGTAAATAAAATAAATATTTTCACATGTAAAGATTCACATAGAACAGTTTCACAACTGAGGACCTAAAACAATGATTTCTTGAATGATGGATGGCTATTGATGTACTGAGTAAAAAATGTATCTCCCAAAATATCTGACTAGCTGAAAGATCCAACCTACATGTTCTGTATAATTCAAAATAATAATAACTTATTAAAACAAATATTATAAAATAGATCAGTCTAACTTTACAAAAATCAGACCACATTCAAAAATTACAACAATTTTAATAGGTAATAAAACATAAAACAAATCTTGTGTTTTGCGCTCTCAGAGAGGGGAAAGGAAAATCCTGTTTTTCAATTAAAGAAGAATCCTAGTGTTTTAAATGTAGGTTCAGCTTGGAAAACTATGTCATGCATGCTAAAACTGTATATAAATGTGTTAGGCAAACTTTAAAAATAATTTGGATTAATATTAAACTTATGACATGGATAATATTACCTGGAACTTTGTCGTCTAGATTTTGACTAGTCAACATGATGTTCACAGGTGTTTGCTTGCACATTCCCAGGTATATGTATTTAAAGCCCTCCGAATTCTAAAGGTGCCTACCAGCCTAAAGGATTGCCTTTCCTTCCTCTAGAAAATTGATTTCAAAATTCAGAATTAAATAAAAATTAGATTATAATCTCCAGAAGGGGGAAAAAAACAATGGATACTATTGCACTGACACTGTAGGAGAAGAGCCATGTTAGTCAATGGTGGCAAAAAATAAGATGTCTTGTGAGCTGCAGGTCACTTCATCAAAGGTATGCACACCAGTTGAATCTGATGAAGTGAACTGCAGTTCAAAAGAGCTTATGCCTTTTAATAAAATACATTAGTCAGAAAAGTTCTCCCAGTCGCTGTCTGATTATTTGCTGCAATGTCTGCTGTATTAATATTTAGGTTTCATTCTCTAAATGAGCTATTCTTACTTCTCTCATCTCCTCATCCAATTTGCGCTGTTCCAATGCTTCTTTCTCTGCTCTTTTGCGGTGCTCTTTTTCCACTTTTTCATATTTTTTCCAATACAGAAGCATCTCCTTTGTAAGCCGACGTGCCCTTGGTAAAGTTTCCTTGCAATTCTTTTGGGCTTGAATAGCTGCTCGACGCACTTCTCTCATACACTGGTGAGCCAGCTAAAACAGAAAAGAAAGGGGTGGGGGAGAGAAATACAATGAGGCAAAGAGAGAAAAACCTGGATGAGAAGTTTATATTCTCTAGTCTTGCATTGGAAACAATGTTCTTGAGTATCTCCTAGTACCAGAGCTGAAATTTACAAAGGCTGCTTTAATAATAACTTGGTCTTATATATTAAATACTTTCTTTGTAAATGAAATCAGTTTAAGATTAAAAATAGAAGTTTATCCTTCTGATGGAAATGATGCTTTCTTCTTATTGGAACTAAATAGATTATGGAAGTTAAATTGGGAAAAGCCATGAGTACCTGAGTACCATAGTTATACAAATAAATAAGTACCTGAGTACCGTAGCTGTACAAATATATTATTCCTATTTAAAAAAGACAATCACAGAAATACAGATTCCCAATGAATTCATGCCTGGGTAACATAATGAACATGATGTATGTCAAAACCCCAAACTCAGTCCAGACAAGACAGTATAATTTATCTTTCACTGTTGAGGCTCCAAAGGAACAGGTCCCATTCTGTTCAATTTTCAAAGAATTGCAGATAGCCCTCACTTGTTTAGCCAACTTCACTGTCTGCTGTTCTCCTTCCTAGCCCAATTCAAAATGCTTTTTTCCTAGTGCTTTTCTTGGTAATTATTTTTCATTTTTAAGTTGATAAAAATATTTTTAATCTTTAAAATTCTGATGATTAAAAATGTTTTAATTGCATTTTTAAGATCACAATCCAATTCAAACTAACTTGATATTAGACCCTATCAATGCAGTATGTTTTCCTTCTGCCTGGAGGTATATATCACTGTACCATTACCAGTAGTACCAAAAAATAGGTAATTTACTGTAGCTGAAGGACAAGATATAAATTCTCTTAACATTAAAACAACATTTTTTTTAAAAAAAGCAATGTATTTCAGTCCCAGTACTGTACAAAATGTTGCATAGTATACCTTTCTGCTATTACTCAAGAATAAATTTCGGGCAGAGACTTTTTGCTTGTATGCCTAAAAAGGGGGGGAAAGGATACAATATTATATCATACTATAACAATGAATTTTTTCATAGAACTGAAAGTACCAACTAGAAATATCAAATATAATGATAATCTTGCTTCAAAGATGCAATGATATTAATTTGAATTTGTTACATAAATCAGGGGTCCCCACTCTATTACCAGGCCGCGGCCTATTCAGAATTGGGCCACGCAAATAGCTGGTTAGAGCACGCACATGCGCAACTCAATTTGCTTGAGTGGCAGGCCAGTGGGCACTTGTGTATGTGTATGCTAGCCGCCCGTTTGTGCAAGTTGTGATGTGTGCATCAGCCTGCTACTTGCATGCGGGCCCGCCCCTTGCGTGGCCCAGTTCCCCACTGGGCTGTCTAGCTGCAAAGGTTGGGGACTGCTGACTTAAATCATAATGACACCCTGATGACACCCAGCTGTACATCTCCACCCCAGGCCACCCCAACGATGTCCTTGAAGTGATGTCTCAGTGCCTGGAGGCTGTGCGGATCTGGATGGGGAGGAACAGGCTCAAGCTCAACCCTTCCAAGACTGAGTGGCTGTGGCTCCCGGCATCCCAATATAGTCAGTTGACTCCATCACTGACTATTGGGGGCGAGTCCTTGGCCCCCACAGAAAGGGCTCGCAATCTGGGAGTCCTCCTGGATATGCAGCTGTCCTTGGAGGAACATCTGACGGCTGTAACCAGGGGGACCTTTTATCAGGTTCGCCTGATTCGCCAGTTGCGGCCCTTTCTTGATCGGGATTCCCTGTGCACAGTCACTCACGCCCTCGTCACCTCTCGCCTTGACTACTGCAATGCTCTCTACATGGGGCTCCCCTTGAGGGGCACCCGGAGGCTCCAGCTGGTCCAGAACGCAGCAGCGCGGGTAGTGATGGGAGCAGCATGGCGCTCCCATGTAACACCGCTCCTGCGCGAGCTGCACTGGCTCCTGGTGGTCTTCCGGGTGCGCTTCAAGGTGTTGGTTATCACCTTTAAAGCGCTCCATGGCATAGGGCCTAGCTATCTTCGAGACCGCCTGCTGCTACCGACGACCTCCCAGCAACCCGTGCGCTCCCACAGAGAGGGCCTCCTCAGGGCGCCATCAGCCAAACAATGTAGGCTGGTGACCCCCAGGGGGAGAGCCTTCTCTGTGGGGGCACCTACCCTCTGGAATCAGCTGCCCCCAGAGATAAGGAGAATCCAAGACCTCAGTGCCTTCCGCCGTGCCCTTAAAACCCACTTTTTCCAGCAAGCCGGGCTGGCTTAGGAAGAAATTTTTTAAAATTTTTAAATGTTTAATTGGTTTGTGGTTTTTTAAATTTTGGGCCAAATTTATATAGATTTTAATTGTTTTTAATATTTGTATTTCATGTTTTTAATTCTGGCTGTGCACCGCCCTGAGTCCTCAGGGAGAAGGGCGGTATATAAATTGAAAAATAAAATAAATAAAAATAAATAATAAAATAGCCCTCCTCTCTTTTTTCTTCTACGTTTACTAGACTTCATCCTATATATGCAGAACACGTAGACTGAAGGAAAAAAATAATTTTATATAATTGGCCACTGAATGTAATTTTACCTCATATGATTTCTGTATTCCATTAGTAGTACATTTTAGTTTGCAGAGCCTACCTTGGGCAGCTCCTTTTTAGCAATGCTCAGCCATACTTTTCTCCGGCGTGCATTTAATTGTTCAATGGATAAATGCTTTTTCTTAGACCCTGGTGGAGGGGTATCATGAGAAAACTTGGCAAAAACTTTGATCTGGTGGTGATGACGTCGTGGTGACTCCTCAGACGAAATGTCTTCATCCCTTCTTTTCTTTTTTTTCACCTTTTTCAATTTTGCTGGAAGAGGACAGCACACAATATGATCAGTTTGCTTCCATAATCATTTGAATTCATAGCATTAACTCACAGCCTATGAATGTATTCCATCCAATAATGGAACCAATTCAAAGTAGCAACTAATTTCTCAATTTTCTATAAATCTGCAGAGGAAAAAAAGACTAAATCATTCAAAAAGGATGACTATAAGCAATATCAAAATGTCAAAAACACCGTCATTTATAGTTTCTCTTTTAAATGAAATGCTATTCAAATATTTGAGAAGATAGTTAATAAAGAAAAAGGAATAAAACTGAATTCTAATAGATGCGGATGAAATCTACAATATGGCAAAAGAGGAAGTATAAAACAGTTTCAGAGAAAGCATATCAGACTGAAAAAAGCTGTTCCAGAAAGATCACTCTTATGATTTATTTCTAAAATGCACTAAGTCACTGTATAGCAGTAACTTTCAGGTTAGTTAATACAGGCTTCCCTCACTTTATGCTAGGATTACATACTCCAAAATCTCATATAATACGAGATGCTGAACTAGAACAAGGGAGTCTTGTGGTAATGGATAAACATGCTGTTTCAGTTTTAGACCCTTATTCTTGAACACTTACTTAAGCATGTTTTATTTCTTGTCTCATGTTCTGTGTATAGTGAAAGCATTTTCTCTAACTTTTCAATAACTGGATTTCTAGTGTGTGCAATTATAATGGCAGACAAATGGGCAAACTACACCACAGCACTCTGAATTCGTCATTATGTTCTGCATAATACATTTGCCCAGACTAGGTCTGAGGATCTTTTATCAGCTTCAGTGTGATTTAGTATGTCCAACTCAATCTCTAGCGTTAGAAAGTTCTTTTTCACTTTAGGTACAAGGTTTCAATAAGGTATTGATAACAGGTTTGAATCCCCAGTACTAGTAGTATCTATAGACAGTATGGAAGTAGGGAGACAGGAATATACAGCTAGTAAAATTTCACAGCCTGATAGTAAATAAATACATGATACAAATCAATGCTCAGAAAAGAGAGTTAGCATAAATACGAACCTTTTAATTTTTTTTCTTCTTTCAACTTCTTTTTCTTCGGCCCTATGAGATGACGCTGTTGCTCATAATAAGGATCATATGTAGACAGCAAACCTGCACTGTAATACTGATACTGCTGCAACTGAAGCAGACATAAAAATAATTATTTTTTTAAAATTAAGGCCTAATTAAGTAAGAAATATAGCTGGGTAGAAAGTTCAAGTTACTTCAAATTTAGATTGCTTTTATGTTTGGTAATTACCAAGTATATTAACATGATACGCTTAGCTCTAAAATGGTAACAGTATAATACAAAATCTGAGGAAAAAAATAGAAAGGAAGTAATACCAATGCCTCTTTCTAGTGAAAAGAGTGGTTTTTGTAACAAAGGAAACCAGTTATTGTATAATATTGGGCCAGTCACCCTGTCAACCCAACCTACTACACAAGATTGCTAGGAGGATTAAAATGTGGGATAACACCATTTATGCTACCTTGAGCATCTTAGAGAAAGTGTGGTATATAAGAATATATGTACACTACATAAGCAGAACAGCCAATTTGATCTATTCTCCATTATAGTTTGCAATTGGTGAATTTCTTTCTAACTTTTTTTACCTCTTTATCTTTGCTGTATTTATTTTGATGCAGTTTTTTGTACTTGTGCAATCGCAGCATATTGTGAAGTTCTTCTCTTGAAAGAGTGAATTCTTCTCCTTCCCCATCTTCATCAGTTACTGATTCACTGTCACTGGAGTCATCACTCAGAAGAATGCTCTGCCAATGAGATAATTTCAATTCAACAACAGTGAACAAAATGACCAGAACAGGAAATAAGAATTTCTGAAAAAGGCCAATGGGATTAAAGCTTCTGAAAAAGGGGGAAAAAAACCTAACAACATTTACACACATAGAACAGTTTCACTGTTTAGCATTTCCTACTGTTTCTTCCTCCACCACAATATTAACCATCATGGAATCTTTTGAGTCTGCTTCAGTGATTGGTGCATCCATAGCATTTCTGATTTCCTCTTTTACTGCTTTCATGTATACATTTTCTCAAAATCACTGCCAGGTGACCTCCACTTTAGCCTTAGGCATCACGTTTCTAATGTTATCAGTAGCGAGTGGGAAATTTCCTTGCAATGTTTCAACAGTGACCTGTTCTATATGCTCAGGCAAAGTGGACTGTGAAGTTCACTTATTGAAATTAAATTTAGTGATAATCCACACTTCTGGTCCAATGACACATTACAAAAATATAGTCTTCTTTCTGGCCACAATGAAAGAAGAGTAGCCCAATGTTTTTTCTACAAGTTTGCATTGACATACATTGTTGGTAAACTCTTGACAGATCTACCCTATACAGGTAGTCCTCAGCTTATAACCATTCGTTTAACGACCATAAGCTACTTTTTAGAGTGACTTGTGGACAGCCCCAACACTTATAAGCATGCCCATAGTCACATGATCAAAATTCAGATGCTTGGTAACCGGCAAATATTTACAATGGTTGCCAGCGTTCTGGGTTCATGTGATCACCATTTGTGACTTTCCCAGCCAGCTTCCGACAAGCAAAGTCAATGGGGGAAGCTGGATTAGCTTAATGACTGCATGATTCATTTAGCAACTGCAGTGATTCACTTAAAAACCATGGCAAAAAAGATTGTAAAACTGGGTACAATTCACTTAATAATTGGTTTGCTTAGCAACAGAAATTCTGGTCCCAACTGTGGTCATAATTTGAGGACAACTTATGGGCAGATGTTCCACATCCTCAAACTCGCCCACCCCCAGCCCCCATTTACTTAAACTACAAATACACTGTAGAGAATCAGCTAATTAGCTATGCTTTGAGAAGTGCTGGAAGGAGCTGCTATCATCTGGACTGGAGTGGGAAAGGAACAGAAAATAAAAGGGAGCAAGTTACGTTGTTAACTTCTGCATATGGAACAAGAAAGCCGAAAGAATAACACTGCCATAGACCATCTCACTGTTGCTTGGTAAACCCGTTAGATCAGCAAAAGGGGAAGGAAAAGATGGGGATTTTTCACCTTAGGTTTAGCATGCCTGAATACAATTAGATGGAAGAGTAAAACCAGGAAATGGACAACAGAAAACCCGGGGGCAGGGAGTTCTGAGGAAAGCTAAGATATCAAAACTTGATGCTGTGCATTTCAAACCATGAGAACATGGGAAGAATTAATTAATTAATGGAGGATTAAAAACCTGTAACTTTTACCGCACGCATCAATTCTAGAAAACTAAAAAAATGTTAAGAGGAATGACATTTTTGGTTTTTTCAGAAAATGTTGCAGTTTTTATAGATTATAAATTTATCAGATAGATCAGAATAACATAACAGAAGGATCACTAAGAACAGATCTGGATTTCAGTAATAAAAAAACTCACCTTTAGCCATTTTCTGCTTTTCTTCAATTTGGAAAAGTTATATAGACTCCCTTTTTCTGTTTTTGGCTCTGTTTAAAGAACATATCAAAACACTTATATTGTGCAAACAGTTCAACTTAAAGATACTTTCAATAGAGAAAGCATTTACTCCAAATTGAATTACCACTGAATCATTTTGTAATCTGAACTACAAAAAAAGGAATCTTCTGATTATGTCTGTAAGCCTATAAACACATCGCATTTTTCATGAATTATTAATCAAACCCAACTGTTCCTGGATCCAAGTGATCTGCAAGACTAGCTCATATAATTATCATCAAAGGCAAACTAAAATTATTTTTAAAACACTCTTACCAGATTGTAACACTCCATTGAGTGAATGTGTGTTTAACATTCCTGAACTTCCTGCTCCAGAAGGTTCTCCAAGCAATGAGGTTACAGGCTCTTCTTTCACTTGCATCAAGGGACTCCCAGGCTGAGGAAGCAAAGGATTGTCATCCAATCCATCCTCACTTTCATCACTATAAGAAAGACAAAGATATAGATTTATCGTAATAAAAGAGAAGTAATGCTGTAAAAAATAGTTATGCTCCAGAGCAACTTTCATTTTTCTCATCTCTAACACCAGAAGGAAATAATGTTAACTTTAATCCTGTGGATACACTGATATACTGAAGGTATTTTGGCAATAAAATGGAGTAGTTTGCCACTGACACCTTCCTGAATGTTTTTTCAACTTTAGTCTAGCCTAAAAACCCTGATATTCTCTGTGATTCCCAATACTAACTATGCCCAACTCTGTTTAGTTTCCATACTCAGACAGGATTAACCAATTTTTGTCTGAAACTTTTACCCAAGGGTCCCCAACCCCCGGTCCACACACCAGTGTGGTCTGAGGCCCATTGGGAACCTGGCCTTGCAAGTGGTGGGCAAGTGTGTGAAGCTCCATTTGTGTGTGCAAAACTACCTCCCCCCACTGCTGTCTGTCCACAGACCACTAAAGGTTAGGGACCACTGTTCTAACCCTAGATGGATATAATGTATTAGATGTCTGAATAAGATAAAATCAATTACAGTGGGGCAAAAAAGTATTTAGTCAGCCACCAATTGTACAAGTTCTCCCACTTAAAAAGATGAGAGAGGCCTGTAATTGACATTATAGGTAGACCTCAACTATGAGAGACAAAATGAGAAAACAAATCCAGACAATCACATTGTCTGATTTGGAAAGAATTTATTTGCAAATTATGGTGGAAAATAAGTATTTAGTCAATATCAAAAGTTCATCTCAATACTGTGTTATATATCCTTTGTTGGCAATGACAGAGGTCAAACGTTTTCTGTAAGTCTTTTTTCTTCTTCCATGATTTTAAATTTTCCAGTTCACATTAGAAAACAAGTAGTGACTTTGGCAAACTTAGTTTGTGTATTTTTAAATACTCTTATGCTTTCAGAACTACATGAAAAATAAACACATAAGTTCTGGTCACATCTCCCATTCTTTTAAAAGCATTAACAGCAGTACAAGGATATGCATGTGGATATTTGGGTATACATTCTGCTCCTTTCTTAATATTAAAATCTGAAGCTGACATCTGTTGATTTACCTGCAGGTCCCTATCCTTATGGAGCTCATTCACCTTCATTACTGAAACTAATGTTAGGAATTAAGATACTTGGAATATGAAATGACTAGTTTTTTAAGTCCACATCAAAATGGTTTTGATACCTGGATGCAGTCCTATTGAAGATGGCAGAAGTCTGTCGCAAAAAGTGATCCAATCGCAGAGCTTTCTCCAAATACCGCAGATAGAGAGGTGTTGCCAGCTCCGTGCAGTTGCCATCCTCTCCTGAACCCAGCTCTGAGGCCATAGAACAAGTCTCTCTTCATGCAAAGATGTCTCCTAACGCACAGCTGATTTGAAACAAAATGTAGCAGTTTAACACATCATACCTATTTTCTGGATCTTTTTTTTTTCAGTGGCTGGAGAAAATGCATCCTTTCCTACATCGCATTTCATACATGGCAAGCCCAAAGAAGAATATAGTTAAGAAATCAGAAGTTGCAGAATTGCAGTGTTATTCTACATAAAGTTAATTCCACCTGAAGAGAAAATATGGAGATGATGCTGGAATTGGCAAGTAAATTACATCCTCCCCATATGTATATTACCAAAGAAAAATTGTTACTATCCAATTATTTGTATATCCTTGTTAATACACAAATCATAATCCCATAAAATTGTTTGCCATATTGATTAAATGTATAGTGTGTTTTGTATATCACCCTATGCAGTGGCTGCATCCTGTCTATTTTAGGCTTATCTTTTGCTTCCAGTAACACAACAAACAAATCTCTGCTTTAATGGAATTGTGTTCTAATCCTGGTCCAAATAAATTTCTAAAAACTTTCCTATATTCTCACTCTTTCTTATGCCATTGACAGCATTATCTTGATATGGACCTCAAGCAAATTTCTGAATCCAGTTGCAATGGCTAATGACAAGAAGGACATATACATGAAAACGAATACCGTATTTTTCAGAGTATACGACGCACCTTTTTCCCACCTAAAAAGGGGTGAGAATTTAGGTGCATCTTATACACCGAATGTAGCCTCGCCCACCCACTGGCCCCAACCCTTTGGCCTCTGCCTTGCAGCAGTTACCTCCTTGCAAGCAAACAGCAAGAAAAAACAGCTCCTTTCAGCTTCAGCACAGCCTAATTAGCACAAGTTGATTGGATCGGCCTCCTGACTCTCAGCTGATTTGCTCTCAGCTGTTTTGCGCAGGTCTCTGCTGCTTGCTCAAAGAGGTAAATTGCTGGAGCAAATTTTTTCCCCCTTGTGCTAATCAAGCTATGCTGAAAACGAAAATGAAAGTAAAGCAGGTTGTTTGCTGTAACTAGGCAAAATTGCTCAGAGGCAGAGGGAGATTTCTTTTTCTTCTTTTTCCTCACTAAAAAAAGGTCTTATACTCCGAAAAATACAGTAGTTATAAGAGACTGAGTATATGCATAGAAAACAAATGTTAGTCTATAATATTCCACTCTGTTGGATGGTAACCAAGTAAAACTTATCTCATCATCAAACATTGAGGCAAACAGACACAATGTGCATGTCTAAAAATATTAATTTTGGGTTTTTTCCTAACCAACTGAATTTAGTAAAAAAACCACAACCAGACAATTAACTGAACAGTGAACGTATGATAGAATATAATAAATCTGTTCAAATTAAATCTTCCCTGAAAAAAATTTGGTATCTTTGGGGAATCTCAAAAATGTTTATTAGAATACAGGTAGTCCTTGACTTACAACAGTTCATTTACTGACCTTTGAAGTTACAACTGCTCTGAGAACAGTGACTTGTGATCATTTTTCACAGGTATGATCATTGCAGCATCCCCATAGTCACATGATTTATATTTGAATGCTTGACAACTGACTCACATTTATGACGGTTGCAGTGTTGTAGGGTGCTGTGATCCCCTTTTGCAACCTTCTGACAAGCAAAGTCAATGGGGAAACTAGAGTCACTTAACAACCATGTTACTAATCTAAATACTTCAGTGATTCAGTTAACAAATGTGACAAGAAAAATTGTAAAATAGAGCAAAACTCACTTAACAAATTTCTCACTTAGCAACATAAATTTTGGGCTCAATTGTGGTTGTTGAGGACTACCTGAAATATGTCATGCCAAAGCATGGACAGGATATGTAAAAATATTATTTTTTTAAGAAAACATTTCAGGAAATATAAAGATGGATTTTGGCATATGACAAATTTATTTCACATTTTATGATTTTTTACTGAATTGTAGGCCATTCTGTGATGACTTCTCTTAATCCAAAGAAAAGGCAAATCTGTCCATTTTGTTTTCAAAATGATTTCTTCTATTTCTTTTTTCTTCTCTCATGATATATACTGCATTTTACATGATATATATTGTATTTTTACCAACATTTTTTTCAAAGTATAGTGAATTTCTATGCATACTTTACTTTAATATGTACGTTGTATGACATTTCCTTAAATACATGTTATTGTACATATTAGTCAAATTGCAAACTACTCTAAACATGCTAACAATTTTACATATATCGAATGTAACATACAGATAGTTCCCGTTCAACAACTGTTCAAACCTATGATGAATAGTAGTTACAACCAGTCCTTGTGCTTAGAGCTGTTGCAGGACATCCACAGTCACATAACTACAACAAGTGCTTGGCTCATGATTATGTTGCAGCCTCCTCTCAGTCATGTAATCACAATTTGTGACTTTTCCTGCTGGCTTCCCATAAGCAAAATTAATAGGGAAGCTAGAAAAAAGTCACAACTCACAATCAGGTGAGATGCTCACTTAACAGCAGCAATCTGGACTGTTAGAAGTGCAATTGCTAAGCCGTGTAGACACACTGTTTTTTAACTGAAGTCCCAATGAGCGCCATTAAGCAAGGACCACCTGTACTGGTAGCAAATAACAGAATGCGTATAAAACTATTCCTCTATCTCTCACAGTTGAACAAGGGACGTGATTTTCCAATAGAATCCTATGGAAACCAAAGGCTCTTTGGAAGTTTCTTGATGCTGTCATTAATGAAAAGAAAATGGCCTACCAACAAAGAGAGATCATCACCCCAGACTACAGATAATCAGCTTGTCCTTTCTATGCCTATATGAGAGCCAGTATAGTATAGTGAGTTTCGAAGAGGCAAAGGTTAAATTGTCAAAATTTACTAGATTATGAAGAAAACAACGGAGCTCCAGAAAAAAAATGCTAAAGCCTTTGACTATGTAGATCACAATAACTATGGCAAGTTCTTAAAGAGATGGGAGTACCAGACCACCTTACCTATCTCCTGAGGAACCAGCATGCAGGTCAAGAAGCAACAGTTAGTAGAACTGGACATGGAACAACTGATTGGTTCAAAATAGGAAAAGAATACGACAAGGCTATATATATTGTCACCCTGCTTATTTAGGTTATATACAGAGTACATAATGTGAAATGCTAGCTGAATGCTAGCTCCTGAGAATTAAGATTGCTGGGAGAAATATCAACAACCTCAGAAATGCAAACAATATCTCTTCATGAAAGTAAAAGAGAAGAATACAAAAGTTGGCTTGAAACTCGATAGTAAAGAAACTAGGATCAGGGCATCTGGTCTCGTCACTTCTTGGCAAATAGAAGAAGAAATGGAAGCAGTGACAGATTTTATTTTCTTGGGCTCCAAGCTCACTACAGATGGTGACTGCAACCACCATGAAATTAAAATTTGGTCCTTGGGGGGAAAAGTTATAGCAAACCTAGACAGCATATTAAAAAGCAGAGACATCACCTTGCTGTCAAAGATCTGTAGAGTCAAAGCTATGGTTTTCCAAGTAGTAATGTATGGATGTGAGAGTTGGATCATAAGAAAGGATGAGCGGCTAAGAACTAATGCTTTTGAAGTGTGGTGTCCCTTGGGACTACAAGGACAATCAATCCTAAAGGAAATAAACCCTGACAGTTCCTTGGAAGGATAGACACTAAAGCTGAAGCTCTAATACTATTGCCACTAATGAGAAGAGACATTGAAAAAGACCCTGATGTTGGGAAAGATTGAAGACAAAAGGAGAAGGAGACGATAAAGGATGAGACAGTTAGATAGTGCCATCGATGCACTGTACATTAATTTGGGCAAACTACAGTACAGTAGAGGCAGTCCTGGCACCCTATAAAGAAGAGTCGAACACGACTTAGTGACTGAACAACATAAAAATAGTGGTTAAGGTGCTGAAGCAGGCGCCATGTCCCCCCAGGTGCTAGTCCCTCCTTAGGCATGGAAGGGGCTAGGTGTCTTTGGATTTCCCCTAGACTGGGAAATTGAAAAACCTCTATCTAATAACCCCTAACTGGACCAGTGTGATAATTATTGTCTATAACTGTCAATAAAGAGGCGTTCATCCTGCAGAATCCAAACCTATAGATATATGCACCAAAACTTGAAGTTTCAGAGAATTGAGCAGACTTGGCCATGGCACAGCAGGAACTGAAAACTGTTCACTTTCATAATTTTGTTTCTACAACAAACTGAAATGTATGCTAAAAATGTTTTTGTAAAGAGAAATTTTGAAACACTAGGAGCTATCACTGTGCACACAGAGATGGATAATCAGAAAAATGAAGATGGTACACAATCAAAGCCCTATTAGAATATGGAAGCCATATTAGGCTGGAAGTTTCCATGCTGCCATCCCTTTTATGTGCATGTGACCTCAGTACAGATACAAAAGGGCCAGACATCAATATAGCAGTCATAATTCCCATCAGATTTTGCTGACTCTCCCCATGAATGCCCTTGCTATGGGCTGACTTGGTTATATTAGGCCATAATATAATTTGTTTGGTTTTCAACTAACTTCTGTTTATGGAATAAATTGCATTTTGCTGAATAAATGCAGCAAAATGCAATTTATTCTGTAAATTGTATACCAACGAATCATTAGCACAATAAATAAATCCAGATACTTGCTTTCTAGTTGGGTTTGCACAGCGAATAAATCATAATTGGCACGTTAATCTAACGTAATCTAATGTTATAACTCAAAAATCAGGTTTTAGATATAAGTGAGTGGGTTTACTAACATGTTAAACCTAAGCAAAAGTAAAGAAAACAATGTTATGGCATAGGATGTGTAAACCAGAGACACAAAATTTGATCCAAAAATCTAGGTAACAGCAAAGAAATATGGAAAGCTCTGATTTTTGCTGCCTTCTCATAGGTCGATGATGGTGAACCTATGGCACGTGTGCCAGAGGTGGCATTCAGCACTCCCTCTCATGGCACGTGAGCTGTCGTGCCAGTTTAGCTCTGCTGTGCGTGTGCGTGTGCCTCCTGCCAGCCAGCTGGTCTTTGGATCTGTCACGCATGCACGGGCCCACGCACATGTGCGGGGCATGTGCGGGGGGGCACGCGCACATGTCATAGGTCATCAACATATTTGGAACAAGTCAGATAAGTGTGTCAGTCATAGCTGAATAAGATGAAGGAGACTAAGCACAATGGCAAGCAACTACAGATAAATAATGGGGTTGGAACTTAGTTAAACAAGGTTCTTCCTAAGAGTACAAGGCTTGGGTTCTAAAGGCATATTAAATTTGCTTCTTTTTTTTCCCACTGGAAAGAATTGATAGTCAATATAGGATTTTTGCATTCTGGCAGTTAATTAACATGTTCCAAACACATAAGACAAATAAGCAATTGTTATGGGAAATATAACAACATTCATTTTCTTTGACCTAAGAAGGCAAGTAACAAAGTTGTTGTTTGAGCTTACTGTAACTTCCAATAAGCAATTCCTCTTCCCATCCCTGACAAAAAGCATCTATCTTAATATAAGCAATATCCTACAATGTACTGAAAACTACTCTTCTCCAATGCATTTCTGTCTTCTAAAGTAAGCACTAGAGATCATTATTTATTTTAATTGAAATTCTACGCTTTGCGCATCCACTTTTCAATCATTTGTATAAATGATTCATGTTTTTAATCCAAAAATATTTGAACCACCTGTAGAGAATGCTACTGTGCATGCATGCTTAACATTGTACTTGTATTAAGAACCCAACAGGATCTCTGAAGCTGCAGGTGAGAATATTATGGTGGAGGAAGGAGGAGACATAGGTGACATTACAAATACAGTCCATCATTATCTTGCATTGACTGATTTATTGCAAATTATAGCTTTGGGTAAAATATCAAGCTACAGTAACTGTTTTAAGTTGATTGTATTGCCAAGGAAATGTGTCAGTGCTGCTATTTTAATTAAAGTAGGTATGTTTATCTTTTATTGCTAGGTATATATAGCATTTTAACTACACTAATGACAACGGCCCATAACAGCATATGGCCATTTGTATTTGTAGTTGCACTAGGATTATATACATAGAAACCTCAACCATACTTTACTCAGGGAACTCAATTTTCTACTTTCTTATGACAGGCTAAATTATAAATCATGAGTGGTGTTGGCACCACATATCAGCACAAAACATGATTGTGCAATATGCTGAATCACAAACTATCTGTACAACTTATATTTTGGATGACATCATGGCAGGCCAGTGTTACATCATGGATTACAGTCAGCACCATATCTAAAATATTCAAAAGCTTGTAATACTTTGACAGAATTTATATAAAATATTATTTGGACAATGTGACTTTCTACTTTAAGTCTAGCATAGGTTCAGGAAAGGAAAACTACAAGACTTAACAAACAGCATGCTGCAAAGCATCTAATTCCTACCCTAACTCATGATCAGAAATGCATTCAATTGTGTTCAATCATGGATTTTTAAAATTTCCAGAAATGATAATATTGCTAAAAGAATTTGGGGGAAGAACCTGAAAATTTAGGAAAAATGAAAATATATGCATGGTTGCTGAATTCTGAGTAATATGTCACCTTTTTATTTTTTGATGTTTAATAGAAGCAGGTAGGCAAAGTTAAAAATGCAAACAAAACTCCATCAATGTTATGATAAAACTCTTCATGAAATACATTAATTTTAGAACACTGAGAAAGGGAAAAAGCTTCTAAAAACACATTCTGCAACAAAGAAAAGTTGTATAATCACTCTCATTTTCTGCATATGAAATGCTGGCATTTCTACATTTTAGATTCTTTTTTTTCTTAACTTCATGAATTTCTAAAAATTGGAGCTCTATTTCTAAAAAGCCAACTTCTCTTTTATGTTAAGATAATTTTTTATTTGATATATTTTTAAAAACAGCTCAATTTCTTTCACATTTAACCATTTTATGAGTTCAGAATAAAATATTAATATTTAATATTTATTTTTATTAAATTTTATGATTTATAAGGGCCACCCATCTCCCTTGGTTGTGTACAAGGGTTTCTAAGAAACATTATTTTCCCTTGTGCTTTTCATACCTCTAATAACTCCGGTATTCAAAAAATTAAAAAAGGCAAAACAGCATATTTGAAAAAGGAATAACTCAACCAAAACCTTATATGTAACTGGAAAAGTAACAAGCATAATAATAAATTAATGCATTTCCTTTTCAGTATTCTCAAAAGTCATTCAGGTTTTGAGGAAAAAACACCAGTGTTTTGTTAGTTGGATAGTTAGACATAATCACAAATGTTTGGTATGCTTTCTTGGGAAAATAGGACTAAAGTGTGTTGGCTATGTTCACTGTCTTGAATTAGCTCTAAAAATAATAAAGACAGGATATAAATAATAAAAATAAATAAATATGCATTGATATATGACCAATGTACATGTCAATCATGTAGAAGAATATCTAGTTAAGGAATAACACTCTGGTAGTAAATACATCTTACGCACAGATTTTTTTAAAATTATCATATAAAACATCACATCCCAAACAACATTTCTAATTCAACATCACTGAATAAGGTGCCTCAGTGCTTAATCAAAATAAAATTGATTTAATATTATGAAGGATTTTATTAAAGCAAATAAACATTTTATTAAATCTGTGGAAGACTTGGGAAACAATTCAGAAAATGTGCTTTGGAGAACATGGGAACAAAAACTTGAGTACCTTTCTGTAATTCTATGATGCAACCACATCTTTTTTTGAGTTCACAGTGCTGAGTTTGCACTCCAGGCATTCCGAATCACCTTTTTCCAAATAATTTCTCAAGTGCAGCTTTACTAATTGTACCTTAACATTTCACAATCTCAAATCTGTTTAAAGATCAGAAACACTCAAGCCCTACAAATCAACTTACCACAATAATTTATCTGATATGCAGACCATGCATGCAAGAAGGGGTTAAAAAAGTGATCACCTCTACTGAGCTGTATGTTTCACTGCAGCGTTTGGTCAACTCGTACATTTAATTAAAAAAAAAAATTATACAAAGCTTAATTCCGAGAGGCAAAAATTGCTAAAGGTTTTAAACGTCTATTAGTTTGTAGGATAACATTAACGATCAGACCTTTGGCACAACAATCAATGCCAAAAGCCACTAAACTAAAGCATCATCTTATTGGTGTGATATATTCCATGAAGAAGCACTTTTTAAATATATCTTGGTTAAGATAGATAGATAGATAGATAGATAGATAGATAGATAGATAGATAGATAGATAGATGTGTGTGTGTGTGTGTGTGTGTGTGTGTATGTGTATGTATATGTATATATATACACACACATACATACACACACACTGATAGATTTTTCTGATTAAGGTGACAAAGATGCACATTGACACTCCATGCTCTTGGATTTTTATCCTTGATAAACGGCCGTACCTGGATCTCAGATTCATTCAACATACCAACATGAGTCTCTCTCTCCCAAGTATTCCCACAACTAGAAATCGCGTAACTTAAGACAAGGGCACTGATCAGGCCGGGCAGCTTCCTCGTTTTCGACTGCCAGGCTTTGAGCAAGCAAGGTGCGCACGTGTGACCGTGGACTGGGTGTGACCAACACACACACACACACACCGCATGCTGCCCGAGGCCAGAAGGTAGCGAAGCATCGCCTGAGGAACCTCCCTCGCCGTGCGGAAGCGTTTTGGGGGAGGGGGGAGGGGGAGACCCCCGGAGTACAGCACCCTCCCCACTGGCGGGTTGTCTCCCCCCCCCACAAGGCAACATCCTGTCCCTTTAAGAGTAGGCCCGGCCGCCGGGGCGCCTGCCGGGGGACTGTGAAGGAGTGGTCGGACGGGGGCTGATCCCGCGGCCTGGTCTAACGGGTCCCCGTTTTGCTGCCACCTGCCCCGGGCCCGCGAATCACGGCGCCTCACCTGCGTGCGTAGCTCGGCTTAGGCCGAGAGTAGGTCTTGAGTTGTCCGCCCCGCTTTTCCCTCCCGGCCTCTCGCCCCTTGCTGCGTTGGCGCTGCCTGTGTCCTGCCGCGGCGCCTTCGACTTCTGCTTCGACAAGATGGCGGCCGCGCTATTGCTGCTGAGAAGGAGGCGGCGGCTGCGGGCGCTGGGACGGCGGCGGCGGCCACTTTCGCTCACTGAGAGGAGAGGAGCAGGGACACGGGGAGCCATGGCGGGGGGGAGGAGAGGCGCCATAGCCAGGCCAGAATAATCGAAAGCGGCACCCGCAGCTAGTGCTCTGAGCAGAGACACGCCGACATTCCCCAATGGGCTTCGCCGCAACTTTCATGAGGACCTTAAGTTCATATCCCGTGCTCGGTCCCCGTACAGAACCCAAAAGAAGTAATCCAGAAACGATTCGCGTATCACTCGATTGGTTGAGTCTGAGAGTGACGGAAATTGCCGAGTGCTTTCGGCTCCTAGAAACTAGCGTGAGTTAGCAGTTCTCGCGCGAAGCTCAAGGAAAGCGTCGCGAGACTGCTGTTCCAACGGGAGCTCCCTGGAAGTGACGTATTGTTTCTCCTAATCTTAGCTAGGCATAAAAAGTAGTTGCGGGCCCAGATAGGCCTCAACTTTGATTAGGGTAATTAAGTCCCCGTTATGTGGACAGTAGGCTTACGAACACCTTCAAAAACCTTCACCGCCCTTTCAGATACGTTAAAATCGGGCCTTTTTCCTAGCATTGTCACTTGCCAATGGCTCTAGATGGCTACCTTAGAGTTTAAATGTGTCGGAAAACACACCTTTGTGCTTTAAATTTATTTTTTCTGACTGCGTGTTTCAAGTCAGCATTAAGATTTGTTTTTTAAAGAATTGGGGAAAACTGCAATATTATTTTCATTTTAAGGACTCCAGCGGAGACTCTCTAAAGTAGTTTTGGGGATTTTTTGGGTGTGTTCAAGTCAGTCTTGACTACAGGTAGTCCTCGATTTACAACAGTTCATTTAGTGCCCGTTCAAAGTTACAATGGCACTGAAAAAAGTGACATGACTGTTTTTCACAGTTACAACCTTTGTAGCATCCCCATGGTCATGTGATCAAAATTCAGATGCTTGGCAACTGACGCAGTGTCCCAGGGTCATGTGATCACTTTTTGCAACCACCTGACAAGCGAAGTCAATGGGGAAGCCAGATTCACTTACTAACTTATCAACTGCAGGGATTCACTTAACAACTGCGGCAAGAAAAGTTGTAAAATAGGACAAAACTCACTTAACAACATAAATTTTGGGCCCAATTGTGGTCGTTAGTCGAGGATTACCTGTATTGGCATTTGCTTGGATAAGTCCCTGCAGCTTTCTAGGTAACATTTTCAGAAGTGATTTGCTTTTGCCTTTTCTGGACAGAGACAAAGCGACTGGAGTAAAGTCACCTAGCTGGCTTCATGCCCAAGGTGCACTAATACTTCAAAGTATCCCAATTTCTAGTCTAGTACCAAATTGGCTGTCTGGTTTTGCCTTGGATGTGTCATCATTATATGCCTTGAAACTAATAAGGGGTATATCATTACAGGAAAGATGAATAAATCCCAAATTACTGATGTGCCATAAAATTGATGTCAGGAGGTAGACCCTTCTCTAAGATGCTTGGTCTGCAACTGGGGCCCTTGGGTCCCAAGTGCAACCACTGCCTTTATAATCAAATTTATCTGCCTTGATGCTGACTCTTCCTTCTATCTTTCACATTATAGATTTCTCAGAGCTAGTTTTAATGAATTACAGAAGAAGAGAATTGGAAGGGACACTGGAGGTCTCAGTCCAACCCCCTGCTTAAGCAGGAGGCTTGACTATACCATCCAGGACTAAGGGCTGTCCAATCTTTTCTTTAAAACCTTAGGATAGAGCACTGACAACTTCCACAGGCAAGTTGGTCCATTGATTAATTATTCTCACTGACAGGAAATTTCTCCTTAGTTCTAGGTTGGATCTCTCCTTAATAAGCTTCCATCTGTTGCTTCTTGCCCTGCCCTCAGGTGCTTTGGAGAATAGGTTGACTCCCTGTTCTTTGTAACTGCCTCTCAAATATTAATAGACTGCTATCATGTCATCCCTAGTTCTTCTCTTTATTAGACTAGGCATACCCAATTCTTGCAACCATTCATTATATGCTTTAGCCTCCAGTTGCCTTATCATATTTATTGCTCTTTGTACTCTTTCTAGCGTCTCAACATCATTTTTTGTATTGTGATCAAAACTGGACACAGTATTCCAAGTATGAGCTTACCAAAGCAGTATAAAGCAGTAGTAACACTTCACATGATCTTGATACTATCCCTTGATGCAGCTTAAGACTGCATTAGCCTTTTTGACAGCTGGAGCACATTGCTGGCTCATACTTAAAAGTGGTCATGAGTTCCCTCTCACAGTTATTGCTGTTGAGTCAGGTGCTTTGCTTTTTCTTGCCTAAATGTAAAACTTTACTTTTCTCACCACTGAATTGCATTTTGTTGGATAGAGCCCCGTGTTCAAGTGTGTCAAGATCTTTCTTGAGCCTATAACGTAAAAGGGTTGGCCATTCCCCCCAGCTTTGTCTTGTCTGCAAATTTAATGAATTCCCCTTCTAGCTTTTCATCTAAATGGTTTATGAAGATGTTTAAGAGTACTGGGCCTAAGACAGAACCTTGTGGTACCCCACTGTGTGCTTCCTTCCATGTAGTTGTGTTGAAAGCATGTTAATTTGAGCTTGGTCATTTTATTTACTGAATTTATTTAGCTGCTTATCTCACATATTTTTATTTATTTAGAGAATTTATAGGAGCCCTGGTGGCACAGTGGTTAGAATGCAGTATTGTAGGCTAACTCTGCCCACAGCCTGGTGTTCGATCCTGACAAGCTCAAGGTTGACTCAGACTTCCATCTTTCCAAGGTTGGTAAAATGAGGACCCAGATTGTTGGGGGCAATATGCTGACATTATAAACTGCCCAGAGAGTGCTGTAAAACATGGGTTGGTATATAAGTCTGAGTGCTATTGCTATTGTTACATGACTAATCACTCACTCACTCGCTTTCAGTGACTTTGGCTGGCTACAACAATAAAAAACCCAATATAAAAAGAATAAAACAATAACACACACACACACATGGTGACAAGCACTCAAGCAAGCCACTTGATGGGCTCCATCCAGTAGTGGGTTTCAATTTCGGTCGCTACTGGTTTGCTCATAGGCGCACACTGCCACCACCGGTTCACCTAGTCCAGGGCAAACCAGTAGCAACCTACAACAGGCTCGGCAAACCAGGTCTTCAGGGCCTTGCAAAAGAATTTCAAAGTGGAGGCTGGTCTAATCTCTGCGGAGATGATATTCCGAAGGGAAGGAGCCACCAAAGAAAGCCATCTGGGTCCTGCCAGATGTGTGGCTATGTGGCTTACAATAGAATATTGTGTAAGATTTTATATTTGTTCCTCAACAGAGAATAGTCATTTGATTTATTCTGAGATTCATTGGATTATTGGCTATCTTGGTATTTTTGAATCTTCTACAAATCAATATTCAAAAGTGTCAGTAATCTTTCTACCCTGCTTCTTCAAATTCCAACTTTAGCCTGCGTAGTGCAACCAAGTAAGAACTATTTTCTGCATGATTCTTTGTACAAAAGACACACTGCAGCATGCAAATATATTTTCTAATGCCATCAATGTTACTTTGCAAAGTTCTAGTGTAGTATACAGTATTGTTTGATTACTCGTTCCTTTACCATTGATAGTTGATCTTATTGTACCTGTACTTCTTTAATCTTCTTTAATCTTATCACATTTTTACTGTGCTCATTGAGTTTCATTACTAGACCTGCAAATAATTTATAGTTTCAAGCTCGATAGCTTAATCAGATTGATGTTTTTCTCATCTCTTATCAATATCAATTTGAACTTGACCATAAAACTCAATGATTTCCTTTTCTTTTGCATTAGAGGTTAGAGCAGGGGTGTCAAACTCAAGGCCCGCGGGCTGGATCTGGCCCACAGGGTACCTAAATCTGGCCTGCGGGGCTGGCCAGGAAGTAACAAAGGCCTCTGGCAGCCAAAATGGGGATGGGGGGGGCGCCCCCCCCAGCACCCTGTTTTTAGCCTGGACGGCCTCCTGCAGCACTCTGCCAGCCAAAACAGGGCACGAGGTGTGGGCTGGCAGGGTGCTGCAGAAGGTATCTGTCCCATCCTGCCGAGAACAATGCTAATCTGGCCCGCGAAGAAATCCAGTTTGACACCCCTGGGTTAGAGCATAAAGATGAATAATTGTGACATTAGAGGACTGTCTTGAAGTCTAATTGATCATTGGTCATTGATAGCATTGTAGCTAAAAACATCCTGCTACAAGTAGTCCTCATTTAGTGAACATAGTTGGGGCTGGCAATGATTAAGTGATGGGGTTGGCTAAATGAAAGCACTTCTGTGCTTATGATCTTTCTTCAGCTTTTCTTTGCTTTATAGACTTGCAGGGATTTTCAAATTTGAAGATTGGTTGCAAGTTATCACTGTATAAGCAGTTGTTAAATAAGAACAATCTATATTATTTCCTGACTATGAAAGGGATTATCTGGACCCCTTTCAATCAGGATTCAGGCCCGGTTACACTCTTGTTGTTTGGTGAAAGCGGGATGGGAGTAGTACAATCATCCTTGCTCTCCTTGACCTCTCAGCAGCCTTTGATGCCATCAACCCTGGTACTCTTTTGTGCTGGCTACAGGATCTGCAGCTGGGCAACACAGTCTGGTTTGGCTCCTTTCTCCAAGGCTAGTCCCAATAAGGAGTGAGAGATCCAGGTCTTTTAAAAGAGAGACTGCACACAATAACACATAGTCCATCCATTGCACTATCCTCCTAGAAATAAGCAATTTTATTACTATATCCATTCTACACAAAGACTTTCACAATTAATCTAAAGTTTTATTTTAAACTGAACTTTCAAATTGTTTTACTGAAGGAAAAAAAATCTCATGTCATGTTTTCTGAAAATTAGACAGAATAGATTATAGAAAGAAAATTGATATGGTATCTATGGAAATTCTCAGTCATCCAGGTCATGGTTGTCCCAAAGGTGCTTTTTTCAATAGGCAACTGGACTTTCTGTTTTTTCTTTGAAGATGTTTCGCTTCTCATCCAAGAAGCTTCTCAGAGCTGAAGAAGAGCTACCTCATTTTTTTTCTGGAAAAAAATGAACTTTCTTTGTGGTTATTTTCCCCTTTGTTTTAGTCTCTTCCAATATCAGTTTACATGAAATGTCCCCTTTCCATTTTAGAGTCTATCTCATCATTGCTAACTATGGGCTTTTGGTTATCATGGTTATATATATCTTCTTTTTTATAATTGCCCCGAGTATCAGAATCGGGACAGTATGTTTTAGGATATGGTTCATTCTCTGCCTTTTTTCTTCTTATTGCCCCCATTCCTCTGATAAGGAAACCTTCCTCATTGAGCTGGAACTTTTGCACTGCAGTTTGTCTTCGGAGGTTATAAAGATCTGCCAGTTGTCGTAGCTCTTCTGGTAACTCCATAGAAGATATCTGATTAACACAGGAACACAAACAAATGAGAGCAGCACTTGATTATCATCATTTCTTTGAAGTGCTATGTTTTATTGATGAATGAGGTAAATATGAAGAATACAGCACTTTGCACTGAATTCAGAAGTTCCCTCATTTCTTCAAGGAATTTTTTAAATATTTTCTATAATGTTTGAATGATATTTATGTTTGAGGGGATTTTACTAGGGCTGTGCAAGTTATTTGACAAAGGTAATCGGCAAAGTATGTTTAAAGCCCTATTTTCAAAACATTAAATCAGCTCTGTTCTTTGAAAAACTTCACACATGATTATTGACATGTGTTTGGCCACATACAGCCAGGCTTTCTATCCCAGCATTAAAATGAGGTTTGCATGGATGCACATGTATAAGCAAAGTTCAAAGCTGCAGCTGTTTGCAGACTACCTGTTTTGAATCCTTTGTACACACTGAGTATTTACTGCATATTTTCAATATGAAATTCACTAGTATTCCCAAAAATATTAAGCCACTGATCATTAGATACATTAAAATATCACTTGTTGCTTGTATGTACGCTGAGAGCTTATGCACTGGAGACAAATTCTTTGTGTGTCCATTCATACCTGGCCAATAAAGAATTCTATTCTAAAAACAGGAGTTGTACCAGTTCCAATACTACTATTATTTTGATATTTTGATATTTGATTTGACTTACTTCCAGTTTTATTTGATATTTTAGATATTAACATTATTTGGCATCAATTTTTATTGATTTAACTTACTACTATTACATTTTATTTAATGTTAATGAACTTTCTCTTTTGCTAATGCCCTAAAATGATATGTAATAAAATAAGAAATATAGATAAAACAAATATTATTTTCACAATTAAATATAGTAGGAAGAATGAATAATAAAATTTTAATGTACATGTTCTGCTGAATGAAAATTCTGAATTAATATGAATACTAACATCCAACTCAATGAGCTTTGTGTCTTCTCTCGCAATAAAATGTAAAGCATGTTATGAAGTTTTGCAACTGCCATACTTCCACATAATTAAAACAGAATGATAGCAAAGGTTTTTTTTATAAAAAAAAATCTTTACTAATGCAGGGTACAGTGTCAATAAAGTACTTTAGTAGTTAGTAGATAATAGCATTAATAAATTAGATGATCCTACCCAACAGTGTATAATTGAGATTGAATTTACCTTGATGCTCCCCAGGGGATCTGCAGATCCTTGCCGAAATGAATTCAAGTAACTATCCACTAATGTTGTTAAATCAGACATAATTTCACCAAGCAGCAGCAAACGGAGAGGTAGGAGATACACCGTTTCCAGGGCTAATATATTCAACAATACAGGTGGAAGGGGTCGCAGAAACCAGACCTCAGGATCTTCCTACAAAACAGTATTTTTGGGGTATTCCTCAAAACTGCCTTGTTAGTAGAATTGCAGGTATAGTCTAATACAGGGGTGTCAAACTCATGTCGTCATGGCAGCATCATGTGACACATCAGGACTTTTTTTCCCTTTGGGCCGGGAGTTTGACGGCCCTGGTCTAACAGCAAAGAACCATTTCATTTGGAAGGGCTACAAAATATTTCGCACATAAATTCTACCTTGTTATCTGCAACATTTAGCTCAGTACCAAATGAAAGAAAAATCATGGATTAGTATTTAGGATAAGTATTAAGTATATGCTATTTTAGACATAATTTCTATTGCAACTTTAGAAAGGTATAAAATAGATAACGGGCTACAAGCAGATCTGATTTCCTTCAACTCACACCATGATGCCATCAGAGCCATCTCACCTCCATTGCTTGCTGTTTGTATTCAAAAAAAGAAACGCATTTGTCAGGCAGCCTCAAATATCGCATTAAACACTCTTGTAAAGTGCTGACCCTATGTGGAAGGTAGCCACCTGTTTCCATTGAGAACTGTAATACATCAGCAACCTATCAGAGAAAAAGTGAAAGTCACTTCTGTAGTTTACAAAAAGAAACCTGAATATAGAATATTGATACTCTTCTGTCATTATCATTTTAATATTAATCCAACAAACAGATTTTTGTAGATTTAAGAATATTTTTCAGCAAATCGGTGATATATTATTAGGAAATAGAAAGGCAATAAAAGGCTGTTATACGGTTGTAAATATCTTGACTGAGAAACTTAAGTTGTATGGAATGTTTTATGCATTATTAAGGACAGATACATTTCAGCTAAAACATTATGGAGTAGCATATTAAGCTACTTCCCTTCAAATATGGTTACATACAAGAGTATTTGACAAGCTACCTGTGTATCAAAGACATTGGACAGCACAATTCCATACTGGTGAGAAAGACAATCTGAAAGCCAACGACAATCATGGATAACCTAAGAAATATGAAGAAAAAGCAAGATAATTTTGATCAAGGAATATAATAAAAGTAAGACATTTTTTGGCTTTTTAAAAAACACAATTTCATGTTTCCTCACTATATGTTATTGGATATCTGTTTTACATAGTGTTATGTATATAGTTTTGGTGGGAAGTTTAAATGTTAATTGGTCAATTGTGATTGGTCAGCTCCCTGGCCGGCAAGGTATATAAAGGGAGCTGTGTTACTGTAACCTTTGCTGAAGTCTCACACTGAATTAAAGAGGTGTTGTTACTGTAGACCTTGCTTCCACCTCTTCAATCGCCCAACCTAAAACATAGATACATACTTTCAAAATATTCTGGTCCTCCAGTATCATTTGTAGTCCATTCTTGAACACTTGAGCTCCCAAAACAAAAATATCAAATAAGAAAACCTGACGTTTTGTTGCAACCTAAAGTAAATACATACAGAAAAGAACATACAGTAAATACATACAGAAAAGAACAAAATTATAAATCTGCTGTAATTCAAATATTAATACTAGAATATGGTTAGAGTATATTTTTGACATCTTAAGTCTAAAGATGTCACAGTGGCAATATGTTTGTTCATTTCAATTGATGCATCTGATATGGATAGCTTCTAACTAACACCTTCCATAATATCTTGATGTTTCAAAGCAAATTACAACCCCAAATACCTAGTACTCTATAGAAACTGAGAATTCTATAAAGGGCACCAGATATAAAAACAGCAAAATATAAAATACAAAACAGCAAAAATGAGGAACTGCACTGAAAGACAAAGATATATATATATATATTATTTTTAGACTATTTTTGCTAAAGAACTACCATAATTTTTTACATTTATATTCCAAATTGTAAGGCATATTGTTCATTCTTACTTGTAACCAAGAAAGTTTTCCATGCCGACACAAATTGACACCCTCTGCTGCTATACTACATACACTTTGATTTTTGATGTGCATCATCTAATAAGGAAACAAAAAAATATAGCAGCAGAATATGGAAGACATGTAAAACAACATGAAATTAGTTTTTGTATACAGTGTTAAACTGCATCATTAAATGTAGGAAGATAAAAAAGATTTTATAAGTACAGTGTGTAACAATGTCATCTACATACCAGATCCATATTTTGGGTTATACGTGTGAGAGTGCTATAAATTCTAGGCAGATCGGTACATAGATGACTTTCATGAAAACGAACTAGCAGTCAGAAAACATGATGAAAATCCCTTCATTTCACAACATATGGACAGTCTTAATCATAATTTCAACTGGGAAATTGTGAGCATCTTCGACCAAACCTAATCCAAAATGCTAGAGAATTTCTAAAAGCCTGGCACTCAGACAAATCATCCATCAACAGGCACATAGAAATTTTATTTTATTTTATTTTATTTTATTTTATTTTATTTTATTATTTTATTTTATTTTATTATTTTATTTTATTTTATTTTATTTTATTTTATTATTTTATTATTTTATTATTTTATTATTTTATTTTATTTTATTTTATTATTTTATTTTATTTTATTTTATTTTATTTTATTTTATTTTATTATTTTATTTATTTTATTTTTTTTTTATTTTTTTTTATTTTATTTTATTTTATTTTATTATTTTATTTATTTTATTTTATTTTATTTTATTTTATTTTATTTTATTTTATTATTTTATTTTATTTTATTTTATTATTTTATTATTATTTTATTTTATTTTATTTTATTATTTTATTATTTTATTTTATTTTATTTTATTATTTTATTATTTTATTATTTTATTATTTTATTTTATTTTATTTTATTTTATTTTTATACCGCCCTTCTCCCGAAGGACTCAGGGTGGTGAACAATCAGAATAACATACATATAATGTGAAATAAAAATAATTTAAAATAATTAAACCGATTTGGCTCATCAATTAAGATCCTCAGCGTAGAATTTAGATAAACTGAAAATTTATGCCAGTCCAGCTTGGTGAAATAGAAAGGTCTTCAAGGCACGGCGGAAAGTATGGAGATCTGGGATCATTCGTATCCCTGGGGATATCCTGTTCCTTAGGGCAGGTGCCCCCACAAAGAAGGCTCTCCTGGGAACCACCAGCCGACATTGCTTTACTGATGGCACCCTGAGGAGGCCCACTCTGTGGGAGCATACTGGTTGGTGGGAGGTTATTGGTTGCAGAAGGTGATCTCGTAGGTACCCAGGTCCTAAGACATGGAGCACTTTAAAGGTAAGAACCAACACCTTGAAGCGCACTCGGAAGACCACCGGGAGCCAATGCAGCTCGTGTAGGAGAGGTGTTACATGTGAGCCCCATGTCGTTCCCATAATCACCCGCGCGGCTGCATTCTGGACCAGTTGGAGCCTCCGGGTGCACCTCAAGGATAGCCCAATGTAGAGAGCATTACAGTAGTCCAGTCGGGAAGTGACGAGGGCATGAGTGACTGTGCGTAAGGAGTCCTGATCTAGAAAGGGGCGCAACTGGCGAATCAGGCAAGCCCGATAGAAAGCTCCCCTGGCCATGGCTGTCATATGTTCTTCTAAAGACAGCCGCGTGTCCAGGAGGACACCCAAGTTGCGAGCCTTCTCTGTGGGGGCCAATGACTTGCCCCCAATAGTCAACGATGGTTTCAGCTGGCTATATCGGGACACCGGCAGCCATAGCCACTCGGTCTTGGAAGGATTGAGTCGGAGCCTATTTCTCCCCATCCAGATCTGCATGGCTTCGAGGCACTGGGACATCACTGCAAGGGCATCATTGGGGTGTTCTGGGGTGGAGATGTACAGCTGAGTATTATCAGCGTAAAGATGACACTGTACCCCAAAACCACGGATGAGCTCACCCAGCGGCTTCACATAAGCCGCTGAGAGGTCTAACAGGACCAGAACAGAGGAACAACCCGTCCCGAGCCCTCCACAGATCATCAACCAATGCGACCAATGCCATTTCAGTGCTGTAACCAGGCCTGGAGCCGGACTGGAACGGATCTAGGTAGACAGTTTCATCCAGATACTGCGGGAGTTGCTGTGCTACCACACTCTCAACAACCTTTTCCAAAAAGCGAAGGTTGGAGACTGGACTGTAGTTTGCTAATACAGCCGGGCCCAGAGACGGCTTCTTGAGGAGGGGCCTCACCACCGCCTCTTTCAGGGCGGAAGGCAAGAAACCCTCACTCAAAGAAGCGTTTATAATTCTCTGGAGCCAGCCTTGTGTGACCTCTCGGGAAGCCAGTACTAACTAGGAGGGGCACGAGTCCAATAAACATGTGGTCACGTTCAACTTCCCCAGTAATCTGTCCACGTCTTCAGGGGTTACAGGGTCAAACCCATCCCAAATAACATCTTCAAGACCTGCCTCCATCATCCCGTCTGAACCCACCCAGTTAGAGTCCAAACCTTCCCAAATTTGAGCGATTTTATCGTGCAGATATTGTGCAAAATCCTCAGCTCGACCTTGTAAGGGGTCTTCCCGAGCTCTCAGGTTGAGGAGGGAGCGGGTCACCCTAAACAAGGTGGCTGGGCGATTTTCTGCCGATGCAATAACAGCCGAAAAATAGTTATACTTTGCCGCTGCTATCGCCACTAAGTCGGTCTTAATATGAGACCTCACCAGTGTTTGGTCAGATTCGGAACGACTGGCTCTCCAACTACTCTCCAGGCGTCTTTTCCAGCGCTTCATTTCCCTCAGCTCCTTGGAAAACCAAGGAGCCGAGCGATTTCGACGCCGGGTCATAGGCCGCAAAGGCACAACCCGATCCAAAGCACCAGTGGCCATCCTATCCCAGGCTGCCACCAGGTCTTCAGTTGAGTTGTGAGCTAAAGTCTCAGGAAATGGCCCAAGCTCCATCTGGAATCTATCAATTTATCCATCAGATAAACAACATCTATATCCCATTCAAAAGAGAACAACAAAAAAGAAAACAAGACCAAAACACCTCACCAGCAATGAACATCTAGATTAGAGATTAATACCAAGATTAACACTAGATCAACAATCAAGAAGTAAACCATGTTCCAATCAAGAAACCACCAAATAAGAACAGTAAACAACAGCCTAATGAAGAAACCACCTAGACTGCTCCCACCAACATTGACAAGGCAAGGTATTAGTATATAAAATGAGAGCAAATTTCACTCCCTTCTAATACTGATAATGTTACCTAGTTTGGTAATAAAATGTCTGCAAGAAAACAACCAAGCTCAGAGAGCACACACTATAAGCAATTAAAAAGTGTGCCATACATAGTGCCCAGGGTCATCTTATATCCACTGGGTTTATTCTTAATTTAGCTCCACAAATATGACAACCTTTTGGAGGTGAGGGGTATGGAGAAGAAAACTTTGATCCATTGAAGGATTCTTCTGCTGGAAATGGAGAAGTTGCAATATAGGAGAATTCAATACAGATTTTGCCACTGTTCAGGAAGATTCCATGACTCTTTGAAATAGTTGTTCAGAAGAGCAGAAGAGTAATGACTAGAAGGAGAGCATGCTGATTTCACCATTTCCAATGCATGCTCCCTAAGGTAGCTCTCCACTCAAATGTGACTGACCAAAGGACAGCTGCATACCAAGCTCCAGATGAGGGCATCACTAGAACCTTAATTTAGGACTCAGAATGCAACTACTCTTCAATTTGCCCTGCCTGGATACAGAGCTACACTTTTCACTTTAAAGCCATAAAGAGGGGTGGTGACTATGGGAGCAGGCCATGCTTTAGCTGTGATGACACTGAAGTTAGGAATTCAGCTGCTCCTTAGCCTGCCCTGCCCAGAAACAGACCTGTTTCTTCTCAGACGATGATCTATAGTGCCTGGTTAAACTGGCAAGCTGCAACCTATTTCTAGCAGTCACTTCCCCTGCTATGTGTGCACTGAGTAAGAAATTTCCTATTCTCTCTGCTGCTAGCAAGATGGCAGCTCCTTTTTTCTCTCTCCTCATCTCCATCAGATCTTAATTTTAGATCTCTGAAGGCACACTTCAGTTTTCTCTTGGTCTGCAACAAGGCAAGTCTACCAAAGCATTTTATGAACAAGGAATCAAAATTTCTATCCCAATACAATTTTCTGAGTCAGTGGATTGTTTGAATTTTGGATCCTGATTAGGTGATCTGGAGGAGAGAGAAGACTGGAATAATTTGGTTACCATATTTAGGCTCAAATATTCAAAACCATAAACAACTATGCTTCTCCATTAATTATAGTAGAAAATTCTAAATTGGATTTTTTTTGTTGTGATTTTTTCAGCATAAGAAATTTACATTTTAAAACATATAATGCTATTTTCCCTATTTTTTTAACTTAAGATTTTTATATCAACATATAAAAGGACTTCACTATTGCAGCCCTGGAACAAATCCTCTTGAGGTACTCAGGATGATTTTATTTTTTTTTTAAATTTGATTTATATGCCACCCTTCTCCGGAGACTCAGGGCGGCTTACAGTGCATTAAGCAATAGCCTTCATTCTTTTGTATATTTTATACAAAGTCAGCTTATTGCCCCTACAACTGGGTCCTCATTTCACCTACCTTAGAAAGGATGGAAGGCTGAGTCAACCTTGAGCCTTGGAGAGATTCGAACCAGCAGAAATTGCAGGCAGCTGTGTTAATAACAGGGTGCACTAAACCACTGTACTATCAAGGCTCTTTGATTTGAGTTTAAGACTCCTGGGATATAGCAAAATAATAAAAATACCCTTGAGAAGAAGCAACTACTTACAGCAGAACCAAATGTCTTCTGGAATTGATTAATAACAATATATTCTATGTCTTCCCCGCTATCTTCATCTGTAATAAAAAATTAAAACAACCTCTGAAAGTGTTAACTTTACCTGTAATCACTATATAATCTCCTAAAGTACTTTCCAAATATATATGTTGCTTCTTCCTTTACAAGAATAGATATACTAAGATTAATAAATCAAACCAATCAAGATAAAGCTGGTTTAGACAGTAAATGTGCTTTTTCAAAGCATCCTCACATACGATGCCTCGAAGACCAAATTATTCAATAGGATTTTTGGTAAGCAGTATTTTGCTAGCCACTTAACAAGATAAAGAATCCCTCAAATTAAACCTCATTCCTAATATTGGTTTGCTTTATTCCACAGCTGAATATTGTGCCAGCATGTGGCTTAACAGCGCCCACACCCAAATGGTTGATGTCTAACTCCACCAGACAATGTGTATCATCTCTGGAATGTTGCATTCCACTCCTGTGCACTGACTACCAGTATTTAGCAATATCATACCGGCCCCATGTTATAAGACAACAAGCTCTCCTTCAGCTCTGGTCAAGGATGCTGAACAACAAGGCCATCCTTATTCACCAGCACAATGCAGGGTTTATCTCAAGATTGAAATCCCATAGGCCAGCATGGAAAACAGCAATTCACTTGACATCTACCCAGTTTAACCCCCAGTTTAACTACCCAGTTTAACCCCCAGAATGCCTGGAGAAAGGAATGGTCCAAGCTAGCTTCTTGTAGCCTGATCATTGGTGATCTCTCAACCAAGCCACCTGGTTTTGACCTGCCTCACTCTTTCTGGACAAAATTGAACAGAATTAGCTGTAATACTGGAAGAAGTGCTTCTGCCCTATATCAAGAGGGATAGAAAGATTCCCCTTGTTTGTTTGTGGTGCTGATATACATACTATTAAACATATTGTGCAAGATTGCCCACAACATGCATTCTCTGGTTCCCTAGAAGACCAGCACAAAACAATGCCAGAGGCAGTCTGAATAACTGAATTGGACATTCAGTTATGAGGCCACTGCCGTATTCCCACAGAAGTTTTGAACATAATTATGTGGATTGTGTGTATATGTTTATTTCTCTTTTGTCATGTTCTCCTCATCTGCTAAATAAATTAATGCTTTCTAATATACAGTTTTTGTACACAAAGATTCCATTTGGCTCTATTATTAATCCATACATCTATGAACTATTTTAATAAATATGTTTTGTTATTTGAGTTATTATGGGTGGTTGTACAGGAACACGTTATATTTTTCTTCAGTTACAAATGGAGCTCTATGCTTATAAATAAGATTAAATATATCTTTGCTTTTTCCTGTTTTTAAAAACTACTATTTTAGGTTCCAATCCTACACTTAATAGTATACATTAGAAGCCATGGTAGTTGAAAATCAATGTCCTCTTTTGCTCAGATGGACATATGCTAATATGAAGTTAATATTTGAGATATTTACTTATATATTCAACTTATACAGTTGCCCATCTTACATTCATGACTCTAGGAAGTTTACAAATAAAACAAACAGTACCCCCCAAAATTAAAAAGCCATACAAACAATAAAAGCATATATACTACCAAAACACTTTGTTTGTTTGTTTGCAACCTTCAATAAGCCCAAACCGAGTATCATTGTGCAAACATCTGAATCAAGGTAACTCAAATCCACTAATTTATAGAATGCATACTAAATCTGGGACTCAAGCCCATTATCTTATACAATGTGTCCAAAATCCAGGACTTATTACTTCCATGTGAAGACACAGACTGAGGATAATTAGAACTGCAGAAAAAACAATTGCTACCAACCTGCCTTCCATTGAGGACCTGTATACTGCACGAGTCAAAAAGAGGGCTGTGAAAATATTTACAGACCTCTCACATCCTGACATAAACTGTTTCAACTCCTATCCTCAAAACGACGCTATAGAGCACTGTACACCAAGACAACTAGACACAAGAACAGTTTTTTCCCGAACGCCATCACTCTGCTAAACAAATAATTCCCTCAACACTGTCAAACTATTTACTAAATCTGTATTACTATTAATCTTTTCATTGTTCCCACCACCCATCTCCTTCCACTTATGACTGTAATTTTGTTACTTGTATCCTTACAATTTATATTGTTTCCTGATTGCTTATTTGTACCCTATCATTAAATGTTGTACCTTATGATTCTTGATGTACGTATCTTTTCTTTTATATACACTGAGAGCATAGGCACCAAGAGAAATTCCTTGTGTGTCCAATAACATTTGGCCAATATTCTATTATTCTATTCTATTCTATTCTATTCTATTCTATTCTATTCTATTCTATTCTATTCTATTCTATTCTATTCTATTCTATTCTATTCTATTCTATTTTCTATCATGTAACTAAAATTTCAAGCATCTTCACATCAAGTTATTGCCACTGCAGCATCACCGCTGTCATCTGAGGTCATGTGATCATGATTTTTTGATGCTCCCTGTCAGCTTTCCCAGAAACAAAATCAATGCGGAAGCCAGTAGGAAATCAGAAGTCACCCCGTGATGATATGTTGTGGCCAGGATTCCCAGGAGGAAAGGAGTACATTCCAGAGGAAGAAGAAGCAGTTCAGTTCAGATAGTTTGTGTGAGACCAAGTGGATGAGGATAGCCCCTCCCTAAAACTTATCAGAGTTTAGGCGTGATATAGATAGTAGGGTGCTTCAGTTTTCAGTTTGCATGTTTCTGTCTATAGGTGTGGAACAGTAAAGAAAAGTAAGAAAGAATCAACATTCTTTGTTTTGGGGGCCTGACACTTCTATTCCCACTGCTTTTGTGCCTGCCCGTTGTCATTTTACTTCTTGATTTAGGTAAAAAAAAAATTCTGAAAGGATGAGCCAACAGTTCATGGGTTGTTTAGTTAAGAATTAAAAGTCTTAGAGGAAGTTACCCGAAGAACATAGATACTCAAGAACAGTATAGCCATTTTATGAGCTCTGCACCACTCTCTGATCCCTGGAGTCAGAAGACAAAACAGGTTTTCTGGCTTTCCTGGAATAATCATCAACATGACTTTGGGAGAAGTGTTGTTCCATACACAGGGTGCAGCAGCAGAATGGCCCATCTCCTGGGTCCCAGCAGATGACATTCTCAAGTGGACAAAACCTTCAACAAGCCTCTTCTGCTGCACCTGATGGGATGGAGAGATGTCATCGGGGAGAAGTGGTTCCTCAAAAACCTGGCCTCATGCCATGTTAGCTCAAGAACTGAAGATAAACAAAGAACCACTTCTGTTTCTGCCATCAAAATCCACCCTATGATAAAGCTTACAATAAAGCATTCTTTAGCACATGTATTAGTTCTGTATTATAATATTTGGACAGTCCACGGGGGATCAATTCACTCAGTGTATTCTCCCCAACAAAATGTATGAATAGTCACCAATAGAGAGATAATAAGACAGTAGAACCTCATGTCTTTTTTCTATTTTCTGTTGCAGCTCCTATGTTACAATACAGAAAGCTTTCACCTGAGGTCAATTCAGCAGCAATCTCAATAGCCTTCTAGAAGCTAGTAAAAATAAAGTTTTTCAGCAAGTATTTGAGGAATGATACATATGTATTATCAGTATTGATAAAATGTATTGTTAAGGTATTGGTGTTTTAGTTTAAATATTGGATTATTATTGTAAACTCCTGGAAATCTGAGCACATTATTGCAGCATATGTATCTATGTAAATATATTACCCTGTTTCCCTGAAAATAAGACCTCCCCAGATAATAAGCCCAATCGGGCTTTTAAGCGCATGCGCTAAAATAAGCCCCCTCCCACAATAAGATCTCCCTTAAAATAAGACCTCCCTGAAAATATTTAACTGCATGCGCAGCTGGTCCCCACCATTTCCTCTGGTCAGGGTTAGGGAGATAGAGCTGGAAATCAGGTAAGATGGCAAGAGGAGCCCCGTCTTGCTCCACATGCCCCAAAATAATAAAACCATCTTGAAAATAAGGCCAAGCACTTTTTTCAGGGTTCAAAAAAATATAAGACAGGGTCTTATTTTCGGGGAAACACAGTATTTGTGTAGATAAATAAGATATTTCAAAAAATGGAAAACCCGACATGCCTTTTAGAAATATGTGAATGCAATGTATGTCTCTTGAAGAAAAAGAAAGTTGAACTTCAAAAGGTTATATGAAAGATCATATTTGTAATATGACTAGGAAAAAAGAGGCCAAGTATGTGCTAATTGGATTCTGTACTTCTCCATTTTTCTGCTTTTTCTAGTTTCTTAGTTAAGCTTTTCTAGGCATAATAAGCCTAAAGTTAAAGGCTTCCTTGAGTTGAAATCAACATTTGATGGCTATATACTCTTTATCAATGTGATGCTTTTGGTGGCAATTCAAAAATGGTTTTCCCTTTTTCAGCTTCCCCATCCGCCCTGTAACCTTGGGATTTACTTGTGCTCTTTCATTAAATGAGACCAGATCTAAGCCAATTTAGTTGTGAGGACCAAGCCAGATTCAAAGAGCCTGAGACTTCATAGACCTATTACCATAATAGTTCACAAACATCAATTGTTCCTTCAACTGAAAATCAACCAGGTCTCATTCTGGTCCATAGTAGTATTTAGGGACATAAAAAGAGATATAAAATTTTAACCTGAGGACAGACTGGAAAAAAGAAAGGGGGCCAAATGGCTTTAGGTTTATAGCTATTCATTGCTAGCTTTCTTTTCTAATGTCAACTTTTCTAATATTTAGAATTAGCTAATTATCTAATCAATTAGCTAATCAAAGAGCTGTGTCCTGGAATCTCCACAGACTAATTCTTAAGTAATGGTTGGAATAAAATCTGACAGGAACTTTTTTTCAAGATCAGACAGGGTTGGCTAGATGTTGCTACCTGTTGAGACATTTTAGTCCATCAAAAACTTAATAATTGTTTCTTCCTGACAAATGTGAGGAAAACCTAATTTTGTCATTTAGAGGTTTGCCACCAAATTTCAGTAATATGTGATCTTGGATGGTTCTAGGGGTTTCTAAACACTAAGATGATAGTAGAAGAGGTATCAGCAATCTCCTCAGTGAACCATAATAAAGCCAAATTGACAAAACAAAGGTAATATCCTCAGACAAATGCTGTCATTACATATTTCTACCCTACATTTGCATGTCATTGTCATCACATACATTTTATCATTTGCCACCCCATTCTGTGAATGTTTATGCATTGTGCAGGACATAAATGATTTACAAATTAAGTACTAACATGAATTTTTGATAATTACCAGGAAATTAAAACTTAACATTACCCAAACAGAGTTGCTGGCTCATTGGGGAAACAACATTAGCTCTATGGGTGCTTTGATCCAGCAGTGATCCTTGGTCGATTTCAGATAACTTAGTAAGTGGAAATTCCCTGCAGAAGATATTATTTGAATTTTGTTTAATAAAAGTAAAATTGCTGGCAGGATACTGGTTACATTTTAGCCTACCCAAACAAAACTGTTTTACATACAGTAATGAGGTTTTTTTTTAATCAAATATACTTTTGGCTGCAGATGTTAACTGTTCTTTAAATATTGCTTTATAGCTAATTACTCAAATGTCATTCAAAAGGAAAAAAAAGGGTTTTAGCTTTAGCTGAATGCATTACCAAAGGCAAGCTCAATCATAAAGATTATGATAAGAAAGAACTTTAATGCATCAAATAAGGCAGCACCTGAGGCATGGCTAGCCGGTAATGGAGCAGAAAAGCTAGATCTAAGGAATTCCACCTTAACACATGTATAGACTTTGCCCAAAGACAAAGAAATGTAAAATAAATGGCCTATAATTTTCTTAGTTATATCTTACAAAATTTTGAAAAACATAACATTCGGGAAGTAAATGGCAGTTTCAATGCAACCATCAGTTGAAAGTTGCCTACAATACCAAGTTTTCACAGTCACAGTCCCTCCTTCCCTGGAACAACACTGCTACCAAGGTTAGATTGGCTCCCATCCTATTGGTTTTTTTTTAGAAAGCTATTTATTCTGCTATTTCATGAAGTCCTAGAAGTAGCATTGTGATAAGGGGAAACCCTTGTACTTTCGATCAGCTTTAGTTGGTGACCAGAAAAAATATATTAAAAATAGCTAAAAAGAAAAAGCAATAATATATAGACTTGTATCAACTGTTGCTTCATTTTCATTACAGTAAGACAAAATTTAGCTACTGTGTGTGTCATAAATAATTTCATATCTGTAAGAATTGGTTTACAGAATAATTATCCATCCTTCCTGGGTTGACCTGCCTGAGCACTGAGGGTTAAGATGTAATTATCCCAAGTATTCCTATAGAAGTTACAATATAAGAGCTTGCAACGAACTGCTTGTATCTCCACAGACCTGCATGGATGGGTAAACTTCATTTTAGGTAGTCCTTGACTTACATCCACAAGTTGGGATCAGAATTTCCACTGGTAAGCAAGGCAGTTGCTGAATGAGCTGCACTTGACTTTACAACCTTTTTTTTGCCACTGTTGTAAATGACTGCAGTTGTTAAGAGAATCATGCAGTCATTAAATGAATCTGGCTTCCCAGACTTTGCATGTTGGAAACTGGCTGGGAAGATCATAAATGGCAATCACATGACGCTGGGATGTTGCAACTGTTGTAAATAGGTGCCAACTGCCCGAACGTTGATCAGGTGACCTTGGGGATGATGCCATAGTCATAAAATGATGACTAGTCATGAGTCACTTTTTCAGTGCCATTATAACTTCAAACAGTTGCTAAAGTGATAAGTCAAGGACTACCTATGGTGAGGTTTTATAGTACTATCCTGCAAAGTGAAGATCTCCCTCTTATGGCTTGATTTTTGTCATTCATCCTTGGTGGGCGCTGACAGTAAACAACAGCCTAATCAAGGAATCATCAAAAACATTCCCAGCAATGCTGACAGGGTAAGCCACTAGTATATAAGAAGGGAGCAAATGCTACTCCTCTCTAGCACCGATGATGTTACCAAACTGGGTAATGAAATGTCTGCAAGAAAACAACAAAGCTGAGAGAGCACTGAGGACCCCATAGTAAGATGGGTGTCTTCATCCAACATTTGTGGATTCAATCATGATTAAGGCAAAACTTAGTTAAGGCTTAGTACAATATATGAATCTAGGTAGAATCTCTACTGCAGCTAATTTCATTTTAATTCATTATAACAATTTCTGACAAGATATAGAAGAGATGAGATCTAAATAGGACACTAGGAAGTTGTCTGACTTCTTAGCCAGTAATTTACATAATTTTGGGGTGAGAACCTTGAAAGCACAACAATATGCACAAACAGTCATCCTTATCTTATTGATATTAAAGTAAAGTAGGTTCATGACAAATACATATTTATAGTATGATGGTATACAACAGCATTTCTTTGGCTGGAAATAATGGTATAGAACTTGAACACTAAATTGGAGAAAGCTATATTATATATTATGGATACACATACTATATATACTCTCTATACACATACATTATTAAATAATAGTAGGCAGCCTTAATTTCTTTATGTTCCTGGTCCACTTAGGCTTGATAGATCACTAGTATACAAATAAGATTTCCCACTGAGAATAAATAGCTTTTCCTAATACTCAGGATATCTCAGTCATTTCTCACAACCAAAACCTCATGTGTACCTGGATCCAGTAGGAGTGAAATTTCTTTCTGCAGCAGGTTGTTCCAGGTCATCAAGCAATTCCACTGAAACATAGACCAACAGTTCCTATTAAGGATTTAAAGTTCAATCAGGAACTATACTTAGTAACCAGATGAGATAAGTTAAAAGTGAATAACGACATAGTAATAAGTAAACCTGCCATGATTAGGGCATGATAGAAAATCCAGTAGCAACAAACTATGAAATGTGCATGTTACATACCCCAACAGGATTACATAATTTTACATGCAAGCTTTATACAAACAGAATATAGGCTGCAATGGTTTATTCTAAATTAACTCCCCTAAAACCATTTTGGCTTTGCTGGCAAAGAAGCTCATATTACACCATTCACATATTTGCAATAGCAGCTTATTGTTTAAGATCTTCCAAGTATGGCAAGTTCAGAAGAGTAGCTTGGCACTTTTCAAGGTTTTGAGATAGATTAGAAATAGCAGAGGGAGGAACACAAGCAAACGTGGTTCAGAAAAACTACAAGCAGGTAATTTACCATTTTCAGAGCAATTTTTTGCAGCTTATACTGTATATTCAAATAATATACAGTCCCAAATATTTTTCCACATAAACTGGTTCTTACTTTATTAGCGCAGATAGGATTAAAATGTGAAGAAAAAGACTTCCAATGATAACTGAGGATACTGCTCACTACTATTATTATGATCCATAATTAGAACATGGAACATATAACATAGAATACCAGGATTGGAAGGGACCTTGGAGGTCTTCTAGTCCAACCCCTTGCTCAAGCAAGCAACCATTCCAGACCAATGGCTGTCCAGTCTCTTCTTGAAATCCTACCGGCTGACCTAAACAAGAAACAGAAGTCACTCTCCCACCTCTAGCTGCTGCAGTCCAACAGCGAAGCTCTTTTCACTCCTATGCCATCTAAAAAGAAAAGATACCCCCTTCCCTACCAGCTGAGTCCTGGGGCTTTGCATGTTTGACCTACGCTACAAAATCCAAAACCAGGATTTCCTTTTCAGGATCAGAAGCCAAAAGGTGGAATGAAAGATGAGACAAGAGTTCCATGTCATGTGAGAAATAGAAGATCTTAAGCAAAAAAAAAAAAAAGAAAAAAAAAAGCGCTTTATAGCAGTTTTAGAAACTATACAGGTAGTCCTTGACTTACAGCAGTTCATTTAGTGATTGTTTAAAGTGTTTTTCATACTTACCATTTAAAGTTACAATGGTCGTATGTACCGGTATGTTTTTCATACTTACGACTGTTGCAGCATTCCCCATGGTCACATGGTCAAAATTCAGACACTTGGCAACTGACTCATATTTATGACAGTTGCAGTGTCCTGAGAGTCATATGATTACCTTTTGTGACCTTCTGACAAGCAAAGTCAATGAAGAAGCCAGATTCACTTAACAACTGCAGTGATTCGCTTAACAACTGTGGCAAGAAAAGTTATAAAATGGGGCGAAACTCACCTAACAATTCTTTTGCTTAGCAACAGAAATTTTGGGTTCAATTATGGTTGCAAGTTGAGGACTAACTGTAATGCAGTTAATTTTGAAAAAAACACATGAAGGGCATATGAAAATGCCCTTAGCATGCATTGTAAGACCTAATTGCTTTATTTGACAGGTTAGCTTTCAAATCCTGTTCATCTGTAAACATTTTGCTTTAAAGGAAATGAAGATTAACTGGCTCTCAGTAAACTTTAGAAATAATGTGTGTAAAATATTGGAATTTACCCAACAGACCTTACTATAGTCTTACAAAGTATTTTGTGAAAACTGAATGATTGTGTCTATAGATTTCAATGGATCCAAATATTTTATATGTAATTAATTTATAAATAGAACCCAATTCAAAAAAATCAAAGCAATAGAATTGCAATAGTTCTTGATAAATAGTTTTATAGTAATTCATTTCATTGTTGTTTTCTAAGGCTTAAGATAAAATCAAAGATCTAATGAAACTATATTCAAAAATATATTTAAAACTTATTTCATACTTCAGTCAGCATCAAAGAATATATGGTAAATATCATTGTCAGCTGGAAATTTGAGATTAAAAAAGACACTCCTAATTAATATGAGGTCCTGAAAATATCAATTAACATTATATCAAATATCAAATATTTTCTGAATGTAATTGTAAAATATTCTCACCATTAACAATTTCATGGCCAAAGAACCTCTTTATTCCAGGTACATTCCTGCCATTTTCCAAATTCTTAACTGAAAGAAACAAACAGAATAAGCATTCTGTTTAGATAAACAAAACGTTCGGTTTAATACTAAAATTTAGAATCAATTCTGAATTGGTTAGAATAAACCAATTCTAAGAAGAATAAAATATCTTTGAATACTGTATTAGGATGTGAGAATACTCAGAAATAGTTATTTCTTCTATAAATAGTTATATATAGTTATATAACTTATTCAGAAATAAGACGTTCCCTTCCATGAACCTGTGCTTTAATTAAATATACACTACTTTTGATAAAGCTGTTTTCTTCGCTAGCAATCTTTTATGTACCAATCCAAAAATATTATACATATTATAACAAATAAATTATAAAGAAATACATTAGTAAGGCTTTGAAATCAATATGTAGAAAAGGATAACTAAAGTTATTAGGAGGCTAGAATAGTTACAATGTACTTTTCAGCTTAGAGCAAGGACTTGTATGGGTGAGACAGAGATGAAGAAAATGAGGTCAAAAACAAGTTTTTCTCTCTCAACTGATGAAATGGGTCATCCATTGAAATTAAATATGAGGAGATTGTAGATCAGGGCTGTCAAACTCATGGCCTGCAGCCCAGATGCGTCACGTGCTGGCCACGCCCACACCTGGTTTAGCGAAGGGGGGGAAAGTTGCAATATGTCACGTGACACCTCTGTGACAATGCAAGTTTGACACCCCTGTTCTAGATCAATAGGTAGTAGCACATCTTCACACACACCACGGTTAATCCAAAGAATTTACTGCATCAGATATAATGATCACTAATTTAGATTGCTTTTAAAGGAGGGCTTGATAATTCAAGAATAGCGGCCCATCAATTTATACTATCTGATAAAACCTAAGTATCATTCTGTAAATACCAGCAACAATGATAAAATGCTGTTACCATCTGTTCTGCTTGAAATATTCCCAAAGTGATCCAATTGGTTACTTTTTAATATTAGTAGGTACTCTGGCTTGATTCTGCAGGGTGAGTATATGTGTATGGGGGTCGTCAGCTTTTATTGTGTTAAAAGTATAGTAGTGAATAATTTGAACTCCACTCTTAATATTTCAAAGTTCTAAATAGCACTTGCGAGTCTTCCTGGAATTTAAAACATTGATAGATTAATCCAATACTTGTAGAAAACTGCAGAAGTGCTGTGTAATTCTTGACTTAAATGTTGGTCCATTTGTTGTATTTGCCCTTCTTGTCAGTGGAATTTAATGTGCTTGAAGCTTCAGAAAAGCAGGCTGCAATTTGCACACCACATAAATCAGAAAGTATTCCCGCTTATATGCATCAAATTAAGTTATTTGAAAGACTATCTTCTTCCATATAAAAAGTCTTCATTTGTTAGGTTTTACATTGTAAAGAATCTTCCTTGCCTCTGAGACATGACAGATGACTACTAATAAAATAGTGTCTGGTCCTAAAACTATAAAACATCTTGCTAAATTTTATTTTCAAGCACATATAATCATTATATTTGTGGTGAGAAAAACTCAGTCTGTTGTTTCAAGCTTACTATTTATTTACATATTATTCTTCCTTAAAAGCCTCAAAATACTTAAACATAAAATAATAGTAAATAAAGCCCAAAAGCCTAAAAGGCAGGAAAGATACAAACATTAAAACAAGGTTATTAATTAAAAAGCATTTAAAAATGTATTTAACATAATTATAGAATTTTCTTTTAATCTGAAAAATTAAGGCTTGTCAGGCTTTGTATATTTATTTTATGCATGTTTTAAAATAAATACAGTATTTACTATTAAGTACTTTGAACATTCAGCTATAAAGTAGGATATACATTAAAAATTGCTTGAACTCACTAACATTTTCATTGTTAAAGCAAAACACACTCTTATTTTTAAAAAAATCAAGTTTTTATAGTACTTCTCTTTTCCAGCAAACTAAATCCTGTCATTAAAAAAAAGCTTAAGCTGGCACACAAAGCGCAGCAGGAGGAGCTTTTTATACACATATTGTATGTAATGACTCATTCCTATCAAGGTGTGAAGTTAGTACTTTGGAATTTATCAATAGATGGCCGTTATTGAGTAATTTCGATGGCACAGATATTAGCCTCTTTCTGCTATTTAAAATCTGAGTGTATTTTGCTTCTTAGGTTCTGTTGAAATTCAGTATTACACGTACATAATGATTTATTTACTTACTCCTGCACAAGATACATAGTGACTAAGGATTAATATGTGAAATATAGAAAGAACTCTCAAGCCATTTGCACTCCAATGTGCCACTAATAAATTTATCATAGTGAGTTTTAAAAGCGTAACTTGAAAAAACTGCTATGAACATTTTAAATAATTAAATGAAATCTATTATGAAGCATTAATGAGCATTAAGTAAGGAGTTATTTGAATGTATTCAGGCTGTAATACTCAAGATGCAGGGAGAAATTTTCAATGAACCTAGAGGGGTAACTATTGCTAAAGTGTTAGCATTGAGGGAGATGAATTACAATGACGGAATGTTGCTAATATAAAGAAATAAATATGACTGAAGAATTAGTGACAATACTTTGTTATTGTTGTTGTTAGTTGCGAAGTCGTGTCCAACCCATCGCAATCCCATGGACGTTCCTCCAGGCCTTCCTGTCCTCTACTATCCCTCGGAGTCCATTTAAGCTCACGCCGACTGCTTCAGTGACTCCATCCAGCCACCTCCTTCTCTGTTGTCCCGTTCTTCTTTTGCCCTCAATCGTTCCCAGCATTAGGTTGTTCTCCAGTGAGTCCTTCCTTCTCATTAGGTGGCCAAAGTATTTGAGTTAGTGACAATACTAGGAGACTGTAATAACTATTTAGCATTGAGAAGTTTCTAGAAGTTCATGAAACATATTTTGGTTGATCCTGGATGGGTTCTGCTAGAAAAGATTAACAAAGCTAAGTTTTCAGCTTGGTGGTGTTTAAGATTGTCCAATATTTTAAGTCCAACTCCTCTGTCAGGAAGAATAAGCTTGATCATAATTTATCCAATTCTTTATCCAATCCAATTTATTCAATTCTTTCATCCTATATCAAATGTTCATAAAAATTATAGCAAACAAATTATTAGGAAGAGAGGAATGTTGCTTTGCTACTATATCTGCCAAGAACTCACACTACAAGTATAAAAGCTTCGGGTACTGGAGTTATTCATTTCCTTCTCAAATTTCAGGTCTCTCTAGATTGAAGTTGTAATTCAGTCCAGCATTTTTGACTTTCACAGCCAATCCAGATTTGAAGTTTTAAACAAGTTTTAGAGAAAAATGTTTGGAGCCTGATCTCTAACGAAATAACATTAAATCAAATGTTCTGAAAAATGAGACCTAATGTTGGGAATTCAGTGATGGGGTCGGGAGATGTAATTTCAAATATATTTACATACTTCAGCTTTTTGATAATCTGTGACCAAACTATGTTTTTATTCCACAAGACAATCCAGAATACCTTATTTTTATAGAAATTAGTCATCTTGACAGAGAAAATACATCAAACCCCACTACAATTTTCAGTATAAATGCACTGAATTTAAAAAGAGCAGCAATACCTCTGTTTAGAAAGATACACTGACTGGAATCCACATGTTGCAGTATCCCCTGGAATATGCCACATTTCAATGTGATGTGTACAGTTTTCCCCAAAACACGGTGAAGAAAGTGGTAATCACAGCTAGGATCCATTATGGATTTTTTCGTCCAAGGAATTGGGCATTCAGTCTAAAAAAAAACACCAAATAAATATTTTGTTATTTATAGAAGTATATAAAAATACATTAAGTAGATTATAAAATTAAAACCTATTCTCCAACCAGTGATATATAGTTTAATTACTAAGAATGAAATTATACATTGTCTGGCTTCTAATTAATCACAAGCCCACAGAATTAAACAATCATAGAAATGCAGACTAGTAAGTGACCTGTAGAATGATCTTGCATACAAAATTCATTATAAAAATAGAAAAGGCTACTCAAATAAGTCATTAACGAATAATACAACTGAAGTAAAAAATCCAAGTCCATACGATAATGTTTATAGATCAAGGACAACTGGAAAAAAAAACAATTTGATTATTTAAGAAAAGCCTATGTTTTCAATTTTTAAGAAAAAATATGAGTTCATGGGCATGTGCTTTGTCTGAGCTACAAACAAACCAATATACAGGTATTCAATTTATAGCACTAGCACTTAGACTTATATATCACTTCATAGTGCTTTACAGCCCTCTCTAAGCGGTTTACAGAGTCAGCATATTGCCCCCAACAGTCAGGGTCCTCATTTTACCCAAGATGGAAGGCTGAGTCAACCTTGAGCCTGGTGAGATTCGATCTGCCAAACTGCTGGCAGCCAGTGATCAGCAGAAGTAGCCTGCAATACTGCAGTCTAACCATTGCACCACCGTGGCTCTTATAACTGCAATTGGGACTGGAAATCTAATTGTCTTGACTTACAACCATAATAACTTACAATTGGATTTCCAGTCTCAAATTCTTTTCCTTATCCCTGTTGAAAAGATTCGTTTAAATGTTAAGAAACAACATACAGTATATCAGCAATCTACTTTTTCAAAATAAGTGTCGATAGCTGTTTAAGAATTCTTTTATGTCTCACGGTGTTGTTTTGCTTCCGGGTCCAATTCAAGGTATTGGTTATCATCTTTAAAGATCTCCATGGCATAAAACAGGTTACCTGAGGAACTGTCTTACCCCAATTACATTGACCTGTCCCACTTGGTGAGGAAGCGAGGATATATTATGGACTCCATTGATTAAAGAATTTCAATTGAGAGAGCCTATGAAGAGAGCGTTCTCTATCACTGTCCTTGCCTATGGAACATCTTACCCCCAGAGGTGAGGCTGGACCCCACTCTTTTGTCCTTCTGGAAGAACATGAAGATCTGGCTCTGCCAATTGGCATAGGAAATGAAGAGTGGCATGCAACCCAGGTGTGGGTGGGTGGGGTGGTTAGTGGTTTGAGAATGCTCCCTCTGCGTTTTAATTCATCTTTGTAACTCTGTTTTTATTCTGTTTTTCTTTTTTTTAAAAAAATAGTTTTTATTAAACATTTTTCACCTTTAAAAACAAAAAGAAAAAAGAAAAAAGAGAGAAAACAAGACAAACATAACACTGTAGAGTAGTTTTACAGCCTTCCGTATCAGCATATATGTTGTTTTTATAATTCATACTTCTACATTGCCTTCCTATCGGTTATAACAACTATAATGATATAATAACAATTATAACAATACTAATTACTTTTATTCTGTTTTTCACTGTTTTAATTTTGCTTTTAATTATGTCTTTTTAAAATGGTTTTATGGTTTGCATTTGTAACCCACCCAGAGTCATTTGAATTATGAGATGAGCAGTGTTTAAATTTCATAAATGTGCAATACAGTAGAAATAACAGACATAGTGTGTATGTGAGAGAGAGAGGAGAGAGGGGGAGAAAGAGAGGAAGAGAGAGAGAGAGAGAGATCTCAGTCTATAAAGACACTGTGGTTTATAAATTAATCTACTCTTTCTTACTGGGGTAGAGAACTATCAGCACATGGACTAAGTCCAGTTCACTGCCCAAATTCATTTACTCATAAATATTCCTTTTATCTTGATATCCCAAGGAGAAAACTAGCCTTGACAGTGCCAAATAGCTTCTGGCAGTGTTGCTTTCAATATGGACAAAGTAGGCAGCAGAATCCTCCTCTTCTTTCTCAGTTAGCATCTCCCTGTTCGCTTCCCTACTGCTCTGCTTGTCTTCATTTTTTACTATTCTGTGCTGCATCTAGTTTTGCATTCTGTGAATCAGAAGCAAACTTAATAGATATTGTTACTCTAGTCTAGATTATTTATAGACTGTACATACATACTGCTTATACACTATATGGTAATATACTGTACTGTGCATAGACAGACAATACACTGTAATATACTATAAGCAATATATATATATATATATACACACACACACACACACAACTCTATTTTGTTTATAGACTTATTTTATTCTATACTGCTTATTCAGGGAAATAAAATATGGTTGTTTCTCATATCTATATAAGCTAAAATGAACATCAGACATTCATCACCCCTGCAGCTGAAGAAATGGTGAAAAGAGATTGTCATGCAATGTCTCTCTCATTTGTTACTGAAGATATCAATTCTATTATTTACACTGCCCCGTCCCCTTTGGTTCCAGAAAAGACCTTGTGTTCTTCCTCTGGTGCCTTGTTTCTTTCTCTTCAGAGTTTCCTATACGGCAATCAGCTGCTTCATAGCTTTCTTTTCAAATTTAACACTAAATATTACAAACTGAGAATATGAATTCATATTTTCCAGAAATTCACTATTATTATATATTTAAAACCCACAGACATGGGATTTAAGAAGCAGCAGAGCAGCACAACTTCAAAGTACTTCACTTATGAAGACTCAAGTCTAAAGTTGATAAATAATATAACTGAGTATGAGTCACTTTTACAATTGTGTTTAGTTTTCTTTGTAAGTTCATGGTGCTTTAAAGTTCCAAGTAAACAACAACATATAAAAGTTATTATACATATTGCCTTTCTTTGGCAATCTATAATTATATAATTTGATGTTGATTAGTAAAACATGTTTTCCCCTTCATTTAAGGCCACTAATAAAATATCTAAAAGATAAAATATCTAAAAAATAAAAAGGTAAAATTATCGGAACTATGTTACCATAGAAAATTTGAGTATATCTTTAAAATGAAGAGATAAATCATCTACAGAAATTCAGACCAAGTCTCCCCACTTAATAGAATTAAACATTTAGGCAATGCTATCACATCTAACTCCATTACCATGAAAAGCAGCATCATGATTATCTCTGAATTTTGCAACATAATTAGATCTCTCCCCTAGATTTTAAAACTTACATATACATGCATAGCATCTAATTCAACCAGTGTAGCTAGTTTCTTGATCCCTCAGGCAGGCCTGAAAGATAGTTAACTTTATGGATGGTCTATTTTTTTGAAAGGTTTGCCATTCCATTTAAACCAGTTCTATAAACAATGAGAAACCGTCTTTCAAAACAAGAAGTTGTTGATTTTCTAGTGTTTTCTTTTGACTTAAAAACCTGGTCAATTTATATGGTAGTTTTTTGGGACACAACTACTGCTCTGAAACTAGAAAAACAGTAAAAAATTTAAATACACCAAAAAACACAAAATATATGGTAGATCTTCACACAGTAAAGCTGAGCTACAAGAGTACAAGTCTCTCATCTGGACACCATTTATATATATATAAATGTATATATGCATGTATGTATACTCTGTGTGTATATTGTACATATATACTATAAAACCAAAACAAAATAATAAATAAAACAAAAAATAGGATATTTTATCAAATCAGTAATAGTTAAGTCACTACAAAAGATACATCTAACTTACTTAGATGTTTTGTATCTAACATATAAAATGAATAAAAGCAGATTCATGTAGGCAAAGTTTTCAAATGTGTATAAAAGTAAGCCATGTAGAAGGATCCCTAGATACAGTACTATTGTTAAGTACTATTGTTAAGTACATTTTGTCAGAAGACAGTCCTATTAATGGAAGTTACTACTTAATGCAGACATTTCTAAAACTTCCTGGGGAAAAAATATAGATTTTTTAAAAAGTACCATGGCTGCTATTCCATTTATTGTATTTTACATTTCATACAAGGTCAAATAGTAATGACAAGTAAATTATCTAAGAACTTAATAAAAAATAGGTATTGGTCCTAAATTCTAAAACTCATTCCACGGAACCTACAGTTCCGTCTTTCTAATAGTAGAGAACATATGTGACACAAGTTTGAATTGTTAAGTTCTTGATGTTTTTCAAGTTTGGCTGTTTTCCCATAGATGGTTCATTACTGAGCTAGGTAACATCATTAGGACATGGGGAAATAATCTTGCTGGTTGGTTATATTGTATATAGTAGTTTATCAGCAAATCTCACTTTCCCATCCCCTGATGTTACTTAACCTGCTAAAAAAATCTGCAAGAAAACAACCTAATTTAGAGAATACCAAGAACCCAACAGTTTAGCATTCATTCAAAACCTTTCCTTTCACAGATTCACCTCAACACTTAAAGTAAGCTACAGTTGATCTTTTCAACTCATTCTCATACACATACTGAATTGAAACATCAGACTTTGGTTTTAGCATGGTAGTTCATAAAACAGGATTTATTGCTTACATGTTCAGAACTCAGTTACTTGTGGTATATTTCACAAAACATTTAAGACTTAATGTAATATATAAACCTTGCCATACATTCATATTGTCTAGCCACAGCCCAAGGAAAACAGATTTTTTTCTGATTTTCTTTATTGCTATCTTACTCATTTTTCCTCCTAAATGGTGAGGGTTTCATTTCTGATCACAATTGTTCTTTCTTCTCCTTTTCCTACCCATTATGGTAAATTGTCTTCAATCCACTCCCAACCTTAGTGTTTCCACATCCTTAAATCACAGAAACCTCTACCAGTTTTCCCGCTACCAGGCCAGAGCTCAAACTAAAACCCTCTACTTTACCAGATAAACGAATGTAGTCTGCCTGCATCCTGTTTCAAAAGGAAAAAGAACATTTGATTTATGGCCACAATTGAGCCCAGAATTTCTGTTGCTAAGCAAGAGAGTTAAGTCCCAGCAAAAGAGTTTTGCCCCATTATACAACCTTTCTTGCCACAGTTAAGCGAACCACCGCAGTTGTTAAGTTAGTAACACGGTTAAGTGATTCTGGTTTCCCCATTGTTTGTCAGTAGGTCATAAAAGATGATCACATGACCCCAGACTGCAGCCATCATAAATATGAGTCAGTTGCCAAGATCATGTGACAATAGGGTGCCACAACCATCGTAAAGTGTGAAAAATGGCCATAAAATGGTCACTTTTCACTGCTGTTGTAACATCGAGCGGTCACTAAACAAACTGTTGCAAGTGGAGGATTACCTGTACTAAACAGCACTTCTAAGAATACTGCTGGGACAAATGACATCCATTGTAATAAACATATGTTAACTGCACAGACAAGTCTTCACAGTTTGCTTGGAAAGATTTCCAAAATCTTCACCTTCTTCCTAGGACAGAGAGAGAGAGGCTGGCCCAGGATGACACAGCTGTCTTTATGCCACTGGCAGAACTAGAACTCATAGTCTCCCAGTTATTAGCCTGATGCCTTAACTACTACAACCAGCTGGCTCTTAATAAAGGTTGCCAAAGACCCATATTTATTTATTAATTCTCCCTACCATCTCTGTTTGTCTAAATTAAACACATTAATCTTGATGTTGGCATTTCGGGGACCAACATCATATTATTATTATTATTTATTGGATTTATATGCTGCCCTCTCTCTGAAGGACTCAGGGCGGCTTACATCAAACGAAACAATCCCAATAAATACAAATTAAAACAGACTAAAACAGACTAAAAACCAATTTAAAACAGTAGACCCCATGAGTCCTGGCTAGGGTGTTTAAACAGCCAGGTCTTAAACTCACGGCGGAAGGTACAAAGGTCGGGGGGCCAGCCGAAGACCCACAGGAAGTTGATTCCAAAGGGTGGGCGCGGCCAGAGAAGGCTCTACCCCTGGGGGTCGCCAGCCGACATTGTCTAGCCGGCAGCACCGAGTAGGCCCTCTCTGTGGGAACGCACCGGGCGATGGGAAGTCAATGCTGGTTGTATTGCCTACTCCCATCTTCTATTATATTTGTCACTGCTAAGATTACAGTCACCTTTCAGCGTTAAATGCTCAGTGACCCAACCTAACCAAAACAGTAAACGCTTCTATTTCCTCTACATAGGAGCTAAGGTATGGCCTCCTCACACATTCTTCTGGAACCTGGTTTGAAAGAGCTGCTCCACACCCAGATGAATCTAGAAATACCTGGGGGGTGGGGTGGGGCACTGGTTATCAAGACTAGTGTAGCCACTCTTATTAAAGCTGAAAGTAATTCCCCTTAAAGGTTTAACAAGGATTAGGAAACCCTTTGCAGGAAAACTGTCAGCCTGCTTTTTTAGAAAGCAAATTCATCTAGGACATAAATTAACACCACCAAAGCTGATTTTTTTTTTCTTCATGCCCAGAGGACTCCTCCATCCATCAATTAATCGGATCTCAAGCCATTGTGGAGACTATGTGGACATATGTGGGCAAGCCACGGCTCTCAGGATTTCTGCGTCTCATCGGTTGAGATATACTGCATTTTTGCTGGCAGCAGACAGGCAGCCGGAGTAAAGCGAGCAACCATAAAAAGGCTTTAAGAGCCCGCAACTACAATCCTCACAATGCTATATTCTGTACTGTAAAGACAAAGTAATTTTTTTTAAAAAAAAACGCATGTCACCACGTTAGGAGCCAAGGAAAACCCCTTAAAGGGATCAAAACCAACTTGACCTATAAGGGAAGTATAACCGGCGCTGTGGCTCCGCACTCCGTACTTTTCGGGGACAAGGGTGAGAGACTCGCCCGCCCGATGACGCCAGAACGGATCTCGAGGGCGAGACTGATAACGACCCGAAATGCGAGCGTCTCCCTCTGCGCAGAAGCAACGATAGAGGGGCGGGGCGGGAAGTGGGCGGGGAATTTCGGGATGATAAAAGAGGAGGGGAGGAGAGGGGGCGTCGCGCGTTCCTGTCAGTTGCATCGCCGGGAGCTCGCGCGACGTCCGCGCAGCTGATTGGTTCCGGCGCCGGCTCTAGGCCAAGCGACTGGAGCTTTCCTTTTGACGGTTCGCGAAGCGGCTGCGATGGGCTCTCGGGCGTCTACGCTTCTTAGGGACGAGGAGATCGAGGAGATCAAGAAGGAGACGGGCTGTGAGTACCGATTAGAAACGATTTAGGCGGCGGCGGCGGCGGCAACGTCGCCAGATGCAGAGCGCTGACCTTCGCCTTTGGGATTCTGGCCGGGCGAATTTCCTGAATAAGCTTTCATTGCCCCGGCACGAACGAGGCAAACGAGCCCTTCCGCGTTTTCGACTCCATCCATCGATTGAGGGGCCGGATTGAGCGAAGTGGCGCTGTGATTTCTCCCGGTCGTGACCATCACTTGGCTCGAAGCCCTTCCTCGGGTCTCCGGGTCACCTTGGGCTAAATGCGGGACCACTCAGCTGTCTCTCCCGCTCCCTAGCCTGCGCGTATTGCTCAACGAGGGCCGGTATCGGTCGTCTGAGTCGGCGCGACCCACAGCATCCCCACCCCCCAAAAAAAACCTGGGTCATGGAAGAACGAAGCGTCTTGGTATGCCTTATATCCGGTCACAGGACACCGAGAGAGCCTGGCATTTGGGGGAAACGATTCTATTTTACGACATTTGGGACAAGGCTAGATATCTGGGCGCGTTAAAATGCCTCCCCGGTCCTTGAGTCGGCAGAAAAGCTATGCCGGCAGGGAATTGGTGGCTCTGATGGTCATTTCCTAGTTTGCTTCAGGCCAGGTAAGGTAGGGCCTCCTGAATGGGACTGTCTTGTCCATTTTAATGTAGAACAAGTTAAGAAAACCAATTGGTGGATTCCTCTTGCTTCATTTCCTGTTTTATTAAGTGTCGCCTTGCCTGTCTGTGGGGAAAAACAACCGTCGAGCACTTTCCTTAAGAGGGAGAGGAGCAAGATTATGCAAGTATAGGTGGGGGCTTTAAAAGGTGAGTTTCGCACCTATTACGTTGCCCAACTATCAGGTCCTAGGCATGGGAATATTTTGAACCTGTGTAAAGTTTCAGTCAAATCAATTCTAAAGGTAAGACTTGAAAAGAGCACACTACACCTGTGTCCAAAAATAGCCTACGGGTCACAGGTGCGGAGGGAAAGGCTCACAGCAAAGCAGGAGGGAATTCTTCTGGTGCTCCTGGCTCAGAGCAGCCTCTCTTCTTGCCTGGGGCTTGTTTTCAGATAATTTCTAAAGATGGGCTCCTGAAAGATCAAGCCAAGAGATCAGAGACAGGGCCGAAGAATGAAAGAATTAGCCGCATAAGAAGGAATTGGAACCGTTTGAGAAGGTTGTAAATGTGGGAATTGTGTGAGGAGGACCCGGAAGCCAAGGACAAATTGATATGAAAAAAGTATAATGAGAAAAGATAAATGTCCTGTATAAAGGTGCTGTGGTGATTTTCTAAATTGAGCATTTCCAGCAACTTAAAAGTGGGCAAAACAAGAAGATAGGCATGGCCAATGAGAACATGAATATCCAGCAATCTCCAAGCAATGCCTCTTTTTCCTCTCAGTAAATCCAATCTATCTGAGGTTGTTTTGGATTTTGGGGTTTAGTTCCAAGTAGTGGGGGGGGGGGAAACAGGCTTCCTATCCCAGATCAAATAAGGGAAAGATCTGATGCAATAATAGTAAGCTAAAAGAATGCTGCAGCACATTTGTATCACAATGCTTCCATGTTCTTTTTGCCTTCTGATGTGAGGAGCCTGGAACTCAGAAGGGGCTGGCTGCCAGACATTTCTACTCTTTCAACCCTCCCCATACAAAAGTTGTGGCGAAAAAACAACAACAAAGTTGTGATTAAAATGACTTTGTGTGCAACACAGACATTGTGTTCTCTCAAAGGGAATGCAAGTTCTGTTTTGTAAACACAGGTCTAATTTTTTTTTAAGAGGATTACATTAGTGTATATAAGGATCTTGTGTGAGATCCCACAAATGTTTGGAAAGAATCTGTCACATGTACAGATGCCTCTACAGAAGTCAGGTGTCCAGTCTCTTTGCAAGCCAAAATAAAATTAGGAGACAGGGTAAAGGAAAGGAGGCAAGGTTACAGCAGGCTTAGGTAACTCATAAGAGCTGGGCAGATCTTAGCTTTAACAAAATTGTCCAAGCACATTTTCACTGAATTTTCCCATGTAGTGGATATGTCTAGCATGTCTAGTTTAATGAAAAGATATGTCTAGTTTAATGAAAAGAAGGACTAAGGGAGACATGATAGCAGTATTTCAATATCTCGGGCTGACACAAAGCCCAAAGATAGAACCACAGCACTTGAGGGTAGAACAAGAAGCAATGGGTGGAAACTAATCAAGGAGAGAAGCAACTTAGAACTAAGGAGAAATTTCCTGACAGTTAGAACAATCAGTGGAACAACTTGCCTTCAGAAGTTGTGAATCCTCCAACACTGGAAGTTTTAAGAAGATGTTGGATAACCATTTGTCTGAAGTGGTGTAGGGTTTCCTGCCTAAGCAGAGGGTTGGACTAGAAGACCTCCAAGATCCCTTCCAACTCTGTTATTCTATTCTATTCTATTCTATTCTATTCTATTCTATTCTATTCTATTCTATTCTATTCTATTCTATTCTATTCTATTGCCCATAGTAAAAAACTGAGTTGAGAAAAGGAAGAAAACACAACTTTAAAATTGAAATAATTATGTATGATTTTAAACTGCTTCATCTGTGATCTGGGAATGAAAGGAAGACAGCATCATGGGGACATAAATATATATTTTTTACAATATATATTCATGCTGTAGTTAAGAGGACATGAGGATGAGTCCTTTGTTGTACAGATGCCAAATTATGTTTAGATGAACACCACCACCCCCTCCTACTATGAAAAAGTACTCCCCATTGCAACCAAAGGATATGTTACTTTCTGTTTAACAAAAAAGTAGGTTTTTTTCTATTAGGTTCTATTAGTTTTATATAATGTATATATATAATATATATTAATATATTGTTGTATGACTAAATATAGCTCCCATTGCTGAATTACTGTCACTTTAAAAGCCAATCGAGCACTTTAATGTAAGAACTGCCATACTGAATTAGATGAAGGTGTTTTTAATAAAGATTTTATTCCAACTATTAGTTCTAACTTGAGACCTACAATTTGTGTTCCTCGGTAGTTTAAATCTCTTAATAATTAAATGAAATACTACCTTGGTTATTAAATATCAACGATGACAGCTAACTTACAGACACTGAGTAATATAGGGTTGCTTTGTCATAAAAATATTAGAACTCAAAACAATGATTTATAAGTCAATAGTGTCCCTGTATAATAAAGACCTCAGCCTCTGTGCTGAGGTATATAATCAGAAAATTCTCTGTTACTGTACTTAGAATATCAAAAACAGAATCAATAAGTAACATTTTGGTGTTTGTTGAAGTGGATCAGTGGTGGGTTGCTCCTAGTTCGCCCTGGATCGGGCGAACCAGTAGTGGTGGTGGCGGGAGGCTCCGTCCACCCGCCCAGACGTCATCAAAAATGCTCTGCGCATGCGCAGAAGTGCCACGTGCTATCGATAGCAAACCGGTAGTGCCGGGATTTGAAATCCACTACTGAAGTGGATGTATCTGTTGCTTAATTGATAATAGGGTAGGTTAGGAGTTATATTTTTAGGGGTTTCCCTATGGAGTCAGTTGGTATTTTCAGCTGTTTCAGTGTTGATCTTGTTTCAGAACAGCTAATTAGACTTTACCTTTTCATTTTTTTAGTCTTAATTCCTGCTTCACCTGCTCGCAAAAACTAATTTTCATACTATTCTTCTCCTCCTTAAGACTTGTCTTCTAAACCCGCTCTCAGAGACCTATTGCAATAGGAGTCGTAGGGATAAAGAATGCTTAAATCTCATTATGGTACAAAAGTTCACAATTCAATTTTCTCAATTAAGATGCTGAACTTCCTGGTTGAGCAGGTGATAAAGTCTGTCAACAATTGACTGCTTGTGTACTTTGCGTCTCTTTTCTCCAGTTCTTAACTACAGCAAATGTTAGAGTAATCCTTGGAAACTATTTAGTATATTTCAGTGTAAAAAAACCTACTTTAGTTATCATAGGGATACTAAATCAGTATAGATAAATTAACAGTAGGCTAAATCAGTACAAATAAATTAACAGCAGACTAGGAAACACTGTGAACATGGATTTTTAGAATATTTTGCAAAGTCTCATCAAAAGATGTGACACATTTGGTTGTTATGCAATAAAAGATCCAACTCATGACTGATTTATTATTTCTTCATTTTAATTTTTAAATGATGCTAGCGTTTTTCACTGCAACAGAAAATGATTAAGAAACTTTAGGAGCTGGGATTGTAGTCTTTTCATTAACAGTCTGAAACTAGGGACTGGATAAGTAATACCAAGATACAGGTAAGGGATCTTGGCATAATGGTTGATCATTGATTACTTGACCAGTGTTATTACATAAAAAAACCTAATTCTATTTTCAAGGTCATGAGGAAAGAAATTTTCTACTTTATGAGATCCAAGGTTAAAGATTATGGCTCCGGACAGGAGTTCACACAGTGCTTACAGAGTCATTATTATGGTGATAAAATTGGAGGAAGGAATATCTTTTTGTTTAGTGGTTGAGGGCACCAGGCTAAAAATCAGAGATTGTGAGTTCTAATCCCATTTTAGTTATGAAGTCTGGTGAGGTGACTTTGAAGCAATCACTTTCTCTCTCAGCTCAACACAGGGTTATTGGTGTGGGGATCATAGGTGGAAGAAGGAGTATTAGTATTAAAATCAATATATAAATAAATAAAATATATTTTTTAAAATGTTGTCATTCCCTCCAAAGTGAGATTAGCCACCACCCTGGCTAGCTTTATAGAAAGCCCTTAAAATATGGGAAGCCTATGAGGTGGCTGTATTGTATTGAGGTGATTGTTATTCTCCACAATCTTCATTTTAATGTTTTTTAATATATATATCTTTTAGCTATGTTTAATTATTTTAATGATTTTTATATCATTTTCATCATTTTATGCCATTGAGAAACATATTCAATTATATATACCATATATAAATATGATAAATAAATAAATTTATTAAAAATGATACACAGGTCAGGACTACTTTTATTGTAACATAGTAAGAAAATCTTGCAAATCTGATTGTTCTTCCCCCTCCCTTTATCTTCATGTCAATTAGGGAGAGGTCTGTCTGAAACATTTACTCACACTCATTTCTTGGCATGAACCTGGAGGCCCTCTTACCTGACTGTTGCCTTTGATAGTGGCTCTTCCTTCTGTCCTTCAAGGCCATTCTCCATTCCCTCTACATATGTACATCTCTTTGATCTCCTAGATAAAAAGTGTGATATAAAACTACAACTTAATAAAAATTATTTAAGTATTTCACACAGTATATATTCAGACTGTCAACACTGAACATATACTGCTGGTTTTAAAAGATAGTTAGGAAATTCATAGAGGATAGGACTAGGTCATTATGGAAATACTGGATCAGAAACAATATCTCAGTATACGTTATTTGGGAACGGAGAAGGGTGGCATATAAATTTAATAAATAAAGTAAATAAAAGAGATGGGCAGTTAAGTATGAAATATGAATGAATGAGCAAACGAACGAACAAGTGAAAGAGGGTGGTGGTTTGTGGATTTCATGTAAGCACCCTTTCGGTTTTCTTAACATATTTAATGTTACATACATCTGGAACTGTCAGAACTTCTGCTATTTAAACTAAAAAACCTGGACAATCATTTAATAAGTACCTAAGCTGCCAGTTCTTGAAAGTCATTATTTAGTCAATGTGAGAGCTGCTCCTGTTCATTTGATTTAGCACAGGCATTCTGCAAAGATATGCACAGTAACTCTTTATTGCCATAAATCTATGGACATGGCAATAATTTTTCAAATTGGCACGTAATGGTTGCCTACTTGCTTTATATTATGCATAGATATTTTGAATTCTGCAAATTTATGTTCTGATTAGACAGAACGGAGAAGATGATGAATGGAGTATTCATGGAATGGAGATAATGCTATTCCTTTAGTAATAGAAGCCTTCCTTTGAATGTTTCTAGTATGCCAAAATAGAATATAAAAGAGTTGACTATTATTTACATAGTTTGACTTCAGTTACCTCTTACCTGATAATTTGGATTAGAGGAATATTGTCAGGGCAAAGTCTTAGATGAAGGTTCAGAGGATAGAGAACTACTGCAACTATAAATGGTTTGAAGATTATATTAATATCCAGTAGCATGATCAAGAGGCTCTCTTCTACTTAGTATGAAAGAGTCATGTAAAGTGAAAAGCCAGCATGAGCCACATGGCCCAGACAAGGTGACTTCTTCTACCTCCATCAGATGGCTTCAAATGCCAGTTGCCTAAAGGTATCCAATCAGAGACTCCAACAAGAGGGGATGAAACTGAGTAAGGGGAAGGAGGAGCAAATATATTCTGCAATTTACATTTACAATCTAAAACATATATCAATTCTGACCTTGTATACATAAACACATACAAACACATACATAACTGACAGTTTTCTTTTCCTCCATGCTACCACTATACACTGCCATAGCCAACCATAAGAAAGGATTTTGAAGATGTGCAAGAATTGCATATGAGAGGGAAGAGTCCTATGGTTTTGCTATATCGGCTTGATAGGTACCCTGTTTTCCTGAAAATAAGATCTATCCCAAAAATAAGCCCTAGTTAAGTGCCTGCATAACCAGCCGCCCACCCATTTTGTCTGTTTGCTCACAGTGCTGCCAACACAAAGTCATGTGAGGTGGGGGTGGAACTGCCCCACACGCCCTGCACAGGCTTACCTCAGGGCCCACGCAGCAAGACCATCCACACCCCGACAACTGCCTCACGGCGACAGCAGCAACCACCATGTGCAGCAGGAACCCACATGGCCACTGGTCCACTTCTGCTTGCTCGCGACTGCAACGGAGCAGGAGGCCAAGCGACATGCTGGTGCCACATCCAGGAGGTGAGGCAGGGGGGTGGAGCTGCCCCATGTGCCCTGCACCAGTTTACCTCAGGGCCCCGGCAGCTAGGCCATCCATGCCCTGACAACTGCCTCATGGCTGTGGCATGGCCTCTTCTGTTGCAGCCATGAGAAAGCAGAAGTGGGCTGGTGGCCATGCAGGATCCTGTTGGACAGGGTTGCTGGAGCTGCGGTGAGGCAGGTGTCAGGGCATTGTGGCCTGGCTGCATGGGCCCTGAGGTAAGCCGATGTGTGGGGCAGCTCCACTCCTCCACCTTGCAGCGGCAGCACTAGCATGCCACACAGCTCCCTGCCCTGCCACAAGCAAGCAGAAGTAGGCCTCCTGTACATAGAAAAAACATTAAGACATACCCAAAAAATAAGTCCAAATGCTTATTTTGGAGCCCAAAAGAAAATTAGACTCGGTCTTATTTTCGGGGAAACGGGCAGTTCCCACCCAGATTTTTTTTAGTTAATGTTCCTTCCTTTTGTAGGTTAAATACTTTCTGAAATTCTAATCACCTTCTGTTTGTTGAAGAATTGCTTCCTCATTATTATTTTATTTATCAATGTTTTTGCATAGCAAACAACAATTGTTTCTGGGCAGCAGTGATTGGTTCAAGAAAAGGCTGCAGTCCTTTTGTGTAAACTGCCTGAAAGGAAGCAGTGTGGTATCTTCAACCGAGTTCCATTGATAAGGAATAAAACTAAGACAAAGGAGCCATTTCCAAATCAATATAGCAGCTAAGGAAGGGAGAATATATTTTGAGTTCTCTGCTTTTCTGAACAGGAAGAGTGAAGAAAATATTAGGAATCATAGAATTTCCAAATTTGTCTATATAATAATGATTTCAAATGTGGATTGCAAACATGTTTTTTTAAAGTAACATCAAAAGTAAAGTAAATTCATTAGTTTTATGTTCTGTGAGAGCAATTTTAAGATTTCTTTGTTAAATTTGGAATACTACAAAATCCAAGTTTTGAACTGCTGTAAAATAACTCTTTATTGGATCAATTGTTGGTATTTATGTTTAATTTAAGCCTTATTTCTTTTTTTCCTTCAGTTTCTCATAGTCAGATTACTCGTCTATACAGTCGGTTTACTAGCCTGGACAAAGGAGAGAATGGTACCCTAAGGTAAGTACTTTTAGTTATTCTCTTAGCTTTCTAATTATACAAATGTTCTTTGCCATTTCTCCCCCAAATTCTTCTTTCTGGTTCAGATTTTCTTCATTATGATCTATCCCTAACCTGGTCTTCAGGCATTACATGTTATACATATTGCCACGATGACAGAATCCATTCACCCAGCTTGCTACTGCTGTTTTTCTCTTCCATCTTTCCCAGCATTAGAGATTTCTCCAAAGAGCGAAGCCTTTGTATAATGTGTCTAAATTATTATAAATTGAACCTGGTTATTTGTGCCTTGAGTGGTTTGTTCAGTAATCCATTTATTACGATTTATTTATTTATTTATTTATTTATTTATTTATTTATTTATTATATTTCTATACCGCCTTTATTTATTGATTGTTGACTCAAGGCGGTATACAGTCAAGAAAAATATAGATACACAAACATCATAAAATTGCTAATTAAAATTATTATTATAACATAGTTTGGCCCAATTAAATAGAACCTAAAATTAGATAACATTTTAAAAACATTCACATGTTCATATGTTTAGCCCCGCCTGTTGGAACATCAGGGTTTTGAGGGCACGGCGGAAAGCACGGAGATCAGGGATATTTCGTATCTCAGGGGGCAGTTCATTCCAAAGGGTTGGAGCCCTCACAGAGAAGGCCCTCCCCCTGGGAGTCGCCAGTCGGCATAATTTGACTGACGGTACCCTGAGTAGTCCCTCCCTGTGAGAACGAACTGGTCGGTGGGAGGCTATTGGTGGCAAAAGACGGTTTCGTAGGTACCCAGGTCCTAAGCCATGGAGCGCTTTAAAGGTGATAACTAACACCTTGAATCGCACCCGGAAGACCACCGGGAGCCAGTGCAGCTCACGTAGGAGAGGTGTTACATGGGCGCAACGAGCTGCGCCCATAATCACCCGCGTGGCTACATTCTGGACCAGTTGGAGCCTCCGGGTGCTTTTCAAGGGGAGCCCCATGTAGAGAGCATTACAGTAGTCCATATGGGAGGTGACTAGGGCATGAGTGACCATGCGCAAGGCATCCCGATCCAGAAAGAGACGCAACTGGTGGATCAGGTGAACCTGATAAAAGGCACCCTTGGCCACGGCCGTCAAATGATCTTCTAAAGATAGCCGTGAATCCAGGAGGACACCCAAGTTGCGGGCTGTCTCTGTGGGGAGCAAGATCTCATCCCCAATTGTCAGTGATGGTACCAGCTGACTATACCGGGACGCCGGAAGCCACAGCCACTCAGTCTTGGAGGGGTTGAGTCTGAGCTTGTTTCTCCCCATCCAGATCCACACGGCCTCCAGGCAACGGGACATCACAGCAAGGGCATCATTGGGGTGGTCTGGGGTGGAGATGTATAGCTGTGTGTCATCAGCATACTGATGAACACTCACCCCGAAACTACGGATGATCTCTATTTTGTTGGCTGTCCATGGTATTCTTAGGAGTTTTCTTCAAAAGCATTGATTCAAGTAGTCCTTGGCTTATGACAATATACAATATAGCCCAAAATGTACGTTGTAAAGTGAAAAATTTATTGTGAGTTTTGCCCCATTTTACGACTTTGTTGTTGTTGTTAAATTAGTAACATGGTTGTTAAATGAACCTGGTTTCCCCATTGACTTTGCTTGTCAGAAGTTTGCAAAAGGGAATCACATGACCCCGATACTGCAATTGTCATAAATGTGAGTCAGTTGTTAAGTATGCTAATGTAAATCACGGGACCATGGAGATGCTACAAAGGTCATAAGTGTGAAAAATGGTCATAATTCACTTTTTTCAGTGCCGTTGTAACTTTGAACAATCACTAAATGAACTGTTGTAGGTCGAGGACTACCTGTATTCTTCCCATCCTGTGTCTTTAAAGTCTAACTTTATGTGGTGAAATCTCCAGTCAGAAAGAGGGAAGATGTGAAGAGTTTGGCTATCTTAGAGTTCTTGTGTAGCAGGCAGTGATACAGACCTGATCTCCCCTAGAATTCATGAAATTCTGGCTGTTCCCAAGAGAATACAGTCAGTCTGGTGAGATTCTTGTAAGTAGGTGAGCAACAGTAAAGATGCAACTTTGATCAGCTCACGGTGTTGTTCTGGTTCCTTGCACTTGACACTTTCAATTCCATGAAGTGTCATAAGGAATACTATTGCTTGCAGTATTCTAATCTTTGTAGGTACATACCAGGAGTGGGTTCTAATTTTTTTTACTACCGGTTCTGTGGGCGTGGCTTATTTTGTGAGTGTGGCTTGATGGTCATGTGACAATTCTTTAGGATGTAGCAGAGGTACTGGTCTACCAGGCTTTTAACTGCTTGCAGAGCTGTACCAGTCTACTCATTTGTTTTTGGAGGCACTGGTCTACCCATTTATTTTTTGAGGTATCGGTCTACCACCACACAGCCTTTTAACACTGATCAGCTGTAGGGCGGCCCTTTGAAGCCCCACGGCAAGAGTTTAAACAGTTTTTTTCCTTCTAGCCAGCTGGGACTCAGGAGGCAGCAATAGATTGGGGGTGGGGCCAAATAAAAGGTAAGAATAACGTGGGGGGGGCAGGGGGGCAGAACCGGTTCGGTGATGTCATATCATCACCGCTACCGGATCAGCGGAACCGGGAGGAACCGGGAGGAACCCACCACTGGTACATACACATTACAGTACTTTCCCAGGGCTTTCATGGTTGGTCTACCAAGTGCTACTCTGCAGTATGTTTCTTGACTGCTTTTTCTTTATGTTGGTTATTTGAAAATGAAGTAGATTTTGCACAGAACTATGCTTAATATTTATTTGAAATGCTTTACTGTTGAGCAAAAGCATTTAAGATGAATCATAATAATCAAATAGCAGTTTCAAAAGAAAACTTAATCTACTGGTGGGAATAAGAAAATTCTTTTTTTTAAATGAAATGTTTTTCACCAAATCTCCAAGTGCCTCATTTTCTCATTTTTTTGGCCCCTTTCAACTAGCATTCCAAAATAGATTCAGGTCTATTAAGTCTTAATCTACTCAGGCTAGTTTAGTTTTCAAGATCAAGCTAAATTGCTAATTGCTATACCTAAGTGGGATTTTTTAATATATATTACTGTACACTTGATTATTTCAGTAAATTAAAATTATGTGTAAGTGTCCCTATCATACAAATTGCTTAGTGTTTAGTTCAACAGGTTGTTCCACACTGAGCTATGGGAAGGTGTAACATAATTTATATTTTTCCTGTATAACAATAGTTTATTTATTTATTTAAATTTTTATACCGCCCCCTCTCCTGAAGGACTCGGGGCGGTGAACAGCCAAAATTAAAAACACACAATACAAACATTAAAATACTATAAAACGAAATTAAATTTATCTTTGGCTTCCCCAATTTAAAACCCCTTACCCATAAAATTCCCCAATTAAAAGATTTTTAACCCAGCCCGGCTTGCTGAAATAAAAAAGTCTTCAGCACAACCAGTTATATCTGACATGTTTCTATCCCCTTTTTTTCTTCTGCCTTCACATGCTTGTTTTACATACTGTAATAGGAAAATTTGTGGGTGACTTCATCATTGTAACTGTGCCCTTGGTGTTTACATTTGACTTACTTTGTGGTCACACTCTTTAGAAAGTGCATTATTTAGGCAAGAGAAAAGCATGGTGATATTACCAGAACAACGAATGTTTGCTTGAAATGGAAAGACATCTTTTTCTAATCGCATAGTATAGCACAGGGGTGTCAAACTCAAGGCCCACTTAGATCTGGGCCACAGGGCTGCCCTGGAAACAGCGAAGGACTGGCCCGCAGTGCCTTTGCCACTGAAAATGGATCTCAGGAGGGCCATGGCTCTACCGAGCTCCGTTTTTGCTGGCAGTGGATTGCAGGAGGCCATCACAGCCAAAAACGGAGCTTCGGAGCCCATTTTCACTGGCAGAGCGCTCAGGCCACCACAGGAGCCACCAACATGAATGATGTTGAACTGGCTATGCCCCACCTGGCCATGTCCCCCCGTTGTGAGGTCAAACACAATCCAAATGCAGCTTCAATGAAATTGAATTTGATACCCCTGGTATAGTAGATCAGTCTGTTGATTTACACCTCTGCAAATAAAATAAAAATGAAATGCTTAACTGTAGTTTGGCAGGCTGGTTTGTTAAATATATGGTGTATGATTTGTTCTGAATGATAGCAATCAAAACTAAATATTCAAGATTGCATTGGGTAGAGGTTACCTGATAGTGTTGCTCTGGCATACAAGCGGAAGAAACGAACATTTCCTGTAAGTTCCAACCTAAACCAGTGTAAGAAGGTTTAATTAAAATGAAACTTGCATTTCAGTATTCATTTACTTTTATGACTTGTGCAGATTTTCTAGTTAACATTCCTGTTAAATAATATTCCCCTCATGGGTAAAATGGCATGTTTAAAGGTGATTGACAATGACAAAAATAGATTTTTTTAAAAAAAGTGTAGTTAACATGAGGTTAATGTTCAACTTAAAGCTCAGCTGTAAAACATACAATATACAGACAGATATCCTCTGTTTAAATTTTAAAACCTGAATCTGAACAAAAAGGAATAAAAAGTTAGTGGAGTAAGCTTATACATATTATATATAATACAATAATGTTTTGTAATATATAATATATGATAATATATAATATGTTAGATTCTAATATTGTTGTACTGTAATTTCTGGTTTTTAACTTCGTAAGTCACCAAGAATCATATGTGTGAGACAGGTGGCTGTAGAAATTGGATAACAAACCAATAAATAAATAGAGTTAAATTAGTTAATTTTACACAGGTAAATATGGTTGAGTGGGATTCAGATTGTACAATTAGATATGGTTGGATGAGTGGGATTACTAGATATGTGGTATGGGAAATGTTTACACAGGGACATTCCGATTTAAATGTCCATTTATAAATCCATTGGGAGAATATTCAAATAAAAACAAAGTCTTAATATTTTCTAGAATAGCTGCTAGCTATTTGATTTTTATTTTAAGAGTAGGATTCAGGAAGTTGTACTTTGGATTCACAAACAAAAAAGTACCTTGGAGCATATGAGAGCACTCATGTAGATATGTGGACTCTTTCTGCGACTCACGAATGAAGATAAATAATACATGTCCCAGGATAACATTTCAGGATCCAATCTGAATCCAATCTTCTGTCTGTGACTTCTTAAAAAGTGGTGTGGCTTTTCCTAACACATGATGCTTTCTCTTTGTAACTGCAGCAAGAGCCCAAGGAAAGATCGATTTGGTTGAAGGAGGGAGATGTCTAAAATATCTTATTGGCCTTATTGGATGTAAAAGTGAAAAATGGATTCTTAAAATAACATTCTTGCTTTCCTTAGCAATGGGCAAAATAGCACTCGAATTGGACTTTCAATATAAATAATTGAGTTATTAGGTTGTAATCTTTCTTTAATAAATCTTTATATAACAGTTATTGTAAAACACTGGGCTGAATACTCCAGACTTTTTTTTCCTTGTCAAGTGCATTTAGACTTGAAGGGGTAATTTTGTCATTCTAAACAATATCTTTAAAATTATATAATAAAAATAAAATATAATTGCAGAGGTATATATTATAAGAAACTAGAGTACTGTAGAGTACTATACCTTTAATGTTAACCTGTTATGTTTGAAAAACATTTTGATTAAGGGAGCTTTCTTTTTCATAGAATAGTTTTGGACAGATATAGCTAATGCAAAAACCTCGGACACAAAGGCCTGAAGCTTTTAAAAATCTTTAACAAAGTTGAAGCAAAAGTAACTGAGCATGGTGATTTATTTTTTAATGCACTCTTCGCTTTTATTGGAAGGTGTTAATGGAGATGGCTTTTGAACAAAAAAGTAAGATTAAGAGCGCAAAACAAAGATATAGATAAGAGATTGGGTATTAAATAATGTAGCAACATGAAAGTTAATTTAAAAATGACCCTCTTGCACTTCTTTGAAGATGGGCCTTCTTATAAGCTTTCGTTATAGTTTTATTATAGTGGAAATTGCTCATATTTAATGTAGATTTTCTACTTGGTAAAAATGTATTTTTAAATTGATAGTGAGCTGATAGGAAAGTTAGAAGTTTCCAAATTAAAGAAAGTATCGATAGTATTATTCACTTCAAAGCAGTGGTGAAATCTAAAATTTGTTACTACCGGTTCTGTGGGCGTGGCTTGGTGGTGGTGGGTAATGTGACTGGATGGGCGTGGCTTTTTTTTTTTTTTACTTTTAAAACCATTTTTTCTACAACCTCTTCAGTGAAGAGGTTGTATAAAAATGCTCTCAAAAGGCTTTGACGATCCCAGCTGAGTTGCTTGATCGGCAGAGGCTTTTTTTCTTTTAAATGTCTCTGACGATCAAGCAATTCAGCTTGGATCGTCAGAGGCTTTTAAAAGAAAAAAAGCCTCTGCCGATCAGGCAACTCAGCTGGGATCGTCAGAGCCTTTTGAGAGCATTTTTATACAACCTCTTCAGATTTGACGATCCCAGCTGAGCTGCACAATCATCAGAGGCTTTTTAAAAATATTTTTATAAGCATTTTTTCGGCCGAAGAGATTGTAGAAAAAATGCTTTTAAAAGTAAAAAAAAAAGCCTCTGATGATTGTGCGGCTCAGCTGGGCATGTGGGGAGAGCAGGGATTTTTGCTACCGGTTCTCCGAACCACCTGCCTCCATCGCTACCGGATCAGGCGATCTGGTCCGAACCGAGAGCATTTCACCCCTGCTTCAAAGTCACAACAGTACAAGTATATAGATATTTTGTTAAACTTGGTTCAATATTTCATGATTTCACAGCACTGATTATTAATGTATAGTGCTATAGGTACTAAACATATACAAAATTAAATGGATATTTTCAATTACATTGCTTATGAGCTAACATTCATTTAATTTATATCGTAGCCGTGAAGACTTTCAACGCATTCCAGAACTTGCTATTAACCCATTGGGGGATAGGATTATCAATGCCTTTTTTCCAGAAGGGTAAGTTTTATGTTATCTGAGTTCAATTTATTCCATGAGAATGCTAGTAGAATATATCTAGATATACTTAAATGCTAATCTGTAAAGTTTCAGATTAAAGACTTGATCTTCAATATCATCTGGGTTAAATTCAAATCAATAGTGTCTGTAATCTTCAATTGCTGCCAATTGCATATGCTTGAAAGAAGCAGCAGTTAAATATACCCTAATACTTGAGATTTCTGTTAAGATCCTAAATTGCAAAATACAAATAAGGTAGCATTTGTAAAATGTAGCATTTTGTCCCTGTTTGGTAATACATATTGTTGCACTATAAGACTTCCCTATGTACCCTCAATATCTATTCCAGAAAGTTAGGAAGATATTTTGGAACAGCTTTTGAACATCCATGTGGTAGGAGAAGGAAACATGTAACTGGATGATGAAACCTTGACTTTTTGCTAATTAAGACTATCCTCCTGATTAAAAGAGAGCAAGAGATTTCCTATAGCAGTTCACTACTGTTTGGTTGAACAAGAGCTTACCTTGATTTTCTAGCCGTTGAAAAGAAAATTAGAATAATACAGAATGTTACACCAGCAATAATTTATTGTTCATATTTATTTGAAGTATTGTTAAAATAATCTAACAATCAGTATTGTATACATATAGAGAAGATCAGGTGAATTTCCGTGGATTCATGAGAACTTTGGCCCACTTCCGACCCATTGAAGATAATGAAAAAAGCAAAGACCAGAATGGGCCAGAACCTCTTAACAGCCGGAGCAACAAATTGCACTGTAAGACATTTTTAATGGCAATTCACGTGAACTGCATTGTTTGTATTCTACTTCATGGATTTCGTTTTAAGATTTGCCCTTCTTTCTTTAGTCTACATACTACTTTAGTATAGAGCCGTGATGGCAAACCTATGGCACGCGTGTCACAGGTGGCACGTGGAGCCATATCTGTGGGCACGCGAGCATTGCCCTAGCTCAGCTCCAGCGCGCATTCGTGTGCCGGCCATCTGATTTTTGGGCCTTGCGGTCCCACCAGAAGTCAGGAAATGGACCGTTTCCAGCCTTTGGAGGGCCTCCGGGGGAATGGGGAAGGCCGTTTTCGCCCTCCCCAGGCTCCAAGAAAGCCTCTGAAGCCTGAGGAGAGGGAAAAACGGGCCTACCGGGCCCACTGGTAACCTTTTTGCGTTGGGTGCCAAAAGCGGAGGGAAGGGGGGGTCACGTGTGCAAGCATGGGGGGGCATTGAATTATAGGTGTGGGCACATGCATGCACGACCCCCCCCATGCTCCCCCCATTTTTGGCACATGACAGCAAAAAGGTTAGCCATCACTGGTATAGAGTATAGAATACTGTACAATTTATTTACTCTATACTTTAATATTATCTACTGAAGAATATTACTGTAAAGTATTATTCAAAATATATCAAAGTATAGAGTAAATAAATTGAAAACCTTATCAAAATTGCAAAGGAAATGGCTGCTATCTATTTCATTAGAATCAACATAAATATTGGGCATTAATAAACTTTTACTGTAATTCAGCAATTTAACTTATTCTGAAAGCTGAAATCTTCCTTTTGAAAATTTCATTGAAGGTTTATATAACCACCCTGTAAATGATGTTAATGACAAAAAATTATGCTGACATTTAACAATGTAAATTACATATAAATTGTCATTGGAGAAATATAGATTTATATTCATTATTGAATTTACATAGATGTAATGTCCATTAGCAACATTTTAAGATTAAAAGAATCCCTTTCTATTATGGTCCTGTCTATTGGTCTGAATCCATATTGACTACGTAATGTGGTTTGTATATGACAGATGTAGCAAAGATGCTAATCTTGTTTCATTTCATTTTCTAGTTGCTTTTCGATTATATGACTTGGATAAAGATGATAAAATTTCTCGAGATGAACTGCTTCAGGTAGAGTAAGATTGCATAATCTGTAAATTACTTTAATCTGATTGAAATTACTTTATTTTATCCTTTTAAAAAGTTTTGTATCTCTAAATCAAGGGTCCTCAAACTACGGGCCGCGGGCCGCATTTGGCCCGCTAAACCCATTAATCCAGCCCGCGCATGACTAGAAGGCTGCCCTGTCCACATCTCTCTGCCCACCTGCCAGCCCCCACCCTTCGGCCAAGCGCAGGACTTACCTTCACAAGCCCCAGAGGCTGGAACTGGAAGGCAAGGTCAACAATTTTGGCCTGCAGAGATATTCTGGAGTGGGGGGTGAAAAACAGGATGCATAGACGCCTTGGGAGGCCAAAAAATGGCCCGTTTTAGCCCATTTTTGGCCTCCAGAATGCTTCTGGAGGCGGGGTGTAGGTGAAAAATGAGGCCGTTTTTCACCTCCCCCACCTCCAGAAGATAGACAGAGAGAGAAAAAGAGAGGGAGAGAGATATATATAGAAAGAGAAAGATAAACAGAGAGAGAGAGACACATACACACACATACAGAGAGACGAGACACAGATAGAGACAGACAGAGAGAGACTTGTTGATTGTAAGCTCGTTGAGGCTGAGAAGAATTGCTGCAAAACTGAGTTTCCTGAAGTGGACCACTAGACTCCTAAACAACTGAAAAAATGATCTAGTAAAAAGAAAAGTCAACCAAAAGAGCAACATGCAAACAAAAGCAAATAAAACACCCCCAGAACCAAAACAAATTAAAGTTTAATTTGTGTGCATTGTTTAATGGACTGTTAAATTGGCCATGCCCACCCGGTCACATGCCCACCTAGCCACACCCACCCAGCCGGTCCGGCCCCCCCAACAGTCTGAGGGACCATGAATTGGCCCCCGTTTAAAAAGTTTGAGGACCCCTGCTCTAAGTGATCATTTTTAATGGATAAGATTGAATGGTAACTGAACATACAACATTTATCAGTTGGGCATTTCTATATTTATTTTTCAATAAATTCATTTAACTATGGGATGATGCACCCAATTGTAAATACTATGAGCTGGTTGCTAAACACCCAAAATGCACTCACCTGATATCTGGGGTGTGGTTACGGCAGTGTAACTTTGAGGATGGGTTGTAAGTAACTGTTTTTTAGTCCCTCACAACTTCAAATGGTCATTAAGCAATCAGTAGTTGGGTTCTACCTATCTCTTGTTTCTGTAGGTATTTCTTCTCACATTTCTAGTCTGGTAAAGTCATTTTTATCATTTTGATTTTGTAATTCCCTGTGGTTTTGAATTTGTTTCTTTTTCTGAAACTGTTCTAAAGATTTTGCATAGTTATTCTTAAGTAAAAGCTTCAGCAAATTATTCTTTCTGGATAAATCTTCGGTTGAAATCCATGTCTGTATATTATGAGTAGTGTGCTACCCTCCAGATATGCTAATTCCCATCCGCTGTAGCTAGGGTGGTTTAAGTAATGAGAAATGCAAGTTGCCCACTTCATTCATTATGCCTACACTAACTACTTTTGAGAATTGTGTCCAGGCATTGGAAAATGTATAAGTATTATTTATTAGTTTGATTGAATTTTCAAGGTAACAATACCTCTTTAGATAACTTATCTTTGAAATACCGGATTCTATTGATGGTATCAAAATGGATGTGGGCTGATGTCCTTTCATCTAGAAATGAGGTTTTCATGTTCTACTTAAATTTATGTATTTAAATGGGTGGTAGGTGGCCTTCCAAGTGATGAGATTAATAGACTCTTTCTAATAGTATGAATTTAAAACAAAAGCTACTCTCATTTTCCTTGAACTTTTGTCCATTACAGGTCTTGCGGATGATGGTTGGTGTAAATATCTCTGATGAACAACTTGGTAGTATTGCTGATAGAACAATCCAGGAGGCTGATCAAGATGGTGACAGTGCAATCTCCTTTGCAGAGTTTGTAAAAGTCAGTAATAACTTTCAAATCAGTAAATCTGTTTGCTCAAGTGTTAAGAGTATATCTGCCATTCTGTTTTATAACGATCAGAAGAACATTTTCCTCTAAATGTTCTCTAGATTGTTTTTTCCCTACATACTATTGATATTTGGCCATATTTATTTTACTATTTATTTATTTATTTATTTTTGTATACTGCCTATTTCCTACAGCTCAAAGTATCAATACCAAGATATCAATAGCACAGTATCAATACCAAGATATCAATAGTACAACAAAGATATATAAACAAATCATAGCTAGCTAACTAAGGGTTTTCTATACCAAGAACATTTAGTATAACAATCTTTTTTTTGGATGATTTAGAAAGGTATTTAGATGGATATTGAAATTCTGGATCCCAAGAGAACACCATCTGCAGAGACCAAGGGCTCAGACCTTTTCAGTGGCTGGCCTGCTTCTTCAAAATAAAGTTCCCTGCTGTCAAAAAGCATTGAAGAGATTTTTTTCAGCTACTTTTTGGGATCCAGTGTAATGAACTCCCTTGTGGACAGATTGGATAAATTTGATGGGCTGATCTTTGGTTGTGTCTCTAATTGAGACTAAAAAATACATACATTTATGCAGAGCATAAAGAAGCATTCCCAGTCAGGAAAAATACAAGGATTCCTTTGTAGAATAGCAAGTTTAAACAAAATGAAGTGAAACTGGAATATTCTAACTGTTCTTTTTTTACAGGTTTTGGAAAAAGTGGATGTAGAACAAAAAATGAGTATCCGATTTCTTCACTGATGAAACAAAGGCAGTTTGTGTTATCCTAATATTTAAAAAATACAGCTTATTTTATTCACTTTACTCCTGAATGTTGCTATTGGTTTATGTGAGGTATGTCTCCAAACTTTTCCTAGTTTGTCCATCAATAAGAACATTCCTTCTGCATCAGAACAAAGGAACGTGGCTGCAGTGCAGCTTGGAAATTAAGCAGTGACATGGCCTCTTCCTCAGCTCTTGAATGATTTCCTGACCATAAATTGATTTCTCCTCTTGTACTGTGATCTGTAACATTTTACACACTTCTAATGAGAAAGAGGGCAAATTCCACTGAAGAGCTGAGAATCGTTTAAACAAAAACGCCTGGTTTAATAGTATTATATGTTGTAATAGCAGCAACTGCCTCTCCCCCCCCACCCTGATTTCATTTAAATAGATGTTTGTCAGTCTCTTTAAAACTTTCAAAAAGTAAGAATAACAAGGTCAATGGCTAGAAGGCTTATAGCCTTCCAAATGTGTCAAATGTTATTAATTTGTCCACAGGAAAGTCAGACACCTGCCAAGAGTGTAATTTGCAATGTAGTTCACTAGTATAGACTATTGAATAGAAAGCTTTTCTGTTGTTTCTCTCTCTTAACTGCTTTTTGTGAATGTATTTAATCTAAAATACTCGTGCTTTTTATTATTTGTTGTTAAAGCAATATTTGCAGTTCATTTCTACAGTATAACTGTAATGAAAGTCATCTTTGTGCTACTGTCTTTATTCATACTGATTATGCTGCATGAGCCTATTTGAATTGTTTGGCTTTCCAGCCAAAAAAATTGTGAAAGCTCAGAATTGAGAATTCAGCAAAAACAGTAATGTTTATAGGAAAATCTGTTTGTTTTTTTTTTGCACCTTTATAGACATATTAAATAACATATTTCCAAAATTTCAGTACAAAATCAGAGAATTAAAATGAATACAATACAATGAACAAAATAAATAAATAAATTCTCTAGGTAGATTGCCTTTACTATAGTAAACTAATAACATTAATTATCAAATAATTTGAATAAAAAAAGTTATATAATTTTTACAGTGTTTGCGAAATTCTAATAAGAAGCACTGTTCAAAGGTTCCTGTCTCCTATAATGTCAAATGCATTTGTATTTAATTTACCTAAATCTTCTATAATTCAATTATCTTTCTGAAATACTATTTTACTTCTTATGTTGCAAAGAGAAATTAATGATTTTGCAGATCAATAATTTTAGTAAGGGAAACATCCAGGGAACAATAACAACAATTTCTCTCAAATAAAGTATCTTGATTCATATAACACAAACATTTTATAAAGAAAAGAATATAATACCAAGATATAAAATTTGATGGATGAAATGTACATATTTTCAAATAAGCTTTCTTCCTTTGCCTGTGTACTTGTAATCTAATGTTGTTCCTTGTAAAATCTATTGTATCCATCAACAATCAATAAATAAAACCTTAAATCTAGAGTCATTCTTTTCCAAATGTAAGTAGATTATTTTGAAGACGAAATTATATATTCTTATTTGATTTTTTAAACAGCTTTTTCTTTTTCAAAATAATTATTTAATCTTTAAAGGAACCATCTTCTAAATGTACAGAGGAAAGCTCTGATAGTCTGGTGCAGCAATAGAATATAATGCCTTTCTAACAATTTAAGATCTTCATTTAAAAAGTGTACTCAGCAGTGCATATGAATTTGAGTATCTTATTGGGCAAGAATATATTTTTGTTGAGTTATTAATCATTCTGATTAAAGCAAACATGTCTGAGTTTATCTGTGTTTCATATGGTGTCAGGAATGTCAGGGGAAGAAGGGAGAAGACTTGAAATGTTATCTTAGAAATCAAATTATTTGGTATGGTAGAAGTTTTTAAAAATGGTTAACTCTTCACAAAGACTTTTTCACTGCCATTATTGTATTCCAATTAGTGTATAGGAGTTACAATAATATGCAGCAGCAGGATGTTTTTAATTGTAAACATTTAGTCTCTAAAAATACTAAAGTATCACAACTGATTTCAAGCAGTGTTATAGAGTTGTATTCTAATTGGATGTACTATTGTCTGAAATGCCCACAATTATGTCTGCAAAGAATATGTAAAATTTCCTAGAGAGATAAAATCTGCAAGAAGGAATGTGGATAATTTCAAGTTCTCCCCCTCTACATTCCGAGCAGTCTGTTCTTGTTAGGATGGTGGAGTAATTTTTTTCAGCACTTCCTAATCTCAGAGAAATTTTACTTTTCTTTGCAATATTCCAACTTTCTATTTTAGCCGTTCAAATAAAAAAGAATTCCCAATAAAATCCCATTTCTCCAAAACATAATCATGATGAGAGAATTTCGGCTACAGTTCCTCTTCAATCAAAGCATGCACCACTGCCTGTGAGCAACTTTTAGCTAGTTTAGCCAAGAACCAGTTGCACTTTGGCCAGATATTTCTTCTCCTATGCTACACCTTGCTCTGAAACCGAGCATCAAGGACATCTTTATCTGTATGGCTACAGGAAAAAGAGATATATTCTTTACTTAGGACTACCTTGTCTCCGAAGGTACTAATTTTTTCCACAAGTTAAATGTTTAGTCCATCTGCTGTTCAGTGTTAACAAAAGCTAACATAATGTGAAGAGACTATGCCAGTAATAGAAAAAGAAGGCAAAAGTAATAACCAATTTTATCTTCCTAACCTCAAAAATGCATAGGTATAGAGAGATATGTAGCCATCAAGCAAACATCTGCTACTTGGGCTAAAAGCTCTGACAGATCTAGATGAAATCTTTTAAGTATTAAAGTGCCAAGAATCACACAACGGTAAATATTTTTCCCCACTTGTAATGTGGCTTTGAAAGCTAGACAGTCAAACATGCTAAATTAAGGGGGAGGAGGAGTACCTTTGATGCTGGAGAAAATTATTGGGAATATCTTAATCCAGAAGAAGAAGAAATCATTCAATACTTGATGAAGTGAAACTAGTATAATGCTCATTGGAAGCACTAATAATAAAGCTTTTAAATATTTTGGATAAATATGAAGGCAAGGGTCCTTGAAAAAGACCTTAATGGTTGAAAAAATTCAAAGTTTGTTTAAAGGCAGAAGGACAAAAGAATGATGACTCAAGAATAAGCTTACAAGAAATCAAAAAAGCAGTTACTGAGACAGTTTTGCAAACTGATATTTATCAGGTCATAAAGATTAAAAAGCAAATGAATGACAGAATGTTAGAAATCTTGAAATGGAAATTTCTATCCGAAAGAATTGCGCCTTGGCAATCTGAAAGCTTTACCCTGCTCCCCAAGCTAAATTAAGTAGCCCAGTTTCTATTCCCGCCAGCCATTCAAGAAAAAGAGGGAAGATATTTTCTCACAAGATCTCTCCCGCCCCCCCCTTTTTTTTCTGATTACTGATGTGGTTTAAGCTAAACTGGTGAGAGAGTAAAAAACAATGAGACAAGTAGGAATTACAGGTAATCCTCAATTTACAACTACAATTGAGTCCAAAATTATGTTGCTATGTGAGAAATTTGTTAAGTGAATTTTGCCCCATTTTACGTAATTTTTTGTTAAATTAATCATTGCAGTTTTTAAATTAGTAACACCGTTGTTAAATGAATTTGGTTTCCCCATTTACTGCTTGTCAGAAGGTTGCAAAAGGTGATCACATGACTCTGGGACATTAGCCATCATAAATGTGTCAGTTGTTAAACATCTGAATGTAAATCGCGTGACCATGGGGATGCTGCAATGGCAATAAGTGTGAAAAATGGTCATAAGGCACTTTTTCACTGCCATTGTAACTTTGAATGGTCACTAAGCGAACTGTTGTAAGTCAAGGACTACCTGTAGTGCATCACTGGACAAATTGGCAATACCTGTATTGTTTTCAGAAATGATTTACTACCTGCAACTCATGGTTGCTATCAAAGCTTGTTGCTTACCATTTACTTTGTCCTCAATGTGTCATCCAGAACTTTTGGATTTACACTGTAAATGTGCTTATTTTAAACATTATTTTTGATTTGGAAGATAGAAACAAAGACCACCAAATGCACTTGTCATAGGTTGTTTTTGTTTTGGGGTCAGTATCAAATATATATATTATATTTATTTGTTGGAGCTACATTCTTCCTTTCCTTCCAGAGTTTAAGATAGCAAATGCCGTACTCCCTCTTCCCATTTTCCTGCAATAACAATTCTGAAAAGTAGGTTGGGATGAGAAAATGATATAAAGTCATCCAGCAAGCATCCAAAGCTGATCCTGAATGTGAGCCTGAAACTCTCCAAGGGCATTACAACACACAACCACTATATATCATACTGACACTGCCTCCTAAGGATATCAGTCTAACATATGCTATTTATGATCAAAATGCAATCTCTTGTATTATATTACTGAAAACTTTTTAAAGGGAAGCAAATATTGTAAGAGAATATATTCACATGGGGAATGTTGCACATTACTGTCCTTTACAACTGTTACCTGTGAAATTCATTTATTTTGAATTACCAGGTGTGATTGTGTCTAGGTTCATATGAGATACTAAGCCTAAAATCCTGATTAATAGATAAACCTATCTGCCAATTTCACATAATGTACTACCTATATTGGGAAGATGGTTTAGTTCCTCCAACATTCTGAATCATAAATTATTCAACCCCATTTTAATCCATGCATCAAACTTTTTGAATGACATGGACATTTTTCTGTACTAACAGATGTGCTATTTTCGGGGGGGTTTCCCTCCAGAAAATATATGAGGAAGTTATTTTGCAAAACGAACTAATCTTTTATTTTTATTTTTTGTCAGGTGAAAAAGCGTTAAGATAGTCTACATTTCAAAGTCATGTACAGTATCACAATTACTATAGTTTAATGGACAGTAGCACTTCTGTCTTGTGGAGAAAAATGTTTCTTGGACCCGATCTTAACTGAAAAATTTGTTAGTATCCAAATCAGGACAGATGGTATTTTAAGCTCTGCATACCCCAGATGCAACATTGTTCTGAAGAAAACAATGTTTTCTTCAGAACAAAAAAGAAGAAAAATTCTTCTAAAAGAAGAAAAATCTGTTTTTCTGTGAAGTGACTACAGATAGCAGACTAATAGGGTGCTTTGAAAAAGGTCATATGTTTATCCAACGTTACAGTACAAGAATCATGGTTTGAAGCCTAACTCTTATAATTTCGATACACCTAATGGGACTGCTAAAACAGTTTCCCACTAGCTTCTCAAAGTTCTATAAAATATGGTTGTTACAGAAACATTTGCTGGGGTAATCCTAACAAAATACATTGAGGAACTTGGGTAAGATGAAGAGGGTAGGAATGTTTGTGTAAAGTTGAAGCATAAAAAAGCTTAAATTGGTATGTTCTACCCTCTGTATTTTTGAATAACTGGAAAATGTACATTTGATAAGGACATTGATAACAATGTTAAAAATCTAGTTTTTGTATTATTTCCTATCTCACACACACACATGCATAGACATTATGATCCTAAAACAATACTGAGAGTTCAATAAAACTGAAGATTCATCTCCCATAGTGTGACTTAGTGATTATTGGTATTTCCTGGTATCAAAGTCTAATTCAGGTGTATTAAGTGTTAAAAGTCTTTGACCCAGAACAATCTGCTTGTGCTCAATAAATTGTTTAATTATTATTTTAGTTAGCAATCCGACCAGCACATGCAGTCAATCACAGGGCTCCCATTCAAGAGTTGGAAGAGTACAATAGTACTCTTTTGGAAGTGATCAAAATAGCGATCTCCTAACTTTCAGAACAACATACCATGAAATTTGGATAGACCCAACCCTGTTGGCCTTCTATAAGGCCTTGAAAATTTGCCTCTTATCTGAGCATTGGGTCAGGTCAGAGTGTTGGATGAACTCATACTGTAATGATTGGGAATGCAGTTATGATTGGCCTCAATTGTACTATGTTCTTGGCAGGGCCGGATTTAGATGAAAAGAGGCCCTAGGCTATTTCACTTATGAGGCCCTTTCACCTATAGTGAAAGTGTAATTTTAATTTTGCTAACAATTTGAATGTAGGCCCCTCTTGATCTTGAGGCCCTAGGCTGAAGCCTAGTTAGCCTATAGGAAAATCCGGCCCTGGTTCTTGGTTGGTTTTATCTTGCTTGGTTATTCTTTTGGTTATTTTTCTCTGTTTTAACCCTATTTATTTATTTATTGCGATTTATAGGCCGCCTTTCTCCCTAGGGACTCAAGGCAGCTTACAAAATGACAACTTCAATACAAATCACAATACAATACAAAATTAAAATCAGTAACCCAATTAAAAAACAATTTAAAATTATACCAGTGTACCCCCAAACGGATCAGTTTAATTGGCGGAAGAGCCATGTCTTCAGCTCGCGACGGAAGGAAAGAAGGTCGGGGGCTGTCCTGAGCTCAGTGGGCAATCCATTCCAGAGGGTCGGGGCTCCCACAGAGAACGCCCTCCCCCTGGGGGTCGTCAGCCGACATTGTTTGGCCGACAGCACCCTGAGGAGGCCGACTCTGTAAGAGCGCACAGGACGATGGGAGAACGGCTGGAGATGGTCCTGCAAGTACCCCAGGCCTAAGCCATGAAGAGCTTTATAGGTGAGCACTAGCACCTTGAAATGTATCCGGAGTGCCACCGGTAGCCAGTGCAGCTCACACAGGAGAGGTGTTACACGGGAGTATTTAGACGCCCCCGTAACTACCCGTGCGGCTGCATTTTGGACTAGCTGAAGCCTCCAGACACATCCCAAGGGCAGCCCCATGTAGAGGGTGTTACAGTAGTCCAACCTAGAGGTAACAAGGGCGTGAGTGACCATGGCGAGGGCATCCCGGTCTAGGAACGGGCACAACTGGCGCACAAGACGGACCTGTACGAAGGCCCCCCTGGTTACGGCCGTCAGATGGTCATCTAAAGACAGCCGAGAATCCAGGAGGACACCCAAGTTGCGGACCTATCGGAGGGAGCAAGGGTTTCACCTCCGATCATTAAGGATGGAACCTCCAGATCCTGGGATGCCGGCATCCACAGCCACTCAGTCTTGGAAGGGTTGAGTCTAAGCCTGTTCCTCCCCATCCAAACCCGCAGTGTCTGCTCAGTATCACAATCCTCATGTTGTTTGGCCATATAAGATGGTAAAATAAAGATGAATAAATAAACTGGGATGATAGGGTGGGGGAAAATTTTCAATTGAATTATCTATGTAAGCATTAGAATATTTAGCCATAAGATAGAGACCTAGAATTAACTGTAGGGAAACAATAATGATAGAATAAATAATAATAGAATATAATATACTGATATACTAGATTTAGTAGAAACTTGTTATTCTGTAACCATTAGGTTCTTGTAACACATATATAGCCTTTGTATTTGTATCACATATATTATGCCTTTATATTTGTATCTCCTGTAACAAACATATTCTGTTATTAGGCCTCTGTAAAATAACTGGTATTTGTCAAACATATGTTCCTGCCAAACATATGTTCCTTTATTTATTTATTTATTTAATTTATTTATTTTTAAATTTATATACCGCCCTTCTCCCCGAGGACTCAGGGCGGTGTACAGCCAGAATTAAAAAACATGAAATACAAATATTAAAAACAATTAAAATATATATAAATTTGGTCCAAAATTAAAAATACAAACCAATTAAAACATTTAAAATTTCTTCTTAAGCCAGCCCGGCTTGCTGGAAAAAGTGGGTTTTAAGGGCACAGCGGAAGGCACTAAGGTCTTGGATTCTCCTTATCTCTGGGGGGCAACTGATTCCAGAGGGTAGGTGCCCCCACAGAGAAGGCCCTCCCCCTGGGAGTCACCAGCCTACATTGATTGGCTGATGGCACCCTGAGGAGGCCCTCTCTGTGGGAGCGCACGGGACGATGGGAGGTCGTCGGTAGCAGCAGGCGGTCTCGAAGATAGCTAGGCCCGATGCCATGGAGCGCTTTAAAGGTGATAACCAACACCTTGAAGCGCACCCGGAAGACCACTGGGAGCCAGTGCAGCTCACGCAGGAGCGGTGTTACATGGGAGCGCCATGCTGCTCCCACCACTACCCGCGCTGCTGCATTCTGGACCAGTTGGAGCCTCCGGGTGCTCTTCAAGGGGACCCCCATGTAAAGAGCGTTGCAGTAGTCAAGGCGAGAGGTGAGGAGGGCATGAGTGACTGTGCACAGGGAATCCCGATCAAGAAAGGGCCGCAACTGGCGAATCAGGCGAACCTGACAAAAGGTCCCCCTAGTTACAGCCGTCAGATGTTCCTCCAAGGACAGCTGCATATCCAGGAGGACTCCCAGATTGCAAGCCCTTTCTGTGGGGGCCAAAGACTCGCCCCCAATAGTCAGTGATGGAGTCAACTGACTATATCGGGATGCCGGAAGCCACAGCCACTCAGTCTTGGAAGGGTTGAGCTTGAGCCTGTTCCACCCCATCCAGATCCGCACGGCCTCCAGGCACTGGGACATCACTTCAAGTGATGTCTGAACCCATATCAATTTTCTTCCTGTTTTTCTTGTGCCATCTAAGAGCATGGTATGTATCTCAGTTGGAACTGCAGACATCATCCAAGGGATAATTTACACCTCAGCCCTAATTTACATCTTTGATTTGTATAAGCTCCTTCCTTACAAAACCAGGGGGCCAAATGGCCAATTGAGAGAACAAAGGAATGCTCAAGGAAGAGATAAGACTAAGTGAGAAGCTTCTATTTCCTTGCAGGGTAACAAGGAATACACAAACCTAAATTAGGGGGCCAGAATTGGGGATTTAACTGGTGTTTTAAAGGTATAAAAAGGGGTCACATCTTCTCTGAAGTTGTTGGCCTTTCCATATACATGTTTCTTTGTATGTTTGGAACAGTTTTACTCAGCCTTTTGCTTTTGATCAAAAATCAAATGCTGATTCTTATACAAGCCTCCGTTTAAGTCCTTCTTTTTGGCTCACTGTGGGCTTAAGCGTACTGCCAGACCTTACAAACGTATGATAGTCTTTCATAACATCTAAGAAAACAAATTCAGTATCTTGTTTTTATTATCCAGTGATTATATAGCTAGTAGCATTTTCTTGCCACCTAATTTTTTAATACGTCCTGCTTCTGTTTTATGGACCCCTACCATGAAGGGCTTTATAGGTAATAATAACCAACACTTTGAAGTGGACCCAGAAGCAAAATGGCAGCCAGTTCACCTCATATTAAGAGCGGTTATTATTTCTGAGATTTAAAATGTATTACAATATTTTACTTATAACTGTAATGGAGACTGGAATTTGTAGGTCATGATGGTTGTTAGTTGAGACACCCATGTAGCCAGACTCAATTTTATAACTTTATTTTTACAGGGTTAGGGTTAGGATTTTGCCAGAAACTGGCAAAAAAGGAATTGCAGTCACTCAGCTACAGAATGCTATAACTGGTGGTAAAGGCAAGCGGGTTCCCAAGCAAAGTACAGTCATGTGACTGCAGGAGCGTTAGCACCTGTTGTTACTCCTGAACTGGATCGTAAGAGCACCATAACTTCAAAACCACTAAGTATTCTTTAAACAAGGACTACCAGTATGTTCTTCCTGCAAATTTGCTCCTTTAGTGGAATGAAGGCAATGAACCTGAATAGTAATGTCCTCATGAAGATGTTTTATATGAGTTAATTCAGCAATCCTAGAATAAATACTGGTAGTCCTCAACTTATGACAATTGAGCTCAACGTTTTTGTTGCTAAGTGAGACATTTGTTAAGTGAGTTTTGCCCCTTTTTGACACCTTTCTTGTGTGTCGTTAAGTGAATCACTGCACTGGTTAGTAACACGGTTAAGTGAGCCTGCCTTCCCCACTGATTTTGCTTGCCAAAAGGTGATCACATGACCCAGGGACACTATAAGCGTCATGAGTCAGTTACCAAGCACTTGAATTTTGATCACATGATCACGGAGCTGCATCATAAGTGTGAAAAATGGTCATGTCACTTTTTTCCAGTGCTGCTGTAAGTCTGGTCACTAAATGAACTGTTGTAAATCGAGGACTACCTGTGTGAACTTACATTTACTGTGAGCTCACAATACAGTAAAACCATTCAATGGTGTTAATTAAAAAAAACCTTTGACTTTGTATAAATATACAAAAGTATGAAGGCTATTGCTTAACGCATTGTAAGCCGCCCTGAGTCTCCGGAGAAGGGCGGCATATAAATTAAAGCAAAAAAAAAAAGAACCCTTAGGTTGTAATCTATGGTTTGAAGAACGTCTTCACCCCACATGCTGAACCGTGGACCACACTGCGATTCAGCGTTTGACGACTGTAAGGTTAGACTTGATTGCCAGTCGCCCCTGGTCCGTCCCCCACACGCCAATCCCAGTCAGGCTTTCCCAATTCCAAAGCTGGGACCACTGGTATGAGAACGTTGTGCGCATGCGTGAGTGGCTGTTGACTGAGCGCAAAACAAGCAAAGACAGGCATCTGTACGGAAATAAGAAGCCGTGACCGGCGCAGGCCCAGTGGACTGACGTTTCTTCTCTGCTCCGAGTCGCTTCCAATATAACTCGGCCGCCAACCGTCCTGCAGGTCGTTTCTCCCTCCAGGGCGTTGGGAATGTCCCAACGCACCAACCCTCCACCTTTGCGACGCCGCGGAGCAATTCCAGGAGAAGGAAGGCGTGCCCCCCCACCCCTTCGCTTGGCCAATGGGTTTTCTGCGTTGCGGAGGCGGCGCAAAACTCGGGTTGGCCGTCCAATAAAAATCAAAAGCGGGAGGTGACCGATAAGAGCTCGGCCCAATAGAAGAGGAGAGGCGTCGGCAACGTGATCCTTTCGCGCGGGCTCCGATTGGGTGACTGGAAGCAGGGGAGGGGAAGATGGCGGAGTGAAGGGGAAGAAGTGGAGCGAGAGCCTCTGCGGGCTGCGGCCCGGGGGCCCCAGCTGGGGTAAGAGAGCGGGGAAAGCCAATCGCTGCGGCTGAGAAGGTTTGCGAACACCGGGCCTTGTTGGGCATGAGCCCGATTTTGGTGCAGGAGTTGTTTTGGCTTGGCTCATTCGCGGGGTGAAGGGGGATCTGAGCCCTGTGTGTGTGTGCCCACCACTATCGCGCGCCTCTTGATTGGAACAAGTTCCAGGATTATGGAACCGACCTTGAGCTCTTCTTCGAAACGGCTCCCTGCTGTTTTCCTCCCTGGGTTAGGGTGCCACATATAATGGGCGCCAGGGTAATAGTATCTGAAAGGCGAAGCTTTTTGCTCCTGCAGTTGCGGAGATTGGTTAAAACGTGGCGCTTTTCGGGTGCCACCGAGCTCTGCGACTGCGAAGGAAGGCACCGCGAGCCTTTCTCCCTAGAATGGCTAATGAAAGCCAGAGGTTTTTTGGGGTGTGTGGAGGGGAGAGTTTCTGTTGGGCCGTGAACAGTAGGGTTGTAATGCAAGCTTGATCCAGGTCGTCCTCGACTTACAACAGTTCCTTCAGTGACCACAAAGTTACAACGGCATTGAAACAAGTGACTTATGACCGTTTTTTCACATTTACGACCGTTGCAGTATCCCCATAGTCACGTCATCAAGATTCGGAGGCTTGGCAACCGATTTACGACGGTTGTCTCTGGGGTCTCGTGACCACCATTTGCGACCTTCTGATGAGCGAAGTCAATGAGGAAGCCAGATTCACTTCACAACCATGTTACTGACTTAACATCTGCGGTGATTCCCTTAACAACTGCGGCACAAAAGGTCGTAAAATGGGGCAAAATTCACTTAATGTTTCAGTTACCAACAAAAATGTTGGATTCGATTCTGGTCGTAAGTCGAGAACTACCTGTACTTGGTTTATTGGTATAAATACATCGTTATATGAAACCTCCAGACTTTTTCTGGCTCCCGCTTTCATGTCTACCGATTCAAGGTATAATTGAGACTTTCTCTCCTGTCCCAGAGTTTTGTTTTATGTCCATTTTTTTTCTTGCCAAATCAATACATTTTTTTTTTCATGGTATATTGTTTATTGACTCATCTCTTAGTTTAATATTGATAAGTGTGTGCTGACCCTTTATTTTATGAAACTGAATTAGTGACTATTTTGTTTTCTTTGTATTCAGAATTACACTTTGTTACAGTTCTCTGGTACTTTGTGATTTGGAATTGGAATTTAGGATGGGGATCGGTAGGAGGGCAAAATGTAGGCAGACATACAACATTGAAATATCAGTTGAAAAAATATCAATGTTTCCATTTTGAATTCCTGTTTTCTTTTCAAGGTAGTTTTTAGTGGTATATGCATATTTATAAGAGTAACAGTGTTTTCTTTATAAAATAGGAATAAAAGGGCAATGTTAGGAACAATGAGTTTATGAAGTTGGTAATGACTAGTTTTAGAAAATGCTGAGACATCTAGGGAATAGATCTTGTTGGATGTAAGAGAGACTTGTTAGAGAATTCTGCAGATGGCTGGGAATTGAATTTTGAATAGATTCATATGTACTGTATTCATTAGTGTGTACTCTGAAAGCAGCTGCATCTATTGAAGTAGATATTGCCAAATATTTTTAATGAGTACTTCTCAGTATTTATTCAGCTGCTGAAATATCATTGAATAAAGGGACAGATGCTGAGAAACAGGACTTATCAGCAAAGTTATTTTTACTAGCCTTATTAATGAAACTAAAAATTGTAATTGGGTTTTTTTCATTTCAGGGGATCAGATCAGTAGAGAATATTCTAGATTAGGCCCTTTCCTCGAAGGTATGTGTCTTTTAAGAGATTACGTTTATCTCCAAATTAGCAGCTTTTTTCCCCCCAAGATATGGCATGGAACCCAGCTGGGCATTGGTGCCTGAAAACATCTTGAATTCCTCTGAATAGTTTTGTTGGAGCCTTACTTTGGGTGACTTTTCCAAAGAACTCACAAAATAGAATGACCTGACAGAAATGCTGCCTAGTAATAAATTTTGTATTTTCTATTAGCTGAAGGGTTTTCAAATGAACCATTTGGGAAAAAAAATCATTAAAGTACAACTTACATAGCTTAAATATTTTATTCAAAGAAACCAAAAGTATGACAAATATATATATTATTGCTTTTAATATAAAAATATGAAGGGGCTGAATACTTGTATTCAGACTGTAGTTATTTTAGTGACACTCTAGGAGCATTATAAATATATTTCTTAAGCTTAATCATGGAGGGATTTAACTTTGAAACTGGTCAATATGACTTTTATGTGTATTATGGTATTTGTAATGAATAAATACATCTTTAAAAATTAAAATAGGCTTTTTGTAGAATGATACAAGTGGACAACATTCTGTTTTATGTTACTGGTTTGGGCACAAAAATCTCAAAAAGGACTATCTGGTGAACTAGTGTAGTGTAACAGGTAAGTTGTTGGACAAAGACTGGGGTGGCCCAAATTCTAATCTACTTTCAGTCAGAAAATTTATTAGATGATTTGAGGCCAGTTATATTCAGTGATTGGAGATAAAATTAAAACTGAACTTCTGAAGGAAAGACGGATATAAAATTGATAATACTATAATTATAATCTCCCACTCTGAACACTATGCTTTTGGGGGGACCTGATCCAGTAAAGCATTTAGGGAGGACTAGTCAATGGTAAATTTGTTACTAAATGTCTATAAGGCTTTGGGATGTGTATCTATTTTTTCCAAATAGATTTGGAAATTCACTATACTTTAGTGTGGGGACTTATTTGTTAGTTTTATATGCTACTGTTCTTTCAAGAGCTCACTATGACATACATAACATTTCTTTCTACAGTTTTTCCCAAATTTAAATATGGGCTTCACTGACTAAGGATGCACTTTCACTGCGAACTAGAACCCCCCCCCCCAAGTGCAGCTCCTTAATTACTTGTCCAATTTCAGAGATAAATGCAAACACTAATTGGGATTAGATACTGTTGCCTGAGATGAAGAAGGTGAAAGAAAATACAAGCCATAACTATTTATGCAGATTATGCTAAGGTTTTAATGAGCCACTATTTACCAATTGCAAATCCAAATTATAGATAAGGATATATAATTGTGTATTTCTGGTAGGATGATGGTGTTCATATCAGCTTTCAGAAATGATGGATGATGATGCTATCCATTCAGTCATATCTGATTTTCGGAGATTCTGTGGACTGGTTGTCTTCACATTATCCATCTTGTGTAGCTTCTTTCATTTCTTTTATGTTCTGGCTATTGGTAACTAACCACCATGTTTTTGGCGGCCTCGTTTCCTTTGACTCCAATGAGTTTGATCAGATGACATGGCCAAAATAAGTAAGGCGGAATTTTATGATTCATGTCTGGGTTTTTATAATTCAATACTGGCTTGTTTGTCACCTTTCTGTTTGATAAATTCTGTTCGCATTTGAAAGGTTCAGTATAAAGTCAAAACTTGTCAGTCATGATTTTAATGTATATCTGTGAAGATTTGCTCCAATATGAAGGAATGCCATAATGGTCTTTAATGGTTACCAGATAGGAAACAGCAATATGTAATGTGTCTTTTAATATTTTCTTCTTCCCCTACAGGTCCATGCCCCTCCAGGTCCAAGCAAATATCATAGTAATTGGCAGTCAACATTTGCATTAACTGAAAGCTACCGGCAAAAATTCTTGGTGATAAAATGATCAGTGCAGCATGAAATGAAAAGTAAGTGCATTTTGTCTATGGAATAGCATGGCCTGTTCTTTTATGATTTGACAGATGTATCTATCTCAGAGTGCTAGAGGAATTTGCTGATGATATGTCAAACTTTTATGTTTTATATTTGAGAAATTCTAGAAAACTTACGAAGTGCTGGATAATTGGATAAAAGCTTTTCCTATATTCAAAGAAAGAAAAGTGGGGAAATGTCAGAATGGTCACTCTTCCGTTGTTACATGAGGAGATTCTAGAGCAGATCTGAAAGAGATATCCTGTAAACATCTTAAAAACATTGCAATAATTATCATAATAATTACTGTATTGTTTGGACTGGATGTCATGAGAAATATATGGATACATAGTTGGTTTGAAAATAAACAGTACTTATTAGTAATTCCTCATCAAGTTGGGAGTGAGGTATAAAATGGGGTGACTTGAATAAGGAAACAGAGAATGTGTATCAAATTTCCAGACGAAAATTAGATGGAAAGCATGTTCCCTCCCCTCTATTAAAAACAAAATAGGTTAGAGAAATGAGTGAAAATAACAATCAAATTTAATAGATGCAATGCAGTTATGTATTCCAAAAGAATAAACCAAATTATATGTTCTGTGAACACATTCCGCTATATCAGTGGTCCCCAGTCTTTCCAGCATGATGGACTGGCAGGTGGCGGTGACGGGGTGGTGGTGGAGGGGGAAGAGGGGATGATTTCATGCGTGCACTGCTTTCACAAATGAAGCTTCGCAGGTGCACTTGCTCACCATTTCCATGGCCTGATTCTCAAGACCCTGAGTCCCAGTGCGGACCGGCACTGGGACATGGACTGGGTGTTGGGGATCCCTGCTCTATTAACTCCTTCAGAAGTTAATCCTAGAATATCTTCATCAGGACTTTTCTATAATTTATGAAAATTCTACATTCACAGAGAAATTGTAATGGAATTGGAAGCAAGCAAATGTCCCTATCGTCCAAAAAGGAGGAAAATCCAGGAATGAACCATCACTAAAGGTAAACATTCCTTCAAACTAATCTTGCTTCCTGGTAATGTTATAGACTGGTAGCTTTTTTGGCATGATGTGGAAATTGCTTGTCAGTAGCTTCTTCCATGACATTTTTAAAACCTTCAAGTCTAATTTGGACCTCTGGTATTATCAGTAGCTTGATGCTGTGCTGATACTTATTTTATCATATTTGTTTGCTACCCATCTTGTCACGAGATGACTCTGGATGAATTACAGTGTTAAAAGCAGGAAAACCATAGTATAGATATTTATTATTATTAACAACAAAACAACAACTGGTGATGATTAAAATATGGGAGGGGAGGGAGCAGGATGCACAAGAGGGGAGATGGGATCTACTATTGATCCATCAGCTACCTCCAGCGTGATACTCCCCCATTGGGACCCCAGGCCAACTGGCAGAGTCAAGTCTTCAGCCCTTGCAGAAGGTCAAGAGAGTGGGGGCAGATCTCGCTCTGAGGGGCAAGTTGTTCCAAAGGTCCACAGCCACAATAGAAAAGGCTCTTCTTATGGACCCTGCCAGCCAGAATTACTTAACCAACAGGATCCACAGTATGCTTCTCTGCTGGCACTGATGGGGTGAGCTTGTCCCATTGGGATGAGACAGTTCCTCAAGTAACCTGGACTCATGCCATGCAGAACTTTAAAGGTAATAGCCAACACCTTGAATTGCATTGGGAAGCAAACTGGCAATCAGTGCAGCTTGTGGAACAGAAGTGTAACATGGACCACTCGAGGGACCCCAAAATCTGCCTGAACTGATGCACTCTGCACCAGTTGTAGCTTCCAAATACTTTTCAAGGGTAGAACAAATTGCATTAGTCCAGGCATGAGATGACCAGGGTTTGAATGGCTGAGCGCAGATATTCGAAAGACTCTCAGGTCTTTTTAAGAGTTGATTTCTTAGCACTGTGAAAAGGCCACTTTCCAAAATCTGTTTTAAATTAAATTCTTTTAAATTAAAAGCAAATTATACCAGACTAATGTTTATTTTTCAACAGTTAATAGTCTGATAAATGATAAAATTATACCATTGATATACTATACATTTTTTTCAGTAAAATTTCCATCTATTTCCACAATATTCTTTTTGTTGGGATGGTTAAATTTTTAGTGTTTTAAAGGCTTTTACTTTTATTTAGAAATAAACTTGATCTATATCATTGATTTAAATTGTCTGCTTTCTTTAAATCACTTAAAATGAGTCCACCCTCTTAGTTGGCAATTTGTCAGGAATTCTATTGTGGTAGATTCCCAGCATTGACAATGAATGGACAACAATCATTTAGGGAACTTCAGTTTTTATGGATGAAGCGAATGTTAAGAATCCCTGTTATTTCTTAATAACAGTTTATTTTGATACCATGTAGGCTTAAAACAATAAATGGATATAATCTTTTAGAACAACAAGTCACCCATTGAAGGTTTAACATTTCCTTTTTATGATCTTACTTTTGACTGATATGCTGACTATAATCATTAAACACTTTTTATTTTTTTTTGCTTCTACAAATACTCTTGTTTTAGTGTAAATGGAAGTAAAAAACCCCTTTACTAACAATAATTACAAAAGGGAGTGTTATTCCTTAATAGCTATTAAACTTCAACAGTACTTGAAGACCTTTGAGAGAAATAAAAAAATATGCAGGGATAGAAAATTAGTATGTGTATTTTGGAATTGGTTCAAACTGTCATTTGAAAATACATCCTTTTCTGCAAGCTTTGCTTACAATCTCACAATATAGGTTATATTGAAATGACTGAACATTCTTTGTTATTGTTAGTGACTATCATTTTCATTAAAATTTGTTTTCTGATGTTTTTTATTCTATGGCAAGCTTTCAATTAAATAGTGTTAATTCCTAAAATAAGCCTCTCCTGCATTCCAAATGATAAACGTTTTGGACCTCAACTCAGTTGTTATCAGTAATTATTTTACAGATGTTACACTACTTTATATTGTACATTTAGCACAGTACATATTTTCATGCAAATAATGCTTCTACATTGTAAAGCGCTATGGGGTGGTATATACATCTAAACGCTATTGCTATATGCAGTAAAAATGAGATTTATTTTCCATACTCAGTTGCTTTTCATGGCAACGTTTTTCAGTGATATTTATGTATCAGAAGCAGGGTTGAAATCCAGAAGGTTCTGACAGATTCTGGAGAACCGGTACCAGAAATTTTGAGTAGTTTGGAGAACTGGCAAATACCACCTCTGGATGGCCCCAGAGTGGGGTGGGAATGGGGATTTTGCAGTATCCTTCCCCTGCCACACCCACCAAGCCACGCCCACAGAACCGCTAGTTTAAAAAAAAGGGATTTCACCACTGATAGAAGGCAAACAGTCTTCAGATTCTAGGCTTATAAAGTAGTCTTGCTGTATATGGGAAATGAATGAGTCTTAAGAGTAAGCAGAATGTAACCATAATTAATGGCACAATACTCCAGTTATCATTATCTAAAATTCATCTGCAGATTATTTTCCAGTGTTACAATGCCAAGTTTCTATGAAATAAAATATTGTTTTCAGATTCACATTATGTTAATTGAGAGTCAGTTTGATCTAGTGGTTAGGGTTAGAGTTGTGTTCAAGTCCTGCCTTGGCCATGAAAGCCAGCTGGGTGATCTTAGGCCAGTCATTCTCCCTCAGCCTATCTCACCTCATAGGTTTGTTGTGGGAAAAATAGGAGGAGGAAGGTTTGTTGGAAGCATTCACTATCTTGAGTTATTTGTAAAAACAATAAAGGCGGGATATAAATAAATAATACGTGTGTGTTTGATTCCAGGTCGTTTCCTTTTGACGCAGGAGATGCTGTTTCTTTAAAGAGTTGTTATTCATGAATGCCCATCTTGAGAAGAAAACTCTTCCTTTATTTCTCTAAATGGAAATGAAGAAATGCTGCTTTGAGCCTTTTACAGCTCCTCATCATAAAAAATCATCACATGACGCAGAATTATACAGGTGGAAAATACAACCCTTGCAAAGCAACTAAAATGAATATATGGACTTCCATGTGTACCAGGCCTTTGCTTATGGTTTTTTGCCCTCTAAAAGTGATTGTGCATTACAATATGAGCAATTGTCAATTCTTGTTGACACTTTGATTCATTCAATATATTTTAGTAAAATAATTCACCACAAAATCTTTGGAGAACCTAAACAAATCGGTATGTTCTTGAAATACCGTCTCAGAAATCTTGATGAAAAATTATGGCAGAAGGACCAGAATGTACATGTGTTATAAAAAAAAAAAGAGAGAGGGAAATAGTTTGAAAGATTTTCCACTGGAAAATTTCCTTCCTAAAAGAGTCAGTTATAATTAGATTTTAATGGAATCTTGATGCAAGTAAATCTTGATGCAACTACATAAAATTGCATCAGTCAAGTTATGTATTGAATGTACATAAAAGCTGGAAAGTGGGGATATTAATAATATGTCCCACAAAATGAAGGTTGGAGACTTAAAAGTATAGAAAGCCTTGGGTAGTAGAATTTACTTGGTATCGCAATTCTTTCCTAAGGAATTCAACAATAAAAGGAACAATGATTGAACTGTCCAGGCTTTTTCCTGAAAGGAACAACAATGCCAGTATAACCTTGTATGTAAAACTCCACTGCTTAGATGAACAAAAGTTAGACATGCTCAGGAAGGGCTTCTTTATTATTTCTCAATAAGTCACCCAGAGTTAAGGTGGGAATTGTGTTCTAAACATGCTTGCAGAACATTCTTTGCATCGTGTTTGTTTCTACTGGACTGTTTCAAGCTGGGATAAAAGCTGCTTTTTGCCACAATGGGTGCAAAAGCCTATGTCTTCTTCCCTTGCTGAGCCATGGAGCACCTTATTTCAGTTTTATTAAAATATTAATGTAGGTTCGCTAATAGTTTTGACAATATCCTCAATCTTAGTTAAAGGAAGTACATTTGATAATTGTTAGTCATAGCTAAGAATGTTGAATGCTTTTGGCTGATTGTTATTTTCAAAGGTAAAGTTGTGGCTGCTAGAAGAATATTTGGGATGTTTGTATGTTTTAAATAGTTTTAATAAGGGGAATAAACCTAGCAAAGCATTTGTGTTTGCTTGTCATCGTGTTGTGTTTAGCTTATATATGATAAAAGAGTAAACATTTTTTTCTTTCTTTGAATAAAAACGAAGTAGAGGTAGTCCTCATTTAGTGACCAAACGAACTGGCATCTTGGTTGTTAAGCAAAGCAGTCAGTAAATGACATTGACCTGTCGATGAGATCTTACTTCAGCTTTCCTTTGCTTTACAGACCTGTGAATGTCATAAATGCAAGGATTGGTTGTAAAGTTACTTTTTCCTCACCATTGTAACTGTGGCATAGTTAATAAGAGCTAAATAAAGACTACCTGTACAATTGTTTTTTTTTAAGTGTTGCAAAAGAACATTTTCAGAGGGCTTAAAATATAGCTACAGAACAAAAATGAAATATTTAATAGTCAAAAGAGTTGTGAAACTTAGAAATTTACTCATACAAAAGTTTAAATTTTAAAATAATTTGGATATCTTTTGGGTTTATCAAGGTTTCAGAAGTAAAACTTAATGAAGTTGTTCTCTGCGACTCTTACTAAAAATTAGAAAGCAGCATGAATTTAATCAGTAATTTGGATGTTGTTTTAGCTATTTATACCTCAGAGATATTTTGTGGTGAAGATAATACAGTACATTGGGACAGAAGGGAAATGTAATTTAGTTTCCCAAATCATTAGAAAATGATCATATATTTAAGAAAAAAATAAATTCTTTATCTCCTTTCTCACTAAATGCCACTGTAATAATGTATCTATTTCTATTGAATACGGCTGCATTAAGAGTAAAGTTAGCATTTGAGGAAAAAAACAACACTGCTCTCTATGTCTGGGAAATCACTTTAGTTTAGTTATCCATGTCCATCTCCTTAACAGTAGTATTCACAGGCAATATTGCCTTATATTTTTTTTAAGTTTTACATACTCATTTGTTGTCCACCTTGGCAGGAAATCTTTCACATCTGAAAGATGAAGCAAATATGGGGCATGTGCAATAGTATAATATATACATATAAATATATTTTAATACTTGTGGACAAAATGTTACAAGTTGTTTGAGAACAACAAAATCACCAATGTCTTCCATTTTAAAATGTGTATAGTTCCATAAGCATTAGTGCTTTGTAGCAAAACTGTAGTGCCATGTTAGGATCGGTGCATGAGCCTAGTAGTACTTTTTTACGATTTCAGAGTGACAAATTAATGAAGCTGATGATGTAACTTATAGGAAACTGACATGGTTACGGTCATGGTCTAAAGATGCAGTGTCCTTTCTAGGCAATGGTAGAAGAAACTGCTGCATAGAATCAGTGAGATGTGAATTTCATAGTGATTGCATGAAAATAATCTTTAATCAGCCAGGTATATTTTGAGTGCACTTAAACTGCATGTAAAAACCCTAATAGAAGTAATAATCTTTAACAAAACCCCTTGTGAATCATGGAATATTTTGCTATAATGAGAAAAAAAAATAACTGATAGTGTAAATTCTTAAATTTTAGGGACTAGAATAAGCATATGACTAGTCTTTCCCATTCATGCTTTTTTCCACAAAAAGTTTTGGTATGTTTTTGAATCAGATTTGTTGGTTGTTTTTGTGCTTGCATTAAGACAGGAATGGGTAACCTTTTACAGTGTAACTGTTGCTTGTAGAAACTGAATGATTGGGGCTTGCACATATCTGCCAATGGGGCAGCTATTAATCAAGAGTAGCATCTTGCAAAATTGACAAATCTAGAAATGCTATCACTGTACAGCTAATTCTGAATGCACCTAAGTTATTAGCATTGTTCATTATTAAAATCTCATATATATTTTTTTTCTTACCTCGCTATTTTGATAAAGCATTTGTTGTTTTCTTACTAATTAAATATTTAGTCAAATTTATTTCTTGCATCCAAATATCTATATATTACAGTAATTAATCTTAGTAGGTTTTCCCCCTTTTCTGAAATTAGTTAGGTAACTCATCTAAAACTTTATTTTTGGTTTAAACAAGTCAAGACTTAAGTTATGAATCTAGTTCTTTGTAGATCTTTACGGTTTAAATGCTACTTTTAGCTTAAAGGGGATACTGCATCTTTTTTTAAAAAAAGGAACTTCTCTATAAATGACCACCTTGATGAGAGAAAAGATGTCTGTATTTCTTTATTGGCAAAACATAATATGATACTTGTACTGTAACTGTTAACCCAGAGAACTGCAGAATTACTTTTAAAGATCTCTCTCTCTCTCTATTTTCTCATGAAAGTGGCAAGGTGTGTCGTTTGGAGTTGAATTGTGAGGACCTGAGCTCTTTTGGGGCTCTCTTGTGAACAGCAGTATAATTGAATGAAATGGGGCTGATGATTGGGAGAATTGATGGAAAAATACCTCTGAAACTGGAATGCAAAATAGCACAGTACGTAGGGGGGGAAATCCCTGATGCAAATAAAGCCATAAGAAGACAATAAATAGAACTTTAGTAGCAATAACTGTTTGCATGTAATAGGACCTAACTTGCATTGGCAAGAATAGTATAGTAGAATAAATGGTATTAACCAAATAGGTTTGCTGTGCTCTGTGTTGCAGGAAGTTGAATTTCTCATTAAAAGGTTGGTAAGTTCCTCTCTACCACAAAACAATGTGCTTGAATGCTACAGGGCAAAGCCTGGCAAAAATTCCAGAATAATTTTATTTTTAAAAATTGATATAATTAGGAAAAGAGGTTTATTGTATATGAAACCGATGAAAACTTAACACAGAATATTTGTAGATAATTGATCATCATTTCTGAAGTAACGAAGAACCCTTGAGGCTGGGTTCTACCCAGGGATATAATTTAGGAGTTTGGGGATCCAAATTTTTGAACCAAATTGTGAATTTCTTTAAAAGTAGTGCTTATATAATTCTTTTATTCATTTTCTTTTATAAGCAAATCTAATGTTTCACTTTTTTTATTTTATAAAGCTACTTGTAGACATGGAAGGAGGATAGCAAGTTTTAGGTCACTGCCTGGCAAACTTTCATCATTCTAGAGAGCGCAGTTTATACCTCTTTAAAATTATATTTAAAATTCAGTTGCATTAACTTTGTATGCATGTGCAAACTGAAGACCAAGTAAACTGTAAATCTAATATAGAAATCTGCCTTAAGCAGGGTTCGATTGACCAGATTCATTTGCAAGGCTGGGACATATATTTAAAGAAAGTGGCTTTTTATTTTTGTTCTACATTCTTTGATATCTATTGTTTACCTACATGGATAAGGTGGCAGTTTTAAAATAAAATGCATATACACACACACGGGCATGTTTATACACATTCTATAGAACTTTCTGCTCTACGTATTTATACTGATCAATGAAAATTAGCACAAGTTTTCTAAAATGTTCAGAAGTTTAATCCAACATTTATGTACACAAATAGTTGATATGTTTAGGTGACTTTTGATCACATAATAGATAGGGGGTATTCATTAAACTCAGAAACAATTTTTCTAACCCTGGAAAATTATTTGCACTTACTGTGTTTGCCTACGTGATTATTTAAATACCCATTTGCAGAATCCTAAAGGTGTCTCGTATCTATATCAGTACAATTTTTACTGCTCTCATATTTTGAACAGCTAATTTACAAATCTTTTTGTTGGCTCAGCTGGTGCTAGGCTGAATATAACATTGCTCGTAGAAAATTTTACTCTCGTAATCTGAGTCATGAATGTGAGGACTCAGGATTGCATGAAAGACTTGAATGTGGTGCTATTCTGGAAGAACTAGTTAGACTGTTGTTAATTGCTTGTTAAAGCATCTGAATCGCAGCCTCATCCTAGAGTACATTACTGCCTTGATCTAAGTGATAAGGAACTATAGTATTACTGGAAATTTAATACTGAAATATAATTCTAAATGCACGAGAGAAAATTCTTAAGTGGCTCTTCATTGTACTTAATCTGCCTATTCTCTGTGTAGTTTCTCCTTTGATTGTAATTCTCTTGATAGCTCTTAATTTTTGACTGCAGATCAGTTTCATTGAAACATTAATACTATTCTTGATGAAAGACTCCATAGAGCTTGCATTTCATCCGTCAATATTTTAGTACTTTTAAAAATATTTTAATCAGCACCTACTCTCTAAATTTTATGGTGAAATCCCTCTTAATATAGACTTCCCTTTGGATTTTTAAATTTTCCTTTATTTTGCACTTTGAAAAACAATAAATCATGTAAGAATTCAAGCACAATATTGACACAAAGGTGCCAGAAAATAGCTCTCAAAAACAGGCTTTTGGAATACAGATTGCAAGTAGTTCTTTGATGGTTCAGTCAAGATCTAGAGAAGCTAAGATGAATTGAGGTTTTGCATTCAGTTTGTATGATTGGGATGGGTTACAAGAGAAGCCCATACATAGAGAGAGAAGCAGGGAATTTAACTGTTCCAGAAATGTGGAAAAATGATAGCTATGCATAGTGCATAGATTTATACAAAGATTGCTGGAATAAATACATTGGTGTATCTCTTAATAAAGGGGAATAAAAGTACACTTATGCATGGGTTTATTATTGAATCTGAAAATGATTAGAGAAAGAATGCATGTTGGTGATGGGAGGATTAGGGTGACTGTTTCTTGCATTCTAGAAAAGAAAGCTATTTGTTCAGAGAGGAACTGAGTTCATTCTAGGAACATGGGAAATGAATGATGGAGGCTTTGAATGTGAGCACTTCCTAGCTGGTTTTAGATGGAATTTCCAAGTTTTCCAAGTCACAGCACAAAAAATATTCCATAAAGTGTAGTATTTCTTAAGGACTGGATATTGCAATTCTTTTCTTTTCCGTGCAGGTGAAGACAGATAAGGTTACAAAGCTATCAGAATGGAATACTTGTGTGGGAAAAACCACTGGCACAAGCACATAGACTCACAAACCGTCTTTTTTTAGAGATAGTATTCTAATTATGCATGATTAAAATGTATAGTGTTATAGCTATTATCAGTAAATTGATATATGCATTTATACATTATGAAGCAATAGGAACCAATATACCAATAGCTTGAATTTACTGCTTTGATTCTCAGTTTTTTTAGACAACATGCTGCCTCTTTAGTAAAGGGGCAAAATGTACAAAGAAGGGACGAAGCATGACGCCAAAACTGTGTATTAGAAAAAGGAATCAGTAGAATGAACCCTTTTAGTCTCTTACCAAGTTCATAGCAGCTCATGAGCCTACATGATATGAACATGGTTAATGGCAATTTGGGTTTCTTGGTTGCTGCAGTTGTACAAACAAAAAAAGGTGCAGAGTTTCAGAGCACAGAAAAGGGAATATGTAAATCCCAAATGGGGCAATAAAAATGATCTAAGCAGTTTAGGGTTTGTGGTTATTTTTAAGTAGAGATAGTAAATTTAGCCAGAGCAGTTAGTTAGTTGCAGCTAAAAAACAATGAGTAATTAAAATGAGTAAGCTGTCCATACTTTTCAGGTATTAATTTTTCTAAGACAGATGTAGCTTTTCAGTTTCCCACCACCACCACCTTTGGCAGCTGGATTAAAATGAACTGGTTTCAAACCAGCAATAACTTACATTATGAAAATTAGAGATATTTAAGTATTCGTTCAAGCTGTATTTAAATAGGATGTAGCTTTTTTGATCATCTAGAGCAGGGGTGTCACTCAAGGCCTGCGGGCTGGATGCAGCCCGTGGGGTGCTTAGATTTGGCCTGCGGGGCCGGCCTGGAAACACCAGAGGACTAGCCCGGAGTGCCTCTCCAAGCAAAAACGCCCTGTTTTTGGCCACAATGGCCTGCAGCCCTCTGCCAGAAAAAACAGCTCTGGGAGCTGCGCCCACCCGTGCCCTCACCCTCCAAGGTCAAACAACCCTAATGCGGCGCTCAATGAAATCAAGTTTGACACCCCTGATCTAGAGGATTGATAAGACTCAATTTTGAAAAATTGGTGCAGTAAAACGTGTAGATAACTAGAAATATTATAGCAGCATAGCTGTTGCAGCAAAGTCTGTGTTGGCACATACTTTTCCTATTAAGATGTGTGAAAAAGATCTCAAGTTTGAATCTTTAGATTGCACTAGTTTGCAAAAAGGCTTATCTAAGTACTAGTGTATCAAAGTTTGACCTTTTTTCTAGGTGTGAATATTTGTTAAGGCATAATTGTGCATTTTTGGTTTTGTAACTTTCCCAGTTATACACATTTCCAACCATATTTTCGCACAACCATTGGCAGTAATCAGTAATTTCATATTATTACCGGTAGACCTATTGAAGTTGTGATTGAAGTCTTGCAAACCATTTTAACAAGTGAAATAAAGTTTCTCATTTCTAAATTTTTCCTTCCAAAATTGACTTCAATAGTACATTGTTTGAAGGTGTTTCAACTATAAAGAGTAAAATTTAAGACTGGGCTACTGAATGGATATACTTTTTTTCCAAAATAAAATGTTATTCTGGTGTTTGAAAACTGGGAAGAATTGGTAGCAAAAGTTAAGTCTTGAAGATAATCTACAAAATGATTGGCAGATAGGTATGCCTTTTACTAACAGATAAAGTCATCTGGATAAGAGTATAATCTACTCCCTTATATACATTATCAATGTGAACAGTTTGTCTATGTATATACCTAATATTTTCCAGATGGCAGCTTGCTTTTATATCTATGCATATTTGGGGAAGGGAAAGAATGTGTTAAATGTATTCTTTTGACACTGTAAACAATAATTGCTCAAAAATGAGCTTTGAAACTCTGCACCTGTGTATAATTTTTTAGCAATAAAGCAGCATGAGCTGAGAATGCACTAAAATGTCTGTGTCATTTCTTTCTAGAAAGTTAAATGTACAAAATTCTCTTGTACCATTTCACTTTGCCTTCAGTATATAAGGGAATGTGTTTATGTTAAAAAATCATTGAGTTGTATATTTTAAAACTTGGTCAGATGTTTTTGTGTGTATTCTCTGCACAAGTACAGAAATGTTATTCCTAGTGTGTATATACTAACCTGAAGTAAAGACTGATGAATATCAAAAGCATGAACAGCTACAGAGTGCTGTTCATGAGAGACAAGCTTCTGGATGTTCACAAAAAGGAAATGGCCAAGAGTTTGTTACCAAAAATTGAATATCTAAAAATATGTATGTAAAGGTACTCGTTGGAATTCTTGCATGTAATCATTACAATTAATCAGAGTTCCTATATTCTTGTTCATTGGAAAGTGAAACTTGTTCAGTTTCTACTTCCAAACTAGGCAGCAAGAAGTAATTACCTCAGGGTAATTGCAGAAAAACTTAGCATTTGCTTCTACTGACTAGATTGATTGATACTGACCAGTTTGACTAAAAAAACATTTTTTAATATTTTATGGATATAAATCCTATGCATACTTGCTGAAAAAAAAACATACTACATCCACTGCTGCCTATATTTCAATCTTGAAAGTACAATAACCAGGAAATTGAGTTTTTTGGCTGTAAGCCTTCTGACAAAAGGAAAACCTAACAAACACATTACAATGCACATTAGTGATTTCATAATGGTTTCCTCATAATTAAAAAGTGTTATTTCCTCAAACGTCATTACTTTTGGTAATTTGGCAATAATTTAAAATGTTTCTGGTAAAATGTTACTCTAGTATTTAAAATGTTTCACTTTTTGACCAATTTTAATGTTACTAAATACAATTTATAGCTGAGTCCTGAGAACATATCTCTCTCAAATGTAAAAAAACAAGATAACCTCTAAAAGAATGTACAAAGTAAATGTTTATTTCTTTCAGCTAGACTATCCAGTTTCCAATATGTTCACAATGCAATCTTAGGGCAGTTTTGCACTATTTAAAGGTTTTTGTTAGAGTATATAGAAATATTTGCATGTAGGAGTTAAATGATTTGGGATAGCTATTCAGGCTCAAACACTATATGCCCTTGAGCTGTGCTAGAAAAGGAAACAATTTTGTATCACCAATTTGCCAGTCTAAAGCCATATTAATTTACATTCAGTTACAAACACAAGTTATTATAAAACAATTAGTTGAGGTACGCAACTCTAAAAAGTTAACTGTTCAGCTTTCTATTTGTGTATCCATATGGTTTTCCTTTACAGCTCTCCTTCTCGTATGTAATCCTTTGTTGATTGAATTCTTCTAGTTTCTTAATTAGCAATTCCACACGCGTATGAACTTGTACAAGACTCTCTTTTAACTACAAATAAAGAACTAAGTGTAAGTGTAAAAAGAATGTAGTACAGAATATTAAGCAAATTGACTTTTTTACAAATACTTTTAAAATGACCAATGTTATATTGTAACTTAAAAACATTCATATAAGCAGTACTGCAGAAATTGAATTCTTTCTTTTAATACCTTCAGTATTCAACTGCATAATATAATAATATGAGAATTTTAGTGTCAAAGACTAATTTGTTAAACTGAAGCATGGCTGATCAACATCTGAGGGAAATGCAATTCAGTCATCTACTTTTCTAGGGTCACTCACTGAAGTAATGTTACTAGAAAAGGCATGTTTGTCCTGCTGAAGTATTAACCATTGGGAAAGGAAGTGAGAGTTCTTCATTCTTATTTCCACCCTTAATCCATTGGAACCAGTCTTTAATTTGGGGAAGAGGTGGGAGACAATAAACTCTGCCACTATTTGGTAAAAAATTGTCATAACACTTCAACTGACAGAAGAAAAATGGGCCTTTATGTTCTTTCCAATCCTGAACTAACATCATGATTCATATTATAGTTATACAAGAATCTTTAATTTAGATAGTGGACATTGTATGGAAAAGTAAACAGTTATATATTAGAATCTGCCATGAAGTCACAATTAGCTAGATAAGCCTGGTCTGTTTCAACATGATCCATGCCATTTGCGATGCACTGTAGCACAATCTTTTCCCACCCTATTTTTTATGGGTGGGGTGGGGGTGGGGGAGTAATGCTGACATATCTACACATGGAACAATTTCTGGTCTATTATTGCTTGTGGCAAAACCCGAAGAAACTAAATAGAGGACAGAGTACCTAATATGTTTTCTACTATAATCTTTTTTCATTCCTTATAGTATAAATATAAATCATATAAATATAAAGGATAGCATAAATATAAATCAAATAAATACAAATACATTCCAATTTCTACAGATATAGATTTTAAAAAACTAAAGCCAGAAAACACTTACTTTCTCTACATGTTCCTTTAGGCTCACAACAGGACAGGTTACTTTTGAAGCTTCTACTGTAGCAGTAGTTTGTAGCAAATAACTAAACCAATGTTAAAAATATTTTAATATTGACTCATTAAAAAGAAAATGAACAGTTTACAGTGCTTAACTCAGGGAATTTTTTCTCCACAAAATTAGACTTCAAGAAATGTTTATATATATAAACATTTCATCTAGATTAAAAAACGCTATAAAATATGAAAGTTAAAAAGATCTATATTCAGATACCCATGTCTAGGCTATCTAATCATTGAAGTGCAGCATCGTTTATAGGAAAAAATCAAATACCAGTATACACCCTCAGCTTATGGCTGGTTTAGCAAAATATACAGTATTATTATGGCTACCACTACTCAGGTCTTCACCAATACAGCAATACTTTGTCGACATAATAGTTTTATTATACCCATATAAATGTATTAACATTATTACAATATATTCTGACAGATTTCACTTTAAATGAACGTATACTGCATTTTAAATCCTAATTATTTATATCTCACCTTGATGCTAAGGGAAACAAAAACCCTGCGTTTGAAATTGCTGCCCAGTGGTTAAGTTCTTGAGATGATTCTGGACTTACAACTACTACAGTAACTATTACTGTAATACCACTTAAGGGAAGGTTCATACCAGATTCCCAGAGGGACTTTTTTGGATAAAATGGGAATAAAAATAGAATGAATTTAGCTTCAAGAAGCAACAAAACAATACAAAACAAAAGTTTACGGCATCTTCTAATTATATATAAAATAAAAGTTAATGGTTTTCCCAATTTAAATTTAGTTTAAAAAATTAAGACATAGAAAGATGGCTATGGTTAAAAGTGCTATCCATTAATCCCTGAGCCAGAAGAGAAATACATTGGCAAAAGATTTTCTGACTGCTGAGCCATTTTCTATCACAGTAAGGAGCTGGCAACTGATGCAGTCCTGTTTTAAGAATAGTGTTTGGTAAATTCTCCAAGTTTTTACTGCCCCTTGTAGCAAGAACCCACTGCTATCAGAGAAATCAGCAGTTGCCATCCTTAAAATGTGGAGAAGGGTTAGGTGACCATAGGGAATTCTTGAAATGGCACATTCAGTTATCTGATTAACAAGCTGCAGGTACTTAGGTGCTCTGACTTTGTGACCTGTTAATGCAGACTAATTAATCCTGAATGTAAATCTAGTGCTTTTTTTGAGAGAACACTTAGCTAACAGGTTGCAGACATGAAGTAGGGACACAAGGTAAAGTAGAAACGAGTACCGTAATTGGCAACAAGTGAGCTCTATCTTTACTAGCACTATAAGGAAATGGAAAGCCTAGCAACAAGTCCAATTGTGAATGGTGGCACATGGAAATAGCCTATGAAGCCATAAAGCCAAAATGGCACTGCCCCAATTCAAAGTAATAAAAGCAGAAGTGCAATCACATGAACCTCCCTGTTAATAAAAGAAAAAAAATGATGTAAGGCAAAGGTGTCAAACTCAAGGCCCGCAGGCCAGATGTGGCCCCCGGGTTGCTTAAATCTGGCCCACGGAGCCGGCCCATTATCAAAGGACCGGCCCATTTTCAGCCTTCATGGCCTCCTGAAGCACTCTCCTGGCTGAAAATGGGCTGCATGGAGGCCCAAACGGCCCCCACATGGCCCGCTTTTGGCCTCCAGCAGCACTCTGCTGACCTGGAAATATCAAAGGACCGGCCTGTGGTGCCTCCCGCAGCCCATTTTCAGCCTCCTCGGCCTCCTGCAGACTCTGCCAGCTGAAAATGGGCTGTGCAGAGGCCCCACAAGGCCCATTTTTGGCCTCCAGTAGCACTCTGTTGGCCGAAAACAGGCCGTACATTTTCAGCCTCCATGGCCTTCAGCAGCATGGCCCGTTTTCGCCCAGCAGAGTGCTGCAGGAGGCCAAAAATGAAACGCATGGCCCATTTTTAGAGGATTGGGTTGGATTGGATTACAATTATGTGGCCTCAAGTAAGTGCCTGATCTGAACAGAAAAAAAGCAACATCCTATGTTAATACTACAGTTTAATGCCATATTTTACATACTGTAGGTGTCAGGTTCCAACCAATGCTTCAATTCAATGGTTCAAATCCCTAGTACAGGTCTCCTGCGTGAGCAGGGGTTTGGACTAGATGACCTCCAAGGTCCCTTCCAACTCTGTTACTGTTATATACTCCCCAACGAAGCAATTTCACGGGTTGTAGAAGTCACTCCCTCTGGCCACTGTGGGCCCCCATGGAGATGACCTTGACGTTGCCACTAGAATGTGCTTTGTTTTGACTGAAATGAAAGTTCCTCGATGCAGCTGCAAGGCTCAGTTTTCCCATCCCCCTGCCTATGGCAACTCGAGAGCAGGTCAGGAATGCTTTACGAGTTGACAGGTCCATTTAATCTACAATCAATCTATAATTGACAGCCATTTTTATTTACTATCCTGGAAATTTACCTGTGCTGTTTTATCATGTTATTTATCTATTTTATTTTTATTATTAGTTGAATAATAAAAATACAATAGTATAAATAGCTTTTCTGCCTGGAAAAGAAATTTACTATTAAACGATGAGGTATAAATTTAGAAATAAAATGTTTAGTGGACTATGAAGAATAAGTAATAAATGTTTGCCAGTAATATCTAGTAGAAGAGAGAGGAAAATAGTTATAGTAAAGAACTGTGGAAAGAAAGAAGGGAAAAAAAGCATCTTAAGCCTGTGGTCAAATGCCCACCATTCCCACGCCCACCCCTGGCCATGCCCATGCCCACCTCTGGCCACACACTACCACCACCCCGGCCCTCCAAGGTCAAACACAACCTTGATGCGACCCTCAATGAAATCAAGTTTGACACCCCTGATGTAAGGTATCCAGTGATGGTTTAAATTACACAGTACAGGAACAGAACTTTAAGAGAATGCTACTCCTATTTCTAGACAAATGTCTACCACTACAGGCTGGTGCCTCTGTCTTTCCTGCAGCCATATGGCCAGAGCAGAACCAGAGCAGAAATATATCCATAGCTGATTAAAGTAACCCAGTTCTATTCATATTAGCAACCATATTGTCAATGAAGTATGCTAGATAAGATCTATTGTAAAATCTGAATCTGTGCAAAATATAACTTTAAAATTTGAACAGCTAAAGACAACTCTTATATAAGTCTGTTTTGGGTTGGATATGAAATGAGGACAACTTTCTAAGCACATGACATCAAAAAATTATTACCAGCTAAGGATGAACTATTGGTGAGATGAACATTGAAAAAAAAAATTGGTACAATATAACTAAATATTTTTATATAACAGCCAAAGACTGCATATACAAGATACTAACAGCCAACATACCAACATAATTCAATATGCATTTGAAGAACACTAACCATGTGATGTTGTCCTTAAAAAGGCAAAAGAGGCCTCGCAGGTAAGCCAGTGACTTTGAACTATAGAGGATAAAGCCAATGTCTAGTTGACAGGACTGACAACGCAATGTGTTGTAGGTGCTGGAAGAAAAAGAGAACATGAAATCAGTTAAACATTCCAGATTATGTTCCATAAATCTTTACAGTCTGTATATCTTTAAATATATCTATCTATCTATCTATCTATCTATCTATCTATCTATCTATCTATCTATCTATGAATATATATCAATATAAATACATGAACATGATAGTATTGATATTATTTGTTATTTAGATCATGCTTATATAATTATGCTATTATACGTATTTGTGATAAAATAGAGGCCTTCATTATTTAGTTGTTCAACATTTTAGTGTCCCATTCCAATAACAATATCATTAAAACATAGTGTCACCTGGGTCAAGCAGGAGAGCCACTGCTCTCCACGACCTGCAGGGCACCCCTCCACTCTTTGTCACCTCTGCAGGGTGCCTGTTTTCCCCAAAATAAGACATCCCCTGATAATAAGCCCAATTGGGCTTTTGAGCACATGGCAATAAGGCCAAGCAGTTATTTCAGGGTTCAGAAAAACATAAGACAGGGTCTTATTTTCAGGGGAACACAGTATATACATATTGGGCTTTTTCTGCCAAATCCATGAGTATGGGTTGATGTCCGTGAGTACATTCCAGGCACTGACCAAGATTTCTATTGAACTGCCCATCATGTTATTGCAAAAAACCAATTTCCATGAGGACCCCAACAGAAATAGTAAACAGTTCAAGAATTATAGACATATTCTAAGCTTACATAACTTTAGAACACTAAGCCTATGTTTATAAGGAGCTGACACTTGGCAAGTGCTTCAGAAAGCAGTGATGCAGGCCACTGTCTCCTGCAGCTATATTGACCACGGAGGGCACATTTCAACACCAGAGCAAAGGGAGAATGTCCATAAATGATTAATGTAAACCAGATTATCCCCTATTTGTTTGTTTATTTATTTATTTCTTAATTTATAAAATTTATCAGTCACTCGCCCATCTTACCTCAAGATAACTTTGAGCGACTTACAATGGTAAAAAAAAACTATATAAACTAAAAACATAAATAAGTTAATATAAAATTTAGAATACCACAATCCAATTAAAAGATGGGGGCGGGGGATCTGTTGTTAATCAATCAACCACCTCCACAGTGATACTCACCCACTGGGGTCCTAAGTTAAATGGCAGAGCAAAGTTTTAAGGTTCTTTCAGTCAGGAGGGTCAGAGCCCACCTCACACCAGGGGCAAGATGTTCCACAGGGCAGGTGAAACGGAAGAAAAGGCCATTTTCCTGGATCCCTCCTGAAATAATCAGGCTGACAGGGGTCCACAGCATGCCTCTTCTGCTGGCACGGATGGGGCAGGTCAATCCCTTTGAGATGAGACGGTCCCTCAAGTAACTTGGACCTATGCCATGAAGGGCTTTAAAGGTGATTACCAACAGCCAATGCAGCTCATGGAGCAGTGGTGTTACCTTAAGAATGTTAGCCCCGCTGTGAATCGGTAATTAAGGTAAGTAGAACCCACCCCTGCAGTAAGTATGATAGTAAGATCTATGGCAAAATTTGTGTCTGAAGATGTAAAATATGACTTTAAAAGTGGAATAGATGAAGTCAATGTTCATATACGGCCGTTTTTGGCTGGATATGAGACAGACAATTTCATGAAGATATATCAAAAAATGGTTACCAGGTAAGGATGAACTCTAGAGGAGATGAGCATTCAAAAAAACTAAGAATATTAGCAATCACAAATGTCAATGAAATATGATACATAAGATCTATGGCAAAAACTTTATATGTAAAATCAGATAGAGCATTTGAAATTTAAGCATGTTATTTTAAATCTGATAAAGGTAGAAAATTTCTAGAGTAAAGGCAAAAATGCTTTCCTTCTCTTAGCATATTTGGGTTGGGGTTTTTTTGGTTAAAAAAATCTGCATGTGTTTTAAGGTTATGTTGTTGTCTTACAGGCATTCAAAACACTTAACTAAATCACAAGTAAACGTTGGAAAGGTTTTCAAAAAGATACCCACCAGCCAATGAGGTCTCCTTCAACACAGACCATCAAGTCGTCTTCCACAATAACATCTTTTGTGACCTCTGCAGAAAATAAGGGCAGCACTGGAATATCAGCAATACAAACCAGGGTGGATAAAAATCAATGATTTTTTTTAAAAAATCAAAAAAATCAGATTTTTTTTTATTTTTATCAAATTTATTTTAATAAAAAACTTTTGGGATAAAAATCTATCGTAAGATAGTTTTCTATTTAAGATACATAAATAATTTAATTTATTCAGCATGAAATGGAGCTTAGTTATGTAGCATGAGGCTGTATATTCTGCAACACTGGGACTATCAAGTGAGTCAACAGTGGGTCAAAGGAGTAGCAGAGATGACAGTTGCTCTTTAAAAATTATGATTTAAATCGAGTTGATTTAAATGAAGCCTTTTTACTAGTGATTTAAATCATGATTTAAATTGTGATTTAAATCAACTCGATTTAAATCAAATCCACCCTGATACAAACATTTTTTTTTCGTCTTAGTGGTTTCCCACAAGTGGAGAATCCACTTTTTGGGATCATTTTTGTAACAAGAATTGACCAACCTTGTCTTGATACTAGCAATAAAAGGTTCCCAAAACAATTACTTTTTAGTTTAGGCAACTATACTTTTTAATTTTGCAAAAAAAAACCCAAAACAAAATCCCATCAAACAAAACAGCCCACAATCTTTCTAGCCTCTTGGGTTGCAAGAAGAGAGACAGCTATTGGTAGATGACACACACGCATCACCTGACCTTTGGATGTCATACACTGTCCCTAGGCAACGTGCAACATGTTATACCGGTGTAATATGATATTATATCCATATGTATATGGGAATGTGTGCTAGTTATTATTTATTTGGGTATAGGGATTTCTTTTTCTTTTATTTATTGAGTTATTGAGATGTAGTCTGTGTTTCGGGGGGACTGCACCAAGGGATGCTCGTTCAAATCTCATTATACACATGTTGTGCATTGACAATAAAGGTTTGATTTGATTTGATTTATTCTGAATAAACTTTCCATTCCAAATGTATTGAAAGGCCTTTCTCTCAATAAAAAATAAAGTGAGAGTAACCACAAAGAAAAGGTACTGTGTTTCCCCGAAAATAAGACCCTGTCTTATATTTTTTTTAAACCTTGAAATAAGCAGTTGGCCTTATTGCCATGCACTCAAAAGTCTGGTTGGGCTTATTATCAGGGGATGTCTTATTTTGGGGAAAATAGGGTTGTCTAAAAAACCCAATCTGCAATTTCTATTGCGCTCTAAACAAAATAGCCTGCTCTTATTTATTACAGTAATTTATATGCTACTTGTACATCGGACACCACATGGGTGCTTGGGCCTTCCGGTGCCAAGGTTTTTCCACATCTGGTCCTAGATGAGGTAGCATTGCCTCAAGACTGACTTGGGAATCAATCTGAGGGGCTCCTCTTGTACTCTTGGCTTCTCCTAGAAGAGCAGGTGATAGCCGTGGTTAAGAGGACCTTTGCACACCTTCGGGTTGTGCATCAATTGTGCTCATTCCTGAACTGGGAGGCTCTGCTCACTGTCATTCATATTCTCATGACTTCCCTTTGAATTAGTACACTCTACACAGAGCTGCCCCTAAATAACATTTAAAAACTTCAGCTGGTACAGAATGCAGCTGCACAAGTTGTAAATAACGTCAGCTATTTGGTACTTATAACCATATTGCTTTATGAGCTGCATTAGTTGCCAGTGGGTGTCTGGGTACTATTCAAGGCGATAGAATCATACAGCTAGAAGAGACTTCTGAGGTCTTCTAGTCCAACCCCCTGCCAAAGCAGGAGTCCTTATACCATCCCAGACAAATGGTTCTCCAATCTTTTCTTGAAAACCTCCAGTAATGAGGCACCCATAGTTCCAGGAAGCAAGCCATTGATTAATCATTCTCACTGTCAGGAAATTCCTTATTTCTCGGTAGGATCTCCCTGACAAGCTTCCAGCCATTGCTTCTTGTCCTGCCCTCAGGTGCTATGAAGAATAAATTGGCCCCCTCCTCTGTGACAGCCCTTCAAGTATTCAAGTGAAGACTGCTGCAAGGTTTCCATTAAGCCTTCGCTTTGTTAGGCTAAACATATGTAGTTCTCTTAGCTGTTCATGGCACAGTTTAGCTCCAGACCCCTTATCTTTGTTGCTCTTCTCTCCACTCTTTCTAGGCCTGCGGCATCTTTTTTAGCATCATAATGACCAGAACTGGACATGGTATTCCAAATGTGGCCTCACTACAGTAGTGCAGTAGAGCAGTACTATTACTTCTCGTAATCTTGATGCTATCTCTCTTGATGCAGCCTAGGATTGTAATGGCTTTTATGGCAGCTGCAGTACTCTGATGACTCATACTTAAGCGGTGGTCCACCAGGACACCTAGAGCTCTCTCACAGGCACAACAGTTGAGCCAGGTATTGTCTGTCCTGTGCACCTGTTTTTTCCTAAGTGAGGACCTTGCTTTTTTCACTCCTGAAATGCATTATGTTGAATAGGGCCCAATACTCAAATCTGTCAAGATCCTTCCAAATCTTGAGTCTATCTTCCAAAGTGTTAGCCACTCCCCCCAAGCTTAGTGTCATCCACAATTTGATGAGCACCCTTTCAATTCCCTCATCTAGGTCTTTTATGAAGCTATTGGGCCCAAGACAGGGGTACCCCACTGCATGTTTCTCTCCTTGTAGATGTAATTCCATTGAGGACTACATACTGAGTGTGGTTGGTCAGCCTACCGCAACTCCGTCCGCTGGTGATACTGTCTATCCCACATTGTTCTAGCTTACCAAGTAGGCTCTGGTCCATTTTATCAAATGCTTTACTGAAGTCGATACAGTATTTCCTTGGTCTACTAATTTAGTCAGTTTATCAAAGAAGGCAATAAGGTTTATTTGGTATGACCTGTTTTTAACAAACCCACGCAGATTTTTAGTAATTTCTAGGTGCTCACAAAACTGCTTGCTTATCTTTTCCAGGATTTTCCCAGGTATTGATAGCAAGCCAATTGGTCTGTAGCTTCCTGGAACCTCTTTTTTCCCTTTTTGAAAATTGAAACCACAACTCTTTCCCAATCCTTTGGTAGTTCCCCTGGGCTCCAGGAGCTCTGAAAGATTTTGTACAGTGGTTCCGAGATCTCATCTACCAGATGGTTGTCACCTTTAAAGCCCTTCATAGCTTGGGACTAGGTTACCTGAGGGACTATTTTCTCCCAGTTGTTTCTACCTATTCAATCCAGTCCATCTATACATTTATTTGGTCCAGCAGAATGAACATGCTCCAGATTCTGTCAGCCAAATGTCAGCTGGTGGGAAATAGGAGGTATAAATTTTCTCTGGTAACACTTGCCCTCTGTAACATACTTCTTCCTGAGATTAGGATGGCCTGAATTTACTGGCCTTTTGGAAGACCTTGAAACCTGGTTTGGAGCCTGGGGTCCTGAGTGTGTGGAGGGTCCTGTTTTCTTGTTATGTTGATACCTATGAATTATCATATGTTTTGGGCATTACTGTTTCTTTTTATTTTTATATTGTGTTTAACTGGTTAAGGATTTTGATTCATTGCCCACTCAGAAATGAGCAGCTATACAAACTGAATAAATAAATATATAATGGATCATGTATCAAGCTAAAATCAAAATATACGTTACAAATACTAAGTTGTATAACCAGTGCAGTTACACGTTACCCAACTAATCTCCCTGAATTATTGTAAGGATCTCCTTCAGAATAAGCATGTGTATGAAATAAAACATGCATGCCTATCTATCTAAAGAGAAAAAGATTCGTTTTAGAATCCTTTGTTAAATTTAGGGATGCCCAAAATTTAAATGTCTAAATAATTAAAGCAGGGTAGCAAGACTGTTTGTCCCTCATCCATATTAGTATTTAGTACTTATAATTTATGGGAGCAATATTATCACGTTAAGGACCTATTGGTTTGATCCGAAGGAGACAATCAGTCTCATTATTCTGACACAAGAAGTTATACAGTTGAAATTCCACGATTCCTGTCATTTACATTGACGGTGAAATGGTCAAGTCGTTAAACAAGCACTTTGGAATGCCTAGCATTGCTTTTAGATCAGACGCTTATTTGGCTACGAGTATGTCACATTTATTTATTTATTTATTGGTTCGATTTATATGCCACCCTTTTCCGGAGACTCCGGGCGGCTTACAATGCGTTAAGCAATAGCCTTCATGCTTAGTAGGGCTTTTGCCCCCCACCTCCAAAGCGGTGTTCTTTTTTATACAAAGTCAGCTTATTGCCCCCACAAACCGGGTCCTCATTTTACCTATCTTGAAAGGATGGAAGGCTGAGTCAATCCTGAGCTGGTGAGATTTGAACTTGCAGTAATTGCAGGCACCTGGTGTTACTTAAAGTGCTTTAGTCTGCTGCACCACCAAGGCTCATATCTATCATATCTATCACATATCCGTTCACATTACTGAATATAACTATCACAATAGTTTCTGAGAAAATCAGTTTCAAGGCTCAGTCATTAATGACGCTTATCCAAATTCTACAGGGGGAAAAGTGACGAACAAATCACTATGCTAATTAGTTAGAGGAAAACGCATCTAAAATTTAGATTCCGAATCAAGGTCGATGTTTTGCTCTTACTCACACCCGCACACACACACACACACACCCTCCACTTTCTGGAGACAAATGGCCGCGGACCGTTTCACACTTAATAAGCACAACACGTGTATGTCTTGGGCCAGCGAGAGCCTCATAAGCATCCTTGGTGCAGACCGACTCGCATTTTCCTACTGCCTTACTAAGTTTCGGTGCCCCTCGAAACTTCGCCGATTCGCACCTCCTGGGAGTTCGACTTTAGTGTGTTCATTCTGCGTGGCAAAACACCCGATCAACTCACTGAAACAAACAAAAAGGCGGAGTTTCTCCTCCTGCGCGCACAAGTGGAGCGAGTCTCCTAATACGACCCGGCAGCGTCGACATTGATAGACCACGCAGTCCTCCAGCCTGAGTCCCCGAGCGCCCGGGACTCGCTCCCCGCGGCTTTCCCGCTTCGTTGAGCTTTGCTGAGCTTGGCAACCGGGCCTCGTCCCGGGTTCTGCCCGCTCTACCGTGATTGTGCCGCCCACCTGGGGCTCCTCAAACAGAAGCCGCAGTTTCTTCCGTATGGACATGACAGCCTCCCGCCAAAGATTCAAACTTAGCTCCCGTCTTCCTACTGCGCTGATTGGCACCCCCCCGTTGAGCTCGTGTCTGGGTGGTTAGCAAGGACCGAGACCCCCCCATCTCTCTCCCCGCTCATTGGAGAAGACGCCTGTTCGTCTTTCGCTTTTACCTAATCGAGTTGCGAGAATTCGAGCACTGAAGCTTTCGGGCAGGTTTCTGGGAAAACAAAACCGCCCCGTTTTCATCCTGGGATCTGATTGGCTTTTTACCAGCAAGTGTTCCGCAGAGACGTTCGCCACGATTGGGAGGTTTGAAAATAGAGGCGGGACCGAAGAGGCGCTCGTGGTTGAACCCTAGCGTCTGGGTGAAGAGAGAATTGACTGTTGGGAGTTTAAGTGCCAGTCATGGAGGCGCTCTCTTCGGGTCAATTGGAGGCGCTCAAATACAGCGAATTGCAGTGCCTGGCCAAGTCGGTGGGGTTAAAGGCTAACCTCAAGGTGAGCCCTGGGCTGGCCAGGCGGGTGGGGAAGCAAAAACATTGGGCTGAGATGCGTAGAAAGTAGCGAGCCGGGACAGCGGGTTCCCGACCAGCCCTTTTGAGCAAGGGACGTCTCGATAGGTTCCCGCCTCGAACTAAACTTGGAAATGGACGTAATGCGAGTCGTGGATCCTGCCGTTGCAGGATTGTGACTTCGGTATAGACTGCTTGGATTTTATTACGCGAGTAGTCCGTTCACCAAAGCTGAACAAGTCCGATGTAGTACAGGTAGTCCTCGACTTGCAAAAGTTCGCTTAATAACCGTTCAAAGTTACAGCGGCACTGAAAAAGGTGACTTATGACCATTTTTCACACGGACCGTTGCAGCATCCCCGTGGTCATGTGATTTACATTCGGATGCTTGACAACTGACTCACTTTTATGACGGTTGCAGTGTCCTGGAGTCATGTGATCACCTTTTGCAATCTTCTGACAAGCCAAGTCAATGGGGGGGGGGGAAGGGAAACCAGATTCACTTAAAGACTGTTACTAATTTAACAGCTGCAGTGAATCGCTTAACAAATGTGGCAAGAAATGTCATAAAATGGGTCAAAACCCGCTTAACAAATTTCTAAGTTAGCTACATAAATTTTGGGCTCCATTGTGGTCGTAAGACTGCATGTATTGTATTTTTCAAACTTGGCAACAATAAGTTATGTGGACTTCAATTCCCTGAATTCCCCAACCAGCATGGAGAATATCCATGCTGCTTAACCCTTGCCAAGTTTGAAAAACATTGATTTAATGTAATCTGATTCCTTCTCTGTCATAATAAATGATGGAAATCTGGATGTGATGGTGGATGGGATTTCACTTGTCCAATTAAAATGCATAGTCATCTCCCTAGCCTAGCCGATAGGGTTTGTTTTTTCAAAGAGTTTCCCAAGGCCTGGTCCAACTGTGATCCCTACACCTTTTGTAGAAGGCCACAGATACTGCTGGAATTAGAGATTCTGTGCCTTCAGCTGATGAGAATCAAGAGCTACAATTGGGAGAATTGTGATTGGAAGATAAGCTCAGCTAAGAAGCACCTAAAAGAGATACTGAAAGGCAGCTGAAGTGGAGGCAAATGTGTTACAGGTTTTTACACCTAGCTGCAGTAACTTGATTTATAACAACTCTTTTTGATAATTGCTCTTAAATGATTTTCTCTTAGGCAGCCAAGCTATTAAATGCATTAAAGAAGCACTTCTGTGAAGAAAATGAAAATACGGTAAGGGCACAACAATTTGACAATTTCATTAGCATTATATCTAGCAATGGTATCTTAAAATAGAGTAACTCTTGTTCCTTTGATATAATGAAATCACATTATTTAGCTGTCTGGCTATGGATCTGGTAGAAGTAATTTCATGTCTACTGGTATGTTCATCTGATTTTCTTTAGCATAAAAGTTTTGGGGGCATAAACTACTATGAACAAGCAGTTTATAGGCTGTTGCTAACTGAATAATACCTTACAGTTTGTCACTGAAATAAATAATATGAAGATGATCATAAAATGGCTTTCTTTTGTGTAGGGTATCAAAAAGACATCCCCATGTACAGCTATTGAGGAACAGAATGGCAGTCAAATTTCCATAAATCCATCCACAATCACCAAAAGGAATAGAAAACGGACAGAAGATAACGCCCAGCAAACCTCACAAGAAAATCTTAATAAAGAAAAAATGGAACTGGATTCAGAGAAAGAGGTGATACTATTTATATGAAATTGTAAAATGCATAAAAGTTCTTAGTTTTTTAGTTTGGTTGATTTATTGTGAATATCAAGAGCTGGCAGAAGAGTGTAAAATAGAAATATAATATATCTCATAGTAATTTATGAAGTTAGTAGACTTTTTTGACTTTATTACATTAGTAATTTATTCACTAAAGCCGGGCTGAACAAGTGTGATTTAGTATTGCGTGTTTCAAACTTGGCAGCGTTAAGATGTATGGATTTCAGTTCCACACATTAATTGTTTAACGGAACATAACTTTTGAAATGCCATATAATTTATTTTGCAACGTTTATTCCATTAATTGCCAGAAAGTTGAAGTTTCTATATATGCTTCTGAAACTTTTCTCTAGCCTTATTAACAGTGTCCCTTTTCTGTCAGTAGATTTATATATTTTATGGAACAGTGTACTCAATGGAATAGAAATTGTATATGAATACACTTGTATAGATACATTGCCTGTGTGAGAAAATTGAAGTGAAACTCCATTATATACTTCCAATAATAATTCTGGTTATATTTGATAAGCACAAACAAAGCATTTCAATTTTAGGTTTTGTTCTAGTATATGGTTTCCTGAATATATTTGAATATATGGGTAATATTAAGTTATGATGGCAGTTGGGCCTGGGAATGCCATCACAAAGCAATGTGTTTAAAGCATGACTGCATTGCTTAGGGACACCTGTCCCGGATCATTAAATGGGAAGACCGAATTTCAGGCAACAAATGTGAAGTGTGGGTGTTGGAGGGAGCTATCACAGTCTGCATGTATGTATGTAAGATTCCATTTACCATTTTATGCTTATATAAAATTCCACTTGGATTAAATGAACCATCAACAGATCTATTTGTATTTAATTAAGCATTTATAGTGGAAGGGAGAGACAATTTGACCTATATTTTTGAACTGCAGGTTCCAATATTGCTAAATTCTGAAGGGAATCCGGATGCAGGGTTTGAAAAGATACTGAAGATAAACCAAAATGATGAATCAGAAAGCAGTGGAACATCAGGAAACTTAGAAGACTTTGTCACTCCAAGTCAGCGAAAAGAAAGAAATTCTACTAGGCAAAAAGGAGTTGAAAGTAATTTGCATTTATAAGTGGAATACTTGTTTTGCTTTGTCATTTAGGACAAGTGTGTGGCCAGCTTTTCTGATCTTTGTCACTCGCTTTTGTCATCTGTAAACCACATAGAATTTTCAGAAACTGAACATAGTTTGAAAGGAACAAAATCTGAGAGCAACAGTATTCAGTGTTGCCCTGTCTAACAATCCAGTCCTAAACAATGTGATGGAAGCTTGAATACTATAAATGGGCAGTATTTTGTGGTATGTTTTAGCTCCAACTAGATAATCCATATTTCAAGCAGGATAGCACCTACTACAAGTAGTCCTCACTTAACTGTTAGTTCAGTGATTTTGAAATTATGACTGTGGCTGAACGAATGTTTTGACCAATCCTCGAAATTATGGCCATTGCTGTACCCCCATCATCACATGATCAAAATTTGGATGCTTGGCAGCTTCTCCATTTAGTACCTCAACATGTGCTTCAAGTCCCCCCACTCGACTATTGCCAGTGCTTCCTATCCCCACTGCTTCCAGATGTCCTTTATTTTCCTCCCATGCTGACAAGGTGTGCCCAGCTAAGGCAGCTACTGACTTCCCAAGGCCAGAGATGTGTACAGTGTTTGACTAATGACTCAACTGGAACCGTTGTTGCCAAGTGGTCCTTTCACGTGACGTTTCACCTAATGACTGCTTTGTTTAGTGATAGAAATTTCAGTCCCACTTAGGGTCGTTAAACAAGGACTTCTTGTATAATAACAAACTGCTTAAAAGAAAACGTGGTTTTGTATCCTCTACCTTTTAATTTAGCAACTTGAGCGAAATAATCTAACTTAAAGCTTAAACACATGAACTGTGATGATTGATGGAAATATGCAAAACGAAGTTTGACCAACTTACAACTTAAGAAGTTTATGAATCTTTTTTATTTCATATGTTTACTGCAGGTAAAAGTTTACTGGATTCTCTTTCTGGAAAGAAAACTACTAATGCAGGAAGCAAGTCTAAATTGGGAAGAAAAGGAATAAGTTCTACCACCCCAGGTATGTATGTTAATATAATCACTGTAAAACTAAGATTGCCAGGAGAAATAACAACTTCAGGTATGCAGATGATACCACTCTAATGGCTGAAAGTGAAGAGGAATTAAAGAGCCTCTTGATGCGGGGGAAGAAGAAGAGTGCAAAAGTTGGCTTGAAACTCATTAAGAAAACTAAGATCATGGCATCCGCCCCTCTCAATTCCTAGATGAGGAAGAAATGGAGGTAGTGACAGATTTTATTTTCCTGGGCTCCAAGATCACTGCAGATGGGGATCAACCTATTCTCAACGGATCTGAGGGCAGGACAAGAAATAACAAATGAAAACTTATCAGAGAGAGATCCAACCTAGATCTAAGGAGAAATTTCTTGACAGAACAATTAATCAGTGGAATGGCTTTCCTCCAGGAGTTTGTGGGTGCTCTATCAGGAGGTTTTTAAGAAGAGACAATCATTTATCTAAAATGGTATAAGGTCTGCTTGAACAGGGGGTTGGACTAGAAGACTTCCAAGGTCTCTCCCAACTCTTATTCTGTTATTTCATAGCGAAAAAAGGGAAAGAATACTGGGTGTGTATTAGAGGAAGAAAAGAACTGAATTTAGAGGGAAAGAAAATATATATTGAATCTTGACAATATATAGGGTATATCAAAGTTAGGGCCCACAGGCAATGTATTGTCTAAATTACATTAAACGTTCAAATTGGATGCCACTTTGTTCTAAATGCTTTCTTATTCATTTCACACATGACACTTGAATATTCCAAAGTATAGCTTTTTGTAAAAAGTTAATGAAATATGATTGGTCTATGGTAACAGCCCCCAACCTTTCAGCTGCCAAGGACCGATTCCATGGAGGGCGGGTTTGTCTGTGGACTGGGGGAGGCTGGATTTGCGTGCAGCCTAGATCCTGCACATGCGCGGATGGGGCTTTGCTTACTTCCACAGACTAGTTCCGGGCATGCTATAGACTGGTATCAGTCTGCTGACTAGGGGTATGGGACTCAACTTTTGGTATGCCTTATATATTATAGCATTATTTAAATTGGAATCAGTAAGAGAGCTGAAATAAACATTATTCCAAAATAAATGTACTCCTTTGTTTTAAAAAAACAATTTGCTGCTTTGTATGTCTTCTTTGGGTGTGTCTTAAAACATTTGCCCATGAACCTATTACTTTAAAAAAAATAGCTGACTTTTCTTATTTCAGTTTCAGGTAAATATTTAATCTTAATGTTAAGCTGCATATTACAATGAATTGGCAATAATGATAAGAAAAATCTGAATAATAAACTTTTCAATATTGTAGATTTTAAGAAACTTCATGAGGCTCAGTTCAAGAAAATGTTATCTATTGATGAATACATTGAAAGGAAAAATAAAATGATGTGTAATTTCAGCAATGCAGTTAATGAGATCAAGGTAAGTGATATTTCTCCTACCCCAATTACATGAAGATTAAATTGAATGAAATTACGGTATGTCCCTCATTCAGTCTTATTTAGAAGAACAGGTGTATAGATGTCTTATTTAAAAAATTAGCCTATCTTCTCTTTGGAGGTAGTCTTACCAATTTGTTTTATCAGCCCCTCAAAAAATAGGGATAGTTATGTCATGGTCAAGCTTCCCATTTACTGGAAATATTGAAACCCTGGCCAATTTAATCAACTTCCATCCTTCAAAGGTTCAGTGATTCTTTTAAGGGATTGCTTGATTTGTTCACAGTTCTGGAAGACCTGTTCTCCAATAATAACAATATGACAAACAATATTTTTGCCTAACTAGCAAATGCATATATAACAAACAGGGAGAAAGCCCTGAGATTGTGTTGTGTTGCATAGGACACCTTGCTGTGGAAATATAAAATTCCCCCTCACCTGTAGGTTTAGGGGAAAGCCATTATTGTGTTCAAAATTGCAACTCAAGCAGTTAGGATGAAGGATGATGAATAAGAAGGAATAGCAATTTCACTTCTCCAAACATATAAGTTGGTCCAGAAATTAAGGACTGTACAGAATTGTGGCAAACATCGTTTAACATTTCAACTTGTGATTCCCCATATGATCAGACATTCAATGAGCTAGGTAGGATAGTAATTATGTCCTGGTTATCTTACTCAGTTTAGTGGATACTCTTCTAGCTGTCTTCTATCACTAACTAACCATTTGTGGAGATCCTGTTATGAAAACGTCTGACAGAAATAATCCTAACTATACTGAGAGCTTCTGTATTTTCTTGGCTTCAGACATGAGTAGATGGAATAAGAGAAGGATGTTTTCAATCAAGGCACGAAAGCTTAAAAATGTCTTTGGGTAAAAGATATCTATCATAATCTGTCTGATTTTCAGCAGGAAGTGAAAACGTATCTATATACACTTTTTGGTTAGAGTACTGATTTTTTTTTTCTTTATCATTTTCCCGCAAGTGAGGGATCTGCTTTTTTGTTTCTGATCTACTGAGTGTTGATCTATTGGTTGTGACAGGAAATGACTCGTTGGTTTGTTGCCCAAGCCTGATGTTGTGGGCTGAGAAAGAATAAAAGAATGACTGACCTACAGTCACCTAATTATTGGCTTTAATGCCGAAAGGCTAGAACATACAATCTCCTGATTTCTAGACTAAATCAAACTAAATCTCTAGTTAGAATATTGATATGAAACAGCTTTTTAACGTTGAGGGGTCGTTGGTGCTCTCTGAGTTGGTTGTTTTCTTGCAGATGTTTACCCAAAATAGGTAACATCATTAGTGCTGCTAATGACTGCAGTTTGCTCTCAGTTTATATTTTACTGGCTTGCCTATCAGTGTTGCTGGGCCTGGAGCTTTGATTGGGCTGTTAAATTATTGTTTGGCAGTTTCTTGATTTGGTATTCTTTGCTTGATTGTTCTGGTGTTAATCTATGCTCATCTGGGTGTTGATTGCTGGTGGGGATCTTTTTTGCACAGTATGTAGATACTGTTTATGTCTAGGTATCTATTGGCCAATTTATCAGAGGCCATGTTCCGAGGAATTCCATAGTGTTTTTGGACTTGGCTGGGTCTAGGACAGGGGTGTCAAACTCAAGTCCTGGGGGCCGGATCTGGCCCACAGGGTGCTTATCTGGCCTGGGGGGCTGCCCTGGAAACAGTGAAGGACTGCTCCCGCGGTGCTTCTGCTAGCAAAAATGGAGTTTGGGAAGGCCACACGTGGCCCTCCTGAGCTCCGTTTTCACTGGCAAAGGGTTGCAGGAGGCTGTCGTAGCCGAAAACGAAGCTCAGGAGCTCATTTTCTCTGGCTGAGCACTCAGGCCACCACATAGGCACCCCTGACACGAGTGACATTGAGCTGGCCACACACACCCTGGCCACACACACCCTTCCCCCACCCCCAAGGTCAGACACAACCCTGATGTGGCCCTCAATGAAATAGTTTGACATCTCTGATCTAAGATAATCTGTTTCTCAGTTGAAATTATGACTAAATCTGCCCACATTTTGTGAAATTAAAGTTTACATCATATTTTCTGACTGCTACTTGATGTTCTGCTAGTCTTCTGCCTGTTTGTCCTACATAATGGCTGTTGCAATCTTTACATTGTATGTGGTAGTAGATGAATCCTGTTTTTTCTTCTGGGACTCCTGGGTCTTTTGGTTTACATAGGATGTTTTGGAGGGCTGTAATTGGTTTGTTGCTACGCACGTTCCATGTGGTCATAATAGTCTGTTGGTGGTTTCTGGATGTTTTTGTTATATGGCAGTGTTATCCTTGGGTAATGCAACATTTTCAAGAAAAGGAGCCAAGCTCAGAGATTACCAAGAACCTCATATATTAACCCTCGGCTACAAGTACTACTTAAAAAATTCACAAACCTTCCCAATGACTATATTTAGCTCAGACTGAACATCACAAGAAACCCATGGCTTAAAACAAATATATAAGTTCCTAATTTAAGTTTCCATTGTTTTTCGTGGTGATAGAGGAGCTGGAGCAAAGAAGAAAAGCAGTACTATTTTTTAACAGATTTTGCTTCTGTTTGACAATTTGTTTATCTCCATGCCTAGCATTGGTTTTTAAAAGCATCGTGGTATTTTATTATGAGCAATTGATAAGAGGAAAAAAAATCCTAGGTCTCTAATTGCAGATCCTGACTAAGAAGAATAAGTCTCTGAAGACTTCTCAGAAAGAAAATCTAAATACCAATTCAAAGGTAAGGATAAATTTTTTGCTAAGAACTTCTTTTAAATTTCCTTTAACCAAACCATATGCTAAAATGTGGAAATCTCCCTCATCTTAGCAGGTACATTCCAGTACCAGAGGGCTTTTATTAAGTCCCCCTTCTCAAAAGAATAGACTTTCTGCCACAGGCACTCCACTAAAACTGCGACGTTCAATACGCAATTCCCCTGGCACTGCAAATAAAAGTATTCGGTCTCAAAAATCATCCTTCAGTTCAACCAGCCTTTCTACAACTAAAAATGTCAGGTAAGACTATGTGTGGCATTAAATAAAAATAGTGTACATCTGGAAATGTGTGAATTACCAAATTTAAAGTCATAGAATCTAAATTTATCTATTTTTATAAACAAAAATATTTAAAATTGTTTTGATTTAGTCTTTTTTTTTTGCATTTTCTCAGTGTAAAAATGATGTATACATTTGAGAGAACGATTAAATGTAGAATCTACAAAAAGTTTTAAACACAAAGTTCTGAGTTAATTCCAATGTTTTCTCTGACATGATATTCAAATGTTTTATTATTTTTATATGCTCCTGATTATTTGGAAAAAGTATATAAAATTATGAGCCATTAAATACTATAAATCTATGTTTTTATTAGGTTCTCTGAATCTACAAAAGACAATGAAGAGAAGCGTTCCCTTATCAAGACTCCATCTAGGAAATCTTGGTTTCTGAAAAATTGCACTCCAGATAATCAGAAAAGCAGTGAATGTATAACTAGCAAAGACTTCAAAGGAGGAGCAACGAATTGTCAGACGACAGAAACTTCAACGAATTCTGGTAACTTTATAATTATAATTAATAACATGCAGTTCATTTACATGTGATTGTTATGGAGGACATTGATGCATAATCTTTACACAGTCAAGATGACGTTCCTTTTGTTTCCAGTGTGTAATTTTATACTATACTAATTGGGACCAACGGTATAAAAAGGCTGTATTCAAGTGTTATTTCCCATTTCAAACTCAAAAGTTAAATGATTAATAAGTTTGGTCTTGTGCTTATTATCAATATATTGATTTTCTCCTTATAGCTGTCACTCCTTTCAAGATTATAAATCAGACTGTGGAACCAACAAGCACCAAGAAACCAGTATTTGATCTACAAGCAAGTCTATCAAAACCACTTACATATCAGCCACACAAAGGTAGCCAGTTTTAAAAATAACTCAGTGTAAAAGAGCATGAAAACATCAGCAGTTGCAAACAAATTGAGAATTTAGTCACACACTGCCTGCAACTTGCCTTGATTTTTCCAAAGGTAATTTATACATATTAATGTATATCATTAAGGTAAAGGTAAAGGTTCCCCTCGCACATATATGCTAGTCGTTCCCAACTCTAGGGGGCGATGTTCATCTCCGTTTCAAAGCTGAAGAGCCAGCACTGTCTGAAGACGTCTCCGTGGTCATGTGGCCGGCATGACTAAACGCCAAAGGCGCACGGAATGCTGTTACCTTCCCACCAAAGGTGGTCCCTATTTTTATAGTTGCATTTTTTACGTAGTTTCGGACTGCTAGGTTGGCAGAAGCTGGGACAAGTAACGGGAGCTCACCCCATTATGTGGCACTAGGGATTCGAACCGCTGAACTGCCGACCTTTCGATCGACAAGCTCAGCGTGTTAGCCACTGAGCCACCGCGTCACCCGTCACCGTGTCACTAATGATGTATATCATTAGTCTCAAATTAATCATATCATATCATAATCTACATATTAATCTAATATGTAATTTGGCATATTAATGGAAACTAAATTAAAGCAAGCTATTCCTTGTTTTTTGAGTTTGTTCTTATCTCAGACAAGTATATTTTTGGCTGGTCTACTGCTAATAAAGTATTTTGTTTCTTGGCTATGTATTAACTTGCCTCACAAGCAAAATCTCACAAAAGAAACATGGAAAATATTTGCTATTTGTGTTACCTGATGCAGCAGATGAGAACCAGAAAGAGACAAGTAACACATTTTCCTTACATCAATATAGGAAAACTGAAACCATGGGGCAAGCCTGGCGAGAATCACCAGAGACTATATTCCCACAAGAAATGCTACAAAGAGCCACCTCTTCAAACCAGGCAAGTATTATATTAATTCATTATATGACTCTTCTTTTATTAGTTTTGTTTTTATATGAAGTTTCATATTCTGTAAGCCGCCTTGAGTTGCCATGTGTGAATAGGTGGCAATATAAATTCCCTAAATAAATAAAGTCAGTTCTTAGAAGTCCCTGTCAAGTGCTGTCATTATTCTGTCATCCTCTGCCTTCATTAAATTAACATTTGGATAACTTTGAAGTTTATACCTTTTTTTTAAGAGTCCTAGAAATTTGATCAAATGCAGAGCCTTTCTTAAAATTCTATATAGTATATTCCTTAAAAGAAGTTTGATGGCCCTGTGCCAAAAATTAGATCACACAGAGAAAAAGGCAAGGATTTCTGCTAAGTAGCTAGAAAACGTACTGCATGAAGTTTTGAATAGTTGAATTAAGTTTGCCTTCATTTTACTTGTGCATTAATGCTGACATTGTTTTGTCATCTTTTTCTTTAACAGAGATGAGAGACGGGAGAAACACATACAACAAAGAAAACAAAGAAAAGACCAAAAGCTTAGCACAGTGAGGCGGCTAACTGTTGCTTAAAGCTGACTTTTAAATTGTTCTGTAGATAATCTTACTATTGAAAATCTTTACTTTCTTGTAAATAATTGTTGTCTCTGCACTGAAATGCTTAAGCTATCTAGACTGAGTAATCTTATTTTAATATGAACATAGAACCTTGGCACTATTACATTCAGTTATCCAGTAGCTAATGCTATTGTGTTAGAAGGCTTAGAAATCTTTTCAAAAGGGCAGCTATCTTTTCTTCTCTCAAATCAGCTTTAGTATATGCCTTAACTATATTCTAAATTGTCTGGAAACATTTCTCAACAACTGGATCGAAGTTTATTGTATCAAACAATTCAATCTTCTGGACATATAGCAAATTTTAAATTCATTTAATGAGAATTTTTAAAAAAAAATGTCTTAATGTACTCCTAATTAAAATAATTGTGTTTATAGATAAAAGTTCATTTTAATTTTACTATTATACAGCTTTGTCCTATTTTATCAACTTTTGTCAGTCAACTTTTTTCATTGTACATATATTCTGATGACTAGATTTTTCTTTTTAGAGTAGAATTGTTAATTTAATTAGCATGTCAAAAAGAAAAGCTACCGCAACCAAGTCTATGAAAAATAAAAACCTATCTTCTATTCTATTTTCCCCAATTGGAGTATAGTATATATTGAGATTATTTAAATTTAAAATATTGGTATTTCTTATTCAAAATAGATCAATTTCTTAGCTACTAAACCAGCTCCTAAACTGGTAAAAAGGTTTCTAAACTGATTTCAAAACATACAGTTATCCTAAACTTTTTTTCCTTATACAGTCGGGATTAAAACATGAACCTATTTGGATTTTCGATGTTTCTGTATAAACATCACCTAATATGTGATGTATTTTCCATACCATTCCAAACAATAAATTAAACAAATTAGCCAGAAACATTATCCCTGTTCATTTATTTATTGAAGCAGCACCACTGTAAATTAAATGCTGCTAAGTTCTTGTACCATAATCATAAAACAATATTTTCCTAAAGTAATTTATCCACATTACTGATGTTTGTGATTTTTTAATTTATTTTTTATTTTATATCAAATTTATATACCGCCCTTCTCCCTGAGGACTCAGGGTGGCGTACAGCCAAATAAAACATAAACTACAAACATTAAAATACTATTAAAAAGATATATATAAATTTGGCCCCGTAATTAAAAAACAATGACAACCAGTTAAAAACATTTAAAAGTGTTAAGCCAGCCCGGCTTGCTGAAAAAAGAAAGTTTTAAGGGCATGGCGGAAGGCACCGAGGCCTTAGATTCTCTTTAGCTCTGGGGGCAGTTGGTTCCAGAGGGTGGGTGCCCCCACAGAGAAGGCCCTCTGTGATAATGGATTACGTAGTTTATTCAGTTGTACTTTTTCTAATCCTTTGTATTCTAGCACACATCTGGAGCAAATCATTAGGAAAGGAGCTGAAGTCACTTATACAACAGAGGTTAAGGTGAAATTTTGGAGAGTTGTATCAAGCAGTAATCTTTTAATTGGTTGCTCATACCCAGTTTCTTCAGTGGCATTATCTAAATCAAAGTTCCTGTTCATATTAAACTCTACCTTTAAAAAATATTGGACATCAACTAACTTGATGAAAAGAATTGCCTTTTGCATTTATAGGTTTTTTCCCCCAAACATTGTGGAAATCTTTTGAAACATAGTTTTCTCACCTTTCTGCCTCTGCTACAAAAATGTCTTCAGTTATCACACGAAGGGTTGTTTTATTTAAATGTTAATTTAATGGGAACATATCATTTTGGTATTTGAACTCCAGGTGCAACCAACGTGTTGGCTGTAGTTATAACTTCAGAAATGCTATAATATTGTTGGAGGAAAAAACAAAAATAACCTGTGCTATGTTGATGACACTACCCTAATAGCCAAAAATGCAAAGGATCTGCAAGGGCTAGTAATAACAGTTGAGAAAAGTGGGATTAAAGTTAAATATAAATACGACAAACTACAGGTATTCCTTGTGTAACAACCATTTATTCAGCAATTTCCCCAACAAATAGTATTTACGTCAGGTGCTTGAAGTTAATGTCAATGCAGGAGTCATGTCATAATTTGGGCACTTACAAGCCATCATTTTTCTTACGCTGCAGGAGTGCTTCAATTCCCTCCACCTGCCTATCTCGACTCCCTCCACATTTCTGCCTGTTTGGCTGCCCAGGCTTCCAAATGATCTTAAGAGTGGCATGATTGATTTGGAGAAAAGCAGGTGTGAAGGCATTAGACGCTTTCTGAAGCTTCCTACAGCATTGTGAGAACAGCATTTGCAATTTGGAGACCGTAGATGTGGCATTATCACAAAGTTTCAGAAGACCTCAGAAACCCGATACCTAAATACAACACATAATTGGAGAATGGCACAAACACCTTTGAGGAAAAGGCCCGATGCGGCAAGCAACTGCCTTAAATAAGATAAGGCTGGGCATACTTCACTAGTGAAACATTGGAAGTCAACTTGGGTATGGCAGGGCCTACAGGGATGCTGGGGCTTTGCACTGTGGTATTAAGGTGGCTGGCCACAGTGTAGGGTTTGAGGTGGCAATCTTTGGGTCCGGTGACACAAGCTGAAGCCGAGAGGCAGTAGGCCGAAACTAAGTCCGCAGGCCTTTACTTTTGCCACCACTGCCACTGAGGACTGCTACTGTGCAGGGCAGCCATAGGTAGGTGTGAATTGAAAATGAGGCAATCCCTTTCTTTACCAAACCTTGGGGCTGGGAGAGGGAACCATGTTGGGAATGGGTTGGATTAAGTCGAGTCCTTGTCCAAGCACCAGTGAGATTTATTTATTATTCCAATTTATATACCGCCCTTCTCCCGAAGGACTCGGCGGTGTACAGCCAAAAGTAAAAGCACACAAATATAAAATTTAAAAACGATTTAAAAGCATATTAAATAATTTGGCCCAGTTATTCAAATAAAACACCTTTTGTAAAATTTTAAAAAATTAAAAAAGTTAAAAAATTAGGCCAGCCCGGCTTGTTGGAATAAAAACGTTTTGAGGGCATGGCGAAAGGTGCACAAGTCGGGAATCCTCCATATCCTGGGGGGCAGTTCGTTCCAGAGGGGAGGTGCCCCCACAGAGAAGGCTCTCCCTCTGGGGGTCGCCAGTCGACATTGTTTGATCGACGGCACCCGGAGGAGCCCCTCTGTGGGAGTGTACTGGCCGGTGAAAGGCTATTGGTAGCAGCAGGCAGTTTTGTAAGTACCCAGGTCCTAAGCCATGGAGCGCTCTGAAGATAGTAACCAGCACCTTGAATCGCACCCGGAAGACCACTGGAAGCCAGTGCAGCTCACGCAGGAGAGGTGTTAAATGGGAGCGCCATGTCGCTCCCACAATCACCCACGCGGCCGCATTCTGGACCAGTTGGAGCCTCCGGGTGCTCTTCAAGGGGAGCCCCATGTAGAGAGCATTACAGTAGTCCAGGCGGGAAGTGACGAGGGCATGAGTGACCGTGCGCAAGGAGTCCCGGTCCAGAAAGGGACGCAACTGGCGAATCAGGCGAACCTGATAGAAGGCCCCCCCCTGGCCACAGCCGTCAAATTTGATTACCAAATGGGAACAGTTCAATTCCAAGTGATGCTGTTATATGAAGTCACGCTTTTAAACTTTAGACTCGAGAATGTGGATAGACAAAGAAATAATAATGATCAATGGATCCCAAAACAAATCAGCCCAGAGTTCTTACCGGAGTCACAAATGAAGAGGCTTAAATTATCCTACTTCAGACATGTCTGAAAACCTAGCTTTCTGGAAAAGGCTCTAATGCTGGAAAAAGTGGAAGATAGGAAAATGATGAACAGCAAGGTGGATGGACTTAGTGGTAATGGATACAATTTTGGAAGATCTAAAATAGGTTAGGGATAGATCATGGAGAATATCTAGTTGCTAGACATCAAACAATTTGAGGGCAATCAATTTATTATGTACAACATTTTGATATCCATAAAATAAATTCATTTCTCCTTCAGCTAAAAGGAATTCAGTCGTTTTCTTTTGGTCAATGTAAGTCAGAAAACTACATGTTAAAAGTAGGATAGCTCAGTTCTTTTACAGATGTTCTTTATTAATTGGGGGATGGGGAGCATGTGCACATTAGTTATACTTCCCATCACCATTTAAATCCAGGTGATGGCTAAAAGGCTGCATGCTAGATAGAGTCCTTATTTTACTATGTTGATTTTTGTTGTTTTTCCATAACTGCTTATGTAGCTTGTATTCACTGATAAGTCCAGTATTCAACTGTAGCTTACTACTGAATGGCATGCAATTACAGAAATATTCTAAACTGAAAGGAACAACTGTCCTCCACTTGTTCTATTTCTTGGGATTTCTTTCATAGAGTTCATAGGCAAAATTCTCTGTATGCGATTTGTCACTGAACAATCCAATGAAGTCTATATCCAGCTGGAATGGACCATCTACTTTATCAGCCAGAGTAAGTCCCAATGTGCTGATCTGTTAAAAAAAATCACTTTGTATTATTCTCACAAAAATATTGCTAAAGTCATGCGATATTTATTTATCTCATGTCTATTAAGCCTAAATTGATGTTTTTACAACAATTTATTCAGCTACGTAGTTCTTGATTAGCAATATTCAAAACTTATTTAATTCAAGAACAGAATTTCCAGAGAACTCAAAAATGTTCCAAACCTCCTCTTCCTCCTTTACTACCCAGATTCAGCAGTCTTTCTCCCATCAAAAATCTATGCACCTTCAAGGCTAAAAGCTCTGAAATAATGAAATAGTATAGGCAGATGTGACCCAGGGAATTCAAATAATTCAGCAAGGCTGTTTTTTGTAAGCAGTAAGGCACTGCTACTTATTAAATATATCCCTGGATTCAAGCTTTGTTTTTTGTTTAATTTCCAGATAACTGTTTCATGTTATACATTAATGCATTTATAAGTCCTGGTTTGATGCAAGCTCAAAGAAGTATTTAAAACCCTTTTTACCTTACCTGCTAAAAGAAACCTCAACAAACATCTGAATAAACTTGGGTCACTTTTTAAACATGTATATTGCTTTAATCATTAAAAAATCTTAAACTTTGTGGAAATGGATTTAAGACATATAACAGTTTATAACTAAATTAGAGCAGTGTCTGCAAGAAAGCCTATCCAAATCTGGACTGCAATCCGTTAAGGATTTAGTAGAGTTAATCTCACTGAATTCAACTTACTAAATAGATTATGCATTTCATATTCATTCTTTTTTTTTTTACATTATTAGAAGAACTTTTCTTTTAGTCAAACGTGAGTTCTGGTGTAAACAGAGCAAAATCCTTTATTTACGTAAGCCATGTTTTTGGAAGTTTCCTATTGCTTTCATCCTGGGAATATCAGAGAATGCCTGGCCCAAGGTAACCCAACTGGTATCTTTAACCAGGACTAGAACTCAGATTTTCCACTCTTAGTCCAACACTTAAACCATTAAATCAAACTGACTAGAATGGATTATCATATGATACATACTGCTAAGCCTTGTTGCCTTTAAACAATCAATTACACTTTATTAATTGCAAAGATCTGTCATAATTGTTACAGTAGAGAATATTATGTACTGTAGTTCAGCGTGTTTGCTGAGCTTGTTTTCCCATACCGCACTGATTTTAGGCTATGCCCTAGGTTAATAATGGAATATCTTCAGGAAAACCACAAAGAGAACACCAAGAATCCAACTATCATACTTGCTTTTAATGTTCTAGTTCAAAACACAATGAAGAATTTGATTCGCTTTCTGTCCCTGTGTTACACCAAGTATGAACAGTCAGAACGAAGCCAGAGATCGTCAGAAAAATGACAATCAGGTAATATCTTTTCACTTTAGGAGTGTTTCAATATTTAGAGCCAGTTTAATTTCATACTAGGGTACTGAAGGGACTAGCTGACTGTCTGATACATATTATACTTGATATATATCATATTTAATAAATTATGAAGAACTAATGAAGTGCCAAATGACCAGAAAGATGCAAATGTCCCTCGCAAAATAGGAAAAGAGAAGATCTAGCATTTGAACTGTAGTTCTGAAAATCTGTAATTCAAACAGTCTGACACACCTGGGAATATTCCAGAAAAAGTGATAAAGAGTTTCATTTGTAAGCACTTTGGTACTTACTAAATTAGATGAAGTTGTCAAAAACCAACCTGGTCTAACTTATTTTGTTCTTTGAGAATGCTACAGACATAAGAAACCTTGGCTTCAGCAAAATATACGATAAAAATCCTCATGATGTTGATTAACAAGCTAGTTAAGTGTGAACAGTATAATTTGTGCACAGCTGACTTGAGAAGTCTACTCAAATTGTGGTTCCTCATCAAACTGGCAAGAGTATCAAATAGAGTGTCACATGGATTATTACTGGATAATGTATTCTTCGGTGTTTTTTGTAATGAGGTGGATGAAGAGGAAATGCTTATTACATTTCCAGACAAGAAGATATTGGGTGGATACACCCTCCTGAAACTATTTAGGAAATGAATAAACACACATTTCTTCCCCAAGTGGATAATCTTCCTGGAATTGATAAAGTGAGTATAATCATTCATATATATTATTTTATTTAGTTTTTAACACTGCTTTTTTATTATAGTTAGTGTAGTCCAGTTAGTCTAGTTTAATTAGCTACCTTGATTCCTACCAGAGCAAAAAGGCAGGATATAAATCAAATTCAGTGAATAAAATAATTAAGAACTTTGATCACAGATCTTAGATGTGCATTTTCAAATAGCAAGTTTAAAAACCACTTACCCTATCTGGCCAGATTTCATACTGGCCATCCTGGATTCTCCCATGGCTTGTAAAAAAGAACTTAGAAAATGGAACCTGTTATAAAGAATTTACAGATCAGCTGAAAAATGTGAGTATTTGAATATTTCTTGCAATACATTCATTTTTCTTTCATAGTGTTGTGCTCAAAAGTTTACATACCCTGGCAGAATTTATGATTTCCTGGCCATTTTTCAGAGAATATGAATGATAACACGAAAACCTTTCTTTCACTCATGGTTAGTGTTTGGCTGAAGCCATTTATTATCAATCAACGGTGTTTACTCTTTTTCAATCATAATGACAACAGAAACTACCCAAATGATCCCGATCAAAAGTTTACATATCCTGGTGATTGTGGCCTGATAACATGCACAGGTTGACACAAAGGGCTGTGAATGACTATTAAAGGTAACCATCCTCACCTGTGATCTGTTTGCATGTAATTAGTGTGTGTGTATAAAAGGTCAATGAGATTCTGACCTCCTGACAGACCCTTGCATCCTTCATCTAGTGCTGCACTGATGTTTCTGGATTCTGAGTCATGGGGAAAGCAAAAGAATTGTCAAAGGACCTGTGGGAAAGGTAGTTGAACTGTATAAAACGAAAGGGATATAAGATATCCAAGGAATTGAGAATGCCAATCAGCAGTGTTCAAACTCTAACCAAGAAGTGGAAAATGAGGGGTTCTGTTGAAACCAAACCACAGTCAGGTAGACCAACTAAACTTTCAGCCACAACTGCCAGGAAAATTGTTCAGGATGCAAAGAAAAACCCACAAATAACTTCAGGTGAAATACAGGACTCTCTGAAAATATGTGGTGTGGCTGTTGCACGATGCACAATAAGAAGGCACTGGAAGAAAGATGGGGTGCATGGTCGAGTCGCCAGAAGAAAGCCATTACTACGCAAATGCCACAAAGTATCCCGCTTATAATACATCAAACAGCACAGACACAAGCCTCAAACTTTCTGGCACAAAGTCATTTGGAGTGATGAGACCAAAATTGAGCTTTTTGGCCACAACCATAAACGCTACATTTGGAGAGAAGTCAACAAGGCCTATGATGAAAAGTACACCATTCCTATTGTGAAACACAGAGGTGAATCGCTGATGTTTTGGGTATATGTGAGCTACAAAGGCACAGGTAATTTTGTCAGAATTGATGGCACAATGAATGCAGTATGTTATCAAAAGATGCTGGAGGACAATTTGCATTCATCAGCCCGGAAGCTGCGCATGGAACGTACTTGAACATTCCAGCATGACAATGATCCTAAACACAAGGCCAAGTCGACCTGTCATTGGCTACAGCAGAATAAAGTGAAGATTCTGGAGTGGCCATCTCAGTCTCCTGACCTCAATGTCATTGAGCCACTTTAGGGAGATCTCAAACATGCAGTTCATGCAAGATAGCCCAAGAATTTACAGGACCAGGCGGCTTTTTGCCAGGAAGAATGGGCAGCTTTACCATCTGAGAAGATAAAGAGCCTCATCCACCTATACCACAAAAGACTTCAAGCTGTCATTGATGTTAAAGGGGGCAATACACCATATTAAGAACTGGGGTATGTAAACTTGTGATCAAGGTCATTTGGGTAGTTTCTGTTGTCATTATGATTGAAAAAGAGTAAACAGTTGATTGATAATAAATGGCTTCAGCCAAACACTAACCATGAGTGAAAGAAAAGTTTTCATGTTATCATTCATATTCTCTGAAAAATGGCCAAGAAATCATAAATTCTGCCAGGGTATGTATACTTATGAACACAACTGTACATTTTACATTGTTGTTGTTTTTTGACAAAACCACAATATACTATGTATCGTTATGAACACTGACATTTCTATTCAATATATATTCATTAACATTCTTTTCTAGACTGTTTTACCACACACATTTCTTAAGTAACCCATCTCTATAACATTTAACCCATTTTTAAAAGTTTTTCCTGATATAACCAATTCTCACTTTCTTACATACAACCTTTTCACTATTTTTTGTATAGTAAATTGTCTCAATTGATTATAGTTGCAGAGGCAATTGTATGCTAGTTTTTTTAATAAAGAAAAATATTTTCAATCCAAAAGTATTACAGCATCTGGAGTAATAGAACTCTATGGGTAAGTGGCAATTTGCCTTTCTCAAAGTTGTACAAAAAATCCAAGTTAGGGGAAAAAATCACATAAGAAAACAATCCTTTTTTCATGTTTCAAAAATTTAAATTCAAAGATTCTTGTTTGCCTATTTTTTCAAATATCGGAAGCTATACTTTCTATAATAGTATCAAAAAAGTCATAATTGTTACCTCGATTTCCTCCCAATATGGCCCCCCTCGAGGGAATATGAAGTAGTTATAACCATCCTTCACTGAAGTAAAGTCGTATTTGTTTGGATTGATGTTTAACATCCACGGTCTACCATCACCACGGACACGCAGATATAGACTATTAAAATTTGACCAGTCATGTAACTTTGTCCGATGAAAAGCAAGCTGCCAAAATATATACATTTACTTTTAATATTCCACCAATTATTACACTTGGCAAATTTCCCTTCTCCTTTATATGTGGCTTTCTTAATATTCTACTGTTCACTGCTGAGGTGTTTTTTTGTTCTATTAATCTGCTCTATCCTTTTCACATAACTGTCATGACAAGTGGATTTTGTCATAAACATTATTTTTTCTCAAAAAATTATTATGTAATAAGCAACTGAACAGAACCACACACACACACACCACTGCACTGACACAATTTGTGTCCTCACCACCCTCGTTGAGAAAACTGTTTTCAATTATTCTTGGACAAGATACCAGAAACTATCCAAATTTCCAGGCTAATAAAATTATGATTACAATGCCAATTTCCACACACACTTAGACCAATATGCCTTGCTTATAGGTGACACTTGAGGATAACAGAATGCAACATTAATTCAGCAGACAGAAAAATTCTGGGGACATCTGTTCCCCAAACATCTACAGCAAGTTTGACATGTTACACTGTACAACTACTTCACAACAGATGGTAACTGAGTCTAATTTTACAAGCCGTGTCAATTTGCTTATTAATCACTATTACTGAGAAAGCAAACAAATTATCTGCACACCCCCAATGCAGTTGAAGGGTAGATAAAATGGCTACGAAGTGGGCTTTTAAAAACAAGTTAAACATTTGGGGAAAAAAACCTTTTAAAAATGTATGCTGCTCAATGAACTGTTCCTTAACATTACAGATAAAGGCAAAATTTCTCTCAAGACAAACCTGAATCCTGATGACTATTTGGGCATATTTGTAAGTTTTTTCTTGGCAACAATGGGGAACTGGACTGCTGTGGGAATTTTTTAAACTTTTTTTTTTTAGATAAATTTTTTTTAAACAAAAAAAAAAATCATAAAACACATCTTTTCAAAACGAAGCTTTTGCTCTGGTCACAAATTAAAACAAATCATTAACAAATCTTATTTTCAATTAACACAACTCAATATTTTAAACAAATATTTCCCGCAAATCTATCTATATAACTATGCCATTATCCCCAAAAACCCGTTACTTAAATCTTAAATCCTAACCAATTATCAATTCATTTTTCTCTTAGATGGAGATTTTAACAATATAAATCATACAATTATATTAAACAGATTAAACATTATTATTAAACCTAACTTATGCATTTTATCTTAACTATCACTCTCAATATACACCACCTCATTTTAATTATCCCACCTTTTTTATTATCTTTGATGTTAAACCAATCATTTCTATTTCTTGACTGTTAATCACAGCATAACCCTTTGTTTTGACTGTTGAATACAGCGTATTTTTATTTTTTAGCCATTACCCAGCATGCCCTTTGTTTGGCTGTTAAACACAGCACATTGATTTTGTTTTTTTGGCCATTACACGGCATCTTCAGGTTTGTTTGGCTGTTGAACACAGCATCTCTATTTTTGTTTTTTGGCCGTTACATGGCATATTAAGTTTTGTTTTGGCTGATACCCAGCATGACCATTTGTTTGGCTGTTCAATACAGCATATTATAGGTTTTTGGCTGTTAAATACAGCATGTTCATAGTTGGTTTAACAATCTCTACTTAAACCTTTCTTTGTTGTTTCCGTCCATCTATGCATTGCTTTTCATTTAATCATATTTTTCTTTATCCTTTTTCATAGCATTCATAACATTTTAACCTTGAGACATGGATCTTGCTTAAAACATATTTTTAAGTATATTTTTAAATTCCTTTTAGCATTTTCAATTAATCATATTGACCCTTATTCTTTACCTTAACATTTTACCATTAAAACATAGCATTAAACATATCTTTACATGTATTAGTTTCATTTAACATTCTTAATTTCTATAAAAACCTCCCTTTAATTTATTACAATCATCTTTACTTTATTTTATTTTTAATCACATTATCTTCATTTCCTCGTCTGCAAACATAAATTTCCTTCCATTTTCCAAGTTTTTAATTTTATTCTCCATAAGTCCAATTAAATCTCTTTTCATATTTTTATTCTGGATATAATGTATCAAATCTCTTTCTTTTAAGGCTGTGCTTAATCCTTGTTCTATTCCTGCGCCAACATTCAAATTATTATTTGTTCAACTGCAGGAGTTCCATTGTAGATTCCTTTTCTTCACCAAAGTCCAGCTGCTTGCAGTCAGGAAAGAAAAATCCTCCTCCACAGTTCAGCATTTTTTCTTTTCTTTTCTGTAGAGCTCAAAGTTCTCATAACAAAGGAAGGTTACAAAGTTCCTCTTTACGCTAGATGGTGTCTCTCTATAATCCACATTTCCCATTAGTCATGCAAGACTCCATTTTATTTATTATATAACCATCCACTTTATTTTCTTTTAGTTAAAAAAGTATCAAATCTTTTTCCCCCCCTTAGTCCAATTCAAATTTTTAAAATGTTTAGTCCTTTTACCATATCTCTAAATCAAGTCTCTTAGTTCTGTTCCAAAATTAGTTGTTTCTCGGGTCTTTATTCTTTAAAGTTACAGTTTAAAAAATTCCCAAAGCCCCTTTGTTGCTTAGCCACTGTTTTAGGCTAGGGGTCTTCTAGTTACTAATATAGCTCCAAACGTTGTTACAAGCCTGGGGTGTTGTCACTCACCCTGTTTCAAAAGGCTCCGTTTTACTTCGCTTTCCTCCAGCACTTTTCTTGCCCAGTTGTCCCAGCTTCGTGGCAGCCGCCATGGCTGCCGCCCCCCGCCGCTGACTCACAGAGGGTTCCCTCTGACCTCTGAGGAACTTGCCTGTTCCTCTCGGTCTTCCGAGGCGCCCCTCTTCTTCCCCGATCCCTGAAGGACAGGTTTGGTCCACAGACCCATCGGCAGCGGTTCAGCAGCCGGGGTTTTCGCGGGACTCATCAGAGCCCGCTATATCCCCGACTGTCTCACTGTGACGTCAACCGGAAGTCGGAATTTTTTAAACTTTTGATTTTGTCCAAGTCCTTGGGATACCTGGCAGCCTCTGTTGATTACTACTCCTCTTTAGTGTTTCAAGATCATTGAAGTCAACTACACACTGGCATCAGATAATTTACTTAAGTTCCATTAAATGCAGTTTTATTTTTGAGCAACTACTAACAAGATTGAACAGCAAATCTCATTCTATATTACAAAAAGAACAGGTTTGGCAATTTTTGAAAAAGAAATCTGTATTTTGTGGAAAATTATAACTAACATTTTTTCAAACTTTGAGATTTTAACATAATGGCTGACTGCACTTTATTTTAAACCACATCATTCAATTACACCTAATTAATTAATGTAATTGGCTAGGTTCCTACAAAATGATAAAGACAATAACTTGTTTGAATGGGTTCACAACTCAAAGCCAATTACATTACAATAAAGCAACAATGGCTTTTTAAGTGCTTGTGGAGCAAAAATAAAATCTAATTTAATGCAATTGTGATTTAGCTATTATTAGAATGTTAGCCTGATATAATATAGATCTAACAAAAAGAATGTTATAACATTTATAACAGGGGAAATTTTATTTTAAATATTTCATAAAGGTATTTTACTGTCTTAGCATACACAAGGACACTTAAATAGGGAATGTGGCACATTTTTTCCAGCTAAAGCAGCTGTTGTTAAAGCAGTTCGTGTTATCAAACAAGGGAGTAATTTGAGCATATTCTGAGGTTAATGGAGCAATTTGTAATTAATTATTTGTGAGTCAAGGATCCACTTTACAAGTCTGTGTAAAACATAATACCACAATCCATATATATATGCTTATTTAATTCCAAGTTAGTGGCTAAAATCCCATTGAGTTACGCATACTTATCCTGCAGATCTTTTTCATCCTCTTTTTTCTCCTGCAATTTCTGTAATGCTCCAAATCCCATTTTGATAATTTCACAGCCCTACAGGTTATAACTACAGATTATCTCTTGACTGCTATGCTGTTGAATGCCACTCAACAGAAGTAAGCATTAATAGCGGAGCATTACAGCCCAATATATTTAAGAATGTGGCATTACTATTATTCTGCACTTTGAAAAAATAGTATTAAAATGGGAATCATATTTTTTTAGAAGAGAATTTTGAAGTTTTTGAACTGAAAGCCAGTTTTGTCTTAAAGAATAAAACATTCTTTTAAACGTGAATATGATTGTACTCACCATTTCTGGTTTTGATACCATGGCACAATATCCACTATATTTTGTCACTCCGTCATGAGGTACAGTAGTATTGAGGTTCCCAGACACAATAGCATACTGCTTATTCTTATCTAGCTTTATAGAAATTTCACTTTTCCCTCCAATCGCTGCGTCAGAACCAAGTGCCCATTTATTTATATCTTCTTCACTACGAAATTCCCATACTACTTTTGTCTGATTAAATATAAAATCTTCCATTGGTTTTTGGTCAAACCCTTTCATAAAATCAACTACCTCTTTCTTTACAAGCCCGCATTGTGTTTTGAGTTCTTCCACTACATTCTTAAAGTTATCAATTGTCTTCCGTGGTGAAATTTTCTCAATAGATGTTCCGGGTCTCTCATAGCCACTGTACCACCTTGCATGGTGACCAGTTGCAAGGGTCCTGCACAAGCTACTTTGGCAATAGTGTTTATTTATCAAAGAGAGAAAATCCAGCATTTTGAGAAATGAAGCCATAAATGAATATTGATGAGTCGCTTCCCTTATCCAAACAAGCCGGTATCTATTTCTGATTAATGCCGTTTACCTGTTATAATACAAATAAAAAACATTTTAAAAATAAAGTTTTTAGTTTCATTTACTTTCCAAAATATACCAAGATGTATATACCTTGTTAACTGTATTACTATAAGTAACACTTTCAATAACATATGAGCTACATAAACAAAGCAGATAGCATATGACATACAGCATATTCTTTAAAAAAAATATTATTTATTGTTTTATCACAAAATAGAAACAAAAACATACATTCAACACACAACTAAACGGAAAAAAAATAGTGTACAAAAAAAGGAAAAAGTGATCAAATAAATTTAATATTTAACATGTAGGATCCACTGAAGAAAAAAACCAGCAGTAAATTCTCCTCCCCATATATATGTATGTACGTACATACGTATGTATGTGTTAAGCTAAACATACACAATATTCTTAAAACTAAAAAATGTTAGCTTTTTCATTTGGGATATCTCTACTGCAAAAAGAAATGAAAGAAAATAATTAGAGCACGATTCCCTATTAGAATCTGCACACATAACCTCAGCAATGAGAACACAATCTGGAAAATACTAATTATTTAAACAAGCCTTCATCAAACTTCTGTTTGCTTGGTAAAGACTTTATTGAGTCAAGATCAGTTTTGGTGACTATATGGTCAGGGCCACCACTTGCAAGTTTGCCACTGCCTTCTTCCATACATTTGGTTTTGCAGCCTAGCCTGCAACCCTGGGATTTTCTGCTGGTCCCCCATGCAACTATTAACCAGGTCAAATTCTGCTTGGCTTTCTGAGGCATCACCTAGGACTGACTGAGTCTTGGTGTGCCTTTTAAAAACCGTTATCTCTTCTAGAATTAGGGTCTCTGATTCAAAAGAGTTTCCATGGATGCTGAGAGACAAACCCTGAGAAGTTTCTCTTCGCTCAGAAACTCTAAGCAGAGTTTCCTAAGCTTGAAATAATTTTTTCAACATTTATTCACTCTTAAGGAACATCATTAGATAGGAAAAACCAGATAGCTGTAAACCAGTAAACTCACCGAATGGGGCAATGCACTCAGTTCGCTCCGTTTCTATCCTTCTCCGTCGTCTTGGCTTTCTGCTTCCTTAAAGTAGTAGTAAATTCACCCCTAACTTGTAACCAATAGTTTCACGTAATTCTCATTCCCAAAAGAGTGGATTATGGTCTTTCCCAGACAATGTGTGGGTACGTTCTACCAGTGCAGACTGGGGATGATGGGTACTGTAGTTCAACCGGGAATTAACCTTTGCAAATGCGATCCCCTTCGCTCACCTTGAAATCGCCGCCGTCTTTTGGCCCGAGTTCTACGCCGCCGAGTCCAACGCTGAAAGTCGTCCGGACTCCTCAAAGGAACGACAGCCTATAACGAAGGTTCCGTTTCCTTTCCCTCGCGTAAATCAGGGCTGTAGAACACGGACATTTTCTCCTCCGACTAGAAAACCCGTGCCTTTTAATGCTTTTTAAAAGGTGGCGAAAGAGTGACGTTTCGTTTACTGATTGTTTTTTTTTTTTTAGCGTGGTCGAAGATAACTGACGTAAACGGCAACAGGGGGTTTCCAAAAATCCCATCGGGCCCTCTCCTACAACGACGGGCCTGGCCAAGCGTTTATACCGACTGTAAAATGGGTCTTAAGCTTTCACTGGTTCCAAAAAAGAAAAACAACGACATGCACCCATCTAAGGCAACCACCCCACCATTGGCCTCTCTGCCCCCGGCGACGGCTCCTTTGGGACTACAAGCACGTCTTGCCCCCCAACTGACGGGGGAACGCCCCCTAACTCCGCCCCCCCCCCCCCCCCCACCGACTCAGGGCCTAACGGCCAGTAGCGCTTTCTACGCCGGCCACGCCTACATCCGACGCGTCGCATGGCGCATGCTCGGTGCCCTTTGTGTCCCGGGTTGGCTGGCGGGCGGGCGGGCGAGCGGCTGGCTGGCTTTGGCAAAGGCCTGCCGCTCGAAGTGCCGCACACCGTCCGCTGGGCCCGCTGTGAGGAGGGGACGGGAGCGGCGGCGCCAGCTCCGCCATGGTGAAGAAGCGGAAAGGCCGGGTCCTCATTGACTCAGACACCGAGGACAGCGGCAGCGAGGAGAACCTGGACCAGGTGAGAGTAGTGGCCGCCGAACTGGGCCCCGGGGCTCCATCCTCGCTTTTGCCTGGATCGCTTTGGATGGGTGCCGTAGTGGTACCTACGCATCCAAACGGCTTTCGCCTCTCTCCCTCTCTCTCTGCCCGGGCTAGCGCGGAAGGGGAGTCGTGCGGGTGGCTTTACGTATATACATACATACATCAGGGTCGCGGAGAGAGAGGATTCTGGCAACAAATATGTGGCTGAGGAGATGGGAGTGAATGTTTAGGGCTTTTGAATCGCGGGGGTGTCGAGGCAGGGAAGACGAATAAGAGGTTGGAGTTAGGCGAAAAGGATCCAGTCTGGCAGGTGGCAGGATGCAGAGTATGTGGTGGCTTGGAGAGAGAGCCGTGAGGGTGAGATCTGTTTGAGCTATCCCCTAATAGCTGTGGGGATGATGGGAGATGGGAACTGTTGTAACCACTTTCTCTGTGCTGCCCTTCTTTCTCCTCCTAAGCTCTATGTCGTTTATTTTAGGTTTTATAGGTTTGGACCCATCTCTTGGTTTGCAACCTTTGCTTGAACTTACCCAGTTTCCCAATGTCTCTGCAACATTTATAGAGTTCAGGGACTATATTTCTGTTTGTAGCAAAGAAGGTTCCCCTCAGGTACCCGTGTTTCCCTGAAAATAAGACCCTGTCTTATTATTTTTTTGAACCCTGAAATAAGCGCTTGGCCTTATTGCCGTGCACTCAAAAGCCGATCGGGCTTATTATCAGGGGAATAATTTATTTTGGGGGAACAGGGTAGATTATTTTACGGTGCAAAGACTGTTGCCCTCTGTTATTTTGTTATGTAGATTATTTTACAATGCAAAGAAGGTTCCCCTCATGTAGATTATTTTACAATGCACTCCTTGCTGAATTTTTATATACTGAGATTAATTTTGTCTCTAAGCTTGCCTTTTTCAATAAGGCACCAGCGTGGGTAACATATTCTGTCATTCCTCTCTGTTAATATGCGTATTCTTCTGGGTTGATCTTTGTGTATGAAAAGCATATAATCATAGAACAGTGAGCAACTATTGTAGAAGCTAGGCCAAAATCAGTAAATGATAATATACATTTTGGTTAGGAGTATCAGTTTTTGTCCATGTCTCCACTTGTATCTAACCATAGTACAAACGTGCCCACAAGGTTTTTTTTGTTCTGAGTTCCCATGACATTACTGTCACTTCAGCTCCAGATTATGAGAGAGACTGGCTTAAGTCATCCTTGGCTGTACCAGTGCTACCAAATTATTTCCCTTTTTATTTTGACACCATCCAAGGACTGCCTCAAGGTTCATAAAATCTAGGGAGCAATTCAGATGACTGGGAAAAGAGGCACAGTTGGTTTGGCAATAGAGATAACATATTTTATCCCAATAAAGTTTCCTCCTAATATCAGGGATAGGTGGAAATCATGATAATCAGCAAAGAAATTATGTTTTGTATTACTCTTGGGTTGAAAAGCAGGATTTGATTGCCACTCCTGAAGTGTATAAGTTATGGAGAGTAATATCTATTCAACAAAGAAACCAGATCTGATTGTGAAAAGTGCCTGATATCTTCTCTGTCTCCTCCTAAAACAGTTTTCCTGAGTCTAGGGCCTTCTAAATTTAACAAACTCTTATCACTACTAGTTGGCATCGGTATGGCTGTATAGACTGCAGATGATAGCAGTGCAATCTTAACATACCTGATGTATGCTAAATTGGAAAAAGCAGCAGTAGAGAAAGTTACTGATGAACTTTTCTAAATCTCGACTCCTTAGCTTTCTATCAAGAAAAGGAACTTTATAGTGGAGAAGCTGAGCATACAAAAACAGTTTCTTGCAGAGCATATTCAATAAGGAATAGGGAATAGGATAAAAAACATAAAGATTTCAAATCTCTTTTTTTCTTGGAGGTGTATTAATCATATGTTCCTGAGGTGTTATGTCTACCTTTCTTTAACTCAAATTACAAGTTTCCATTATTATTTCATTTCATCTTCAAAGTTAGAATTGTTTCTTATACTTAGTGTCACATATTTTATGGCATGCTACAAAATATTCTCAATATTAATATTCTTCATAACTTACAACACTTCTTTCAGGGAATAAGTTGAATTTGCTTCAACAGGAAGATGCCTGTTGTATGTGTTTTTCATGGATGTCAACTATTTGGAATGGGAGATGTACTGTTGGAATGATATAGCATGAGGCCAGCTAATGGTTATCTAGAAGCTTGTATCTCTGTTTAATTTATTGTAATTATGAACAATTCCTATGTTTTGTTTTTTATGTGCTCATTTGGATAGCCAATGTAGCCACCAACTTATAAGGAATCTCTTGTTCCAGCTGTTTCATCTTTTTGTTGAAGATCTATTGCTATGTTATTGGATAACATAAGGAATTTAAAATTGGTGAAAAAACCTAGACTCTTTATCGGACATAGTTTCAGATATTAACTACTGAAAAAGGCTTTGTAAAAAAGCTGTTCACAAGTAACTGCAATACCAAAATGGCCAACTCTTTCTCAAGGTTTCATGATAGTGTCTATAACAGGGGTCTTCAAACTTGGCAGCTTTAAGATTTGTGGACTTCAACTCCCAGAATTCCTCAGCCATCTATGCCGGCTGGAGAATTTTGGGAGTTGAAGTCCACAAGTCTTAAAGCTGCCAAGTTTGAAGATCTCTGGTCTATAATGTCTTGTCACTCTGGAAATTCCATAAATTTTTATATGCATTTCGCTTAATGAAAACTCTTAAGATCAAGCATATCAAGTTGTTGGCAATATTCTAGAATAGATGGAGTATATTTCTCAGATTTAAAGAATTTCAGCATTTTCCAATCCTGATGGCTTCTGGTCCATTTAGATCTCACAATATTCAATCCTCCATCCACATATTTTGAACCCATAGCAGTTTCACTCTTGGGTTGATAGCTCCTAGATTTTTTTAAATAGTGAGGTATAGAAACTTACCCTCTTTCCCATTATTCTTTCCCTAGCAAAAGAAAAGAGAAAAAATGAGATCAAATATATGAAGTTCTATAGCAGACTTGGATCAGTGTATGAAGTCCAATATCTCCTAGTAATTAACACTTATTATGTAAACCAAATGATACATTATGGTCAATCCAAGTGCCTCAAGATGGTTCACAGTTTCATCTCTAAGATCAACTTTATTCTATAGAATTTGGATTATTATGGTCTCATTCTACCAGCCTATGCTGCAAGGGCTCTTAGGATATTTCAGCCATACTATGAGGCGTTCAGATAATCTGATAGTACAGGAGTGTCAAATTCGCATTGTCACATCGTCATGTGACATATTGCAACTTTTCCGTTAAAATGGGGGTGCAGATGGCCAGTGCATGAGGCATCCTGCCCACGGGCTGTGAGTTTAACACCCTGTGATAGTATATGGCTTATCAAAACAATGCCAGGGAAAGATAGTATCTAAAACAACTATTAGTAGATGGTTTCAGATCATATGTTGCTTTCATCTAAGCTGTCTTCCAGATATCGAAGACCATTTTGTATGTAGGACCACTACTTTCAGTTATTACAAATATCCCCCTACCACAAGATACATTAAAGTGTTTGTATCTGGCATTATTGCTTTACTATATAAATTTACTGCCTGCTCCAACTCCTTTTCAACAAGAATAGAGAATATTTGTACTTCTGGTGAATACTAGGTGGGCTCATGCGCTTTAGATCTGTATGAAGCAACTCTTTAAGGAATGCATTTCCACAGATTTCCACAATTGAAATTAAGTTTTCCTCTTGTCATCATATTTTGTTCTTACTTTTTCTTCTGATTATATTTATTTGTAAGTGCTTTTCTAATGGCTAATGCTGTGCTATCTTCAATTTGAGTGCAAGCATCATTTTGGGAAATACTATTACATTTTTGTAATGCTTAATCCAAACTTTTATGGAAGAGAAATAAAGACAAAGTTAATGTGTTGTACAAGATAACAGTTCATAGCTTACAATGCTGCTAATTCTTATTCAATCCAAACTACAACATGAGTTACTTTTACTTTGGAAGTTATAATTCTCTGAAAAACAATAGATTTCCAAACGTATACTGTATTCACACATCAACAAAACTAACACCTTTCTCTTTAAATATATATACTTGAAACCAATTTTACTGAATTCAATGGAAGTAATTCTATTCATAAAATGACTAGCTTACATCAAGTGCTATGTGTTGGCACTTCTTTTTACTCTTCATTTATTGAGATATCCTTCAGATAGTCTATAGTGAATCTTCCAGTTCTTTGAACTAAACTTGTGAACCAGCAAAGAGAGGGAAGGAAAGACCTATTCTGTCATAGAATAATACTACTGGTACAATTCAATTTTCTCTGATCAGTTTCGATCTATGTGCATCATTTAGGTATTATGCTAGGTTATATAGGAAATTGTACAAGTAGGAATGATTGTTTATTCTTGATGAGTTATTTTGAATTTGCCTTAATATTAGGTTTTACAGTTTAAGAATACAAATAAAAAATCTTAAGTATTCTGTCAATCATGCAAATTATAAAAATTAATTGGTAAATTTTGTTTAATAAAATAATTTTTTTCATTACAATTAAAGTGGTCTAAGCACCCTGTTATTAACACAGCTGCCTGCAATTACTGCTGGTTCGAATCTCACCAGGCTCAAGGTTGACTCAGCCTTCCATCCTTTCTAAGGTAGGTGAAATGAGGACCCAGTTTGTGGGGGCAATAAGCTGACTTTGTATAAATATACAAAAGTATGAAGGCTATTGCTTAACGCATTGTAAGCCGCCCTGAGTCTCCGGAGAAGGGCAGCATATAAATCAAATTAAAAAAAAAAAAAAGTAAAAACTAATGCAAACTTAAAAGAACAAAGCAATAAAAAACACAAAGTGCAGAAAAAAAAGAAAAGGGATGACAAGAAAAAGAAATATTTAAATAAATGACTTCCCTCTTCATCCCAACAAATATAAAACAATGTTAGTAACTTATCACCTTTTCTTAATATACAACAGATGATCTCTTCTTTCCATATCTCATCTCTTATTTGTAAACAAATATTTAAAGCCTCATCATTTGGTCCTGGTAGCAAAAGTCCATTAACTGATAGCAAAAGTCCATTAACTGTTATTAGAGAAAGTGTATCTATTTTAACCCTGATGAAATAAACTTTATATTCTTCCTTTTACCTTTAACAGTCTTGATCTTTAACTCTTTCAAATAATGACTTAGAACTTGATTTATTTTCATTTTTTTCTTTGTCCTTTTCACAAAATCTTTCTTTTGTAAATCCAATATATAAATGTTGTCCGAGTTACACTTTTGGTTTGTTGTTTGTAATGTATATCCCTTTTAATTATATAAGGCATCGTCCAGTTTGTCATTTTTAAATCCATGTTCAAATCAAATAAAAAAAAAAATCAATGTCAGTCTTGTTTGGTAAAACCTGTTCCTCTTTCAAACTATTTATTTATAATGTCCCGACACTGAGACTTCTGAGACCATTGTTACACATGTTCTTCAATACAGGTAGTCCCGGACTTACAGCAGCTCACTTAGTGACCATTCATTGTTACAACATCACAGAAAAAAGTTACTTATGACCATTTTCACACTTATAACGGTTGGAGCAACCCCATGATCATCTGATCAAAATTTGGTTGTTTGGCAAGTGATTCATATTTATGATGGTTGCAGTATCCCTGAGTATCCACCACCACCCTGAGCCAAAGGCAGTCATCTCTTTTAAAATCATGTCTTATATATAATAAAAAGACTACTACTTTTTAAGCTTCATCTGGTCCCAGTATATTTCTAACTTCCAAGCTGAAAAATGTCTTTACCCTGGAAGAACAGTTAGAGAAAGGAAAAAAATGTTTAATACTCTTTTCTCCTACTGTCAGAGAAACTCCACTAAATAATTTGTATTTATCAATTATGTGTGGCTTAATAGTTTTGTGATGGATGTTTAAATATCATACATTATTTCTGTAAAGCAGAATCTATATACAGGCCATTTCACTTCAAAAAATTTTATTTCCTTTCAACATACTTATTGCATCTGTGGTTGATTGTTTAACAGAATTTTAAAGTTGAGTGATTTTTCCCCATGTTTGTGTTTCAGTAACAAAAGCTTTAGTAAGAATTGTACCATAAATGTATTCAAAGAATGCAGGTTCTAAATCATCTCAAATTAATGTAGTTCAGTTTATTGTGAAATGTTTATAAATTCAGACCTTCTAAAAGACTTTAAATTATGAGCAAGATGTTTTAAAATGAAAAGCAATCTCAAGTATCCCAAAGCTCCAAACCGTATTTTCCAGCACCACACTTTAAGATTGTTATCAGGTTCTAGTAAAATGTTATCTTTGATTTTCGCCAAACATGCCTTTTGGTACTATGGCCAAATTGCTCTGTCTTTGCCTTTGCCTCTGGAGCCACATGTGGCTCTTTCATCCCTCTGCTGTGGCTCTCTGTCACTCAAAATATGTGTCACCACCGCCAATGCGTGACACCCACCGGCACGTGATTTGTTGAGCTTTTTGACCCATCTTTTTTTTTCGGAGTTCAAAATGTTTTTGTTGCATGCAGAAATAAAAAATTGTCTTCTCTGTAGCAGTTCATTGATTTCATAAATGCAGCCCATTATAGTTTTTTATACATTTTATACATACATGTATATGTATACATATACATAAAGGTAAAAGACAATATATGCAGTGTTATCTTCATTTTAGATGTCAAAAGGGTTTTGTGGCTCCCGGTGTTTTCTGTGGGAAACGGATCCAAATTGCTCTTTGAGTGTTTAAGGTTGCCGACCCCTGGCCTAAGTGTTCATAAGCAACTTTACTCATGCACTGATATTTGTTCTGGATAGCATAGGTTTCCTACTAGCAGAATTTATCCTGCAGATTGAATCTTACAGCTTTTTTTAATGGTAGTCTCATGCACTTTGGCACTATGGTTGAGTGTGTGTGTGTGGTATCTCCGAGTCATAAAATGAAATTCTGGGATTCTTACAGACTTCTTTAAGCTATTTGCATTCTGATCACAGGCTGAACTTGCTAAGATGTCCTTCCTCCCATATTCTCTCTAATGATGTTGCAATCATTTGCACGTGATCTGGGACACCTGATTCTAAGTTTAGTTATTTGACGTAGTGATAAACATAGGGATGGACTTATTTTTTTTCAAATGTGAAATTTGCCTTTATGTTTATTTAAATTATGAAATGGGCTTCATGTTAATGAAGATATAACATTTGTTATATCATTCCCTTTATCAGTATTACTGAAGTGAAGATTAAATATCTATATGTTAAAAGTGTGTTAAAAAGTTAAGAATTTCAGTGATGTGTACTTACTTTTTCCTATAACTTTCTGCATATGCCTCCCTCTCCTATCCAGAAGCTTAGTGACTTTTCCAAAGTATTTTAAAGAATTGCAGGGTAAAAAAAAGGGAATTCCCATTCATTGTGTTATCTTGGAATTTGCTCTTTGTTTTGTCAAATATTTGAATTAATCTTTAGTTATTATGATACCAATACCAAATAAAGGTAAAGGTTCCCCTCCCACATATGTGCTAGTCATTCCTGATTCTAGGGGGCAGTGCTCATCTCCATTTCAAAGCCGAAGAGCCAGCACTGTCTGAAGACGTCTCCGTGGTTATGTGGCCGGCATGATTAAACACCAAAGGCGCACGAAACGCTGTTACCTTCCCACCAAAGGTGGTCCCTATTTTTCTATTTGCATTTTTTACGTGCTTTCAAACTACTAGGTTGGCAGAAGCTCTTCAACTTTGGAGAGAGTTCATGCTTAAGGAACTCTGCATTTGTTTTCTTCCAGGAGCTCCTGTCATTGGCCAAGCGGAAACGTGGTGATTCTGAAGAAAAGGAAGCACCTGCTAGCAAGCCTACAGCATCTTCAGACTCTGAGACTTCAGATAGTGATATTGAGGTTAGTCTGTGTTTAACTGTAAATTGAATAAAACAAAGTAATATGAATTAGTTCAGTTCTGCTGCTGAGATTATTCACATTAAATATGAAACACATTTGTGAAGGCTAAATACACTTGATACTGCATGACTTTGTGATAGTGTATATCATGAGCTGGGAAGTAGCTAATATTCCCTTGATTCCTATGGGAAAATTATCTCAAAATGGTTGCTCTTAAAACAAAGAAATCTTAAAGGGAAACTCCAACATGCAAAGATTGATTATCTAATTTATCAGGAAGTTCAATCCTATCATCTCCAATGTAAATATAATTTTCATCTCAATTTATTTATTGAAGGAAAATGATTAAGAGAAGTGTGCAATGTTGTTGGCAAACTGCAACTAATAAGCTGGCTTGTCACTATGTAGTTACCTGTAGCTAAAGTTTTGAATGACATGCTAAATTGGTAATAGTTTGAGGTTCAAGTGGAGTTTCCCAATTACAGGGAGGCAATTGCTTTTGCTCTTATAGTAAACGGTAGTAAACAGTGGTTTAGTGTTGTATCTAAATGAAGCTGTTTTCCAGTTTATAAAATACATGTTCAGTTCTTCATTTGCTTTTCTAAAAAAATAAAACAATTCTGCTTTTTATTTGTATATAGTTATAATACAATATTGTTTTTATTTTATAGCTGTGATTTTTTTTAACTCATCAAATTAAATTTTGTTCGTAGCTGTTTTATTACATATTTACATTAAAATCCAAACTTCTATACATTTAGCTTCATGAAATCTTTAAAGATACTTCAGCCTTGTCTCATAACTCCCATCTTTCCTTTTATGCTACAGTGGACAGTAGGGGGTACTAAAACCAAAAAGAAAGGAAAAGCTGCAAAAGTAGAGAAGAAGGGAGCCATGAAGAAACAGATGAATAAAGCAGCTTCATCAGGCAGCTCTGATAAAGATACCTCTCCAGAGAGTTCTGCACCAGAAGAAGGTAAGCATATTAGTGATGGGAAGAATTCATACATGGGCTGAATTTACATAGCATATTTACCCATCAGTAACTCAGTCCAATTTTCATGGTTTGTACAGTCTACTGAGCTATAACTCTACAGGTTGGGTTCAAATAAGAAGTTTGGTTAAAGTGTGGTAAATTAGTTTGGGATTCAGGGTATCATAAATCATGTTCTTTTGAGATTAGACTATAGATTATTTTTCTCTAGTTCAGTGGTCTTCAAATTTCAGTTGTCCAAGGAATCCTTCTCAGTATGAAAAATCAGTGAAAATCCATTAAAAATTGTTTCAGGTAATACATATTATTTGAACAAAATGTTAAAATTAATGTTACAATTATACATTTCATACATTGTAAATAGAAATGTCATGTTGTACCCCTGGATGATTCCCACAGAATCCTTGGGTTCCTAGAGAACATAGTTTGAACACTATAGCTCTAGATAATTTATTAACCATAGGCCAGGTTGATACACCAAAAGTTAATAGAAGTCCATTTCAGGCTCTTATTAGGTTTGGCTATAAAGAAGACAGAGGAAAAGTGCTTTATGTCTTTATTCAAAAGATAATTAGTTTTATTTTCAAAGTCAATTCTAAATATTTCCTATTCATATAGGAAGCTCTTGCTTAATAACCACAATTGGGACTGACAGCTCTATTTTTAAGCAGTGTGGTCATTAAATCAAATGTGATGCAGTAGGGGTTATAGCCTCATTTCTGTCAAGGCTGTTAAATGAATGTTAAATGAATTATCCACAGTCATTAAATGAAACCTGCAATTTTATTGCCAGTTTCTTCACTGACTGCTTGTTGGCTATGACAATTACAAATGGCTATGGCATGATCATGAGATGCAACAGTTGTAAATGCCTGCCAAGTGTGAAGTGTCCAAATGATGAACACGTGAGCATGGGGATGCTACAATGGTTGTAAATGTGAGGGCTGGTTATAAAACAATGTTGTAACTTCAAATGGTTGTTAAACAGGAGAATAGTTAAGCGATGTTTACCTATATTTTTTATATCTTGGACCTCTTCCTGTTAGCTATATTCCTATATAGCTACATGCAAATAGGAATTTCTATATTGTATTTCATACCTGTAATGTCTTTCAAAGTAAAATTTTTATTTTTATATTACTTAAGTAAACCCAATATTAAGATACACGCACACACGCGCGCACACACACGCCACTGTTAAGTTTAAGATAAGCACATTTGTAATAAGTACAGAAAGGGAATTTATTAGCTAAAGAGCTAATAAAAGAAAATAAAATATAGGTAAATTCAGTTTATACCAATCCTATTCATCAAATATCTTCATATTTTGTGTCCTGTCTATTCTGCCTATACCACATTGCTCAGTTTGTATATGTGCAGTACAATGCAGTCAGCCATGTGCAGATCTGTACACTGGGGAAACAAAAAAACCACTTCATAAAGGCATGGCACAACATAGAAGAACAAACCCATCAGGACTAGATTCAGCAGTCCACCTGCATTTAAAACACAAAGCTCACTCTTTTGAAGACAGCAAAGTCCACATTTTGGACAGAGAGGACCTCTGGTTTGAAAGAGGGGTCAAAGGCCATCTATGTCAAAATTGAATAGCCCTCCCTCAACAGAGAGGAGGGATAGGACATCATCTATCTCCAATCTACAACACAGTTCTTTCAACAGTTCTAAGAAGGATCCACACCCATTTGCACCACTCAGGTGATCCTGATGACACAGATAAAACCTCCAGGTGACCTTAACGACTTGCTAAAAGAATGCAAATGACCAGCTGTTTGCAAGGAATATAAATCCTTCCATACCCTATGGTTCAGTCAGAGCTGAAAAAGCTTCTTGGATGAGAAGCAAAATGTCTTCAAAGAAAAACAACCAAGTCCAGTTGCCTCTTGAAAAAGCACCTTTGGGACAAACCATGACCTAGATGACTGAGAATCTCCATAGGCATCCAGTTAATCAAGTAATCACAGTTCAGCAACGACTAAAAAGGATGCATTAAGTTTATTCTCAGTTTCAAGGTTTGTCAGCGATACATGCTGACTTCCTCACAAGCATGTGAGGCATTCTATTATTATTATTCTATGTATTGTTTTCTAAAATAGCTTAAATGGTAGGCATTTGCCTGAAAAGCTTACAATCCAAATGTAATTGCCTTCCAGTACATGATTCTCTCTGGGGTTTTTTTTCAGGAGAAGTATCTGACTCTGAAACCAATGGCTCTTGCAGTAGCTCAGACTCTGAAACTTCATCTGAAGATGAGTTTACTGATGGCTACGGGGAGGATTTTATGGGTGATGAAGAAGATAGAGCTCGCCTAGAACAGATGACAGAAAAAGAAAGAGAACAGGAATTGTTTAATCGGATAGAGAAGAGAGAAGTTTTGAAGAAAAGGTGAGTTTTTGTGCAGCCATTTCATATTACTGTATTTATGCAACATTCTTTTCATTTTGGACTTTTTAAGGTAAATGTTTTCTTTCCTTTTGCTTTTTATCGTTTTCCAGGTTTCTGAAAAAAATGTCAGCAAATTGGTTTCTGGTTAGTGTTTGTTTTTTTCTGTGAAAAACAAGCAAAGGAATGCAGATGCATAAATAATTATCATTAAAGTATAAGACGTTATCTTGTTCGTTTCACTTTTATTGATCCATGTTTAAGCCTCCCCCCACAAAGGCAACACTTACTTGATCATGACAGAAATAATGGGGTACAATTAAAGGTTTGCATAAAATGAGAAATGTGGTTTTGCTCCATGCATGGACTAAAATGTTATTGCTCTGATATTTGGTCACACCATTCTAGGAGAGTCATGTTCCATCCAAAGTGGATGAGGTTTTAGCCGAAGCAAATATGGATGAGTATAAAGGAGGGAAAGGCTGGTGTATGTAGTCTCTTTCCTCCTACTCCTGTTAATGGTTGGTGTGTTCTAGCTCACCTAATAATTTTCCTAGTATCCATCTTCCTTTTGCTTTCCCTTAGTCACCAATCGTAATTGAATTCACAGGTCTGATCAACCTGTGTGACCTACCTGGTCTTCCCCCCATCACTACCTCGCACTCCTCTGAATTCTGTGCTGTTGTGTGTCCCCTTTCTCTCTGCTGCTGGGTGCTGCCACCCTTTCCTCTACTATCTCCCAGCTTGGAGCACCTTTGTTGAAACATATATTTTCCAGGGCTTTGCACAAACAAAAGCACTTCTCAATCCTGTCTGATCTGTTCCTGGCCATCTTCATACTCTTTATATAGTGGTATTCATTTTGCACAACACTAGTAACAATTGCGACGTTAGTAAATGTTATAGAAATAATAATGCATCTCAGTGCAGCCAAAATTACAGAATATCTGCACATAAATGTAACTTCAACTGTCTCTCGAAAAAAAACCTGGCTAAACCTCCAAATGTAAAAGCATTTACAAATCTACATTCCTTTGTTGTAAGAACTACATGTTGTGCATGCAACAACTCACAGCAAATTACTAGGATCCAACTGCCATTATCAGCAGGAAACCAAAAATCCAGTCTATTCCAAACAGCTAATGGGCTGGCCGGGTTTCTTGCCATTAAACTCGCTAGTAAGGAAGAGTGGGCAGATTCTCCACAGCTCTGCGTCTGACTTTTTCAACATACATATGACACCCACCTGTTCAAAAGAGCTTTAAAAATGTGGCTGTTTCCCCAGGCCTTGAGCTAAAGTGGGTGGCAGGTCCTGTATGTTTCTCTTTTAAACATTGCTTTTCTTTTGGGAGTTTTTTGTTTCAAATACTTTTACTGTACACTGCCCAGAATTGCTATAGAGTTATAAATAAATTTCTTAAATAAATAAAATATATGAACATTATTTATGACAAAAGTTATTTTCCTTCTTAAAAAAAGCACTAATATTCTACATATTAGTTTCTACTTTGGAATTAAGCAATTAAGTACTTAATAGTGCCAGTAATTTGCATAGTTTAGATTTGAAAAAAATCTCATTTACTGCAACTGTTATTTATTTACTGATTAAATTTGTATGGAACCCATCTTGCAGTCGTGTAACACTTGTTGTTACAAAAGATTTAATCATTTTATGCCTTTAAAAAAATAAAAAATATCTTACATTAAATTTGAATTCAGTTTACCAGTTTGCTCCTTCCTGAATTAATTGGAGACTCCTATGTATTTTTTCCTTTGATTGAACCCAGATTTGAAATAAAGAAAAAATTAAAGACGGCAAAAAAGAAAGAAAAGAAAGAAAAAAAGAAAAGGAAAAAGCAGGAAGAAGAACAGGAAAAGAAAAAGCTCACACAGATCCAGGAATCCCAGGTAAGTAACATACAAATAACACTTTATTTTAAAAAATTGACACTACTTTAAGCATATTTGTAAGATTGCTTAAATTACCATTCATCTAACTACATCTAACTACACTGGATAAATATTTAGTCCCTAATGCTGTAATCAAGTACTTTAATATCATAAAATACTCTGACCTGATCTTTTTATATAGTATCTCTTATTTGTACAGCAGTCTGTGATAAAACTAATTGTGATAATATAACTGCTTTGCCTGTTGCAGCAAAAGCAAATGTTTCATAATGAATTATATCCAGTGTTACATGAACGAAAGCTGGTGTAAAATTATTTGTCAGCCTATGTTGAAAAATAATACAGTATTAAAATTCACTCAATTATGAGAAGTAGTGGCAGTAATGGATGGCCGAGGAACTGCAGCAGCCCTGCCTGGACCTATCCAAGCTTCGGGAATGGCAAGCTGGCTGCAGACAGCAGCATCTTGGCATCAGGAGCCCTGAATAGTGTAAAGTGGCATGGCAGGCTATGCCATGTTGCCTGGTGGGGCTGTGGTTTAGGTGTTTTTGCTGACGCTGTCTGGTGGTATTTGGCCTGCCTCTGAATATGCAGCGGGCCACAGCCTGTTTGCCATCCTCCATTTTAGGTTTAGGTTTATTAAATTTGTTTACCGCCCTTCTCCCGAAGGACTCAGGGCAGTGAACAGCCAAAATTAAAATATATACAGTATAAAAATTAAAATAAATTAAAACAGAATTAGATTAGTTTGGCTTCCCCAAATTTTAAAACCCCTTACCCATAAAATAACCCATTAAAATTTTAAGCCAGCCCGGCTTGCTGAAATAAGAAGGTCTTCAACGCTCAGCGGAAAGTACAGAGGTCTGGGATCAGTCGTATTCCTGGGGGTAGCTCATTCCAGAGGGCGAGTGCCCCCACAGAGAAGGCTCTCCCCCTGGGAGTCATCAGTCGACATTGCTTGACTGACGGCACCCTGAGGAGACCCTCTCTGTGGGAGCGGATTGGCTGGTGGGAGGTTATCGGTGGCAGAAGGTGGTCTCGTAAATACCCGGGTCCTAAGCCATGGAGCGCTTTAAAGATGAGAACCATCTTTTGTGGTCTACTCTGGGAAAAAGATGGCAGTTGGCCTGTTTTCTGCATTGCAGTGGCTATGGCTACAGTCCTAGGTGTAGGAGTCCTGTTTGAATGGAGGACTGGGATCAGGTGAATGCTGGTGAGGGGTGGGTGGGTGAGTGAGTGGATGATGGTGCTGCAGAAGAGCTGATGTGCATCCTGTGATTGCCACCTGATCCAGCAATCATCTTAGTAGCTGCTTCTTCCTTATTCGTAGGATACAGGACTTGAATGGACTATTTTGCTTAGATTGTGGTAGATTGCGCCCTAAAAGGAATACATGAACTGGCAAGGATATTGTAGGTTTTGGAAGATTTGGTTCAAGTGGGGCGAACAAAACGAAATATGCTAACAATTGGAAAATCTACATAACTTGGTGACCAATATATTCCAGATAATCAAAGCATATTAGAATGTTTACACAAAGATTGGGTTGAAAAATCAACAAAGAAACGTTTATTTAACAATATAATGTTTGAAGAGGGTAGATAAAATCTTAAGTCATTTAAGGAGTTATATCAATAAGACTGTTCATCTGTGCTTAATTTCAGAATGTGTGATTAGTTTGTCATAAAGGATTAATTTTCCCCTGCTTGAGATAATGCCAATGTTAGTTGTCTTAATCCTTTTTCTTTTTACTTTCTTTTTTTAAAAAAAACCATTAACAGTAATTGCCTCTTTTATTTTTAACATGCCCTTCCCCTTTTCTAAATTCTCTTAGTTTTATGGTTACATTTGACTGGAACAGTTGCTGAAAACCTGGTTTTCCTTTTGATTATTTATATTCTTTTTTAAAACTCTTTGCATCAAAATTATTGAATTGAACATTTTTAACTATCTGTATATTATGCAATTATTTTTTAAAAACAAGTTTATTTGCTTATTTGGTGAATTAGTCTGACACTAATTCATGCAAATTCATGGTGGATTTCAAAAACAATTATATAACTTTTTGCATAGCTGATTAGGTTTATTTTTTTTAATTATATAGTGCAATTTATGGTAATATTTTGCTGCTTAGTTTATAATAATGATATAACCACTAAGGATTTTTTTAAGAAATGTTATTTTATTTTTTAACAAAAATTATATGTCACTTTGAACTCCTGGAGGAAAAGCAGGATATTTATTAATTAATACTAATTAATAAAATTAAAATAAACTCCCTTTCCACCAACAGCAAAAATATATTTTATTTCCTGTTCTTCAAATAACCTGCATTTTAAACTGCAATAAAATAGCTAATACTGTACAGAGAAATAAAATCAAAAGATCAATTAAACAGCATGAATTATGAACTTGAATGAAACAAATTGACAGAAGTATGGAAAATAATAAAGATTTTTGCTTAAAAATGCCAAAATAAAAAGAGTAAACCTCAGGCAAAATACTACTGCAAAGATTCATCTCTTGGTAAAATCTAACCAAATATCTTTTAAGATAGTTGGAATTATATGTTTCTATAGGTAATGTCACATAATAAAGAGAGACGGTCAAAACGGGATGAAAAATTGGATAAGAAATCCCAAGCTATGGAAGAACTAAAAGCAGAAAGGGAGAAAAGGAAGAACAGAACAGGTAAGTTCAACCATATATTGTTTAGTTAAAGAAAAAAAAGATAGGATGAACATAAACCATACACTATAGATTCCACTGAGCTCCCTATTAACTCTTTATATACCATTTATAAGATGGAAAGACATCCTTGACTGTTTTGAATATTCCTAGTTGTGAAGGAACAACATAATCTGGTCCATCATCCTTTTTCTCGTGGTGGCTCACCAGATGCTTCTGAGATATCCATCAGCAAGTCCTTCTCCAGCAGTGGTATTCAAAGGCATGGTAGCATCCTGGACATAGTGCAATGACCAACATGACTGCCTGTTATTGGTATTTTGATCTCCCATTAATTTGTCAAATCCCTTTCCAGATTTCTAAATTAGCTATCACTAATTTTTTAATATTCATAAATATCTTGTAGATTTCTCATGTCAATAATATTTACAGTTGAATTAAATTGTTTTTCAGTGAACATAATTATCTTACAGTGAAACTCATTTTCCTTGTATTTTTTTAAAAAGCCAAGAGCTGTTTTGGACCTGTCTTGTTATTTCAAATAGTTCCAAAACTATTGCATAGAAATATATTTGGTCAAATAGAGCTAGGGGAGAATGTTTCCCCAATCCAGATCCTGACTGTCATCCCCCAAGCAACAAATGCCATTTCTGTCCCAACCCTAGGCCTGAACTTAGAATGGAAGAAGTCCATATAAACATCTTCCTTAGGGGATTCTAAGGATTCAACCATTATTTTGGGAACGTGGCAGTAATCATCCAAGATACCTGGGTCCAAGGAAAGCCTCTTCATAAGATGCTGTCCCACTGGCATCTGGTATGACTTCCTTTCCTGGAAAGATGTTGACAGTTCCCCAAAGTGCAGCTAATCAAGCCTTTCACAGTTACCCAGAGGAGCCAAAAAAGAGACACAGATCCAAGCCATAAATGATAGAGCTAATATCAGAGATTCCATACCCACTTCATTGAAGTCCATACATTAAGATGAATCTTAGATCACATTGTAAAGCATTACTCGATCACTCTAGATTCAAATTTAAGCAACTCTTGAAAAAATGTGCGAATGAGTCACATCAGCTTAATTTTTCCCAAACAGATGGCATGCAATTTTAAATTGTGCCATTTTATAACAACCCGCTGATATAACAATGGCAACAAATTGATTCTTAAACTTTGTTCTCTCCATGTAGGCTTAAACATGAGCTCAGTCAAGTTTACTTATTATGTTCCTCTTTGGATGCTCCAAGCATTGCTTGTGTTGCCTCATCTCTCAGAGTTCCCAGAAAGCTAATCTGGGATTGGCAGACAGAAAAAGATTACTAGGCGGTGACTATATCAAGTACTCTTCTTGTTTCCAGACTCCATAGCTTATTTTGGCACTCGATGAAATGTCAGCTTAGTGAAAAATCCACATCAGATCCAAAAGGGCCTGGGGCAGACCGTTTTAATTGGACCTCTCAGTTTCTAGATGTTCTGGGTGGTGACAGTTCTAGGGAGTAATCTGGCCACAGCAGACAACTCAGAATAATATTTTCCATCTTAATATTATGTTTACTTGCTTTGAAACAACAAAGATATCTAACACGTGCCTACTTTATGCTACAAGGTACAGGAGCTCAATAAAATGTCCTGGAGAACAGCAGGACAGATGGTACATCAACAGGATCCTCCATTTGTATTTGTAGCCCAACTTCATTTACAAGCACTTACATCGTCTCATTAAATTTACTGTCAGTGCTGGATATTCATGTGGCAGAATTCATAAAAGTGCTCCATTAAAGACCTGAGAATATGAGCAGATTGCATTGGACCAGACTTAAGCCAGATTCAGCTTTATACATCCAGATGTGCTTTTTTTCCATTGTAGCTGAATTACTTGCAAAGAAGCAACCGTTAAAGACAAGTGAAGTATACTCAGATGATGAAGAAGAGGAAGAAGATGATAAATCTAGTGAGAAAACTGATCATTCATCCAGATCTTCATCTTCTGATGAAGAAGAAGAGTAAGTATTCAATATCTGCTTTGATATATAGCAGATACAACTGAATGTTTAATATTCCTTTAGATCTGGAAATTTACATTACTACTTTAATGATTTCTGTCTTCATAGTTTGGTTAATGGTTGTTTAAACAAAACTGATATGTAAATATAATAAATAATAGAATGTATGGCTCCCTTATCTAGTTAAATAATAAAGCTGATAGTGCTCACAGCATTCTAGAGATTGCTCACTGAGCCCCTAATTTAAAAATCAATATATTTAATTAAAATGCCTGCACTTTTATGAATTTAGTCATTTTTATTTTCTAGTATGTGAATGCGGTAATTTCAAACTGTTTTAAGATGTGAATTATTTCCTTACAGTTGCTTTTGCTTTCCCATCAAACCAGGAAAGAAGAAATTCCTCCTAAATCACAACCAGTGTCTCTACCTGAAGAATTGAATCGGGTTCGATTATCCCGACACAAATTGGAGCGATGGTGTCACATGCCTTTCTTTGCCAAAACAGTCACTGGTTGCTTTGTGCGCATTGGAATAGGAAACCACAACAGCAAACCAGTTTACAGAGTAAGCCTACCCTTGAGTATTTTCCCTTATTCTTGTTGGTCATAAGAAAAGCAAATTTTGTTCATGGTGCTTTTTCAAAATACAGTGAAGTGAAAGCTGGTAATTAATGGTACAGCCACTCCTTGTATAACAGCTACCTTGTTTAGTTGCTGCTTGCAAATACAATGTAATAATGTATTTCTTTTTAAAAAAATAATTTTCTAACCAATGTGCACACTCGTGGCCAGATTTCCTTACCTGACAACAACACATGCCAGAATGAGAGTAACACTGACATTGCTGCATGAGAGAACTTATGGGGCAGCATGAACCAATAATATTTGCAGTGTCTGTTTCTCTCTTAATCATTTGTTTGCTTTGTGACCATTTCATTTCCAATTTAGGGAAAGAGAAGAGTTGTGAATCTTCCTTTATTTATCCTACTAGTATATTTGGGATGCATGGAGGGAGGGAGGGAGGGAAAGAGGGAGGGAGGGAGATAGATAGATAGATAGATAGATGGATGGATGGATGGATGGATGGATGGATGGATGGATGGATGGATGGATGGATGGATAGATAGATAGATAAATAGATAGATACATAGATAGATAGATAGATAGATAGATAGATAGATAGATAGATAGATAGATAATTTTGTTGAATAATTAAAATATTTTTGAGCAGTCAAACTCAATTAAAAAAAATCAGGATAGGTCCAGACTAAATACTCAAAAATGGAAGGTAAGGAAAGAAACCTTTACAGCTTCCTCCCCTAGAAATAATTTATATCAAATCTGATCCAGAGAGAACACAAGTTCTCCAAATTAGCTTTTTAAAAGAAGTAAGGAATTAAAACAAGAATGGAGGAATGAACAAAAAAGACTATCGGCATAGTAATTCTGCCAGATATTGGTCTTCCACGATGGAAGGAGTCACTCCATTTGCAAACCATCTTCAAGTATTTAACATGGAATGTTGTGTTATTTCAGATGAAGGGTATACACATTTGTTGAGCTTTACTTAACTTTTTTTAATTTTAATTTTTTTTCTGTCCCATTCATGAAGAAATTGTAAGTTCTTATCAGATAATAAATTAAATGAAGTTCTTATGTAATCCTGTCTCAAGTGTATGATAAACTAAGAATATTACTGCAAATTAGCTAATATACTTTACATTTTACTTCAGCTCCTTTTATTATCATTTCTCACTAGATTTGCTTTGATATTTCTGCTTTGCTGAGAAAATGTGTGTGTGTGTGTGTGTGTGTGTGTGTGTGTGTGTATATATATATATATATATATATATATATATATATATATATATATATATATATATATATATTTTTAAAGTCATCTTTTTCGTTTTGTTGCCATTTGTTTAGGTGGCAGAAATAACTGGTGTTGTAGAGACAGCAAAAGTATATCAGCTTGGAGCTACCAGGACAAACAAAGGGTTGCAGTTAAGGTGAGATATTTGAAAGTCTTATCATCCTGAGGGTGAGGTATCCTTGTATAAAAAGTGTGTAATTATCCTGAATCGAGAAAATTGATACATTTCATCTTAGGATAAGTTTCTAGGGTAAGGAAAAATCCAACAAATATTGGAGTGAAGAATGTCTGCCCTGTTGGGACCAATAGTTTACTTTCAGTAGTAATAGTGCATTCAGAACATATTTTCTTGTAATAAAGTAGAACTGAACTGACTTAATACTAATAAAAAATTAATCAATCCAAGAGTGCTTTGATTACTCTTCCCTCCTCCAAAATTTGGGTGATAAATAAAGCTACAATTTAATATTTTTTTCTTTTCAAAGACATGGTAATGACCAACGTGTGTTCCGCTTAGAATTTGTCTCCAATCAGGAATTCACAGAGAGTGAGTTCATGAAGTGGAAGGAAGCCGTAAGTTTCTACTTTTTCGAATGCTTTATCAATAATTTAGGGCTGCGCAGTGAATAAAATTCAATGAGATTTTTTTTTCTTTTGTTGCAATTAGATGTTTTCTGCTGGGATGCAGTTACCCACCCTTGACGAAATAAACAAGAAAGAAGTGTCCATCAAAGAAGCCCTCAACTATAAATTCAATGACCAGGACATTGAGGAGGTAAATGAAGAAAATGTACTTTTGAGCTGGAACCATTCATTTGGTCCATAATGTAAAGGTAGGTGAGGTTATAAAAGAGACGTTCTCGAGTGCCATATTTTGGTTCTATAAAAATAACGTGATTTTGAAAGCCCTATTTATATGTTATGAAAGATACAGTCGGTACTTTTGATTAGATCATACTGAGCTGTTTTTTTTCATGATATTACTTTTCCTTTCAGATTTGAGCATCACAATAAAAAAAGATTCTGTATTTAGAGAGCCTTTTTGATGTATTGATTAAGACATGAGGCTAGAAACTGGGAGATTATGAATTCTATTTCTATCTTAGGCACAAAGCCAGCGGGATGACCTTGGGCCAGTCACACATTCTCAGCCTTAGGAAGCAAACCACTTTTGAAAAAAACCCAGAAAACTTCAGGGATTTCTCCAGGCAGTCACCAGGGTCAAGGCATCTGACTCAAAGGCACACACACAAAATAGACAAGAAATTTAAAGTAGTAAGAGAAATTTGTGCGATCACCTCTGGAAAAATAATCTCTGGACAAGTTAATTTCCAATTTTAAAATAGCTTTATTAAAGATATTCTACAGTCAGGATTATCAAATTCTGTCAAATCCCAAATTGCTTTCAATGATCTTGTTTTGATATTTAGTTTGTTCCAGCTCATTTATGATTTTTTTGAAGAAATAAATTTGTAAAATGTTCGTGTAGATTTCCCAAAGTATACATTTTTACTTTTTTGTAGCTATGAGACGCTTCACACAAAAGTGCATATGTTAGCATATATATTATGCTAATTAGTATAACCATTGAGGAATAAATTTTTCCATTATTCCTAAGGCGAGTTTACTCTTAATAGTTTTTTGTCTATCAGTAGACTTGTAGCCACTATGCAACATAATGGATTATGTTCTAAAATCTTTTTATTACCGTGTTTCCCCAAGAATAAGATCGGGTCTTATTTTCTTTTGGGCCCCAAAATAAATTCGGAGGGTGTCTTATTTTTTTCCCCATGTACAGGAGGCCCAATTATTCTGCTTGCTCGCGGCAGGGTAGAAGACTGTGTGGTGCGCCAATGCCACTGCCATGAGGTGGGGTGGGTAGAGCTGTTCCACGCACCCTGCACCAGCTTACCCCAGGGGCCCCGTAGCCAAGCCACCCATGCCCCGACACCTGCCTTGCGTCGTGGCTGCAGCACCAGCACATCACTCGGCCTCCTGCTCTGTTGCAGCTGCAAGCAAGCAGAAGAAGTGGGCCAGCGGCCACATGGACTCCTGCTGGGCATGGCTGCCAGTGCTGCCGCCAGGAGGCAGGTGTCAGGGTGTGGATGGCCTGGCAGTGGGGGCCCCAAGGTAAGCTGGTGCAGGGCGCTTGGGATGGCTCTGCCTCCCGCCTCACCTTGTGGACACAGCATTGCAAGCAATCAGACGGAATGGATTGTCGGTTGACTGCGCAGGTTCTTAAGTACAGCTTATTTTGGTGGGTAGGGTTTATATTAGGTGCACATGTAAAAAATCATACTAGGGCTTATTTTCGGTACATGTCTTATTTTTGGGGAAATGGTATTATTGTACTACATAAATATAGATAAGATATACAGGGTTAAGGCCATACAATTAGCAGTATAATATGTCTTGTAAAGAGTTTAATAAAATAAAAACTGCCACAAGGATTATTTGCAGAGATAGTTGGCCAACCATCAAGAAACTTGTGTTAAATATAATACTGAGTTTCTCATTTTCCATTTTTAGATAGTAAAGGAGAAGGAGAGATTCCGAAAAGCACCACCAAACTATGCCATGAAGAAAACTCAGTTACTAAAAGAAAAGGTAAATAGTAATGCTTAAAGTGCTAGATTTTCAGTAAATTCTTGGGCTTCTTGACAGAAAATTGCTTTGTACCTAAAACAGTGCTGTGCATGGAGCAGCTGTTTTCAGCTGGTTCATACATAAACCAAAATGCATATTTTGGCTGTTTTGCTCCGGGTTCAGAATGAAACTGGATTGTTTTGTTCCTGTGTCAGACCAAATAGAATTGTTCCAAGAAGACATGTTTGGGGTAGGAGTAAAAAACAAAACTGAGAGTTTCCTTGGCAACAACAGATGTCTAGGATGCAAACAGTGAAGGCGGGGGATGCAAAGAAAGATGGAAAAGAGGGCATAATTCTTTCCTTGGGAAAGCCAGTTGATTAATGACTGTGTGATTCACTTAACTATCCCTGTGATTCATTTAATGACAGCAGTAAAAATGGTCATGAAATTGGGTTTAGTCACATGATGACTTCCTTAACAATCACGTTGCTTAGGGGTCGAAATTCTGGTCCCAATTGTGTCGTAACTTGAGGACTATGTGTAAATCTTCATATGTTTTCATCACTGCCAATAGGTGGCATATTACAACTTACATTGTGAGAGAATAGCTAAAATCATTACCTATTAAGAGATATAACATGCAAAAATGTTTCAGTTAGATTCTTATGGGTCTGATTTAGGTTGATTCCTAGGTATAACCTATTCAAGGAATGTGTTTATTGAAACATTTCTTAAATCAAGATCTACGTGACAACATAATAAAACCTGTTTATAACGTTTTATCATTTCTCACCATTACTGCTGGTACAATGGAGAGAGTGCAATACTAATAAATAATTCCTTGTTAAAGGCCATGGCAGAAGACATGGGAGATCAGGACAGAGCAAAACAGATTCAAGACCAGCTTAATGAGTTAGAGGAAAGAGCAGAAGCCTTAGATCGTCAGAGAACAAAAAACATTTCAGCCATCAGGTTGGTATCTAACAGAACCTGGAAAGAAAAGTACATCAGTAGATCCCCTTCTTAATTTAGGGTAGGGTTGATGGTGATGTTATTTCAGAGAAATCATGCTAATGATTTTTAATAAGAAATTTGTTACGTTTTTAGAAATGTTGCTTCCTTACAATTATTGAAAGCAGAAATACATCTTAGGATATGACTTCTAGAAGAAGATTTTTTATGACAGCAGATTGAGAAAGTTAATCATTAGAATATCTTTCTTTTCTCAGTTATATCAACCAGAGAAATAGAGAATGGAATATTGTGGAATCTGAAAAAGCTTTAGTGGTAAGTAATGTTCATGGAGCAAAGGAAAAACAAAATGATTTTTTATTGAAAAAGTGGCTTTCTGAATTTAACAAATACATTTGGGGAAACTACTGCTTTGTTCAGTTGTATATGATTTTCTAAACTGCCATACTAATATTTTTGAGTTCTAAGCCATGAGCTGATTAAAAAGTACTCACTTTTGATGGCAGAAAATAATAACACTATTTGTGTTGGAAAAAATGGCAGTCTGCAAAAGAAAAAAATTACCTGGTCCATTTATAAAGTTGGATCGCAAAATAAGCTTTTGTGGATAATGAACCCAGCATGCTGGTTGGGTAATTTTGGGAAGTCTACACAGTTTAGAATTACTGAGGTTGAGAAACATTGTTTTAAAGGAGAAAAAGACCCTGAAATTAGAGTGTTGCTAATTCTGAATGTCACACTTAGTAAACGATGGGGGATTACTTTGAAGTCCCAGTAGTGGTTCAATCTAAAGTGATCTTCCACAGAATCTCAACTAGGAGATTGAATTAGCAGTGGTAATGCTACAAATAAATATTGGGATGGGCAAAAAAGTGAGTTTCTACGGAATTTGAGCAAGCATTTGAAAAAGTGCCTTGTCTTCAAGATGCAGGAGTAGGAGGCAGAGGTACTTTTTATGCTTGATAACCATATATAGGCATAAAAATCTATTTACAAACTAGCTGTGTGAAGCATAAGAAATGTTCTCAGTCCCATCTGTTATGGCACTGCATATTTCACAAAATTTGCAGAACAAAAGTAGGGCTACTTTCCACTCAGAATTCTTTGAATCTACGGTATTGTTGTCTTCATTTCAGTCATTTAAGAATCAGAAATACAGGACGTTAGTGTTAGCTATCTAATAACCTGCAGAGATGATTTTTTTTTTCATTACCAGGAACTGTAGCTCACCTTTGATAAAAGGTCCAAAAGCTTCTTGAGTGGTTCTTTTTCCTACATTGACTTATCAGAGGCACCTTATGAAGCTAAGAACCCAACCTAAGCAAGAGCTTAATTGGAATGAAGCAGGCTGCCTGATTCTAAAGCTAGTGCTATCTCTATATGTTATTGAGGCAATGTCGAGAAAGGGAAGCTTAACATAAAAAATGTGTCTTTGTACTTTATATTTTTGAAGGCTGAAAGCCACAGTATGAAAAACCAGCAAATGGATCCTTTTACTAGACGGCAATGTAAACCTACAATAGTCTCAAATGTAAGTAAAATGCAAAGTTGAGTGCAGTGAAGAATATAATTAGGTATTTATATCTGAGATGCTGGATATCAGTCGCCATTCAAATACCACACATAACAGTAAGCATAAACTAATATGGATTAAAATTAATGTAATGCTTTAGTCTATAATCAGATGCAAAAAAGTGTAATTTTTTTAGCAGAATTAATTTAATTCCATCTAATAGCAATAGCACTTAGGCGTATATACCGCATCATAGTGCTTTACAGCTCTCTCCAAATGGTTTACAGAGTCAGTATATTGCCCCTAACAATCTGGGTCCTCACTTCAGAAGTATGGAAGGCTGTGTCAACTTGACCTGGTCAGGATCGAAGTCCTGAAAGTGGGAATTCAGATTTAGCCTCCAATTCTGGATTCTAATGACTGTGCCACTACGACACAGTATATAGAATTAGTTATATATTGCTTACCCATCAGATTCCAAGTGGCTTAAATTATAAAAGCAGAAGAAAACAATATCAAAATCAATGTCCCATTCACTACTGTCACTGTGAAGAAGAGCACTGTTTTACCATCTTTCTAAGTGACAGTAAAGTGGTAGGGATTTTATTAATATGCAAATGCCTGTTTTAAGATTAGGGCAATCTTTTGAAAATTACTGAACATTAATTGTATTTGAAAAGACAGTACATTCTGTTTTAATTATATATAGTTATTGAATACACCAAATGAGGATAACATTTTAAAGGGAAATAGTAGTCCAATCAATAATAAATCTTCTTTTCCACAGTCTAGGGATCCTGCTGTACAGGCTGCTATCATTGCTCGACTAAATGCAAAATATGGATCTGTTGTGTTACCTGATGCTCCAAAGGACCTGACCAAGGCAAGTCCTCCAAGTGTTCATTATGTCCTGTCCTGTAGTTTTAAACAGTCTTAATTCTGTAGAATTCTAATCATATAAGGCAGAGGTGGGAAACTATGGCCCTTTTATGACTTGTGGACTTCAACTCCCAGAATTCCTGAGCCATGATATAAAGTAACAGCAGTTTTGATCTTAGCCCACAAGTCTTTTAATATTATTTTAACAATATTAAAAACTTATTTCTCTTTCAGAGCCAGGGTAAAGACAAAGATATGAATTCAAAATCAGCCAGTGATCTCTCAGAGGATCTTTTCAAAGTGCACGATTTTGATGTGAAAATTGACCTTCAGGTTCCTAGTTCAGGTAGGTGCTGCTGCTTTTGAAGGGATGAAAAACAAACTGAAAGAAAAAGGGGAACTTTTGCTGATAGCTCTCACAAAATTGTAGTATTTGAGCAAAAACCTAATGTTGTGGGTAAGCAACCACCATCTGCTAATCTGATTAGGAGTTTTATGTATTTTACTTATTTATTTACCAAACTTACATGCTGCCTATTTCACACTAAATTAATAATTATAATAAAGAAGGACTGAAAGATGAGAATTCTGGGAATTGTAATCCAACATATCAAGGGGTATTACGATAGGAAAGTCTGCTCTCTAAAGCAGCAGCCCCCAAGCGTACTTTTGGGTACCAGGAACCAGTTCCGTGGAGAGATTTTTTTTCTGTGGACTGGTAGGGACGCAATTTTTTCTGTGGACCGGTGGGGGCGTGATTTAGTGTACTGCCTGCATCCCGCAGATGGAGCTTTGTTTGTTTGTGTGGACCAGGTTTCTGACATGCTACGGGCTGGTGCCGGTCCATGGACCGGGGGTTGTGGACCCTACTCTAAAGAGAATTATTTTGGCTTGGCTGCCTGTTACTCAGCAGCTTTCTGTCTTCCATCAGCTGAGTTATTTGTTTGTGTGCACTTTGTCTTCCCACAGAGTCCAAAACACTGGCCATCACCTCCAAGGCTCCCCCTGCAAAAGATGGTGCCCCTCGGCGATCACTGAACCTAGAGGACTACAAGAAAAGGCGGGGGCTGATCTGAGCATTCCCACTCTCTGCTGCTTCTGATCCTGCATGCTACATGATCTCCTCTACACCCCTTTATTTTCTTCCCTTCTACTTCAGTTGACCCTTTTGGGTTGGAGCAGCAGCTAAAGAGCTAGGAAGAGACTCTTTAAAATTGCCAGCCATTTGTAATATAAATCACTGACTTTTTGCTGTATAGACTTCCCTTATTGCTCTTTCCTCCTGCGATACACAAATATGGATCCATGCTATTTTTAGGGAGGGGAAGGAGTTTTTTTTTTCCTTTTGGAAGTACAGCTGTTTGGAATTGGCTGTCTGTATTCAGTGTTAACTTGGAATCTGGATTTCTGCAGGAATCTGTTGGTGGCCGAGCAGTGTTAGCACTTTGCTTTTCCACCATCCCAGGCAAGGAGAATTTACCCGCGAGTGGCACAAGACCTCTTGTGAAGGTCACCTGCACTTTTCCCTCTTCTTCTTTCCCTTTGCTCCTAGCTTTGGAGAGGGACATATTTGCAAACAGGTTTCGGGTGAAAGTGTACATTTTTGTGGGGGTGGGGTGGGCTGTGTGAACTTTTTTCCAGATGTTTTTTTATCATTTTTAACCTGCAGTAAATTTGTATTTGTCACAGTTCTTTAAAGATGTCTGGAATTTCTACCAGCTACATTTGAGCATCTGACAGCAGGGGCAGTTTAGTAAATGTGATTTTTTAAAAAACAAACAAACAAAAAGGGCCTGGCTAACAATAGCTGTGCAAGTTCACACTTCTCTGTTTTCTTTTTATAAAAATGCCTCCCGTCTCTCCCTCCCATATCTGGCTTTATAATACAGTAATATATATATACTGTTGAATAACCTGTTATAGGAAGGTAGGGCACTATGTCTTCTCTGGCTGCTACTTGGATCTTCTCTTCCATTTCCCCTCCCCAAAACAGAAATATGTGTGGTCATCCCCTTTGCTACTCAGCCTCATCTTTTCTAGGCTAGACTAGATATGTTTTCATTTGCATACTTTTTGGGGAAAATGCTGAATGGGAAGAATATGGTAGAATTGGGAGATTATTTTAAATTGCAGTTATTTGACCTATATAACATTAGTAGGTACAACACGTGTGGTTGTGAACCTTAACAAAGGATTGTACATGTGGTGTGCTCGAATAGGAAACACGACTGCTTGATAATCACTCAGGGGTAAAGATCAACGTGTAAATAAATGACATTTTATCAAAAATTTCAGAATGAACTACCATGGGTTATACTGAATTTAGTACATGAATAATGACAGGTTTCACTAGTGCCAGTTTGGGAAACCTAAACAAAGGATATTTTCCTGACCCAAGAATCAGAAGGAGACTGTACATGAAGCATTTTTAAGCCCAGAATATCTATGGTTACATCTAAACAGAGATTTGAATCTTGTGGCTGTGATCTGTGAGTATCCTTCTTGATGTTTAATCTGTTTTTTTTTCTTTAATTGTTTATTTAATGCAAGGGGAACACGTAACTGTGTAAAACCTATGAAATGAAAGGGGAGGGGAAACTCCTCCGTAGATTGTTCTTATCACATTGTGTGAAATGTGTGGCTTTATTTACTAGATAGTCCACAGCTTTATGGACTGTTGTGTAAATATGTAATCATTCTGGTTTGCTTTGTTTTTCTTTTTTTTAAAGCTACATTTCTCAAGCTCTTGTGGACTGTTATTTTTTTAAATGGATTTCTGGAATATGCCGGTGTATAACTGGGAGTCATCATGATATACTGTGTAAATAAGCAATATTATCACTTGATTTTTTTCCCCCCCTGCCAATATCATTTGTAGTAGCCAATCTCCCAATACCAATATTTCTGATGTAGGAAAATAGATTTGCAATACTTTTACAGGTTTTTGATTGCCCAAGAATTTCTATAAAGCTGTGACATGAGAGAAAGAAAAGAGCAAGCAAAGATTTAGCGTCTTAATGTTTCTACCTAATTATATCATGGCAGTCCGTGACAGACTTTTGTAGCCAGAGGTAGACTATATGACATTGGCCTTATAATCAAAGTGCAGAAAATTTTTTTTCTCTTTAAGTTGTAAATAAAGCATTGGTTTCCTCCCCTCCAGTTGGGTTAGAGCAATGTTTCTCAACCTCAGCAACATTAAGATGTCTGGACCAAATTCCGGAATTGAATGCTGGCTGAAGAATTCTAGGAATTGAAGTCCTCACATCCTAATGTTCCTGAGGTTGTGAAATACTGAGTTAGATAAACTACTCAAAAGAAGTGGGGAATTTAAAGACACGAATGAGATAGCTGTCCCAATGTATCCCCTATGTACTAAACTCAGAAATGAGATTCTGTTTTTCACAGAGGTAATAGTTGAGTCCTTGTACACCATCGTTTTCAGTGAGAATAATACATCGAAGGAGTATTTTTTCTCAGATAGCTATGGAACTAATTGTGTATGAAGGTGTAATGTTTTCTCCTCTTAAGTGCATGTGACAGTGAGTGATGACACCACAGTCTCATTTGGAGGGATGGGTTTATTTGCTTTAATTCATTGATGTCTCGGCAGCATTCGTTACAATGTATAGACTTCTATAAATAAACTCTGGTTGGTTTTAATAAAGATGCTCATGTTCAATCCTTTGGATATCAGTCACCAAAAATACACAATTCATATTTTTGAGCAACAGCAGTCAAAAGTTCAAATCTAGTTTTCCCCAGTCTTTCAAAGTGATTCTTCAGTTAACTTATTAGACATTATGTTTCTATGCTTTATGACTGTGGCAATTCTGGGTAGATCAAAATTAGCTTGAAGATACTAGGAATTCCTTGACATTTTGAAATTCAACAGTCACATAAAAGCAGGAGAACAAATATACTTTCTGAGTTTGAATTTGAAAGATGTTCTTAAGCTTTGAGAACATGCTGTGTAGCAGTCCTCTAAAAATAGGCAGAAGTGAGTAGATCAAAATAAATAGTTATCTTAATTGAAATGTATTAATTATATATGTATAATATGATTACCTTCCATGTAATTAACAGTGTTTTGCTTCTATTATATTAAAACAAACATTTCATTCCATTTTAGATATTCTTCAAGTCATATATACCTCTAGTTACACACCTCTGCAGTAGAATGCAAAATCAGGTGCATGCAAAATGTTAAGCAGTTTCAGCTATAAAGTATAATTATTTTTAAAGTGGTAAATAACGCCATAAAACAGAAAAGCTACTTGGTTAACACGGCATGTTTAGCCATAAACTGCTACTATTTTTAAAAGCCCAAAATAAAGATAGAAATATATAATTAAAGAATAACAGGCAACATCAGCTGCTATATACCATGAGAATTATAATACTGGTGAAAATAGTGTGGTGGTATACAGAATAAATTTCAAGAGAGGAGGAAAAAGTAGTGTCTATAATTACCTTATTCTAGAATAAGTACCACAAAAATAATTCTTTAAATGTTATATCACAATAGATTTGGATATCATAAATATACATAATAATGGCCAACACTGAATGGTGTTTAGCCATTACTTAACAATCCTAAACTACAACAATTTATTATAAAAAAATATAAGGAGCTGAACTACAACATATAACAGCTTCCCCAAAATAATTTCAATTCGTGGTTTGACTGCAATAATCATGGTCCCCAAAACTTAGCTCATATTTAGGCTATGGTACTGAAAATAATTAGGTATTTGATTATACCATGCAACATTGAAATTATGTTCCTAAATTTATTCTCAAAGTGGTAGCAAGCCAAATGAGACAATAGGGTGATTCAGTAAATCTGATTGCGACATGAAAGGAATACGGTAGTGGTAAGAATGAGTCTTGAAAACATGTCATAAAAATTAAGCAAACTGCAGATCAGATTTTGATGTAAAAAACCATAAGTATATACAATATAAGTAAGCAAATCAAGGAATGTTTGGATTCAAGGATAATTGCAGGATTAAATGGGAATTATATTAACACTTTTACCTAGAGTAGCCATGTATTTCTATATTATAAACTAATATATCGGGGGAGGGCGGCAGGAAGGGACAGCTTATTCCAATTTATTCCTAATCTTAAATATAATTTGGCAAAACCAAAGCTATAGCCTTTCACTAACTAGCACGGAAAAAGCAAAGTTCTTGTCTGTTGTTTTAGAAATGGCACATCATCTGAGATATACTGTCATGTGAAAAAGAAAGTACACCCTCTTTGAGTTCTATGGTTTTACATATCAGGACATAATAATCATCTGGTCCTCAGCAGTTCTTAAAAATAGGTAAATACAACTTCAGATGAACAAGACAGGACATATTACACCATGTCATTTTTTTTTAATACAAAAAGAAAACCAAAATGGAAGAGCCATGTGTGAAAAGCTAAGAACACTTTATGATTCAATAGCTTGTAGAACCACCTGTAGCAGTAATAACTTGAAGTAAATGTTTTTTGTATGACTTTTATCAGTCTCTCACATCATTGTGGAGGAATTTTGGCCCGCTCTTCTTTACAATATTGCTTCAGTTCATTGAGATTTTTTTTTAAAAAAAATTCCTGCTAAATTGTTTATTAAACAACAAGGGATTTGCTTTTATTTTTTCTTGATTTGGCTTATCAAATATTAACACCTTTAAATATTTTTGGAGGATCAAAGCAATTCGATCCATGATCTATGTGTAACTATGCCATTCAAGCATACAAAATACCATACTCTTACGTAAGGGATGAACGGACATTTTTGCCAAAGAAAAAAGAGCTTTCTTACCCATAGCAACCAAATTTTTGCTCAATTCTCTTCTACGCTACTGTAAGTTGCAATGCTAAAACTTTTTAAGGTCATTGGAATTCATTGTAAAAAATAAGTCTTTTTATTCACTTTCCAAGTATTTCTTGGAATGCCAGTTTTCATGAAATAATATTTTGACATTAAAAACAAAAAGCAAAGGAATGGATGAATATCAGTCAAAAACCATCTGATATCAGTTGTCCTGTCCAATACCTCATTATAATACAAAAATGTGTTCTTTGTTAAAATAAGCCTTCTTCATTAAAAAAAAGTAAGGAAGGGGGACGGGAGAGAAACTCCAGAGAAGAAGCTCCACAATCAAGGCCCTTCCTTATGAATTCTCATATGTCTTAAAGAGAATTTTGTAAAGGCATCTGAACTGGACCGCGACGCCTTGCGCACAGTCACTCACGCCCTTGTCACCTCCCGACTGGACTACTGCTATGCTCTCTACATGGGGCTCCCCTTGAAAAGCACCCGGAGGCTCCAACTGGTCCAGAATGCGGCCGCGCGGGTGGTTATGGGCACAACTCGTGCCCACGTGACACCCCTCCTGCGCGAGCTGCACTGGCTCCCAGTGGTCTTCCGGGTGCGATTCAAGGTGTTGGTTACCACCTTTAAAGCGCTCCATGGCATTGGACCTGGATACCTTCGAGACCGTCTTCTGCCACCAGTAGTCTCCCACCGGCCAGTTCGCTCCCACAGAGAGGGTCTCCTCAGGGTGCCATCGGCCAAATTATGTCGGCTGGTGACACCCAGGGGGAGGGCTTTCTCTGTGAGAGCCCCTGCCCTTTGGAATGATCTGCCCCCAGAAATTCGTAAAATCTCTGATCTCCGTGTATTTCGCTGTGCCCTCAAAACCATGTTGTTCTGCCAGGCTGGGCTATCAATGTAAAGATTTTAATTGGTTTTAAATGGGATTTTAAATTTGGGGTTTTATAAATTGGGCCTATTATTTAATAATTTTAATTATTTTTAAACTCTGTCTGTGTTTGTGTTTTTAATTAGGCTGTACACCGCCCTGAGTCCTTCGGGAGAAGGGCGGTATAGAAATAAGATAAGATAAGATAAGATAAGATAAGATAAGATAAGATAAGATAAGATAAGATAAGGTAAATAAATAAACTGGGAACAGCAGAAACCAAGTCACTTTAAATTGTCTCTATGGAATTAAAAACTGTCTCTTAAAACCTGGATTGCAGCATTTTAAATAAAACCTCTTCCTCTTTTTAGTCCAAGCTGTCCATTTTCAAAAGGCCATATGTTAAGTCTTCTGCAAATCTGGGGAGAAAGGGCCAGGAGTGGAAGGCTCATCCATTCCCAACAGAATGGATTTGTGGGCATTTGCACAGCTCTCTTGAGGTCCTGCTGCAGCATTTCAGTCGATTTGAGGTCTGGACTTACTGGGTCATTGCAACACCTTGATTCTTTTCTTTTTCAGCTATTCTGTTGTAGATTTGCCATTGTGCTTGGGATTACTGTCCTGTTGCATGAACTAATGTCAGTCAAGCTTTAATTGTCGGACAGTTGGCCTCACATTTGACTTTAGAATACTTTGGCATACAGAGGAAGTATACAGAGGAGTTCTTGGTTGACTCAGTGGCTGCAAGGTGCCCAGGACAAGGTGACTGCAAAACAAGCCCAAATCAGCCCTCCACCATCCTTGACAGTTGGTATGAGACATTTGGGTTAATGTGCTGTGTTTGATTATCATCGAAAGTGGCACTGTGTATTATGCCCAGACATCTCCACTTTGGCCTCATCTGTCCAAAGGACAGTGTTCCAGAAGTCTTGTGATTTGTTCAGATGCAACTTTGTAAACCTAAGCTGTGCTGCCAGGTTCTTTTTAGAGAGAGGAGGCTTTCTCCTGGCCACCCTTCCAAACAAACCACACTTGCTCAGTCTTTTGCACTGTTGTGAACTTCAACATTTAACATGCTAACTGAGGCCTGTAGAGTCTGAGATATAACTCTTGGATTTTTGCAACTCTTGGATTTTTACAACTACTTTTTTTTTTGTGCTAATATTTAGTTTATTCAAGGAAAGTTAAAGTAACAGAACACCAAAATATTAAAAAAGAGAAAAAATCATAAATTACATTAAAAAGAATAAAAGTGTCTTAAAATAGACTAACACGCATAACATTCTCCCTAATTGAATGCTGATTAATACGACAATATTAATTTCCCACCCCTTGCAACAGAGGTCAAAAGAATTTTAAATTATTCAATTACTGAATCTGTTTACAAATTGTTAGCCTGTCATCTACATACTATATTAGTAACAAAATAACAGGAAAAACAATAATATATAACAGTTTAAGAAGAATAAAAGTCAATAATAATATGGAAAAAAGAAAATTGAAATTCCAAAATCCTACTTAGCCTCTTCATATCTTTGGAAGCGGTAAGGATGTACTTAGGTCTACACCTAAGTATCTATGTCACTACTTCTGGTTGCTTTGCAAGGGTAACAACTCCCCACCCACCATGTAGAGGGAATTATCATAATCCATAAGGGAAATGACCAGGACATGAGTGACCAAATGAAAGGCTTTGAAATCCAGAAATGGGCATGGCCGATGCACAATCCAAAGTTGTGCAAAGACCTTTGTAATTGTAACTGCCACTTCCTGCAGGCGAATCCCCAGATTGTTCACCAGTTCTGTTTGAGGCAATGCAACCTCCATCCAGAACTAAAGATGGTAAATTTACACATCCTGGTTGTCCAAAATCCAAAGGCACTCAGTCTTATGAAGGTTGATCCAAAGCCTGTAGGTTTGTGTTGGCAAACATTAAGAATTGGTGGTATAGTGTATCATGTTCTGGAAAGATCTTTTACTGCTACTGTCAGATATTGCCTGCGTATGATGCACCAGAGACTAGAAGGGGTTAAGTCTTTACAGACATCACATGTGACTATATCAGCCAATGAACTCTCTTATTGGACTCTTAGCTAGAAACCACTTGGATATCTTCCCCTTTTTTCCCTCTCTCTCATCTATTTCTCAGCGAGACAACACGTGAACTTCTCTCTCCTTTCAACATCTGAGTCATACAGTTAGGGTAAAAATGCAACAGGACACCCTGTTCATTATTGTATGCATGTATATATTTGTAAATAATAAAACAACCTTTTGAACCTGAAGCTGTATTGACCAAATAACTTCCTCATAGAACCAAATGAGCATGACCATCAATATATATCTGACAGCTACCATACAAGTAAACATTAAAAACCGGTATTGTAGTGTACTGTGCTTCCTGGAAAAGATTTTTCAATCAGAGTAGAACAGATAAATGGCTGCCCAGTCTCTTCTTAAAAGTCTCCAGTGATGAAGCACCCACAACTTCTGAAGGCAAGCTGTTCCGCTGGTTAATTGTTCTCACTTACAAAATTTCTCATTAGAAAATTTCTCCTTAATTCCAGGCGGCTTCTCTCCTTGATTAGTTTCCATCCATTGTTTCTGATCTTGCCTTCTGGTGCTTTGGAGAATAAATTGACCCCCTCTTCTTTGTGGCAGCCCCTCAAATACTGGAATACAGCTATCATGTCACCAGTAGTCCTTTTTTTCTCTAGACTAGACAACCCAATTCTTGTAACCATTCTTCATATATTTTAGTCTCTTTATTTTAGATCCTAATTTTTATAGTTTTAGTTCTTTATTGCCAGTAGGGTAATAGTATGTTGAAAGTTTACCAAAGCAGTTGTTCAGATCACGTTATCATCGCCAGTGTATTCTAATTCAAATATAGTTGTAATTAATGCATTACTTAAAGCTGAGGGAAACTCCCCATGGCTTTGGCTTCCCCCTTGTATTTTAATGAGAATCCAGGAAAATGCTCAAATCACAATAACTTTTTCAGGAAGAGAATGATATGATCAACTACTGGAAATAATCTTACTGGCATATCCAGCTGTTCCTTGATGAAGAGCAGCAGCTTTGCCTTTGCAGGTTTTAACCTGAGCTTATTACACCTCATCCAGACCATCATAATCTCTAGATCAGGGGTATCAAACTCAAGGCCCAGAGGCCGAATCCAGCCCGGGGGGTGCTTAGATCTGGCCCACAGGACCGTCCTGGAATCAGCTGGCAGAGGGTTGCAGGAAGCCGTTGCACCTGAAAATGGAGCTCAGGAGCCTGTTTTCACTGGTAGAGTGCTCAGGCCACCATAGGTGCCCCCAACATGAGTGACGTCGAGCTGGCCATGCCCCTCTGGCCATGCCAGAGGGGCATGTATAGCATACATTTGTTATGCAAATGTATAACATACATTTTTTAAAAATGTATTAAATTCATAAAGGAATACTTCCAATAGTAATAGCAATATAATGTAACTTCTAAAAAAGGGCAAGAAAGTTAGGTTTGGGAGATTAAATACCATATTTTTCAGAGTATAAAACACACCTTTTTCCCCTCTAAAAGGGAGTGAAAATTTAGGTGTGTCTTATACACCAAATGTAGCCCTGCCCACCCACTGGCCCCCACCCTTTGGCCTCTGCCTCCTTGCAATTTACCTCCTTGTAGCAAACAGCAAGAAGAAACAGCCCATTTCAGCTTCAGCACAGCCTAATTAGCACAAGTTGATTGTCTGTTGGATCAGCCTCCCGACTCTCAGCTGTTTTGCACGGGCCTCTGCTGCTTACTTCAAGGAGGTAAATTGCTGGGAGCAGATTTTTTTTTCTTGTGCTAATCAAGCTATGCTGAAAACAAAAATGAATGTAAAGCAGGCTATTTGCTGTTTGATGCAACGAGGCAAAATTGCTGGGAGGCAGAAGCAGATTTATTTTTCTTGTTTTCCTCACCAAAAAAAGTAGGTGCGTCTTATAGTCTGGAGCATTTTATACTCTGAAAAAATACGGTAATAACCAGAACAACTCTTTAAACAAAGTCTATATTGTTCTTCCTTGTTCCTTAGTTGAAAAGATTCTAATTCAAATGTTGCCAATCACCCCACACTAAAAACCTTTTGTTTAAATAGTAGAGCTCTCCTTCCAGTATTGTTTCATTTCTTTTACCCAATCTTTAGTCTCCTATGACCACAAATGCTTAGTGCTTAATATATTGATAGTTTCTGAATATTATGGTTATAGCCAAGAAGAACACACATCTCTTTAATGTTCAACAGTCAATTCAAGGTTATATGAACGGTGCTATTGATTGCATTCCAAACTATGAGAATATTGCAATAGTCCAAACAATATGAGCCAAATCCTAAATTGCATCTCCAGTAGCAAGCATGATGATGATGCCAACTAACTTTTAATAAAACATATCTGAAGTGCCCATATACATGCAAAATGTTTTAGTGTATTAACCTTGTTTTTAGATGACAGGAAGCATATTTTGCCTTATTTAAAGCCAGGCACCACAATTATATGAGAACAAGAACTCAAGCTCCTTATTCCAGAGGTTATATAAAAGAATTAATTTTTTTTTGTACATGTCCTTCAGTTTTCTACCAAAAAAAAAAAAAAATACTTGCTTTAATCATAGTTCTTAAGTCATTTTCATTCATGACCTGTGGAACTTCAGAAGCAAAGCCAGCATCTGGACCAAATAGAATGAATAACAAAAGCTTGCATTGAACAAACTGCCAAAGGTATTCTGGGGTAAATCAAGTAAGTTTGCTTTTAATTTCTTTGAGAAAATAATTAATAAAAAGTAATAATAATATTGTGAAATTATCCTATAATGTAAGATTTTTCAAGGTAAAAACTACTGCTGCACCCTAACATATTTTATACATATATTGTGCTGATGTGCACATATTGAAATAACTTCCTGCACAGACAGGAATCTAATATATGTCAATAGTAAGGCTGAAAGTGTAAGAAGCTCAATAGCAATAGCACTTAGACTTATATACTGTTTTACAATACTTCACAGTCCTCTCTAAGCGGTTTACAGAGTCGGCATAGTGCTCCCAACAATCTGGGTCTACCAACAATCTGGGTTTACCAACCTCGGAAGGATGGAAGGCTGAGTCAACCTTGAGCCTGGTGAGATTTGATCTGCCAAATTGCAGGCAGCTGGCAGTCAGCAGAAATAGCCTGCAATACTAACAACTGCACTACCGTGACTCAAATCTGTCTTTACCAATAGGTAATTCTAAAGGCTTGTAGAACTGAAATCCAATTTTTAAAAAATATAAATCAATCTGTGACTTCAGTTCACTGGAATTGCATGCATCTTATACCAATACTCAAAAGAATTCTAGATAATTTGTCTAAATTTTCTACCATTTGCATCAAAACAAAAAAGGCACATATCTATCAATTTCCTAGCAATTCTTTTATCGAAAGAGACAGATATAATATAAAACCTTAGTCCATGTATGTGTCATCAATTCTGATTCACTCGTAATCAGACTAATGCAAAATGTATTTATTAATGAGGTGAAATTTAGCATAACCATTTCTGATTTATTAACAAAACTAGAATTGTAAGCTGCCAAGAGTCACTGTAGAAACTGAATAAACAAATAAAATGAAAAAACACATATTTATTTATAGTTTTTATGCTCTGTCTCCTTACTTTATTTCCACTAATGTCAAAATTTCTAATTTTAGAAGCAGGAGGCTCTAAAGTCAAATTAGAAAGGGAAATTAAAAAGGGAAAGAAAACAAGGGCATCTCTTCTATGTACTGTGACATATATGTATTTTCGGAGAAGGTACAACAATCAGCTGTGATTTAGGGAAAATGAGGAACCCATAACAATTTAAGGTATAAAAATTTGATAAAACCCAAATAAATGAAAACCTGTTGCAAAAAAAAGTGACACCTCCCCCCATAACTCAATGCCTATCAAAGGGTTTCTTAGTATCCAAAGTAATTATAATCGCCAGTCCTATCTAATTTACAGTGAGATTTAAAATTTGATACTGTAAGGAAGGTTGGTGGCTCTGTAAAAATCCACACATTGATTCCACACATTCATGAAGAATATAATTGATACCTGTGGCCATTGAAAATAAAGTTATAAATTAAAATGAGCAATCCCAAAGTGCAAAAAATTAGTCCCAATCTCACAGTGTTTGCATTCTGTAGAAATCTTTACACAAACTCAGAGCAGTCCGTAGCAGATTTGAAAGGAAAGTATGTGTCTCAATAAAATACAAAGGTATTAAAGGTCAGTAGAAGTCTTGGTGACTCCCACTGATGTCCTTTGGAAGCACTCCAGCCTTCTCCTACTCCAGTCCTGGTTTTGCAGCTAGCAGGGAGAACACAGACAAATTCTGCAGAGTCGGGGAAGAAGAGTTGAGCTTACACGGAGAGTAGCCATAGGAAAAAACAACAGAGATAGGCTGAAGCCAAATGCTAGGAACAGAAGCAAGGTGCATGTGCAGAAGCATGGCGCGAGCGTGAGCGAAGCAAGCACGCGAGCTTGATCCCGTTGAGAACCGGTAGTAAAAGTAAGTAGAACCCACCCCTGACCCAAATACACCATCTAAGCTATCAAACATGACATTGAGAAGCTGGCACTAATCTTGAAGATGCTTCCACCTTGCACTTTTTCTTTTGTTTGTAACTGAAATTTCAGTTAGAGTTAAGCACCTGCTGAAAACTGAAAACACAAGGAGCGGTGCATCAGCATATTACTTGAAAAGGAGTCATGGATGTCACGGAGGCCTTGATCCCTGGAGCTTTCACATGGTATGGAGGTTGAAATCCCACCCCATCTTCAGCATTTGTCTATTAGTTTCTTCTGTGTATGGAAGTTAACACATCTAAGGGTATTTGCATGTGCGTGTCAGGCACCTATTTTTCTGCTTTCTGCTGATGGTGCATCTCTATATATTTGGGAGATGTCAAATGAGGAATGGAGGACAGGGTACCCCAGTGCACAATGAGGTTAAAACATGTGGGGAAAGTATTGTTAGGAGCAGTCAAGCAAAAAAAGGCAAGGTTTTTAAGATATTTTAAGAAATGAATGTATATATATTATCACATTTACAAACCACCCATCTCCTCACAAACTGAGTTTACTTAGCACTTGGATGAAAACCATGCTCAAAGCATTAAAGGTATTTAGAAATGCATTCAGCATTCGGCCTGCCTACACCGCCACCCCCTTTGCACCATTACCTCATTCCAGCCGGTGAGGGCTCTCCTGCAAAGTTGCAAGTTGCATGAACCTCCCTCTATGGCAGAGATTTACAGCTCCACTATGAGCTGCCTGGCCAGTTCCATATTCCAGAGCTCTAGTCACAGGACTGGCCATTGCTCATCCTGGAGCAGCTCCTCCACCCGGGTGTGCCACGGACCACCAAAATTTTCAGGTGGACCGACTTCCAGTGGTGATGTCTTTGTGAAGGGGGAGAGGGAACAAAACGTCATCCCTGAAATCCCAAATATTCTTTGATAGGAGCTTTTTATGGGCAGTTCTGATCCCAGAGAGATTGGAAAACAAAAGGAGAAGGTCTGAAGACCCCAGACAAACAGCAGTTGACCAAGGGGATAAAGACAAACCTCTTAAATCCAGCAGAGAAAGAGTTGGCCTTCAGGGCAGACCAAGAGCAATGGCGGCCGCATAGTGGGGAAGCGGAAAGTGAAGAAACAGCTTCGGATGGTGGCCAAGAAGAACCCGGAAGGAGGAGAGGCGAAATTTTGTTGATCGGCAGCACGAGAGGAGAAAGATCAGAGGAGAAGGAAAGACGGCGACTAAAAGGAAATAGAGTGCAGAACGAAGAGACGAATTGGAGAAGAGATTAGTGCGAAAGAAGGAAGACTCCACAAAGTGGATTTAAATAGAACAAGAGGATAACAGGAACAGAGATAAGAACTTAGATAAAAAGTAGCTTAAGAAACACCAGGTATATATCTTGTATATATGTATAAACACTGCACATCCGATGTAAAAAGAAATGATATTTAATGTATTTTCACAAACTTAATAAAATATTGTAAAAAAAAAAAGAACTTAGATAAAAAGAAGCGGAGAGGGTACGAGAAGAAAGGAAGAGAGGGAAAACAGCAAAGAAAGTCTATTGGAAAATATCCTAAGGGACTTATAATACTGGAAAATACATATAATGATTAATGACTGACAATACAAGTATAACTGGAACTATAATATTGGAAATATAAATACAAAGATACACAAAGAAGAAGGAAAAAGGAAGAGAAAATAATAGAATAATAGAAGGACTAATAGAAGTTAGCAAACCCCAGGAAACTTTGCAGCTGTTTCCTGGTGTGAGGGGCCTGCCAGTCAAGTAGGGCTCGCACTTTCCCGGGATCCATCTCTACGCCTTCATTCGACACTCAGTAGCCAGGTAGTCCAGAGAAGTTTTGTGAAACTCACATTTGGACAGCTTCGCATAAAGTTTTGCAACTAACAGTTTCTTTATTACTTGTCAGACTAGTTTCACATGTTCTTCTAATGTCTCACTGAATATGAGGATGTCGTCCAAGTAGACTAGAACCCCCTTGTATAAATGTTCATGCAGCACTTCGTTAATCAATTGCATGAATACAGCAGGGGCTCCTTGGAGACCAAAGGGCATGACTTGAATTGGAAGCTACCTAATGAAAGCAGTCTTCCACTCATCCCCTTCCTTTATGCACACCCTGTAGTAGGCTTCTCTCAAGTCAAGTTTAGTAAACACTTTGCCTTTTGAAAGGTAGTTCAGTACGTCTTTCATGAGGGGAAGGGGGTAGGGGGTAACACATTTATCCCACGCAGGGGTGAAATCTAAAATTTCACCAGTTCTGTGGGCGTGGCTTGGTGGTGGTGGGGTAATGTGATGGTGGGCGTGGTCAACTTTTTTTAAAATAACTTTTAAAAGCATTTTTTCTACAACCTCTTCGGCCAAAGAGGTTGCAGAAAAAAATGCTTTTAGAAGCCTCTGACGATAAGGCAACTCAGCTGGGCTCACCAGAGGCTTTTAAAGGCATTTTTTTTCCTCTACAACCTCTTTGGCTGAAGAGGTTGCAGAAAAAAATGCTTTTAGAAGCCTCTGACGATCAGGCAACTCAGCTGGGATCGCCAGAGGCTTTTAAAGGCATCTATTTTTCTACAACCTCTTCGGCCGAAGAGGTTGTAGAAAAAAATGCTTTTAAAAGCCTCTGATGATCCCAGCTGAGCCACGCGATCATCAGAGGCTTTTTTTTTTACTTTTAAAAGCATTTTTTCGGCCAAAGAGGTTGTAGAAAAAATGCTTTTAAAAGTAAAAAAAACAGCCTCTGATGATTGTGTGGCTCAGCTGGGCATGGGGGGGGCAGGGATTTTTGCTACCAGTTCTCTGAACCACCATCCACCATTGCTACCGGATTGGGCGATCCGGTCTGAACCAGGAGCATTTCATCCCTGATTCCATGAAAATCGACACAGAGCCTCATCCCCCCATCTTTCTTTTCCTTAAGCAGCACCGGGGCGGCTACTCTGGATTTTGCAAGTTGGATGAACCCTCGAGTTAGGTTAGTATCGATGTACTTCCTCAGCTCAGCCATCTCTTTTGGGGTCATTGAGTACATCTTTGGTTTCGGGAGTTTGGCCCTAGGCTCGATCTCAATCGCACAGTCAGTGTGGCAATGAGGGGAAAGGATGTTGCATTCCTTCTCACTGAATGCTTCAGCCAGGTCCCTGTATTCTTGGGGACCTGGGGAGTCCCAGGTAGGACTCCGATGGCCGTCGTGGTCGCTTCTCGGTGGGGCCCCTGAGGGCTCGTCTCAGTGGGTTTGGCTTCAGGAAGGATGGGCGGCAAAGGCCCCACCTCTATCATGACTTTTTGGTAGCCGTCCTCCCATTTGATTGTAGGGACCCATTTGTCTAGCCAGGCAAGTCCCAGGATGATTGATTCTGCCATTTTTGGGGCTACTATGAATTGAATGAGTTCTGTGTGGATCCCTAGTTCCAATCTGACAAGCTCAGTGACCCATGTAGCAGGGGTGCCACCTATTAAGGTCCAGTCTACTTGCTGAAAGCGTATGGGGTGGATTAAGAGGTGTGTCTTTATGCATAGCTGCTCAACAATAGGGGAGCTAATTAAGCAACGGGTGCAGCCGATGTCTATTATTGCTGCTACCTCTCCATGCACCCCTGTCTCTGCATTGTCAGCTTGACTTTGACCACAAAGGGGTGGATGGTCCCACTTACCATCAGGTTGAATTGCTACTGCTACTGCTGGCTGGCCCAGGCGGCAAGTCTTTGGTCAAGGTCTCTTCGTTCTCTCCAGGGGGAGGGGAAGTCTCGACTGCCTGCTGGGCAATTCTGCTGGCATCTGGGGCTTTTGTGGGTCCTTTCTGCCTTGGGCTGACGTGGCGGGGTGCGGGTATGGAACTGGCACAGGTGCCAGACACTCCACAGCTTGATGACCCACTTGTCTGCGACGGTAGCACTTGATTACTCCTGTAGATTGAGCAGGAGGGGTTTCAGTGGGGTTTGTCAGAGGATGTCTAGCCAAAGTTCTCCCTGGGGGCCTCTCAGCTGAGGGGTGATTTATCAATACTGAAATTCCTATTATCAAAAGTGGAAGCAGTTAAGACTTCCTTTAAAGTGGATGATATTGATATTAATTATATTTTCTTCTCTTTTCCTTACCTCGTGCTTTAGTTACTTTGGTTTATTATTCATTACGACTTTTCTCGTCTAGGTTTAATGTTGCTTACCCCCAACAATCTTTGAGGTATGCAAGTGTGTGTGCGCATACTCACAAAAATGCACAGAACTTGCAGGAAGCATACGATGGCTGTGGATGCCGGCATCTCGGGTTTCAGAGACCCCATCACTTTTGATGGGTGGGGAAAAAGTTGCCCCTGTTGATAGGGCTCACAACTTGGGCGTCCTCCTGGATGCTCGGCTGTCCCTAGAAGACCACCTGACGGCTGTGACCAGGGGGGCCTTCGCACAGGTTCACCTGGTGCGCCAGTTGCACCCTTTCCTGGACCGAGATGACATTCGCACTGTCACTCATGCCCTGGTTACTTCCCGCTTGGATTACTGCAATTCCCTCTACATGGGCCTGTCCCTGAGATGCACCCGGAGACTCCAGCTGATCCAGAATGTAGCCGCACAGGTTGTTACGGGAGCCCCTCGTTACTCCCATATAACACCTCTCCTGCGTGAGCTGCATTGGTTACCAGTGTTTCTCCAGGTCCGCTTCAAGGTGCTGGTTCTCACCTATAAGGCCCTACATGACTTAGGTCCGGGATATTTGCAGGACCTTCTCCTGCCTGCCTCTCACCATCCTGTTCGCTCACATAGGGCTGCTCTCCTCAGGGTTCCGACGGCGAGCCAATGTCGCCTGGCGGCGCCCAGGGGTAGGGCGTTCTCTGTGGGTGCTCCCACCCTCCGGAATGAGTTGTCTACTGAGCTCTGGACAGCTCCTGATCTCTGCTCCTTCCATTGGGACCTGAAGAGTTGGCTGTTCAAGCAAATAGGCTGACTCTGATTCTGGGTTTTATTATTTATTATTTATTAGTTAATTTGGTTTAAAATGGGATTTTGTTGTACATGTTTTTAACTTGTGTTCACTGCCCTGAGTCCTTCTGGAGAAGGGCGGCATATAAATACATGAAATAAATAAACAAATACATTGCTGATTGAATACGGTTGCCGATGAACATGTATCTTCGGCCTAATTTGCAGAAGGTTTAATTGTTGTAACTCCTCCTTTTTATGCATTGTACATTTGTACACACCCAAATACTTCAGTTTTAATAGATGTAGTGAGAGAGGGAGAAATTCTCCCAACATATGTAATATCAGAAGGAGACTTTGAACTAGGATTCTGTGAAAGGAGAAGAAGAAGGAGAAGGAGAAGGTTGGTAATTGTGAAGCTGCCGTCCAAATAAGGTAGTTTTATTATTATCATGGGCTTGCCTCAAGGTAAAATTTGATTGTTCCTTGGGATTTGATCACAATTTTTAAAAAAATGTTAATGATCCAGATAGGTCAAAGGATGGTTTGTGGGTGTTAATTAGTGGAAGATAGTTTTCATGGTGCAGATTGTTTTGGAAGACAATATCTCTCAGGCCCTTGTGGAACATGACGTGCTATTTCCCTATCTGAGGAAGAAGATTAATAAAGTTGTCTTTAGGAGAGAGAATTAGGGGCTTGGAAGGAACACTCCAAGGTGCAGTGGTTACATTCTAGTGATCCCTTATGAGGCAATGAGTTTGCTGTTTTGTTTTGGGTTGTTGTTGTTTTTTTGCTTATCTTCTTGTATGAATTCAGCCACTTTTTATTTTATTGTACTTACCGGTATTTGTTTTTGGTTAGGTTTGTATCTTCCCTTTCTTTTAGGAGCTCAAGGTGGCCTACATAGAATCTCCTACTTCAATTTTTTCCCAATGTAATCTTATATGAGAAATTTTGGGGAAGCTGGGAGTAACAGAAGCCATAGGAGTAACAATAGACAAAAGCAATTTAGTCCATGTTTTATCTCTATACCCTTATTCATATTTCCTTTCTAACCAATCGTAAAATTTATCCCATGTCCTGAAATACATCGACTCCTCTTTATCTTTTATCCTCAATGTTAATCAGAAAAATAGAAACCCAGATGATGCCTAGGTAAAAGGAGAAGGTGGGGGGGTAAAAGGGAAAAAGTGAGATTAGTATAAAAATATACACAAATGATGAAACAGACATAAATACTAATCAAATAAGAAATTGAAATGAGAATAGAGATAGATAGAAAATTGGGGCTGCTTGAATACCATTTTAGATTGAACAGAAAAGGAAAACAACAAGAGAGAGGGGAAGGAGTAGAGAGAGAGAGGAAGGGAGAAGAGAGGAGAGGGAGAGAAAGAAGAAAGGGAAAAGGAGAGGAAGAAAAGGGAGGGGAAAGAGGAGTAGGAGAGAAGGTTAGAAGGAGGGAAAAAGAGAGGAGTGGGGGAAGGGACAGGGAAGTAGAAAAAAGGAGAGGAAGAACGAAGAAAGTAGGAGGAAGTAGAGGAAGGGAGAGAAGGGGAGGAGAAGAAGAAAGGTTGTGGCAAAACAAAGATGGGTAAATGGTAAAAGAGCAGCCTCGAACAAGTAAAAATTAAAAATGAAAGTTAAAAAACAAGATGAATGAAAAATGGTGGCTAAATGACTGTACATGTAAATATGTTTATGAGAAATTAAAAAGAAAAAGCAATTAAGCCATATCTATGAAATAAACTGCCAAGAAGTAACTTATCTCATAAAGAGAACTTCAGTCTAGAGTGCAGGAAACCTGGGAGTAAGATATTAAAGATTATCTCTTTGGATTAAAACACTTTATTGATGTCTGCTTCAGAGGTGGGTTTCAGCAGGTTCTGACCAGTTCTGGAGAACTGGTAGCAGAAATTTTGAGTAGTTCGGAGAACCAGTAAATACCACCTCTGGCTGGCCCTGCCCCCATCTATTCTCTGCCTCCCGAGTCCCAGCTGATCAGGAGGAAATGGGGATTTTGCAGTAACCTTCCCCTGGAGTGGGGAGGGAATGGAGATTTTACAGTCCCCTTCCCCTGCCACGCCCACCAAGCCAAGCCAAGCCAAGCCACACCCACCAAGCCATGCCCACAGAACCGGTAGTAAAAATATGTGAATCCCTCCACTGGTCTGCTTCCTTGGTTTTGCTCTCTTATGAGAGCTTGACATCAGCTAGAGAACTCTGATAGAAAGTTCCAGCTCTCATTCATAAGCTCATTAGTAAGTCATTCATGAATTCATTAATGCAGAATCTCTTTAAACATTCTCCATCTTTTCCTTCCAAGCTGTTTGTAATGTGGACTGTTCTACCTTTATGGTAAGCAATAACCAAACTCCTATCCCATTGTTTGGTTGCTTATGTTTCTCCTGTTATTTTGCTAGGCTTCTTACTACAGACTCTGAAATCCTGTGAGATGGGTTACACTGGTGGAGAATGGCTGACCCAAAGTCACTCAGTGACATTCAGGGGCTGATGGCAGTTGGAGCCTGGGTGTTTCCTATCTGAGTTCAATATCTTAACCTTTGTACCACATTGACTCATTGTGTAAATATAGCCAATTTTGCTTTACTCAATTAATTATTATTAAATATATGTCTTTGCACAATGTGTAAGTTCTGCTCTATTCACCTTGGCAGAATCCAAACTTGGAGCAGTGCAATGGAATATTGTCTCCTTTTCCATCATGCTACCTTTCTTACTAAGATAGGGAAAAGTAGTTTAAGTTATCAATTGCCATCTCTTGCTTCTGTTGCACTTACACTTGTACATATATTTTCATGTGCCGACCATATGGAAAAGTTGGATCTGCAGAATAATAGCAGCTGTAACTCTTACATTTTATGTATACTCAAAGATACCCATTTCAGTAATGTAGAAATAGTAGAAATACTCAATTTAGTCCACCTGCCATCATTTCTTCTTGTGTGACCAGCCCATTTCCGTTTCAAATCTTTTACTCTTTTGATAGCATTGCATATTTTCATTTGTTCTCTAACCCATGTGCAGGTCTTTCTATCTT